GGGGTGGTTCGTCGGGTGTGATGGAGGGCGTCGTCACTAACACCCACTCCCCCTCCGGCGCAGATGACTTGCATGAACAGACCCAGGGCTGAAACTGGGCGGCCTTCAAGATTGGGTTCTGATGCCTCAGGCGCCACGCTACTAGCCCCGGCCTGGCAGACAACGCGCCGTTTGGGCATCAACAATTTTGTCGAGGCAAAGTTCACGGGCGTGCTCGTGTATCAGAGTATAAATGCGGCCGTTATCGGCCAAGCAGGAAGGATTCGTGTGGTGTGGACGGCGAGGTGACTGTGCAACGTCGACGCGAAGGCGAAGACAACGTTGGCGATCCGGCCGTCACGTGGCGCCCGGGGTCATCCGGGGAATCGCGCGGGGCACGCCAGGTCGGTCGCCTGCGCTTCGTCCGCGTCACACGACAACAGCCGCGCGGGCGGTGGGCTGAGCTCTCTTGATGAGCTCGGCTCCATAGGCTGACGCTGCGGCCGCTTGCCGGGCCCCATGACTGGGCGTCACTGCGTGCTGGTGAGAGCCTGTTTCACTGCTCGCTTCCGCTGGCCGTGCCTCTGCGATGCCGCTTTGGGTTATTCCTCCAGCTGGATGCTGCCTCCCGGTCATCCGAAGACCTGCCTACACTATAATATTCGAGCAGAGCTCCTATCTTGCCTGGGACTGAGGTCATATGGTCTATCGAGGGGTGTTCTGCGGCACTACAACGAGCCTGCATGGCGGATTTCTACCCAGAAAATCAATTTTACGCCAGATGATACTTTTACAGGCGCATCAGCACATGCCGAGAGTTGCTTGTTAAAAGATCCTTTCAGAAAGCATTCCGCCTTTATCCCCTCTCTCGCATCTCTAACTGAATAGGGCAATAGAGAACAAGCCTCTCAGGCTCACCAAGCCGTTATGCACCCAATGTATCCGGCCCAACGTAATATAGGAATACAGATGAGCATCGCCCCCATTATTGATACCCATAACCATATAGCATGGCTTCATAGCACTACATGCGAGGACTCACATATAGCCGAGTACGGCACACTTTCCCGTGCCGTTGCTTTTGATTGCTGTGACTGAATTTCGTGAAGCGAGAATTTACAAGGAGGCCTGAAATAATGAAAACATGTTGCAGACACGACTGCTGATTCTTTGTTTGTGTGAATTTCGCCCACATGTGTGCGTAATGCTTCGCTCCTTGCGTCCTCCGCGGCTTTTCTTTACGAATAGGAGTTCTCCGAACACGAAAATTTTTCCCGCGTCGGGGTCACCAAGCAATTGGAATAAATAGAGTTGCGCCGCATTCGACGTGGGCGAAGAAAACCAACAGGAGTTTTTTTTTTTTTTTAAGCTTTGGGGATATGAACCGGAGGGGGCCGCGCAACCAACGACAAAAAAGGATATTCGCAGTTGGGATCGTTGATGTTAGCCCGACGCAGGCTTGCGGTCACCAGCAGAAGTAAAAAAATAGTATCGGGTAAGATCAGCAACGTACCTCTCCGCCTGCTCCAGTGAGGATCTACTAGGCAACCTTATCCGTCATAAATGGGTCATTCATCCTTCACCGATCTTTGCGGCTTCCAAATCGGAGGCCATATGGTCGCCGGCCCAATCCTCCTCGGGTAGTTTCAGATGGCGGTGAATCTTGCGGTCAGAAAGGTTTTTGCGTACTATCGCTTAGTAAGCTATGCCAATCGCGAAATGGAGCAGGCCATGGAAGTAGGTAGGAATTGACTATGGTTTGAGCGCACCAAGCAGCGATCGTCTGCTTTGTTAGGCCAACGTCGCCGTTGGTGTTGTTTCCTGCGCCCCTTATAGAAAACGTATCTGGTAGGCTATGATAACTTCTCGCTATTACCAAACAAAGACAGTTGAAGCAAAATTGTATCTACAATCAGATCAAACACGGGGGCTGTCAGTTGAGAATCACGTTGGCTAGACGCCTGCGCGTTGTAGTGAAGATCAGGCTATGAAGTATGAATGCGCCCAACTTAAATAACTACCTAATTCCAGGTTCAATTGCCAACGCTGAGCTGGTCGCATTTAAATATCTCGAGTCCAGACGATATAAAAATCATACGTATATTAGCCGTGCAAGTTGTGGCTGTACAGGAGAGGTCCAACTCTCATACATATGAAATCTGGGAACGCATTCAACAAGGCAGCGAAGCTGAGCTCCGATAAGGTTAGATGCAAGTAATATTAGCCGGAGATCGAGTCATGTGGGGAGTCACCCTGAAGTTAAGATCGTGAAGGTATGGTATAGCCGATCAACTGTGCTGAAGAGAACAAGACTGGGGGCTCGTTGACGTTTGGGCTTTACCTAGAGCACCGACTCTAGTAGCAAGCCGGAAAAAGCCCGACGCTCGTACCGGTGTATTCCTGTTCCCGGAAACAAAATGGTAATGATGACATGGCAGTTGTAGATAAGATGGGACGGAAAGACGCATTTTTCTGCCGTAACCAATAAATAGCTCGTGCTTCAAGAACAGAAATAGCGGAATTGAACAACTAGCCTGAGGTTTTGGGTCAGTAATTGTACATACAATGTACATACATCGATGGAGCCCAGGGGTACTTGCCAGCCTGGCGTGTCCATGTACGTACATATCACATCAACCACATCAGTGGATAATTGCATCTGCGAATAATGTTGCGTTGTCACGTTGTTTCAAATTTTGCTGAAACATATGATGGAAACTGAAAATCAAAAGATCCCAGCCGACGCAGTTGATTGGTATGGATGCCAGCATTAGTTAAACCTGTGATCCTAGTCATCTGGCGGGGGGTTACAGCATTGCGTACTTCTCTCATCCACACGTCTGCAACCCACAGCCTTGTGAGTTTCGGTGGCAGCGACGGAGTATTGAATTTCAATACTCCGTATACCGCTGGATTGTGCCTGTCAGTTGCCATCCATGTCTTACCTTACCCCAGCCTGGCTAATCCCGCGTTTAGACCTATCAAGGATGGTGCCCAAAGTAATGAGCCTGATGGTACAAAACAAAAACGGAATTTTCAGGCGCCCGAACGTGCCAATCTCCAAGATTCTCACCCCCCACAGCTCACTTCAAGTAGATTTTTGCCTTGGTCTAACGGTGTTATTTGTATGGATTGAATCTTTCCGGGATTGGCTGGCGGATAATCGGACAAGCCGAAGAGCTTGCCTCGAGAGGCAAGAAGTCAACGCCTAAAAGGAATAATGGCCAACCGCCCATCATTTTGCAACCACATCTTAGCTTTGGGGCTTAGATGCGTAAGGTTGGTTCCAAGATGCGTGAAGTTAAGCATAACAGCCCAATAGCATGTAGGGCACAGAGTACGCAACACCAGTGGGAGACGGAATCGGGAAGAGATAGGAAATAACGATAACGCTTGGTGATCCTTGCCAAGTTACGAAAGTGAGGCTTCCGAATTCTGCTAGAGGCACGGAGAGCGAGGACTCCGCTGTCATCGTATAACCCAACACCTGCCAAAGCTTCGGGGGCGGGCATTTACCAAACCTCCCAGTATTATGAGAGGCAGCTGGTACCGAGATTTAAGAAGATGATGTAAGAGCCAACAAAATCTGAAAGAGCGGTCAGGTACCAAGTAGTTCAAAAAAAAGATAGTGAGCAGAAACAAGATAAAATTCCTTCGATCAGGTTGGGTCTTAACACTTGGGATGGTGTATCGGAGCGGGGCGAGTTCGCAATTAACATGCAATGCATCACAATGTGGCCTGGTGTTCTGGAGAGGCGGTGAGTAGTTACCTCAAACAGCAGAGGGGAAATGAAATCAAGAGCAAGGCCTATGGTATCCAAACCTAAATCCAATTCTCATATCAATCATACCTGTGTCCTAGCTGGAGATGGCCCATAAGCTGGCAAGAGGACATCTTGATAGGAACATGTTTATGAAATACTCCACAATGCTTAATACAACCCTCAGCTAAACTATGTGAGTTAGTGATTGATGAGCCTGACAATATCTATAAAGTAGTAATAATGAGATGTTAGAAAAAGAAAAGAAAAATATATAACTGTACCAATTCCCTAGCCATATTTTAGCCCAGGTAAGACCAGTGTTTCTGTAATGAGAGCGAATACTCAGGGTGTACGGAGTACAGAGTAATGTTAGGGCTGTTGAATGAACCACATTCAAGAACGAGCCTCTCTTCTATTGACAGGCAAAAATTGATACATACTAGATGTTCACAGGCCTTCTCCTAGATATTCTGGTGCTAGGAGTTTCATTACCATCGTGATGCGAAGTTGCATTCTGTTGCCCGCAGCTGCCTCCAGTCATGTGACTATGTAACTTCCAGCAACTTCAGCTGGTGAACATCTAGGCCACAAGGTCTTAAGGGTGATCATCCTTTAGGTTGAATGGTGAGCACTGTGGCCCTTTGAAACTAGGAGAAATACCACTCATCCCATAAACTAGTTACCTAGCTGGAAGGCACCTCATACCAATGCTGGTGCTCGATTCTGCCTGGGTTCTCTCCACAACTACAACTCAGAACAATGGACAACACAATAAAACATCCAACAAATGACAAACATGAGGCTGCCCTTTGCATGAATGGCTGGTATGTATGTATACATACCTACCCTTTATTGTCATTATAGCAATTTCCATGACCAAGCATAAAGCACTATTATGCTCTGCCTGCCTATTTTGAAATTGAATATATCATTATACCTATCCTGATGAAGGCTTATTGCGGAACAGAGAGTCCCAAAACAATCAAAAATATACCTTTCTTATTCAATGCTTATTCAAACAATATCACTACTCCATTCCACTTTTGATCAAAGGAACTTCTTTATATCATGTATGAGATGTTTAAAACCCCAGAATTCCCCTTCCCTTGGCCTTTTCAATTTCCATGGAGTTTTATTTTCAAGTTACTTTTCCCGATAAATTGCTTGGGCCGTCATCTTCCCTCACATGCCCAATAATAGGGGATCAACTGCAGCATATAGTTGGCTTCACATAAAGTATACCTAGCATCAGCAACGATGAGCTCCTGCCACACACCAGAGAGCCTGACCAAACATGAGAGGCGTGGAAGGGTAAGCTGCTTCGCAATCCCAGCCTTCATTTTTTATATTAACATAGTCAGTTAACAACAATTCCCTCTGCATGGGAGATTGGCGCCTCTTTCTCCCCAGGATTCGGTATCTCAAACGATGACCAACTAGTTTGTTTTCGAAACAGTGTATTTGTAGCATTGTTACATATGCCCGTCATGTACTACTGGCTTTGTGAACACAACCACAGCCTAGATGATCCAGCCCGTCATAAATGTGTTACCTGTATCTTGAGTGTCTTCGGTATGACATACTGGACAGACGCCAAACTTAAAAACCACCAAAGGGGTTTGAACCGTCTAATGAGTCACTACGTGTGGTCTACTTGCAAAATCACTTTCTGGAAAGAGCGCGAAGGCGTTCAACAAGACGCCGAAGAATTCCTACAATATCTTCTTTCCCACCTTTCCAATGACCCTTTAGGCCCAGAGAGGTTGGTAACAATGCAAATCCGGCATTTTTCTACTTTTACTTATAAAATTTATGTGAATTAGATCCCACCAAGAGCTCTTGCAGCATATGTTCTACACTGTTATTAAGTACCGCGAGGAGTGCACCATGTGTAAGCATGTGTCATTCCCAGAAAAATACAGTGATAGTGTTCTCCGCGTCCATATCCCTGATTCTGGGTCGCCAACACTGCCTCAGGCGCTGGTGCAGACTATGGGCGTTCCCGATGCATCTTATAAGTGCGGCAGCTGCTTCTCAAATGCGAAGCCTACTCGCCGTGGGTACATCAGGGACGCTCCTGAAATCCTCGTTATTGCGTTAAATAGGCATGGAAATCATACCGGCACCCGACGAACGAATAAAGTGACTTACGAAGAACATATGGACCTTACAGAATTACTCGAACCCTATGCCCGAGAAAAAGGCGAATCCTTGACTTATAAGCTGTATTCCGTCATTTTTCATATAGGTACAAGTTCTGAGCGAGGTCATTATATCACCGTTGCTAGGTCACCGACGGACCAATGGTCATATATAGACGACGAAGAAATACACAGCGCAAACGTCCAAGATGCGCTCGGAAACGATTCGAGGCATTCTAAGCTAGCAATACCATACCTCTTGTTTTATGCTCGCACTCCCTTCAACTCCACAGTCCCCAGGCGAATACCTATTGATCCAAATTTTTTTAAGCCAAAGCCTCTTGAGCCAAAACCTCTTGCCAATGACAGCTCGTACAATGAGAAATTACCAACCGTTCCAGAAGTTTCCATAGAAAAGTCAACCGGTCAAGCCAGTAAGCCGGACGATGAAAACAAACGAACCATGACGACCCAAACTCTCAATAAAATCGAGTCGAATGTGGAGGTAGAGGCCAGTATTTCATTTCCAGCCGCGGGAGAGAGTAACCACCCGGAAGTAGGAGATTCTCCTACAGAAGAGGCAGCAGTCTCGCCGTCCCTTTCAGCGCGATGGGAAGGCCAACCTGCGGAAGTTATTATCAAAGTCATAATGGGTGATATTGTTTTGGAGGGTAAGATGAAAGGAGTGCTGAGAAGAAGCCGGGGCCGGCCAGATCAACCCACTAACACCAAGGGCTCAGTGCCCCCGGAAAAGCCAGAAGGTGTAAAAAAGAACAGAAAACCGCCAGGTCGCAAATGCAAGGCAACAGCCAAAGTAGATACCATAAAATAAGACAATTGTCTTTTATGTACATAGCCTGGATTTTATCTCTTGACTCGGCGTTAGGGGCCGGTATTGGTCTATCAGATTTTCTTCAAGACATCCCTTTTAGCTCGGTGTTCTGTGTAGTTAGTTGGATGGTAAGAAAGTAAGATATTGATGTCGCTAGACCTAGTTACATATACAACTTAACTCTGTGGCTATTTAGTTACATTTCAATTTTCAAGTTAACCTCCCGTCACTTCCCCGTCTCATGTAAATGGAGCCCGAGCAGCAGTCAGGCTCTCCGCCTAGCCCATCTTCGTTCATAACTTCAATTTTCAGGCAGCTATTAGCAGCCACCCCGCCGGCGTTGTCAACATCTCCTAGAGCTTCATGTGCTGATAGGGTTGTTAACCCGCTTAAATCTTTACCACCACAGACACTGAGTGAAGTCAAACCGCTTCTTTTGACACTACATTGCCTCTTTCCCAGTGAATTCCTACTGGCCCTGGATATCTTGGATCGCAGGCTTATCAGAAACTATGTCCTGTCGAATATACCTATCATAGAGAATGTAACACGGGGGACGTTATTTGTCCTCTCTTCCTCGATGATACCTGCCACTGTCCAGGTAGCTATCCCAGTTCCTGAATCTAAAGTTGATACACGTATGTCGTCCGCTCCGGATGACCCGGCGGATTTGCTATATCTACCAGCGAAGTATTATCAGGTACATCTTGATTCATGGCACTGCACATGCCCTGCATTCGCTATTGCCTCTTTGTCCTCTTCGGATACAAGTACCCCAGGAACTGCTCACAATGACACGGAAGAACCTCTTACGCGTGCGAATGATGCCGTTTCTACGGGCTGGCGATTCGGTGGCACTCTGACCAGAGGAAGTGATATTGAGGACGGGCATCTTAATCCGGCAATATGCAAACACTTGCTCGCCTGTATTTTGGGCACACAGTGTCCAGAATTATTTGGGCATGGTATCGAGCGGGTTTCCGTAACCCAGGCTGAGATGGCAGCTTTATATGCTGGATGAAACAGAACTACACAGCACACATTTTATAGAATAAGTGCTTGTGAATATGAGCATCTTAAAATATTGTCTAGATTTACGAGAGAACAAATCCGTGGGCTACGAGGCCTCCATGATTTTAAAAATGTCTGAATTCCCGACTACATATGCCTTGACTGGGCTCTGGCTATATCCTGTTGCTTCTTGACTCAAATACCAAGGATGGAGAACCTAGTTCATGATTTTTATGAGCGTATCAAGCGTAAAGGACCTGATTCGATGCCAGTTAGCCAGGTTTAGATTGTCTGAATACGTCTGAAAGCCGTGACGATGGAATAGAATCTTCTCTACTCTAAAACGCACAGAATATGCAATGTATTGTTCAGACCAAAATGGTGGAAAGAGCGGGAGGAAGGTGGCGAGCAGCGATTATCCCTTTTTCTTGTTCTTGTCCTTGTCCTTCGAGCTGTCTGGTTCATCTTGTTTCTCGCCGTCATTCTTCTTTTTCTTCTCTTCACTACTGCCATTTGTCGTAGCTTTTTCATCTTTTGACTCTTCTGCCTTGGCCTCCTGCTCTTCCTGCTGTTGACGGTTCTGGATTTTATTTTCGATTAAATCGTGGAAGGCAGTGATAGCTCGAATCAAACTGCTTATGTATATTGACATCAATTGGTCATTGGTCTTAATGTTCATAGCACGCGCGAGCTCTGCATTTTCGATTTGTGTGGGCTCTGAAGCATTTCCTGGAGTGCGTTGTTTTGCAGTTGCAAGGTTGGGGAGGAGGTTAAAGATATCCTGAAGGTTTCCCAAGATGGCATGATTGACGGGTAATTCACCGTCAAGAACCTTTTGTAAATATTGCCCGATGTCGCGCAATCTTAGGTGTAATCCTTGTAATGATTGGAGTTGTGATGTTATTCTTGTAGAGAGGGTGCCAACTGCGACGTCGCGAATATCTCTGAGAAGATGCTCCACGCCTATTTCTTCAGCCTCTTCCGCTTCAATTATAGATGGGGTGTGAACAAAAGTTTTTGCAGTTGTCGTTCCGTCCTATTACGTAGCAAGTAATTGCTTGTCAGATCGATGTTCTCAAAGATTCTCTAAAAAGAAAGGAAACTCACGTCTTTAATCTCCTCTACAGCAAAGTATGCATCAGTGGGAACGCCAACTTCTTTTGGCTGCACATCAATAATAACTAGTAAAGGATTCGGTGTATATCGTTTGAACAGTTCGTTAATCTCCAAATCTGATGCTCTCAGTTTGGGTCCGGAATGATACCATCCAATGAGTTTCTCTCGCGCATTGATCTTCTTGAACATATCATTCATCGCTTCCACAAAATTGTGGTCTAAAAACCAGACGGAGGGGTTTTTGTCGTCCTCTTCAAACGGAACTGAAAGCCAACGGACGTGTTAGTAGAAAGCGGGTATCATTAATTGGTTTGCTTGGCTGCCAGCGCACCTGCAAAGCTGTTTGATACTCGAACATTCTGCCCGTCATTTTGGCCCAGCAGTACGCCAACCACCCGCCTGTGAGTACCTTTTGCTGTCCGACCGTAATGATCCGCGACCGATAGAAGTACCAAGGGAGCAACGGAAACGGTGCGAGCGACTAGGGAGAGAGTGTCGGCAGTCGTAGCCGGCATAATGACAGTTTAAGAGAGCAATGTTAGGTACAAAAGGGCCCTTTTCTCTTGATATAAGCTTTGGAGAATTCTAATGGACAATGCAAACTGCGATGCTGCTCAAGCTGCTTACTGGGAGCGGTTTGGAGCTGGGAGCCGGGTAAATGATGATCCATTACCGAGCCGGTGGCCGTCTAGCCCGCTGGAGACTAGCGCCGATAGCATAAATAGGACTTTATGTCCTCAATCTGAGCTTGGTTGAAGAACGCGAACATGAGCTGGCTAGTTAACTAGGTAACAACGGTTTCCCCCGGATACAACCTCACTGGTCAAGCAGGAGCGCAGCGAAACATCTCGCATACCCATTTCTCTGACGTCCTATTTGTATGTATGTACCCGCCATATTCACCAGTGAAGAGCATACACAAGAGAGAAGTAGTGCCTTGGGCCACAGGGCCTTAAGGATAGTCAACCTTTTGGTTGCATGGCGGGCACTTTCATAAGATGCTCCTACTAAGGGACGTTTTGCGGAACATTCTCTATTGTTTCTTGTCACTTGGCCGGATCTTGTTCTCTGCGAGAGTGACAAATCTGACAAAGAGGGCCCGGGAAACGCTCCCCCACCTAATTCTGATTTCTTTGATTTCCATGATAATGCATGTCTGTACGTAGTGTTGGGATTTGATACCAGGCTGCTGTACTCCGTATTGCATCCTTCATGACACTGGAATCTGGCATGAGAGCTATGTATTCGCCTGCAACGTATATATAAAACATGGGAGGCGGGGATTCAGTCATCCCTGCTGAATACAAGGCAGTACGGAGCAGAATATATTATAGAGTGCTCCATACTCCGTACGGAGTACTCTCCGGAGTAAGCTGGAACTCTTCCCACTCGGCAGATGACTAAGCTCGACAGGGACCGCGAACTCTAAAGTCTAAACGGGCCGACTTCGATTTGTTTCGAAAGGCCGCGAAAAAGGAATGCGAATGCTGGGCCGAAGGGACTGGAGGCCACCTGTAAAGCCCCCGGCCGATGCGAGCACAGCGGGAAGTAGACGAACGTTGATTGGGACGCCTCAGCCGAACTCGACGGGCGCTTCGTTTTGCCTCGTATGGGCATGCCGTAGAGATGCGATCCCCAACGGTTTGGGCTGGTAGAACCCTGCTTGAGCAATAGATCTAATCTGGGTTGAGTTGCATTCTAAGCAGCCTGCATTTCTTCTGGGGAAAGAGACGTGCAGATCCGCCGTCCAGCCCAACCGTGGCCTCTTGTGCTCTGTGGTTTGGCAGATCCTCGGCCCTGCGGGCGGCCTGGCATCCTGGAAACTCAACACAAGCAAACCTTCAAACCACATCAATTTTCCAACCTCACGCCGGCTCGCAGCCAAACGGCCCGTTGTCTCTCCGCCGCCCCTTTCCTCCCACCCCATTTCGTGCCCTCATCCATCGAGCGATATCACACGACCGAGCCCACGCCCGCGTCCTCCGTTGAATTTCACGCCATGGCACCCGCTAGAGACGAAACGGTTGATAGCCTCAAGAGCATCATCCGAGACCTAGAGGCCCGAGTCGTTCAATTGGAACGCAAGATCGTCGATGGGGGGAGCAGCTCAAAGCCCAATTCGCTTATGGAGAGCATGCGAATGGTCTTGATGGGTCCTCCAGGCGCTGGTGCGTGCCGGCTGCTCTTTCATGCTCGATGCGCCATGTCTGTTCACTAACTTGTAGGCTGCAGGAAAGGGAACACAGGCCCCTAAAATCAAGGATAAATACTGTGTCTGCCACCTCGTATGTTCGGGTACTCCAATTGACGCATCCACTGTTGATAAATACTTACCTGAGCACGTCGTCTAGGCCACCGGTGACATGCTCCGATCGCAGGTTGCTGCGAAAACAGAGCTAGGAAAACAAGCCAAGGAGATCATGGATCAAGGTGGTTTAGTGAGCGATGAAATCATGGTCAATATGATCAAGCATGAGCTCGAAACAAACCAAGAATGCCGCAATGGGTACGAATCGGAACCCGAAATATCCAGGGATACAAATGATATATTTACTAACACAATAATCCATAGTTTCATCTTGGATGGCTTTCCACGCACCGTAACACAAGCTGAGAAACTCGACGACATGCTTAACTCTCGCAACCAGAAACTGCAACACGCCGTTGAGCTCCAAATCGACGACGAACTTCTGGTCTCCAGGATAACTGGCCGATTGATCCACCCGGCTTCAGGAAGATCTTACCACAAGATATTCAACCCCCCAAAGACTGAAATGACTGACGACATCACCGGTGAACCATTGATTCAGCGTTCAGACGACAACGTCGAAGCCTTGAAGAAACGTTTAGTCACCTACCACTCGCAGACCGCTCCCGTCGTAGGATACTACAAGACGACTGGTATCTGGAAAGGTATTGATGCCAGCCAGGAACCTGGTCAAGTATGGAAAAGCCTCCTGGGAGTCTTTGAAAAGAAAGACTCCAGCCTGCTCAATAAGATGGGATTGTCAAAATAGATTTACGACCTTTTGACATACTATAACCACCCTTTTTTCAATCAACGGGGTATTTTCATTTCAAACACCCCTAGAGAATTGGATATGTCTTTATGACTGTTCTTCTGAAAATGTTTTTGTCTGTGTCTCTTCTGTGATAGGCAAGCTAAATTGTATGCGTATAGACTGCAGGGTCTGCCTCCTATGTATACTATTATTTTTTTTTTTTTTTTGCACTGGGAATTTGACCTTTCATGGCAATGTTCAATTTGAGCATTGTTTCCCTATTATTTCTTTCTATTCATGGATCCCAATAGACAATGCACCAATTGGCACCAGTGAATTACCCTGAATGAGATTCAAAAGATTCTTTTCTGCACTTCTTCAGTGCATTGTGTGGTTCTCAAGACTGACGACTAAGCCGGACCATGTATCTTTCTGACGCAGAGATGATTCCTTCCACCATTCTCAATATTATGTGCATCTGCCCATCCAACATTAGGACCTGCAGAATCTTATACAATTTTAACTTAAGCACCCATACCCTTCTTCAGTTCTATTCCAGCTTAACAGAACGTTTGTTTCTGCCCTGCCATGATGTGCTTGCCAATGCTAGCCCGACTCTTTACCCAGAAGGAGTCTCCAAAAAAGTATGATAACTGTAAAATCAGTCGGCCAGTTCTGTGAGTTTATGATTTCCCTGTTGTTTTGAGTGAGCATTCTTCTCGGAATGAATGAATGATGTCTAACATTACTCCTCCTTTCAGGGAACATACCACTGTTAACATGGAGAGATTGAATGTTAAGCGTAAGTTTCCTGTTGCTCAATGTGATATAAAACATTCCCACGTGCAGTTCACGTGTTTCTGTCTATATAAATACACCTCTTCCCTTACATTCCTTTCTCCTTTCCCATTGTTCTTCTCAGCAACATCAACATATCCCTGTTCCAATGGGATGTGCATTGGGGCCTCGTCACCCTGGGGGCAATAGGTGCCTCCCTGGAGGCCCGCACGGGCGATTTATTTATCATCGCCATAAATCTGCGCGCTGGGCTGGCGCACCACTGCCAGTGCGTAAGTGACCATATTATGATGGCTCTCCTTAACACCCAAATACCACTCTGGAATTCTTAACAAGTGGAAAAGTGATATTGCTATCTAGGCTAATGTACTTTATGTAGCAATTGCGGGCACCATAGCGGCGCAACAAACAGACAATTTTCAGGGGTCCCCTGCGTGCGAACCAGGCACGCAGCCCTGCACCACCTGCGGTGCCCCTGGCACCATTTAAAACGATAAAGGGGGTGTTTTTATGCTGGCAACAAAGCCGTTCGAAGCTGCCTACGCTCTCTCACCATGTTCGATGCTGGACCTGCTTTTCGGTGTTGGAGCTAGGGCATCGCATGGTGGTTCCGTTTCTCCCTGCATTCTCGACTCACTTTCGGTTGGCGCGTTTCTCTTCACTTGGAAACCAGGGAAATTTTCCCTGCGTTTCTACGCCTTGCCATATGCATCATGGCAAACGGAGACATCGGGAAAGCAATCACCGGCGATTCTTCTTTTTACGCTTTTTCAATGACTGTTACAGCTCTATACATTAGCTCATCCTGGGAAGAAAAAGATATTACTGAAGAATGGACCAAGGATGTGGATAGGCTTGTGGCTAACTGTGTTACTTGTCGTCGCACCACGGTTCCACGAGACAAGACCCTGGGGCTTTTACAACCTCTTCCAGTCCCTGAGAGACATTGGCAACATATTTCCACATATTTTATGAATGTTTCTCTTACAAAGAAAGATTAACGTGATTTTGGTCCTAGGGTGTTGGTTGAGGAAGAAACCAATCGCCCTTCCCACTGGGAGAACTGGAACTTCACAGGACTAGGTCAAGCGCTTTCTTGATGAAATTTCGATAACTGTCTCCTTGCGGCCAGCCTTCCTTTAGGCTTCGGGGCTATCTCATGCTCTACTATTTGATACTTATGAAACATGCTATTGTTGGGTTCCCGGTAAAAGGAAAGAAATATTTCTTCTGGGGTAGTTTCCTATCGCGATGTTTCCCTCAATACCGTTTCAGCAATAAGATTTCTCATCCTGATCGAAATCTGCCATACCGCGATATGTAATTAATAGTATGTATCATTAAATTTCCTTTTACCGTTTCTTCGCCTAACTACGTAGTGATGACTGTTGGCTTGTAAAAAACCTAGCAAGTGAGCTAGCTATCGAAAATTATAGTCAATTGTCAATTAAAAGCCCGTGTATTCTAAAAGGTATCTTGTGTCATCTGTTCTATATTTGTCACCCAATCGAAGCAAAATCTAGAGGAGATTAATCACACTTCCGCTACTGTGTGTATATCTATCGTATTATCGTATGTCTTCCACTCCATCAAGGCTCCCTGCCCCCAGCAGCCCCTCTTCCTCCAGCACCACCTACAATCGCCCGCTGCCTTGCCAGCCACGTCCGTCCTGCATCAGGAGACGCAATGCTGCGATGGTTGTATCGTGCCATGTTACCGGCATTATGAATCTGCAGCCGTGACTGGAAATTGTACCAGGCGGAAGATATGAGGGCGATTTCTCGGGCTTGACGTTGGACAACTTGCATGAGTTCGGCCTGTCGTAGAATTTTGGGTTAGCCGATGATAACAAATAGGGGATGACGAACATACCTCCTTTTCCTTGGCTGTCTTATACCCTTCCAAATCACCAGGCAGCCCCTCATAATTCTCAAGTCGCTCTTGCAACGACTTGATCAGCTCATTTTGCTGATTAATATGCTATATTCGATTCAATCGCCTTCCCTCCATCCCTCGGTGGTCCGGGGAGAGGGAGAAGCGAGGAGGTATTAGCTAGGAAGCCCTGTTCGCCATGATGCAAAGTGATCTCGACGGAAAATAGCTGGGTCAAAGCAGATGTGGATTGGGGATAGACTGCGGAGAACACGACAATGGCAAGAAAGGGCAAAGAGAAGGACCAATGCCAGAGCCTGATGGGGCTACCATTGACCTAGTGATGGTCAACTTCTGCTTTGCAGCGCTTCTATATCTTGCGGCAGTAGACATTTTCATTTTATACCCCATCGAACCTGGGGATTGGGGGTGGGAGGGATACAATTTGGTAAAGGTTCCGAGAGAGTATGGGGGACAGGAAAAAATGCCTGCACCTTTGGACGTGCAATAGAAATCCAATAAAAGTAGATGAAATGATTGCTGACTCACCTCTGAGCGTTTCGCCAGGCTATCAGCGCTCTTCTCAGTCGTATCAGCGAACCGCTTCAAAAGCTGTAAAGGTGACAGCTCCGGGGTCTTCAAAGTGCCGTCCATTCTGGCCGTCAACTCTTCAAGTAACCTCTTCATCTCTTGCAACGTTTCCCGATCTTCTTCACGGACCTCTTGCTCCCTTCTATCCCGTATCTCACGAAGAGCATTCCGCTCACTGCACACCTCTCTGACGATAGTTCTGCTAACGTCTAATTTACCCTCAAGCTCGCGGATCCTATTCTGAAGAGTATCCCAATCGGCACGCATCTTTGCCAATTCCGAGCCGTTATATTGCTTAATTTCGTTAAGGATGTCTACCTTATCTTTGTCCACAAGTTCCACTGCCGTAGCCATTAGCAACTGCTTTATGAAAGGAGAGCGAGAGAGTTACAATCAATCTTTGCATCTGAGAGTTCACGTTCAGTAGTCTCAGCGCGGGTCTCAGATACGGTAAGTCTAGTGCGGAGGCTCGCATATTCTTCATGCAGCTTTCGGTATATTTCGCTAAAGAAGGGTTAATTTTGATATATCTTAACATCAAGCGAGAATCTCACCTCTCAATGTTAGGTTCACTTAATACAGAGCTACCTTTTATTTCTTCGAGATCGGCTTGAAGCTCATTTTCGGCACTGCTGCTCTTTGTTAGTATGGGGGTACTTTGAGGTGGACAGAATACAACTAACAGTTCAGCCTCCCGCCTTCCAGCTTCATCAAGATCGCGTTGGAAAGTCCCTTGATCTTTTGGCGTCGAATTTCCAGTGGCAGGGCTCTCAAGGCCTTCTAGCTCCCTTATCCGTTCTCGTAATTCGGCAATGGCAGCTTCGTCTCGAGAGTGCTGTTCTTCGGAGCCTTGTAGCCTTTCGGTCAAAGCATGATTATCAAATTCCAGTTGTTTTTTCAAATTTTGGATTTCATGATGATCCAGCTCAATTTGAGTGATAAGCTGTTTGTATTTTTGGAGTTCTTTGCTGTGTTCAGATGAAAGGCGCTGGCTAGAGTCGCTCTCTTTCAACTGTTGCTTTAAGTCATTCACCTGGTTTTTAAGCGCTTGGTTTTCTTTTTCAAAATCCTGGCTTGCCTGAAGCTTTTGGCGATACTTCTCGGCAGCATTTGCCTTTCTAGACAGCTGATCCCTTTCGTTTTTAATTTCATCGTAATCGTCCTGTAGCTTTTGATACCGTTCCGTTTTCTGGCGCATTGATTCAAGCGACATTCGAAGACTGTCAATTTCATCTTGTGCCGTCGACAGCCTTGCTTCTTGGGAGGCGATGATGTCCTCCTGCTGACGACCGCGGCCTTCAAAGCCGGTGGCATCAAGTCCTCTGTCTCCTTTTCCAGCCTTGAGCGTTGCCAACCGATCTTCGGTGGACGATAGCTTTGTTTCTAATGTATCGCTATTTTCTTGAAGTTTCGCTAGGCGTTCATGTAAATTTGCCAGAGACTTTTCCAACTCCCTCTTTTCATTGGATAGTTTATCGTTCTCTGCCAGGAGTTTTCCGACTCGCTCCTCAAATTGTAATTCCGGGTCCATAGCAATATCACGCCTAGCCCTATATTCGTCCTGCTCAAAATTGATCTGCTCAAGACGGTCGTCCGATGGGTTCTGCGCCTCTTCTATGATGTCCTTTAGCCCTTCTTGTGTCGGCGTGGTGAGCTTCTGCATCGTCATGATATAAGCTTCTGCGTGCGGAGATCCAATTGCTGCCATTAACAGCAGCTTTAACAGCCGGTTGGTTTCTTTGACGGAGCCTTTTTCGGCGATCGCTTTAAGGTCCGGGACGGTAGAGAGTCCTGAGGGTAGTTCGCCATCGTTCTGGTTTCGAAGGTAGCTGATCAACAGCTTATGGATATGCTTCAAATTCTGCCATTTGGGAACCCAGTGGTCGGCCGGTGCATTTTCTGGGAGAGCCCCCAGGAAGTACGACGGATCGATATCCTGTAAGATCTCCCAAAGAATAGACCCATCGTTCAGGTCTTCACTGCAGCGGATGACAGTTCCCAGAGAGAAGCTGTTAATCCATTCAAGGAGGGTGGTGGTCTCGAGATCGGGAAGCATGATTTCAGGGGGGCGGGACGGCGCGCCTGGAGGTTAGTTGGTTAAGCCAATACCAAGAAGACCAGCCGACACTGCTCGTGCATTGCGGCAACGGGCTTTAGAAGATGTCGACGTTCATAGACCGTCGGCGGAGGCCGGAGATGTCGGGTCGCTTGAATTCGAGTAGTTGGTGCTGCTCCGTCGTTTGTTTGGCATCACGAATATTTCATGCGCAGGCCCAGCCAAATAGGCCGAAGATTGTGGGCTAGCACGGAGTCAAATCCGCCCCCATCCCCTGTCCAGACCTGCGGCGGGTAGTTACATACATGCCACCGTCCGTTTTCCATCCGGTTGCCTAACTCGAGTATTGTTTAGGTGCGGATGCCAGCATGGTTGAGTCCTGCTTCGCTCCTAGCGACTGAAGAACGGTGCCATACATAGTCACCCAGCCCAAGACAGGGCGCGCAGGATTTCCCAGCAGACAATGCTACGGAGTACATACCTTAGATTTTTATTTTCCTCCAGCTCCTGATGCCCGGCTCCTTTGCTTGGGAACCAACGGCCTAACGGCTTCTTTCCTAAACGCAGATGACGATCTCTCGGTACTACACACACCCACGGTTGTTTTTGCCATGGTGAAATTAACGCTACTGCCAGCTTTCAAGCTTTCTAGTTACCGAATCCTGCGGGCTTGCTATCCAGCGAACTGCTATTCCTACGCCAAGTTCACAGGGCTGAATATACATATTTTTCTTCCGGCCTTCTCGCTCGAGAGTGAGAAGGATGCGCGAATGACGATGGCTCAAGAATAATAATGATCCTCCAAATAAGACTTGTTAAGAGGACATATTAGACCGGGAAGTTCGTGTACGCCAGGCTTGATACGGAGTACCGTACCTGTTTCGAAGTCTTGAGAGCTACTTAGCATCAACAGAACTGCAGCATTCTAGTACTTGGCTTGGAAATACTTGTTGACGGCTTAGGCCTAGTAGAGGGCTCCTTAGCTATAAGCTCGACTGACAAGTATTCTCGATGGATTTGGAAGAGGATTTAGCAAATATCTCATCCTCGATAAAACACGGGATTGAATGGATTCGGTGCACACCCTGACACACCTTGCCTATAAGTGAAGGGAGAGAATAGTGATAAGATGTACAGAGTATGTATATGGATTTATATTTGGTCTCATACTGGGGTTTAAGTTTCATTGTATATATCATAAAATAGCCATTTCATATCATTCCTGCAAATAAGACTTTTCCTCGCCTTCAGTTATCCTGCTTGAAATAATGCTACCATTTTTCAAAATTCAACCCCCTATCGCGAACTTTGAGTCTCCAAATTTTGGGTCGTTCGGATCATCGAGAGTGACTATTTGGTCGTTTTCGATTGTCGCAGGATACGGTGTCTCGAAAGCTTTCACAGAGTCTAAGGCTACTTGCGGTGCCATTGCTGCGAATCCCCTAGAGATGACACGTGTTAAAACCAACGTTGAGTGAGGGGCATGACGAGGAAGGAGGCGTACCTGATTAAAGCTGTGAAGGAGAACACATTAGCACCAGCCAACAAATATGGTAAGGTCCAGGCGCAACTTACAGTATTCATGGGTGATTTTGCCCCCCTACAGAGATATGTGGTCAGCACGCGAGGTCATATGAAAGGGAGTGGCAAGTCATAGATTATCGTACAGCGTCCCGGATGGCTTTCTTGGCCATATCGATCACCGAATTAGGGGTGTTTTCAGGATAGCTGATGATGACGGATTTGAGTGGAGTGCCCGCCATGACAACTGCAAAGAGGGCGCTTGCAAGAAGAGTGTAGAGGAATTTCATTATTGGCGAAAGAGGTCTGTGAATTGCTTGCGATGAGCTCGTTAGCAACAGCCACGAGAAGCGGGGCGCAGAGGCGCCTTTTATGTGTCTGCCTGGAGTCTTAATAGCACTCGGTTGGGTGGTATCGCAGGGATCGAGCGTGACGGAGCGGAAGCCCGAATAGTGCGATCCCGCGGGATTGGCTGTGGCTTGACCCGCGACGTCATGGCACTGGCGTGGCTTGGCTAGCACACTAGTTAGGGTTGCGCTGAGTCATCCCTGGCTTCTAGGCTGACTACTGAAATTATGTAAGCCACCAGCAAACTTCCGCCGCTCTCGCCCGCCAAACATCACTTCAACTCAACATCAAGCCACCCCTGTTGCCTGTGCCCGACCCTAATTTTCCTCTGCTTGGTCTTTGTTTATTAGCGACAGATTGCTGTAATTTTACCTTCTTCACTTCTTTTTCCTCCTTTGGATTCGCCGTGGCCTCTGCGTACCGCTCGCCATCTTCCGGGGATTCCGTGACAGCCGCTTGCCAATAGCAGAGTTTGGAGAGTCCGCTTTGTCCTTTATCGATCGGGGGAAGTATTGAGAGCGGGGAAGTGTTTTTGATATTGCTATACTGTGAGAGGGAACAAAGGTGCTTTGGGATTGAATTCGTGGGAGGTCGCATGGATTCTGTTCTATGACTCTCTGCGAACAATAGCTAGCGAAGAAAATTTTTTCTGCTTATTCTGGGTTTTTGTGTTGTGTCTTCTTCTATTACTCGCCCGATTCAGAGTTCATCTCCGCAAGGAGGGAGAGAGACAGAAGACAGTCAGACAAAGAAACAAGATATCATTGACTTTTTACTCCTGGTGTTGCAGGAAGCCATCAACTCCAAAAAAAAATCTTACTTTGCAACAAAATAATCACAACTCGACCCTGTTCCCTGATTTTTCTATTATTATTATTATTACTTTTCCTCTTATCTCCCCAGTCCACCTTTATCTTGTCACCTCTCTGGACTAATTAGTTGCATCTGGTCGATTTCAAATTCCAGTGATATAGCCGCCCAGCATGTCTGGACTCGCTTCAGATGAAGTTGCTGAGGACTACAAAAATTCTCTTGAGGATCTAATGACCAACGACAAGTTCCAAATCAGCAATCTAACTGTTATCGCAAAGGAGAATACCGAGCATGCGATGGCCATATCCAGAGTCCTGGAAAACCACATCCGAACAGTAGGTCAAAGGCTCTCCTTTTCTGTGCTAAATTTTAAGTTGTGCTTTTATGCTTTTGTTCGTCTTTAACCATTCACTTTATAGCATTGGGCTGTAGACTCCTTTTCTTTGCTGAGCATAGTCTAATTGGTTCTGTAGACCCCTCCCGCCCAAAAGTTACCGGCTCTTTATGTAGTGGATTCAGTCGTCAAGAATGTAGGAACCCCCTACACCCTGTTCTTGGGACGCAACCTCTACCAGACGTTCATGAATGCATATACCTTAGTCGACTCCCAGACACGCAAAAAGTTAGATGAAATGTTGAAGACTTGGAAGGAACCTGTTCCAGGCTCGTTGGATCCGAGGCCCGTATTTCCTGTTGAGCTCACACGCAGCATCGAGAATGCTTTGATAAAAGCAAGAACAGCTGCACTTCAGCAGCAACAGGCCCGGCAACATCAAGAGTTTCGCGGCAGAAATCTAGGCGTTGCCACTCCTCCAGTATGGATGCGTACATCAACTCCGCCCCAAAGTGCTGCTCCGTATGCTGCTGGTCAAGCCCAGACTAATGGCCATGTAAGTCACCCGGTTATCCTTGTTGATACATTGATGCTAAATCTTATTAGTCTGATCCTTATAAAGGAAGATATGCCCAGTCTTCACCCCCACAGTACCCACTGAACCATCAGACCTCCTACAGGCAACAGGATACTGTTGATTTAGGGTCCCTGCACCGCGATATCGACAGCCTCATCCTTAGTGCCAGAAATGATTTTGCAAACAAACCCCTTGATGCGTCTGTTCAGCAGCGTCTTAAAGCGCTCTTAGATCTGCAAAGCATTCTTCAACAGCAAGAATTGCCCCAAGAGCAGCTGAAGCTTATTCGAAACCAGGTATCCAAGCTTTCAACTACCGCCCCTACCACATTTTCAATACCTCCTGGCCTACCGATCCCCCCTATCTCAACACCATCTGCTCCGACACCACCCCCAACGCTTACTGGCCATACTCCACAGCCGAACCTCCAAGCTTTATTAAACCCCAGCACACTTGCCGACTTAATAAAAGCTACAGCCAACCCCCAAAATCGAACACCCCCTCCACCGCTGCCACAAACTTATCCTCAAGTCTCTGCTGCAGCGTCGGCTACATCTGCAACTACCGTCAGTGAGAATCCCCTGATTGCTTCACTGAGAGCTCGAGGGTTGCTCCCACTGGTTCCTGGGGCTTCAGTGCAGCAGTCCTCGCCTGGTTTCCCATTCATTCTTCCAGGCCAGAATGGATATACGCCTAGTGCCACGCCCCAGTTGCCTCTCACAGGACAATCTAACATCAAAATCTCCGTGCAAATGACTTCTGCATCCATTAGAGTGTAAGCAATTATCGTTCGCCGCTCTTTAAACCATATACTTATTTATTTTCTAGACCTCGGCCAAATTTGATATTCCGTCTCTATGAAGAAAAGCCTAATAGATGTGGCACTTGCGGTCGTCGATTCGCTGCTAATGATGAGGGCAAGGAGAAAAAGGCCCGGCATTTAGACTGGCATTTCAAAACCAACCAGCGTATGAATGAGGCCTCCAAACGCGGACAAAGCCGCAGTTGGTATGTAGATGAACGGGTAAGCCACCTTCTATTCCCTCTATATTTTCTAAACTTTGCCTCTAATATACATTAGGACTGGATCAAATCCCGCGAGTTTGATGATGATGTTGGCCTAGGCGATGCCACTACAGCGTCTAGTAAACCCATGACCGAAGAGGAAGCTTCCAAGAAAGCACCTCAGCAACGATGGATTCGTGCACCAAACGATGCTGCTCTAAGGAATACCCCATGCCCAATCTGCCAAGAACAGTTTGAGTCCACATGGTCAGAAGAGGCACAGGATTGGATATGGAGAGACGCAGTAAAAGTTGGAAATCGTGTCTATCATGCCAGTTGCTACTCGGAAATTACAAAGAATGGAGCCGTTGCTGGCACTGCCGCTCGTTCAGTGACGCCTGTTGGGCGAACAGGGACGCCTGATTCGGTTTTAGGGAAGCGTAAGGCCGAAGTGAGTAATTTCACCGTTTGAATTTATCGATTCTTATTGATCTGTTTATCTAGGATGATTCTCCAGGATCTAATATTAGAATTAAAACGGAACCGGTGTTTTAACATTGAGCTTTCATATCTTGAGCTCTTCCTTGCATTAGCCATCTCATTATTCGGTGAACACGGTTGTATAGCCTTTTTGCCGGGTCTTTTTATAGCAAATGTGTCAATATATGGGCGGGCATACCAATCATCTTTTTCAGTCAGGCAAAGCATTGCTATGGTTTATTGTCCTCCAGAGGTGTTTATTTACGGCGTTTTGACTTCCAACTACTCATGTGCGAGACTTAAAGAAATATGATTGTCAAAGTTTGAATATATTATTATAAATCCTTTGTATGTCTTAATCACATACTTCCCAACCCGATATACAACCTCCCAAATTCAGTAAAATAAAAGCTGTCTATGTGCCGCGCCGCTCTAGAACCAAGTCGTTCGGTGCATATGGTACATTTCTAAGTTCCCAACAAGGCTCAGCACATATCTGTTGGTCCGGTAGCCAGACTGATACCAACGAGTAATAATCCAAAACCCTCAATGCTCGAAATATCACTTCATACCCACTCTCGTGGATATTTCAGAACATCTATCATTTCTTGCTCTCTCTTCTTATCGGGAGCGTCGACGATCCTTTTCTCTTCGCCTATTCTCGTGCCAGAAACAGGATCCATATACACCCACTCTGCAGTGCGCGGTAGACTCATCAATATGCTCTCCACTCTAGCGTTGGGTGTTTTTAAACCGAAACTCGTACCACGGTCATATACAAGATTGAACTCGACGTAGCGGCCCCGGCGTAACTGTTGCCAGTCTTTCTCGGCTTGTGTGAAGGGCATATCTTTTCTTCGCTCAAGAATAGGGACGTATGATGGCAGGAAGGAGGCAAGGGCGTCAGAGACAAATGAGAAGAGCGTCTCCTGGGCGTTGGTGGAGGAGTGGGCAGAAGAATGGGATAGGAAATCGGTGTCTAGGTCGTCAAAGAAGATGCCGCCAATGCCGCGGGACTCATGTCGGTGAGGGATATAAAAGTATTCGTCACACCATTTTTTGAATTTGGGGTAGTAGGTTGGGTCGTGGTTATCGCAGACGTCTTTGATGGTTTGGTGGAAGTGCTTGCAGTCTTCAGGGAAAAGGTATGAGGGTGTGAGGTCAGTTCCACCGCCGAACCACCAGTTCTTCGGGCCGTGCATTGGGTCCTTGGGATCCGAAGTTTCAAAGTAGCGGTAGTTAAGATGAACTGTTGGTGCCATAGGGTTCTTGGGATGTAACACCAGGGACAGGCCAGAGGCAAAAAAATCCAATGAATCTACATCCGTGCCCACAAACGATTTGTGATCTGCTCGCATCTTTTCAATAGCTGGCCGGGGCAATTTTCCATATACCACAGAGACATTGACGCCGGCTTTTTCAAAGACATTTCCGTCTTGCAAAACACAGGAGATCCCTCCTCCACCATCCGGCCGATTCCAGTCATCAATTGTAAATTGCTTTCCGTCTATTCTCGAAAGTTCATCTACTATTTTTTTCTGGTGATCCTTTATAAGCTTCTCCATGCGCAGGCGCATGGGTGACGATGACGTGATGAAGGTTTCCCGCTTGGTCTTGTCATCTAGGGAGGCGATTGAGGGGGCATCGAGCTCAACCGGCACGGAGGATTTCTATTTGATCGGATGATTAGCAATGGGGTGTCTTAACCTCGAGGGGGATCGAGGGAAGCTCTAACCAAAATTTGTAGTATACCCAGGCTCAAGGCTGCCACAACCGAGATGGCAACTACTGGCCTCCAGTTTTTAGGGCCACCTTGAGGTTCAGGAGGTGAGGTAGCCATCTGGCGGCGTGGAATTCTCACGGGCATAGGACGTGGGCATTTTTGGAAGGTTGAACGCGCCAGCGCTCTGGAGCAGCGGGAGTAGATGCGCGGAGCAGCCATGGTGCGTAAATCGAAGCAGGAAGAAGTGCAATACAGCCGGAGACAGACAGCCGGACCGCTCAGGCTATAAATGCCCCGAAATTGCCGCCATTAGCCAGCAGCCGGAGCTCTGGTTTGTATTCCTGCAAGCCTATTTGGCTTGATAGCTGCGCGGCTCCGGAACGACGGCGGCCGCACGTGACCGGGGGTGGGCAGACTCTTCGGCGCCCGCCGCGTTTCGGCGAATATTCGTGCCCATCGTACGAGAATTGCATCACTTCGACTACAACTGGCTTGTGGCCTCATCCTTCCAGTGGCTGAGAGACGGCAATTACAGCGAAGCTCGCAAACAACCCGGCCAAGTTCACGAGGCCACCCGAGTGCCGGAATGCTGGAGTCATGCGGGCTCCCGCCACTCCCAGGTTCTGGGACGCAGCCCGCAGATTGCCTATTTTACGTCTTCGCCGGAGTTTCTGTTTTTGAATTCTCCACGGCTAAGGACCCTGTCGTACAGGCATGCAAGCGTCAGTCCAATGTCTGCCCCCGAATTTCCAACCATAACATGGCAACCTTAATCGGCGCGCCCAGGACCGTGCTTGGGACAGCGGGGAGTAACTCCGAGGATGCACCGGGCCAATCACTACGCACGTATATCACGCATAGTTCCCTGTAATTATTTCGGGGCCTCGAAATGCACATTTCGTTCTTACTACTGTAAAATCTGAAGATATCTATGGTTGCTCTTGCTGCTGCTCACAGGATTGGCAACGGAAGACAACCCTACTGACGTGTCAAAGCAAACACCCCCCTTGGCCCGCGCTATGGTTGCAAACCACAGACTCTCTTAATATGCCCAGATCCCCTGCATGTAGATGCTTTCCACTCTAGAACTAAAGATCTGTATTCTTTTAAAAACTGTCCGGCATTTAAAAACTCTGGATTTGTTTTGTTGATAATTAAGGATTTTGTATAGGATTTTGTATGCTGCAAGACAACAGGCTTAGTTTTATTTATTAAGAATAATACCTTCGCTCCGTCATCCATATTTATTCCTTGAATACCAACCGAGTCTGGAGTAAGTGCGGAGTACTCCGTACAACAAACATACTACCAGGCAGAACATCTTGTTCAAAAACATGCCTGGGTACTTCTATCCTATAATCATCGAGGAAAAGATATGCTCCTATTTGTCAATGACCTACAGGCACGGAGTACACAGTAGTCGCTCCATACAAAAGCATCACTATCTTGTTGTTAGCTGGCTTCACGAGGTAGCCTCACCTATGACTAAGTAACGAACTTACTAACCAATCTTGGTTAGTGAATTATATATCCTCCGTTATTTTCCGCTTGGCTTCAAATTCGGATCATCTTTATTCCAGTCCGGAGTATTTGCACTGTTTGCTTGCCCTCCCGTTTTGAGTTCATGAGGTCATCGTTTTGGGAGGCGACAAGCGCTCACAAAGTGCGAATGGACCTACAATTGCGCAAGGACCACGCAACTGACTAGAATGGTATAAAACAAGGCGTGGAGACTACTACCAAACCTATGACTCTTCCCTTCCCACGAGCAGTTGCTGCAGGTTGTCACTCGATGGTAAACAGCGTATCACGTGGACGCCTTACGGGTCACGTCATTGGCCACAGAGGCGAATTAGTCATCATATCCTGTCACAGGCTCCCCCCGCTAACCCAGTCCAGCATAGTTCTGCCTCCACCGCCCTCCCGATCGATTACGCGGGGCTGAACTTCTCTTCTACTTTCTATCGACTACCTAGACGGAATCCATCTATCTCCATCTCCCGCATCGATTCTAACAGCTACATTATCCTACAGTCTCTACACAGCAGGTATCAAGACCCACCTAGACAGAGCTGAACTCTTCCTTCCCGTTGTTCCCTTCGCAACGTGATACCTGCGCCTTTAAACCTACGTCAGGCCTCCACCAAGCATAAACCACCATGCGTTCCAAGTTTAAGGACGAGCACCCTTTCGAAAAGCGCAAGGCTGAGGCCGAGCGGATCCGCCAGAAGTACACAGATCGCATTCCTGTACGTTACGGACGCCTCCTCTCCCCTACCCCGTCCTCGCCGCTTCACTGCTGACTTACACTCTTTCCTAGGTAATCTGTGAAAAGGTTGAGAAGTCAGATATTGCTACTATCGACAAGAAGAAGTATCTCGTTCCTGCCGACCTGACCGTAGGCCAGTTTGTCTACGTTATCCGCAAACGTATCAAGCTGTCACCAGAGAAGGCGATTTTCATTTTCGTCGACGAGGTTTTGCCCCCAACTGCCGCCTTAATGAGCAGTATCTATGAAGAGCACAAGGATGATGACGGGTTCTTGTATATCACGTATGTCATGCCTGTTTGTATGGAAATTTAATAGAAGCCCTACTGACTAAGATCTAGATATTCGGGGGAGAATACGTTTGGAAACTAATCTGGATCGCCCAGTTTCAAGTTGGCACTTAGCATCTCGGGAAATAGAATTTGCTTTCTAAGCTTCCTTTGATGCATGGTCTGGAACAGTAATCTCAGCGTATTTTCCATATACTGCCCCATCCCTCGTATTCTCATTTTGGATTCTTTCTCTATGCCACGGTCTTTCTTATATTGGGTAAAATGCATGTGCTTAAGAAATCAGGGTTCTTGCGGTACTCGGTGTTTTAGTCTTACTATGGCGTTTTCTCCCTTTGCTTTTACCCTATTTACCCTCTCTTTTCTAACCTCCTGTCCGTGATACCGTGTGTTACGGGCAGAGGATGATAGCTTTCTTTATCCTTATGCATTTTTTTTCGATGGGGCTGTGATTACTATAAGAATGTCTGATAATGGATGGAGTCTACTTTTGTGGCATTGGTAGTATGTCATCAATGATCTATTATATAAATCACTATTTCTCAACCATTAACAGGGATGTAAGAAAATTATCACTTCCAGGAAGTGTGATGATGTTACATATGTTCTCAGGAAGTCCCTAATACTGATTCTCCAAAAAAGGGGACAGTGAAGAGCCTTAGGGTTGATCTAATTTATGTATGCATGTATGTCATACATACAAAACCCCAAAAAGTACCTCAGCAACAGTACAAGCGCAGGTATCCAATGCATTGTAATCATTGCCAAAGTAACATCCAGCGCACATATAAAAGCATTTGAAAACATTCTCCCTCAAGACCCTAACCATCAAAGTCAACCTTGAAGACAAAGCTCACAGACATTCGGCAATTAAAAAAAAAACAACTAGGAGAGAAGTTACTGAGTTGCACTTACACCGCACTCGATTATAGTCAATCTGCTTACGAAAGCCCCTGAGAGCTCTGAGCAGCTATATCAATGGACTATTTCTGCGACATATGTGGGGTAGTCGACAATATTCAATATGAATATGAACCGTACAAGACGGTGCCCCGTGAACCCGATCATGAAGAGACTGTCGAGATTGTATGTGAAGCTGATCCCCACGTGCACCCAGGTGACGTGGATATTCTTCTAGGCCAAGTAATTACACCTCAAGCTGGAGCCTTCATGAGCACCACTCAAGCAATGGCCGCGATGGAGAATTGGAGCCGGCCTGAAAATTTTCTTCGATCTAACGCGAGAGCGGCTGAGAGGTTATACAGAAAACTCTACTTCGACCAAGATTTTCAACGGCTTCCTGTGAGAATAATTGTTCTTGCCATCTTTAAAATAATGGACAGAATCTTTTTCGCGCAGGCTCTGTGGACGCACGTACGCATTGGCTTGGGAAATAATTTGGGTTCCATAAAGGCACTAGGAGAGACGAAGTGTGGAGTTTACCCCCTCGAAATACAATTATCGAGCAGTGATCTGAACTGCAACCGCAAAATAAAGAGTATTAAAAGACGTGTTGATTTGATAGTCGAGGTTCTGATCCACGAAATGTGCCATGCCTATCTCCCAGTGACAACAGGCAGGCTGGGACATCCAGACATCGATGAGTATGGTGGCAAGATACGTGATGGCCACGGCGTTTACTTCGGGAGCCTAATGGGGTTCTGCCAGAGGATGCTTGACACCGTCGGATGGAGAGTGGATTTGAGTGTGAAAGGTCGCTTTAGAGTCTATCAATTCTCATCTCCTGAGTGGTCATTGAGGGAATTGCAGACAGCAAGGCGAACATCGATTAGAGCATGGTAATGCCATTGTGGACGACGGTGCAATAGCGGCTGAACAATTTGCGGAGCAAAACAGAATCCACCGGTAAGTGCGATAATGTCTTTGATGATGTTGTAATGCATGGGGAAGCACTGGATAAGGATATCCGAGCAATTAAGTAGTTTTCCATTAAACGCCGGTTTCTTTTACCCTCAACCAGTGGTGCATTATTGGGTCCACCTCCTTTTAACCAACTCCAGTACTTCCGAAACCGATGTTGTAGCTATGATAACTCGGCCTTCTCTGCCAATAGAACTTTGAAACCCGTAAATAGCGGCCACCAGTGAGGAAGCCAGAACAGTCTCCCAACGTCTGTCAAGATGTTAAACGAGGGGCTGTTTGGTACCCGCTCACGGCCAGCCACTCCACCATCTCTCCAGTCTCCCCTTTCCCAAACTCAGTACCGACAGAATGTCGCTGGGGTCATTTGGGTGCTTTTCCCGGTGCTCGCGACGAATACGGATAAGAGCCGCTGATGTGCCAATAAACAGCGCGAAGATAGGATCCCCAAGCCTGGGCGCAAAGAGATCAGTACTCCTACCCTGCAGCAGGAAATGAAATGCTATCAGCGGTGAGCGGGGTCCTACCTGGAGATCAAATATGGGTAAGCTGCAGGTGCCATTGCGGAGATGGCCTTCATGTTGTCGTCGCTGTATGTCCAAATTTACCTAACCCACGATGTAACTATATCATGTGACTAACTAGTTAACTAGGGGTGAACTAGTTAGCTAATTAGGCCACCTAAACAGGCGGGTTACCTTGGCAATTCTTGTCTCCACAGGCATCAACTCTCGACTTCGCCCAAAACGGACAAACAAAGCGCAATGGAGTAGTCGCTTGGCTTGATCTTCTTCCTCCTACCAGACTTCTGTTTCACGCGTCTCCTAGGCCTTATTTCCCCCAAGACGCGGTATCAAGCAAGCTTAGCTTTCTTCGATACGACGTTACTTAACTACGGAGTACTCCAATAATTATCTGTTCTACAGAGTACGAAGTATGTGTACGCAGTACGGAGGATATAACTAGATACTAGTTATATCACCATCCGATGAAGATAAAGCTCAACTCTAAAAAGAAACAAGCATGCGCCGTCTCTAGGTTGCATGTTTGAAATGTGCTCGTTTGGTCAACCACTCCATATACCCACTCAACGAAAAATATCTTGTGTGATGACGTGGAAATGCAACGCTCTCTGAGATCTACTTGAACATACTTCCCGTTCTCAACGCGCTATCCTTTATTAATGACACTCTTCCACAAACCCCAAACTTAAGTTGGTATGGGATCATCGAGACCGAAGCTTTCTCGGTCCTGTTACAACAACGCAATGGGGCAACGGTAACTATATCCACTGCTCAGAATGTCTTGGTGATTTTCAAAAAATCTCTCATAGTTCAAAGGCTTAGTTAAAGGGATAGTTATAAGAGCTACTCTGCCCCTAGGTATGTTGGGAGTTATTTCAAACCAAACCGAGATAATGGCAAGCATACTTTCTGCACTCTGTATTATTGCATTTTTTGCGTTCCCAGCCGTCTTGACAGTCGCTGCTCCGGCCCCAGCTCTTAGTTCTCGAATCGTCGGAGGATCACCAGCAGCACCGGGCGAATTCACTGATATTCTCCATATCGGCGGTAATAACGCAACGGATGATGCCATAAGTACATATCACCGTTGTGGCGGCGTATTGCTGAATCAGAACGTTGTTCTCACGGCCGCCCATTGTGTTTCGCTCTATGACGGCACTCCACCGGTTACTGTATGCACCTGTCTCTACTCAAAACAGGTTTGAGATTGATAAATTTTACATCTAGAACCTACCAATTTGGTTTAAGACCGTCCTTATCCGCGGAGGGTCCCTCGTAAGTTGTTCTTTTAATGTCTTGACCACAACTAATTTGTATTAGACTTGGAGATATGGTGGGAAAACCGCCAGGGTTAGGTCTGTTTATGTGCACCCCGGGTTTGTATTCGACAAAGGGCACAATGACATTGCTCTTATCTATTTAAAGACACCTCTACAGGGTCCAAATATTACTTTTGCCAAGCTGCCAAAAAACGGAACCGATCCTCGTCCCAATAAGATAGACGTGGCAGCAGGCTGGTTAGTCAATTCTTCCCGCCCCAAGGCTGGAATCCTATTAATTCGTAAATAGGGGAAGTAGCGTATTTGAAGGAAAGTCGACCGAGTATCTGCAGAAGGTTGGGGTTCCTATTTGGAACCGTTCGAAATGTCGAGACATTTTTACAACAGTTCCCGATTCACCCAACATCACAGACTTCCACGTTTGTGCGGGCATAAAGGAAAAGGCTACATGCTCTGGGGATAGCGGAGGCCCTCTTTATGATGAAAAAACAAAAGCTGTAGTGGGGCTCACGTCGTTCTCATATTATTGCAGCTCCCGCGGACATCCGACCGTATATACCAGGGTCAGCAAGTATATTGATTGGATCCAACAAAATCTAACTCCTCCAAAGGGGCTCTGATGGGAGATTCCAAGCTTTTGGCTAGGTAGAGTGGCCCGTTACTTCCAAACGGGCTTTTCATGAATCATCCGATAGAGTAATTGCCTCTGCTATTTGAAACTCCTGTACTCACATATATAAATTATATGTATTTATATTTAATGCAATTCAGAACTCTACTAATAATAGCAACAAGGAACATGTAGTATGGTAGTTTGCCCCCTCCCAGATAAACTGATAATCAATAGCCGCTATACAAACTCACCAAAAGTGAGCTCGGGAAAATGGAACGCCAGTCGAGGCTCCCTAGTGTACTCTCCGGCCAGGTAAATTTTGCAGGGAAAGCAAATAGGCAATCTTAAAAAAACTCAGTTTCGGGTTTCACAACCGCCTACCTCGGGCCAACCTTTTGTAAGTCACCCTACTTGACCAAAATCATGATGGCCCCTGAGCTAGAAATAAGAGTATGTCGTTCACCGGTCGATACGGAGTGTATTTCGAGGAGGGTTAGGCCTTGGTAGATCTGTGCCCAGCAACACCGCATCATAAACCCCAAGTAGCACTAGCATGGGTGGTAGTTGACTATATCTGTGAGCTGCTGCTGCGATATACTGACCTGTCGCTAGAATTATTCACCAACTTGCCAGGCAAGATGCGAGCAAATTTTGATATGTCTGATTCCTTGGTTCTTCCTGCTTGTCTTTGAGTGCAGGGCATCTGCGAAAACCAAACAATCAGCCTTGAGGATGGGTTCTCGCCTTCGAGGAAGGTATTATCCACTGTTGCCGATAAAGCCGCAGTAATCGTGGGATAGAGACAAGGCCAAAGAGACATAGTCCTGGTATATGAAGTACATAACGCTTAAAACTCCTCATCAAAGACCTACCGTTCGTTAGATATAGCTAATTATTTGCCAAGGCCTGAATTTAAAAATAGATAGCATTGAGTGGCCCATGGGGGGGGGGGTATCAGACGTGTGTATCTATTATCAGTTATGTGGAGTATATTTGGCTATTTTTGATCTCATATCAGTGCTGTGTACAGGGTGTGAGGTAATGTACTCCTTATGGGTGAAGGGTTATGCTGGGTAGCGGCCGTTAAGCTTCGTAGGAGATATTCGTACCCTTATTTTCTGTATATAGGCTGTAGCTATCGGATAGAATTTGCCTATGCTCTCTTTTTAACCAATACGAGAAGAAAGACTGAGTGGCCGAAGGTAGGTGGGTAAGAAGTCATGAATGTATATGTTTAAAACTTTGATTCGTTGCAAAGTGTCGCAAAAAGACGAATATTGTTGTAGTAGCCGGGAAAGGTTAAAAGAAAAAAAATGAACTCCTTACCAAATATATTTTCAAGAAGACGGGAGTTAGGCGAAGCCCGGGACGCAGTCCTGCATTGTGCACTGTAAGGCATGGTGTTAGGTAGTATTCAGAGCGGCCTCAAGTTTCCTGTTGTTGATTCGGGAAAGAAACTCGATGGCGCTTCTTGGCTGGTTGACGAAACCGATATCAAAGCTTGGAACCATTTGACATAGCACTGGGCCCTGTCATATTGAGAGGCCGTGTCTCGTAAAAGGAATGAAAGAGGTCGGCTTTACCTCAAGGCAGAGAAAATCACATTTTTTCGACTTCGCCATTCACAAGGGTCATTGTAATAGACTGGCCACACCGGATAGTGTAGAAGTGAATGGTAACTACATACACCATGGACAGGCGGTGACCATAGTTCCATCACTCTGTAGCACTCACGCCTGTTTTTAAAGAAACAAAACGGCTCAACAATAAGGTTTAATTAGGTAGGTACCTAGTTAACCTTCGATTTAAAGCAGCTAGGGAATGGACCTGTATTCATTTGCTTTTTCTCGAGTTTTTCGCATCGGGCTGAACTTGTCCAGGCTGGCTGCAGCCCGTCAGAGCACCCACGTTGCCTACCGGCGAACGCCTCAAACAAGCTTATTTTCTCCTTGTCAGCCGCCTGTCGCTTACCACAAATATGCGCTTCACGCACACATTGCCAATTGGCTACTGGCATTTCAAGGCGAACTCAGGAGAACAAAACGCTATTCCAGACTATTCCTGTCGGGAATGGTGGAAGGTGCAAGGTAGTCCACACCCATGCCTTGCTGTGTTGAATTCTAGGAGCGAGACAACGAGTAGGAATTTTGCATATAATTAAATTGAGCAAAGCTGCGTCAGCTTGTCTGGACCCTTTGGATTGTAACTAGGGCTGCTGTGGGCGTCGTGAGCTTGTTTGACCAAGGCAGACACCTCGTATTGGATTCGAACATCAACGGATGGCCTGAGAGAATATTCGAGATACGAAGACCGCAGGCTTAAAAGATGTCTGCTTACTGGCTGTTCCTGAATTATTTGTTTTTTTGATGTACCATCGCTTAGGGGCATAGTCTGTGTGAGCTGAAAGGATGTGAAGATAGATATAAGAAGGATTCGGGTCATCGGGTCTCCCATGAAAGGCTTCCGTCCTGGTGTCTTTTCCGCGTGCAGCCTCTCGCTTCAAGTCTGTGCAAAAAGATTCTCCCGGTCCTTGATAGCCTAGTTACCCAGTAGAAGGGCGTGCTCTTGATTGAAACATGTTGTTCAAGGCTTCGCTTCTTCTTGTCGGCACTCTCGCCGTTGCCTCCCAGGCGCTCGAGTTCGTCGCAGCCACCCATGAATCAAACGATAACACCCCCATTTTGAAGCGCCAGACGCAAATCTGCAAGGCGGTCGCTCCCCCAGTCACTTGCGAGCGGTCCTGTGGCATCGGATACGCCCAGTGTGTGTACCCGAACATGTGCTACAACCCCGGTCAAGGCGAATCATGCTGCTCCAATGGAAGTAAGTAGACCACAATGAAAGCTCCAGCGAGGTGTAAAAAAGGTCAGCCAGCTAACAGGGCCTGCAACAGAGTACTGCCGGGCTGGCACGTACTGCACAGACACCGGGTGTTGCCCGAATGGCTCGACGCTTGAGCAATGCGGTGCCACTCGCAGGCTCAGCGTTATCCCGCCACCACAGGCCCAGGTCAGCACCCCGGCCTCTTCGCCCGCGCCGTCTACCAACTCGACGAGGCCTGCGTCCACATCCACGGCTTCCTCGCGTGCCATCATCCCCACCGGCACCGGTAGCCCAAGCACTCCCGGCAGAAACACGACTGTGACGACTGCTGCTCCGCCTCAGCAGACGAAGAATGCCGCCAGCCAGCTGCAGAGCGCCGCCATGGCTCTTGGCCTTGGGGTTATGGGTGCTCTCGCTGCCTTAATGTAAGCGAGTAGAAAGAGGGTGGATATGTTTGGGTAGTTCTGTAACATCTAGTAATAGGTTAATTAATCACTAATCGAGCGGTGCTGGGATTGGAATGTATGCTAGACGGGTTTCCATAGTGTACTGTAGCAATGATTGACCCTAATTTATTTATGCAAATGCGTGTTGTTGACCATCCGATCTCGCTAGAAGTCTGCTGACTCAGCGTCGCTTGTGGTGCCCCGCGATGAAGCCGCCATCTCGCCCTCCAGCAGCGTCACGGAGCTTGCTAGCGACAGCGAAGAGCTCAGTGTAGCCGGTGCAAGTGAGTTTGCCACATGCTCCCAGGCTAGCCATGCTTTCTGTGGCCTGACATGCGCGAGTCTCTCTCTCCGCCCGGCCAGAAGAGTTTTCGGCGGGCATCCCACCCGATTACGTCACAGCTGCCCACACGCAACCCGCCCGCCTACCCGCCATGAGTGCGCCAGAACAGCCGTGGAGCGACTCGCAGGGGGCATTGGGAATATGTAGACGGTCAGCTAGCCTGTAGAGACTGTCGCGCAATGCCAGAGGCCGCCTGCGTGCGCCAGAACGTTCGCGTGGGCGCTGGGCAGGCGATGGAAGGTCGTGGATGCCCGTCGAACCGCAGGGTTGCTAGAAGCTTCTGGCGCCAAAACCTCGACTGCCCACATATAAGCATCTTCTTCGCTTCGGCTTCCACCCAACTTGCAAAATTCTCCCAACCCATCCACTCTTCTTCTCTTCCTCTGTGACCATCTCTCTCCTCCCTTCTCCCCCATAGATCAACTGTTTTTTCATTCCTAAACTTCTCTTGTACCATATTCCCTGCATTTTTTCTTCACAATGGCTCCAGCTATCGGTAAGTGGCTGCTTTTCCCCCGCTCTTGAGCTTCCTCTCCTTGAGTCACCCTAGCTAATATATTTTCAGGTATCGATCTGGGCACGACATACTCCTGCGTGGGTATCTTTCGTGATGACCGCATTGAAATTATCGCCAACGACCAGGGTAACCGTACTACGCCCTCTTTCGTGGCTTTCACAGATACCGAGCGCTTGATCGGTGATGCCGCAAAGAACCAAGTGGCCATGAACCCCACAAACACTGTTTTCGATGCAAAACGTCTTATCGGCCGCAAATTCAACGATGCTGAAGTCCAGGCTGATATGAAGCACTTCCCCTTCAAGATCATCGACAAAGCCGGCAAACCCGTCATCCAGGTCGAGTTCAAGGGCGAGGAGAAGCAATTCACTCCCGAAGAAATCTCGTCGATGGTCTTGACCAAGATGCGTGAAACTGCCGAAGCCTACCTTGGCGGCACTGTCAACAATGCTGTCGTTACCGTCCCTGCTTACTTCAATGACTCTCAGCGTCAGGCCACCAAGGATGCTGGTCTGATTGCCGGCCTTAACGTTCTTCGAATCATCAACGAGCCTACTGCCGCTGCTATTGCGTACGGCTTGGACAAGAAAGCTGAGGGCGAACGCAATGTCCTTATCTTTGATTTGGGTGGTGGTACTTTCGATGTTTCTCTTTTGACCATCGAGGAGGGTATCTTTGAAGTCAAATCTACTGCTGGTGACACTCACTTGGGTGGTGAAGATTTCGACAACCGTCTTGTCAACCACTTTGTCAACGAATTCAAGCGTAAGCACAAGAAGGATCTGTCCTCCAATGCTCGCGCCCTTCGCCGCCTCCGCACTGCTTGCGAACGTGCCAAGCGCACTCTCTCGTCTGCTGCCCAGACTTCTATTGAAATCGACTCTCTCTACGAGGGTGTTGACTTCTACACTTCCATCACTCGTGCCCGTTTCGAGGAACTTTGCCAGGATCTCTTCCGTTCCACCATGGAGCCTGTTGAGCGTGTCCTCCGTGACGCTAAAATCGATAAATCTTCCGTCCACGAAATCGTCTTGGTCGGTGGTTCTACCCGTATCCCCAAGATCCAGAAGATGGTCTCCGACTTCTTCAATGGCAAGGAGCCCAACAAGTCTATCAACCCTGACGAGGCCGTTGCCTACGGTGCTGCTGTCCAGGCTGCTATCTTGTCTGGCGATACTTCCTCCAAGTCTACCAACGAAATCTTGCTTCTCGACGTTGCTCCTCTTTCCTTGGGCATCGAGACTGCTGGTGGCGTCATGACTCCTCTCATCAAGCGCAACACTACTATCCCAACCAAGAAGTCCGAGACTTTCTCTACTTTCTCCGACAACCAGCCTGGTGTCTTGATCCAGGTCTACGAAGGTGAACGTGCTCGCACCAAGGACAACAACTTGCTCGGTAAATTCGAACTTACTGGCATTCCTCCTGCTCCCCGTGGTGTTCCTCAGATCGAAGTCACTTTCGATGTTGACGCCAATGGTATCATGAACGTCTCTGCTCTTGAGAAGGGCACTGGCAAGACCAACAAGATTGTTATCACCAACGACAAGGGTCGTCTTTCCAAGGAAGAGATTGAACGCATGTTGGCTGAAGCTGAAAAATACAAGGCTGAAGATGAGGCCGAAGCTTCTCGCATTGGCGCCAAGAACGGTCTCGAATCTTATGCCTACTCTCTCCGCAACACCATGAGCGACTCCAAGGTCGATGAGAAACTTGATGCTGCCGACAAAGAAACCTTGAAGACTGAGGTCGACAAGGTCGTTGCCTGGCTCGATGACAACCAGACTGCTACTAAGGAAGAATACGAAGAGAAGCAGAAGGAACTCGAGGGGTATGTATTCTTAATACTTCCATCATTCAACTCAAAACATAAGCTAACTGATTTGTTATAGTGTTGCCAACCCCATCATGATGAAATTCTACGGAGCTGGCGGTGAAGGCGGTGCTCCCGGTGCCGGCTTCCCACCTGGTGCTGGTGGCCCTGGAGGCTTCCCTGGCGGTGCTGCTCCTCGTGGCCACGGCGGTGATGACGGCCCAACCGTTGAGGAAGTCGACTAAATTTGACGCCTCTTTTCTATGTTTCCGACCGCTCTTCATATCCGGCGCTTAAAATTATGATGTCTCAATGTCTTTCCTTGGGTGCGGGTTCTGCTCTTTGTTTCAATGGTTTCCTAAAGGGTTGCGATGGGTATGAGATACGGTGTGCTCTTTTTTTTTTAATTTCACACGATGCATAGATTTGGGTTAGGCCGCGGCCAATTCGAATTCTCTTAATCATGCTCTCTGAAACAACAAATGAAAATTTCTTACATGGTTCTGTAGGCAGGAAAAGTTTCTGATAATGATGAATGGAGCTGCTTTTCAATGCTTAACTTTTTTCCACTCTCAAATCCCTTCGTAGAACGTGTAATTCTCCAAAATTTCTATCTCGCCGACTGTGTAAGACTCGATATTATCGTTCCTAGCAATGATTTGCAGAAAACAGACCAGGTTGCTTGTACAGGGGCTCTCATGCTTTCTCACTAGAGCCGCCGTGATAGCATCTTCGAGCATCACCACTTCACTGCCATTCAAGGGAATATGCCATGTTACCATCCCTAACAGTCGTTGCCCATCAATGTGATTTATCACAGCCCAGCACGTGATGTCTGTTCACGTGCCCAGCAGCGAAGGTTCGCGCAAAAGAACATCCATCGCGATTCTGTTTCTCTCCCTCCACTCTCACACTCTTCCAAACCACTGCCTCCCCACACTCTCTCATACCTATTGAGCTTGTTTTGTTGCGTCGCAAGTCATTTGTGATATCCAATTCTTTCTTTTTTTAATCTAATTATCTCTACAAGATGAGTACTGAGAACGAGAATCCCGCCCAGCTGGAGCACGCCGGCTCTGCCGCTCCTGATGTTACTGCTACCGCCAGCAAGGGCAAGGGGAAGGCAAAGGCTGTGGAGCCAGAGGATGCGTTCATGGGCCAGGAGGCTGAGGATACTGATTCTGAGGAGAGTGAGGCTGGAGATGATGAGGTTGTGAGTTGTTGTTTATTTACAATTGCTGAAACACCTTTTTGTTTGTTTTGATGATATAATAGTTTGACTGACATGTCTTTTTTTCATAACATAGCTTGTTGAAGGTATGGAGACACATTCCAATTATTCCAGGGCCATTTTTTCCATCGCTCCTCCATCCACTTGTCCCCTTCCTCCCCATCTTGCGCTCTTATCCAGACCCTATCGCCGTATTGGGCCAATGCTCACGCGCATTCTCTAGATGACATCGACGAAGAAGAGGATCATGATGATGATAAGCTCGAGCCAATCTCCGCCAGCAACATCATCGAAGGCGGTCGTCGCACTCGTGGCAAGAAGATTGACTACGCCCAAGCTGCTGCGAAGGCTGATGAGGACGAGACCATGGAGGACGACGACGACGAAGATTACTATGCCCCGCCACGCGAGGACGCTGAGGAAATGAGATCTTAGGTAATACCGCCCGCAATTTCCATCGTCCACCGAAAGAATCGGCACGGTATTTACGACTTCGAATGCCTACAAAATGTATCTCTTTTACCTTTGATTTTTACTTTTTAATTCTCTCCATGTCTTTTTTTATTTTGGCTGGTTTTCATTTCAACCTATTATTCCCCTAGAGCGGTTTCTAGCGCGGATGGCAATGGTGTTCATGCATGACGGAGGCGTGGACTAGGGCAAGTTTACGGGTGGTAAGGAATGGAAAATGCAGCCAGTTGGCTTTCTGGCTTCAATGAGAGCTCGATGTTTTCTTAAAACAACGGCACAGCGCTTTAGAAAATGTCACATTATGGGTTATTCATGAAGATACTGCTATTTACATCCACCTTTTCGGCTCAGCTCCAATACCAATTTTGCCTATTCGTATTCCCATTACTTGAATTTGCGGACTACCCGCGCCACGCGCCCTTTAATGGCGGCCGTGCTGGTCACCGATCTGGAATCTGTTCCCCGAAATCAAACCTGAAGATGTCGAAGAGGTAATTCAATTTAGAACGAGAGGAACCGTTGATTCGTGCTTCTCTTACTGTACTTTCATCTCCACCGCCTGCGGAAAATTAAATTTCATCGCGACTAAGGCCACTCTCTAAAAGCGCATTTCCTAGAGCCTAAATAAAAGAAACAGAATCCTTAATCATGAAGTTACGGGCGTGACGAGGTCAGTGAGCGAAATGATATTTCTTGCTACCTACAGAGCATGGAGTAAAAGATAACGCATCTTCCGAGGCTTATGCCAAGGGATCTATCACTAAGATAGAAAAGAGAGGCCCTGTAGACGACTTCCACAATAGTTACGTAAAGGAGTAGTTTTTGAAAGCAATGTGTATGGAAGTGATCCGTTGTAGGAGACGGGTCAGTCCCGGGGGCGAGATACAAGGCCAAAGCGAGAATATCTCCCAGTTTCAAGTGTGATTTCAGTCAGCGCGCGTGAAAACTGAAGGTCTTTGTGAGTAATGAAGACAAAGTTGATCTGGTGAATGGACAAAGGGTATCAAATGTAATATTCAGTGAAAATATGGAATAGTGTAGTTGTTTTTAGCAGTATGGTAGAACTGTAGCTGGTGTGATCGCGGGTATAAGACTCTATCTAGCCTTGATATTTGCACTTTATCACCCAACTAAACAGCCGGAAAAAGAAACTATACCTCTACAAATTTCAGAAAACTTGTCATATCAACCCTGAAGACAGAATACCACGGCTTTTGCCCTGCATCTCCCAGCAAAAACCTGGTTCTTACACCTGCCCGCATTTCGGCTAGATGACGATGTGTGGAAAAAATAGAAGGGAAAAACATCCCATTGGGTAAAGGCGACGTACTATTCAAGTGTAAGGAGAGTTGACATTGGATCCCATGCTGGGTAAGCTTGGAGCCGGATTTGCCCCCTTTCGTCCTTATTTTCAGCCCGGGTATAAGCATACCATTCTTTCCACCCTACGCATGAAAATAGAATATGCATACCATGCAACTTTTGGTTCTGCAGCACCGGCAATGTCTGGATAAAAGTTGACTGGTAATAAAACTGCAGTGCCTTGACCTCCTTCCTCTGAAGTGAATAGTCTAAGACCTGGATACTGCCCCAGGACTCGTCGCCACCCCAGGTAAGCTTTCTGTTGTCATTTTGTGTCCAGTACACATCATCAGGTCTCAGGTTAAAGGAGTGGGTCTTTTTCAACTTGAGAATCATACCGACCATGACTTCATAGCAGGGGGTTCCTGGTGGTATTTTCCCGTGTTCTTTAACTTCCATAATCCTGCTGGTTTCCTTTTTGGTCTTGACTCCTCCTTCGACCTTCGCCTCGGCTGCAACTTGAACGCCAAAGTAGCTGGCACTGGCAGACATAGAAAGAGATGCACTTGCTTCGGCCCAAAGCTCGGTTTGCTGGGTTTCGGACTCCGTTATCGTGATTTCCTTCTCGAGCATGCTTGCTGGGAATTGTTTTATGAGATGGACGCAAGGGACCCATTCAATGGGCTCGTAAACTGCGATACCTCCATTGAGACGCCAGTACTGGTTTTGTTCTTTGTTTCCATACTCCATCTCGTTCGTGATTATGTATTTTGGCAGAGATAATTTTGAACGTTTGTCGATCGAGAACCATTTATCCAACTGCGCTTTGCTGAGGGAAAAATTGCCACGTTGGTCCTCATAGTTGACGGGGACATGGGTACGTGCAACGTCGTCGTCATCGTAGTAAAACTGTTTCTTGTGAGAATCCCACTTGATGTCGTTGAAGGAAACCATTTTTATGCCGAGAAAACTGTGGTGACTGGTATCGGAATAATGTTGGGGGATAGAGGAGATAGTGTATTCTAGTGAATAAGAATATTGACACGCAAAGCAGAGGATTGCCAGAAAGCCTACGTGACAAATGGGTAGTTTGACTGATTTTATAGCTCATCGAGGTGCTGGAAACAGTCCACATATTTATAGGCAACCGGCAGCCTTAAGAAGGTGGTAAGGCAACCTTCCTGCGGCGATTAACATTGGAATTGCTGAAATTGGGTTAAAGGCTGTGCTACAAGAAAACAGGGAAATGTCGTATGGACAGAGTGATGCATATTGCCTCATCCAGGTCAGGATAGTGGCGTAGCTGACATTGTTTAAACTCGGAATTTGATCTGAAATGAGGGCTATGCAGTTGGCCTTATTCATGGGAGTATATCTGTGACTGTGTCAAGCTTTCTAGCCTGTTCATGAGGTTCACAGGCCCATTGCAGGGGGACATTATCCACAGTGTATGTTATGATGTTATAACTTGTCTCTGTGAAATAGTGTTAGACTTCATGTTACACAAGGTCACACCTTGCCTTCAGCTCAGTGTTACCTGCAACAATATAGGGTACAGCAGATAATTATAGCAACCCACTTTCAGCTCATGTCCATGTATTCAGACAGTCAAGCCTAGTCTGCAGCCATGCAGCAAAATCATAGGACATTTCATCTGCAGCTTGTGTTTTGCGGGTGAAAAGTTAAAAAGCCTAGTTAAGCGAATTTGTACTTACTACTGTTGTACCCTTTTCTCGCTGACTTGAGAATATCATATCAGATACTCTGTTTTCTAGACAGATTTGAGTGTAAAGAGCTGTACTCTTCCATCACATAAAGAAATCCAACCAATCAAGAGAGACATGACTGCATAGGGCAAAACCCTATAAAACATCAATCCGGATCTGCCACTGCAACAGTTAAATGACTATGAATTAAGCTCCATTTCCATTAGAGCACCCATGACATACAGTATAATACCGGCCCCTAGCCAGTTCAGCTGACTTGGTTCGATGACCCCATTGCTTCTATCATGGATTTTCCGAAGGCGGCGAGATTCTTGATCGCCTCTTCTGTCATGTTGGCTGATTTCTAGTACTTGGAAAGAAACCTTGCTGGTGTATTCGAAAGGCGTCGAAAATTATATAAAACTTCCACCGATCACCCCACAAGGATGTTTATTAAAATCTCGCTTAGGGGGCCACCTGCGGCGCTTCCAATTCCACGGCAAGCGGAGAGCATACAAATTATCATCCCTGTGCCACCGCCGCTATCAGGTCCATCGGTGGGTACCTCCTTGAGAATTCCAGTGTACGTGGCGGTGTTCCCAGGGTTGTATCAGAGAAGAGTGTCCTATACACCTTCTTTTTTGAGAGTGAAAGTTTGGACTCTCTCTCTCTCTGTGTAGCAGAGACTGGTGTATTATAGGGGGTGTAAATGCATTAGCTTATAGGTATAAAGGATATATTTTGACGGGCATTTGGTGATTTCACTTAGTACCTGGGGTCATATTTCGGAAATCCTCTAGCAGATAGGTCTGCGACTGGTACAACCGCGGAAGAAAGCGAATTCGCCTCCCCATTCCGACCATAACCCTGGGGAGTGGTGAACCGAGGCATGTCGCACAGTTATGGCCGGTCGTTGTCCTGTAGAAAAAACAGCAGCTTCAGCAACTTAACAAGCTGCAGATACAGCGAGTGCATTGGCTCACGAGCGATGTGGTCGCACTTACCATATCCCGTCCGCTGTCGATCCCATCAGCGGGCGCTTGCCAGACACGGCTCCACCGCCCTGGGTGTGCCTGCTGCTTGAATAAGCATTGCCGTGGCACTGTAGCTCACGAGCATATCGACTGCCCAGGCATTCAAATACCTGAAACTAAGTTTCCACGCCAGTCGATATGCCCATGAGCTACAGAGAATGTCCAAATATGTGTGAGGATATTGTAGCTGCTAATTCTGTAGTTTATTTTGATTTGGTGGATTTCTAAACAATCCAGAAACATAGGGTAAGATAGGGATCAGAGAGTTTGAACTTGCAAGTTGAGTTTTTATAAGAGGAGGCCATGTACTCCGCGTGAGTACACAAGTGATAGTGAAGGCAGCAAGAGTAACCGTGGACCCGTACCAGCATTCACTTCTGTGCTGTTCAAATGAGGTCAATCTAACAGGTTGGGTCTCATAATCCATCATGCATTGTTTCCCAATGCCGATAAGTTGTGACGGGACCCTCGGGTGCCTAGAGAGTCGAGTGGCAGCCCTGCAGCCAGAATATGCCTCAGTGGTGAAGGGTTCGACGACGATCACCACGCCGAGTAACATCTCACTTCACTAGCCAGGGCTGCCGGGATAACTGAGTTCCGCAAATGCTAAAAATCTCACTTCTCAAGACAGCGGGATTTCGCGCAAGTGAAAGGTTGCAGTTCCGCCCAGAACCGCCATGCAGGGGTTGGGCACTCCGATTACTGAACAACCAGCTGGAGGCGTCGGGGATTACGGAGCGCCTGAGTTTTCTGTATTACTATTCACGCTTTAGCTTGTCAACGCACGAGCTATCCCGCCTCGTATTCTAGGATAGATGCTCTAATTCAAGCTGCCTCATGCATGGGAATGGCAGGCTTGCCGGGCCAGCTAAATCAAATTTACCTTTTGGTAGAGCGAATTTTCTGACTGTCATGACTGGAGAGGACTGATTATTGAACATCATATAGCAGCTGCTTGGAATGGGTGTCGGATCCATGAATGCGACAGGCTGCAGGATAGTTGCGGTGGTCTGACGGTCCAACAAGGTAGAAGAGAAATGGATATAAAAAGAGCGGTTGTGCTTCTGTCACGTAGAGGTTCAATCGATACCTACTAGCTCTAGAGCAAATATCTACTATCGGCAAATAAAACTTCAAAGTACATACCTTTCTGCGCCCTCACACCTCCCACAACCAAACCAACACGATGTCGTCTCCAAGAGTGGTCTATATCAACCTTCCCAGCAAAGACATCGACGCCTCCAAACGCTTCGCATCCGCGCTCGGCCTGATCAAAAAATTCGATGGCGGCCGTGACGGTATGAGATCCGCTAGCTTCGCCTACTCCGATTCTGTCCATATATTCTACCACTCCCACGAAACCTGGGAGCGATGGCTATTCCAGGGTCGCAAAACCGCGGACGCACATCAAGTCACGCAGTCACTGATCAGCCTAGGCGCTGAATCCCCAGAGGAAGTGGAGAGTTTGGTAGGGAAGGCCATTGGGGCGGGCGGGAAGAGGGGGCCGAGGATGGTGCCGGAAGAAGAGAAGTGGGGAATGTACTCGCGCACAGTGGAGGATCCGGACGGGCACGTATATGAGATTGTCTATTCGAGCCACCAGGGAGATTGTGGAGTATAGCTGGGGGCCTGGGAAGCCGTGTGTTCTAGTTAGTCTGCATCTTGTGTAAGGATTTTGTCTCATTCAAAACGAGATTGTACGATTTCGGCCTTTTCTCTCAGAGCTTGAGCTCTAGGGAGTTAGACGGATGCTGTTTTGACCAGTCTGCTTAAAAAGCCTGGAAGTTTGTCGTTGTTCTTGCAATCGATCACTCTGGTACGCCAGGTTCTATGGCTCTAACTATTAGGTACCTACTTATCTGGAGCTAATCCATACCGGGACTAGCGTGTTTATATATAGAGTTTCCATACCGCTGACTCAGCCAGCCACTCACGATCTTCCGAATCATTTTGTTTTCTATGATTTAAAGAATTGATTCCATTATGATAACCACATTGTTCCTATTGTCCTGCTAAATGGCATCAAGGTGAGCCTTACTAACAGATATGATACAACTACGTATACGGGTAGCTAAACTTTTACGGCTCAGATTTCCTCATTCGACGCTGCATCAGCGAGACCCCAGATCTTCATCCAGTTTGTTTGATTCCTACAGCGGAGGCAAGGAGCGAAATCGACCTGGAAACAAATCTCCCGCATATGCCGGCGGTGGCTATGGCTTAGCGGGATCTTCAAGCGGGGATATAAACGGAAGTTTTCGCAGCGCCACGCCGAACAAGAGGTATGGCATCGCATTGTTCTCGGTCGCGTGATCTTTTTTGATATTGAAAGACGTGATCTGACAATCTTGCCTTAGTGGTCAATATTCTGATGCAGTGTTATCATCTCTAGAGTCTCAAAATGACGCCGAAGTGGAGGGCATTACAGCGAAGGTTAAAATGTTGAAAGATGTAAAGTCTCTCCCACCGCTGTCTTGCCCCTCAATTTCACGCATAGGATAACCACTGACAAGCACCAAGATTACTCTGGCAATTGGCGATGAGATCCGCGACTCTTCTGCCCTCGCAGATAAGATGAATGAATCATTCGACAATACCCGCGTCCGCCTCCGGGGCACCATGAACAGAATGTTACGAATGGCAGAACGCACTGGTGTCGGATGGAAAGTCTGGCTCGGCTTTTTCTTCGCCGTCTTCATGCTTTTCGCTTACGTCTGGCTGTTTTGAATGATTGACAACGCAGCTACTCTCGCGATACCTTAACTTGATTCATATGCAGCGACATACATTTTGCGTTCCTTGGGCCTTATCGACACCATACCCACACCCTTGTCGATTTTACTGGAGTTATATTGTTGGCATGAGAAAAGAAACGAAAGAGCAACTAGCATCATCAAATTCGGTGCTACAGTAATATTTCACGCAAGCCATGTGTAATTTTTGGGCAAATGGCGTTACTCTATATGTTTGTTTTGAGCATACGATAACCCCTGGGACCTCCTGGTGAGTCCTGGGTACGGATGGCGTTGTTTTCCTTTTGCTCTAGCCAAATTTGTGTCCATAACTTTGTGATTAAAAGCTTCAACTTTTAATATACGCGGTTTATAGAAGCGGCGCCTTCCTTTGAGAGGTATCTGAGTCTGCGATGAAACTTCTAGCGCAGTGTCTTAATTTCTAATAAAAGGTACATCGTGCTGATATCTAGCCAAGATGTTCAAGGGCGAAGCACAGCTCTATCGTAGCGATAGTTTCGTTGGAGTGACGAATATTAAACAGACAAAGCGGCGTTTCAGAGACCGTAGTTGAATGGAGCTCATTACTCAATGCTACCATTAGAATCATCGGACATCATCGACCGCCGTGTTCGCGTCCGAACCCTGGGAATCCGCAAGCTTCGCTCAGACATGCCACTCGCTCGAAAAGCTGCCATAGAATCCTCGACATCGTCGCCAACTCCCCCGCTCCACCTGTCAAGGAACAGTCTTTGGGCTTCTGTTTCTCTATGACGAATGAGAGGCGGCGGCAGGTGAGGTGAATTCTCGACGCGGCCAGGGATACTTGACCTTATTCGATGGGAGTATCCTGAGAACTGTGGGTCGATAGCGTCGTAGGATGCTTCGTCAGAGTAGTTTTCCTCGTCTTCATCTGCATCTGTATCTGTGTGCTCCCATTCTTGCTGCAGATTGTGATCATCTTCATCATCGTCGTCGCCAATGTCATTTTCCTCGTCAGGGATATCCGCATCTAGATCCCGTTCCATCATGCTATCATCGACGTCTTCGTGTATTGAAGCTGATGGTATGTCGTCGTCTAGATCAGGATGTTCATCAAAGTCGTCTTCTTCATCTAGGTCATCTTCCTCAGGGCCAAAACCATCCGGGACATCATCATCCAGGTCCCTTTCCATTAATGCCTCCTCGTCATCGTCAATAAGATCATCCTCATCTAGACCTTCTTCCCCATCTTCCACTAGCCCACCGGTCGTCTCGTCAGCATCCGGAATATCGTCGTCTAAATCCCTCTCCATGGCCGCTAGTGCCTCTGGATCCTCAGTATCCCCCGCGGTCGCGCCATCTAGTCCCGTTCCCGCAGTAAATTCCGCTTCGCCTTCTGTAGCCGCATTCGCTGCCTCTTCCCTTTCAGCCTCCTCCTCCCGAATTCCTTGCATTGTCTTGGGATACCCGGCGGGCCGAATCCATGAGTAGCCAAAAGATGCAATATTTTGTTTGCGAATACGAAACGCCCGCTCTTCAAGCGCTAGAGCGGCAAGGGAGTCTGAAGATGGCGGTAAATTCGGTGTTCTATATTGGTCAGACCTGCGATTGTGGCCATGTGGACGGTGTCCATGGCTGTTGTACTGAGAGTTCCCGCGGCGGAATCGTTGGGATGGAGCGTACCAAAAGGCATGAGGCTACAAGAGTCAGCAATTTTTCTACAGACTCAAGATCCAAGCTAATAGCTCTGGAATGTATCTTCTTCGGTTACTCACATCTCGCGGCTCAAGAGATGGTAGTGAGAACATTAGCAGATAGATAAAATGCAACAATGGATAGTGATGGTCTAAAGGAGCAATTTATCAAGGTAGTAAAAAAGGCCAGTTATAAAATCTAGTGTCTCCAAAGTGGCTTTAGGGAGCTTGATCAGTCGCACCGCTTGGGCAGTTTTTGTGTTTGGAGTTGTTATTCCGGCACCTTGTCGCTATTTTTAAGCTTCTGGGGCCTGGAACCATGACAGCTAGGCACCGGTCTTGTTTAGAGTTGACACTCTGTACCCCGTATGGCAGGGACAAAACCAATATAAAACGAACTGAGCTATTGTGTCCAATAAGCTAGCTGGAGCATGATTAGTATAAGATTAATATTACATTGTCTACTTTTCCCGATGCCTCGAGACAGGTTCGAGCTTCAGTGCGCAATGTAGTTAAATGTGCAAAAGAAAAGCCTGGCAGATTCAACTGAAAGTTATCGAGAGGAAGCAGAAACATCTAGATACATAAATAATCATGAGAAGAGAGAATCCATTGCATAGTCATTGTTTTGAACAGCCTGTCATCGAAATTTGCAAAAAGGGAAGAAAAAATTCGACAAAACATTTAGCCAGCCTCTGAAATTTAACACTGAAAAAATGTCATTGAAAAACCCATAGAAATTAGCCGTTAGCAAATCACCGACACCATTTGTATTCGAATCGATGCTTATACACGCCGGCAGACAACCATGTTGAGGCGGTTCGTAACGCAGACTGTATTGTCTGGGCACACCACTCCGGTTTTGCAGCACGTAAACCACAGCTTATTGAAACAGGAAACCCCATCGCAAAGCCAGGGGCGCTCGGGGGGACAGCCCTCGCGCTTTTGAAGGCCCCGCGCGTGTGTTCGGTTAGTATTCATGTTGTCATCGCTGGGCGGTGAGATGGCAGGAAAAACGGAGCTCGGGTCGAATTTGAATTCGGTATTCAAAGCGCGGGCAGCGTTCTTAGGTTGCTCGGGAGGGTGTAGAGTGTTGACGACTTCGCCAGGCGCCAATGTAAATTTTTCGAGTTTTGATTCAGTACTAGTCTCGAAGGACGCCTGGGACAATGCAACTATGGCATGCAAAAATATGAGGATTAAGGCGGTAGCCTTCATATTGTTGGCAAATTAGGTATTAATATCAATGACAGAGCAAATAAAGGCGGCTGAAGGGGTAGAAGATTGGAGAGTTGATATTGTGTTCTTTCAAAGTAATGTTGTAAAAGAGAGATTGTTCAAGTGCTGCTAGAAGGGGTTTATGTAGACTTTAGAATCAAGTTAGACTCAGAGGTGCATTCACAGTTTAGAACCAGTAATGCCATACTTTTCACCTTATGGCCATTGCAACATTTCGGGAGTAGCCTAGCGCCCGGGATTGGCTTCATTCACAGGCCATAAACAACAAACTGCATGGGGGTTTCCCGTATTAGGGAATAATGAATTGAAATGCACCACTGGTGCTGGTACTGAAACTTGGAGAGTCAAAATACTATATCAGTATTTTATAGTCCGTCACACCCCACATTCTTGCTTCAATGAAGGCATTTTTGGCGGGTATTTCAGATACTATGGCGTTCACATCACAAACTTCAGTGAACATCCCGCAAAAGGGAGCTAGATTCAAGCATGTGCATTGACATGTTGACATTGCCGCTGGTCAAAACAGGGCATCTGGCGGTGCTGGCAATAATCACAAAGCTGAAGTTGACATTCAGTCGGGGCCAAAAGCCGCCCGATGCCCACGTGATTTATGGAGACCTCATCAGGTGACTCTCCGGAATCGGCGCCGATTGTCCGCAGCCTCGGGACCCAAAATATAATGCGCTAGGCATATTCAGGACTAGCGTATGTCCAAGCTCGAGTTCTCGGTGCATCAAAATTTTGATCAACTTTTGGTGTTCAGATGCGCGGAGTCGAAGATTCTTTCATTCTCTTGAAGGTGTACTCATAGCAGTGTATCCTGTGTATTTTTGCACTTTACCGTGAACTTTCCTTCATTTTATCTGTTTCAACATTCATTTTTTCTGCCGATCGACAATTCCAAAATGGCTCCTGTAGTCCTAGCTCCTGCTGCCGGTGCCGGCGCTGCAGCTAAAGACATGAAAAAAGAGTCTGCAACTGCTAGGTTATTGGGATCTGGTATAGACCTTATTCCCTTAGTTGTTCTGAGATGTTTCTTTGTTAACACCATCTTTCTAGGCTCTGCTGGTATTGCTGAATTGCTCATTTTCCATCCGGTATTCACATGTTGGCATTCAAATGGAATGCGGCCATGGCTAACAGCTTGCTATTAGGTTGACACAACTGCAAAGCGCCTGATGAGCAACCAGTCAAAAGTATGTGAGACCACACAACACGGAAATTTACCCCTTAATTAACCTGATGTCTTGCAGATTACATCTGTTCCCGCTTTCAACAAAGTCGTCTTCAAAGATTTTGCCTCCGCCTCCGTGCTCCGTAAATTCACCTCTCTATTTCCTGGTCTTGGATATGCTGCAGGGTATAAGGTGGGTGCTTAAATATGAGAAATACCTGATTTTGTGAACTGGGCTTACGTATCAGGCGTAGGTCTTGCAACGAATTTATAAGTATGGAGGGCAACCTTTTGCCCGTGACTACTTGGCTAAACACTATGGAGCCGATTTTGACAATGCATTTGGAAAAGGTACTGGCAAGGCCATCATGCACGCTACTGCTGGAAGGTATGAATAGCCCTCCCAATTCGGAGCACATGCCCCCCCTGACATTACAACTCTAGTTTAATCGGAATTGGAGAAATTGTTCTTCTACCTCTCGACGTGTTAAAGATTAAACGACAGACCAACCCAGAAGCATTCCGTGGCCGCGGCCTTTTTAAGATTATTTCTGATGAGGGCATGGGCTTGTACCGTGGTGCTGGCTGGACGGCAGCTCGTAACGCCCCCGGTTCCTTCGCGGTATGTGAATCCGGATTTAAAGTTTCTAACGACCCCCGCTAACGGACCTCCTAGCTTTTCGGAGGTTCTGCCTTCGCCAAGGAGTACATCTACGGCCTTTCGGACTACAACGCCGCAACTTGGTCTCAAAACTTTGTCGCATCTGTCGCCGGCGCCAGCGCATCGCTTATTGTCTCCGCACCACTAGATGTCATTAAAACACGTATTCAAAACCGAAACTTTGAGAACCCGGAGTCGGGATTCCGCATTGTTAGCAGCATGATACGAAACGAAGGCATGACCAGTTTCTTCAAAGGATTAACCCCTAAATTGCTGATGACCGGCCCGAAACTGGTATTCAGCTTTTGGCTGGCACAAACCTTGATACCCGCTTTTGGACAGGTGGTATAATGAGAAAACCACGTTTTGGCGCCTCGGCGTTCGAGTATATGTGTTCTGTCTCGGTTTGACGTGCTCTACATAGAGTCTTTGATGTTTATATTTTCCATGTTTATTATAGACTCTCCATTCTCTGAGGTTATTCGGGCGGTCTCGATTGTGCAGGAGTTAGGAGACAGCCAAGGGGGCTTTTAAAAATCGAGTCATGTATTGAAGAATATCGCCTTTAAACGGATTTTAATTGAAGACTATGCCCTATTTGTGTCTGGAGCAGAATATTCACTATCTGACCCTTTGTCTAAGGTGCCGGGTTTGGTGATTTATCCCCAGGTATGCATTTCCTCTGGGTAAAACCTGCGGGTATGTTTGGTAATACTTTGAAGGGCAGGGTTACTGTTTGTGGAAACAACGGCGAGTATAATACTGCGCGGACTTTGCATATATAAGCAGGCAAGCTCTTTGACTACTACCGCATCTTCGTGGGACCGTTCACTGTTCGCAGCCTCGAAAATGCCAGGTAAATCCACCATCATCGAGTGAGTCTATTGGCACCTGGGCAATCCAATGCATAGAACATCAAGTGCTAAAGACGTTTCCAGAGCTAGTGGATGAACGGTCCATTGCTACTTTCATGTTCCGCAGCCCAGTCTAAGCAGAGACGGGCCCTCCAAATAGAAGGGGTAAATTGGCGAAGGGCTGCATTCCCTCCCTCTGAACGGTTTGTTGAGGGGACGATAGTCGTAGTTGAAGTCAAAGCTTTGGCGAAGTATAAAGTCGGTCGCAACTCTATACAAAGATGATTTTTTTACTGGGAATGATAAGCCAAATATGGCTTCGAGAACTGAGGTCTTCCCCGATGAGTGGTCACCATAGTCAATAATTCATGGAAGGCAAACATAAAGACTAATTCCTTGAGGACGTAGTTTATCGTTATTACCGAGTAGATCTCGGTACTCTTAAACTGCAGCTGCAATTGTTGAGTCTTAAGTGCCATCAGCTTAAATTAACATATATTTTCCAGGGTAATGGGTTTTTTGCGCTCCTCTAGAAGTTAGTGATTTATTTGTAAACTGAGAGAATGAATTGATGTAGGGAAGCTTCCGTGAACCATTACATGGTGACTCTTTGCTTTTTCTTCTTTCAAATGCTGACTGACGAGGTGAGTCGCCCGCTATCCTGCGCAGCAGGTTACTTTGAGAGAACCACTGCTGATAATATATGAAGATCATTGTCAAAAGTAAAGAGAGACAGTGTCTCCCACTGCTATAGAAACCGGTTGGTGTAGTTATTCAACAAAGGGCTATCAATACACACAAAGATCCGGACTGCTCGAGTCTCTTCATATCAGACTCAACATACAGAACTCAACCAGCGGGTCCTTGATATCTTCAACAGTAGAGGTTTCGTGAGCTTGGTAGTGTTTACAAAGTTAGTATGTTGTTTCCCTTGTTCCGAGCGCGTTTGGTATGGTCCAGGGCTGGCCACCCGCATTTCAGGTCACGTAATAGCGGTCTCTTACCGCTTTGCCTGTTTGGCTCATTTGCACCACTTGTTTGCTCATTCAGAGACGTGGAATTGAAACACCAGTCGTAAATTTCAGTATTGAAACAGAACGATACCGGCCAATTCAATACATCGGCAATCTTCCAGAATCCGGCAGCGAGCCACGCATGGTAGCATCACTCAATGTTCCAGAGCATCGTTCTTGTGGCATGATCCCCGTCAATAGTCGCATCTTCGAAACTATTGTGTGCATTCTTATCGAGAATAGAGTTGGATATAAATGATTAGAAGGCGGGTGATTGCCCCTTCCCCTCAAATACCCACACTGGGGTAACCATCTCATCCCGCAATATCGAACAACAGCCTGGCAAACCACCCTGTCATTTTATCAACTGACGCAAGTTCAGTATTAACAACCATGGCCGTTAATAGCCTTGCCCACATGAGAAAGTGCCACTTCGGCTTTTATCCTTGGATATTGTCGGATATCCACCCCATCTCCATGATCTTGAGAAAGATGTTCGAGCAGATTTACCCTTGGGGGAGTAATTCCCAGGGACCCCGGGAATGTTCAATGCAACACCGCCAGAGATATCACGGTGAAAGCTAGCGATACGCTTACTGGATGTCCCACCTGTGGGGTTACTCTCCCGACGAGGAAGGTATTCGTTCGCCCCGGTATATGTCGAGGATGTACTCTGTATAGTTGCGCCTTGAGGCCTAATACTTCAAGCCAGCAGGGTACTCTACTCCGTATTGACAATGCCAATTTAAATTGTTTTTTGGTTGATGGGCGGTGTCTGACCGGATGTGACCCGCGCCATTCATTATAAACTGATGTCAGAACCCACTTCCTGGGTGTCTCTTTCTTATCCATACCTTAATTCGTGGCATTCCTTTTCCTAATAATATCTTGGTCATCATGCAGTTGTTGAGCAGCCTCTTGTTCTTGGTACCCTTCGTGGTAGCAAGTCCTGTATCACAGGCAAGCAAGGACATAATCCCCGGGCAATACATCGTTACTCTGAAAGATGGCCTCTCGGCTGCAGATATTGAGTCTCACAAGACGTCTGTTGCCTCTATCCACCGATCAAATATTGCTAGCGGTCGTGGGGGAATTGAATCAGAGGGAATTACGAACCATTTCCAGATTGATACTTTGAACATGTACTCGGGAGGCTTTGACAGGCGAACCGTAGAAGAGATCAGACGTAGCCCATATGTAAGCTAAAAATGTCCTAACTTCAGCAAGTATTGTTTATTAACTAGAATATACTATTCAAATAGGTCAAATCAGTTCATCCTGACCAAATGATTCATCTTGCAGAGACAATTACACAAACAAATGCCACATGGAACCTCGGTCACATTTCGAACAAAGGAAAGCCAACCTCCACATGGCAGAATCCTGCTGATTACATTTACGACAGCAAGGCTGGAGAGGGAGTGTGGGCCTATGTTTTGGATACTGGTATCAACGTTAACCACGAAGAATTCGAAGGGCGTGCAATTTTAGGCCGAAATGCCGTTAAAGGAAAGCCTCATGAAGACACCTTCGGCCATGGTACATATGTTGCCGGAATTATTGCTGGAAAAACTTGGGGAGTTGCAAAGAAGGCCAACGTAGTTTCTGCCAAAGCCTTTGATGGCGGATCTGTTAGTCCCCTTAACCAGCTTTCTGTCCAAGCTCATTATGCTAACTTGATTAAAAGAGCACATACACGTATATCCTCGATGCATACAGCTGGATTGTCAAGAACATCACTGATAGCAAACGTCAGTCAAAATCAGTTATTAACTTGAGTATCTGTAAGACAAGCCCACACCGCGACCTCTTGATGCCAAGTACTGACCGTAACGTGAAGCTGGGGCTAAATACCAACCCTTCGACAATGCTGTTGAGAAGGCCTTCAAGGCCGGCGTTTTGACGGTCGCTGCGGCTGGTAACGACGGAGTAAGTCTTTCAAGAGACTTAACATTTAGATAAATCAGACGTTGGCTAATACGTTCATCTAGAGGGACGCCTCACAAAACACCCCAGCATCATCGCCAAATGCCATTACTGTAGCAGCCGTTCGATGGAATAACACCAGGCCAAGCTTCTCCAACTATGGAAAGGTTGTTGACATCTGGGCACCTGGAGATGGCATCAAGTCCTGCTGGATGGGCGCGAACAACGCAACCAACGTTGCATCTGGAACCTCTGCAGCAAGTCCCCATGTCGCTGGCATTGTCGCATACCTCATGAGCATGCAAAACTTTGCTTCTCCTTCTGCAGTTACTGCAAAGGTTCTTAGTCTTTCAATCCCCGACTTGGTCCAGGATGCAAAGGATAGTCCAAACAAGGTTGCCTACAATGGTATCTTGGAGATGAAATAAAAGTCTCAAGTGTGATAGGTGGGTGAATCTATTAGAAGTGGTATCAAATCTATGTCTGCCTCCATAGTTCCTTGCACTGTCATTCATTGAATGAAATGAATGAGCTGTGTCAATAGCATTTCACGATTTCATATACAAAAAAGCAAAAAAAAGCTAGGGAGCACTTTGGTGGCCGAGAGCCCCAATGACCGCTAAATTGCATCAGTTCGAAATATTCTACATTACATTGAAAAAATTCTTAATAGTAGGCGGAGTTCGAAGTGTTCTCCATAGGAAAATACAGTAAAAGACTGCTAGTAACTAATTATCACAAAGCCTAGTAAGCAATGCTGAGAATTTGAGGATCACAGTAAGTCATCCTCTGCAATTCTATACTGCCCCTAATCTTCTGACCCTGTGCCACTATAACTGGGGATGATTGAGCAGTATCAATATATAGCGAGAAAGTGCATACTGGAGTAGAGGCGGGTTTCAGCCCAAGCCATTTCGGGGCTGGCTCGCCAGTATGAGTGAACCACTAGGCCACCAGGCCCTTTATTCGCAAAGCCCTGGATAGTGTGGATATAGGCTCACACAGGCATGTGCTCAGCCAAATGGGTACATATTCATAGGGCCTGATACCCTAGGACACTTTTTATTAGCTAGATCAAAGGTGTCAGAACCTCCTTTGAAAAGATTACCCTTGTCTCCATTCTATGTCTTTCGCGAAAGCACTTCAAAATGTTACTTTATTCAAACCAGACCAGCTGTTATCAGACAATGTCTTCGTATGCTGTGTGCTGAAAGGCCTTTTTGCTCTTGCTGTTTATTGACCTGACGAGATATAGGATATTCCATTCCCTAAATTATGGGGTTATGAATATGAGAGATAATTTCTAGCCTCTTTAATTCTGAAAGGGGAAACAAATTTCTCGTCACCTGTAATCCTGTGCTTTTGATTCTGTAGTGTCATATTGCCAGAGTAGTTCATGCCATGGGTGATTTTCATTTTATAAGAATTGTGAATATTATGTTCATACACAAGTGGAGGAATCGCCCAGGCCCCTAGCCCTCCTACTTCTGTTTCCAGCCAGTACTTCACTCCAATACCTGGCAACAGCAGCTGCGCAATCATAATGTAAGCATAAACTCTGATATTTATAGAGCGGCAATTGTTGACCTTGATTCTGTAAAAATAAACTCTCGATCGATTATTGTTCAGCTCAGCACTCACATAATGTAGCTCAATGTTCAACCATTCGGGCTTCTGATGTCTTGTTCTAGATCCATTGCGAAATTTCGATTCAGGTTCAAGATTCCGCAGAAACCTGCACCTGACGGCCGTCCTAACCAATCCCGCCTGGTGGCAAGCCCGATCTTCTTGTACGCTGGCTGCATATTGACACGTACCGGCTCCTTGAGTGAGTGTGATTGCACGTTTGGAGAAGCGTATTCTTCTAGATGACGACTGCATGACGGTATGGGATGGTTTGACATGACGTAGCCCAGGAGAAAGGCATTGGTATGTATGTGTATATATAGCTAGCGGAGAAGGATTACGGCGGAATCTTTCAAAAAATAACATTGAAAATACTTAGAGAGCAAATCAAGAAGAACCACTTAAGCAAGGATTTAATAATGCCTCGTTACTCCGAAGGTCAGAGCGTTCGTTATAAGCCCGTTGGTGGTACGTGACATGGCCCGTTCTCCGCATTGAATTATCAGGGAAATCTCACCGGCATTCAGGCCCAGGATCGAACACTTCTGAAAGCACTGGAAAAATAATGGCAATCTCGACGGAGCCAACGCAACAAGCTGGCCGAAATGTTGCTGGGGGCGCGGAGGACCCAAGGTACGAGGTAAGCGGATTTCAGATCAACATCAGCTTGGGAGAGCGTGCTGAGAAAGTATCTCCAAAAGATCAAAAACATGAACACCGGCAAGACCTCCACCGTATTTGAGACAAATATCTTGGGTTCTGCTTAAGAAGCGGAAAGGGGTCCATAAAATGTATGGTAGTTTTTACCATGGGCTGTGGGGCATCAAATTGAATGCATAGTCTGTGGTAATAATAGCCCATAGCCAGAGAACGGAATAATAAGTGGTTCGAACCGTATATTAATCCGGCTTGTCAGTATCATGCAAACGTGAGCAAATCTCTGTATACTCATCTTATTGCTCAGGTGATGTGGAAGGCGAGAAAGGTGGCAATTATAATGACAGCCCACACAAAAACTGCGAGCTGCTTGAAGACCGCCATAGTCAAGTAAGCGACGACGGGTTACGTCAGATATGTTGGACACTGCCTGCAATACGGAGTAATGCCAGTTGAATGATATGGGAACCCGAAATCTCCCGAGGCTATCGGAGTTGGCCGGATGTGGGGCTTTGGTGTTGAACAAACCCCCTCGGCCAAATCAAGCTGGGGAAGCATTAGTTCACATGCTAGAGAGCTTTTGAAACAAATGGATCCGATTTGATGAAGGTATAATGTTGCCAACGGTAGGAGAAAAGTATTCGTGCCGCCTCGCGAATCAACATCGTGAAGTTGAAGCTCTGTTTCCCCACCTTGACGGCAGAAACTCAAGAGCTGGAAAGGTCATTGCGGCGGGAGGGGATCATACGGCAGCTCGTGCTAGTGCCAGTGCTTTACTGCCGCTAATTAGAACTTGTCCAGATAAATGCGGGAGGCGATGTTTGATGACTCGAATCCATGACAGCAGAAAACTGAACCGGGCCAATCACGCGGCTGGGATTTGAGAGTCGAAGGTGCGGCTCTTTAGCGCGAAGCTCGGCCGATGTCGGATGCTTATTCGGTGGGGTGGGATCCACAGGGGCGAACTTAGCCGGGAGGACATTTATCCGTGCCGTTGGGTTTGGCTCAGGACCGTCGGGTCGGCAAAGGATGGAAAGCCCGGCAGTGGAATACTTGAGAATCATCACGGCAATCGCGGGTCTTACTTATCTGAACACCGTCCGTATTTTGCAGCGAGTTACGGGTGTACGCAAGAGACGCAGGTTAGAAATTCTCATCGTGATGCCAAGCCAATGGCATCTGTTGTGCCATTCAATACTGCGTACTCCGTACGGAGTACTAGCGAGAGGTAGACCATGCCAAGGAAAGCAGTGGATGATCCGATTCTTTGGGGAAATCCCTCTTCTTGACGGGTCCCCGAGATGGGCCAAAAAGTCCTCCGTATTCTAAGAAGTGGTGAAGGCCTGTATCCCGCGCGGCCTTACTTATTCATTCCTGCCGGAGCGAGCTTTGGGCGATCCCAGAGTACACAAAGGATTTTGTGAGATGGCCTCAGTCAATCCACGGCTTGTATTCCTGTCAGTCCTTTCACCCGGGGGCGTATTCAGCTGCTGCCGGCGATCACCTGGAGGTAGCCAAGGGTGATACGGCCACAGTTGCCAAGGGCGGGGTGGTCGTTCTTTCCGGTCCTCCTAATATTTTCTTTCGAGGCCAGAGGAAGTCGGGTATATATTAACTATGTCCGCAGAAGAACGTAGAGCCAGAGCCCAAGGCACTTGAATACTCACTGCGAACGAAGCCAGCCGTGCTGCCAGGAGCGCTGAGTCGAAATTAGCTCCGAGCCTAACGCCGGTAAGGTTTAGCCAAGGATTCCGATTCTCGTTCGGTGGGGCAGCGGCGCCAGCATGGGCTAATCAGGCGGCGCTGATTGGCTTGAAGCGCTTATCTCTAGGTTTTGGGTTTAGGGCTCCATTCTTCCCCAGGTTGGCTTCATGATGGAGGAGGACCGAGGAAGAACGCGCGGGCCTAGTTTCGCAATCTTCCAAGGCGAACGAACTTTGGCAGCTGCTTCACATTCACATGTACCGCGGATTCTGCGAGAAGCTCCAAAGTACACTCCGATCGGACAACAGCTTCTTTTCAATATCAGTTGGCTGACAACCTTTGGCTGAATTGTACTACCACGCGCTCCCCGGGCCGGCTTGTTCAGGACCTGTATCACATCCCATCGCAGTGGCTGCAATAAACGCTCCTCACCGGCTGGCCCAGCTTTTCCCAGACCCTTTGCCACGGTCCTGCATCGGGAACTTGACCCCACACTGCCGGAACGCCTTCGGCCAGGCAGAATTGGGCAATATAATCACAGATCACCTTTCGCCTAAGTTTCCCACATTCTCTCACACCTTCCTTTCCATCTCACTTTTTTTCAACTTTTTTACGAACCGTGGTATCCGGAGACACATTTTCTCTGCGAAAAAGGAAGACCCAGCTGGAGAGTCAGGATCATATCTTTTTTTGATTCCTGTTGTACACCAGAGTCGTTGTTAGCATTCTCTGTCGCTTGCCGACGGAAGAATGGGTCTCTTGGAAGACATATATGGTCCTAATCTAGAGGAGGAACAACCGCACGAGTACTCAGAGTACCGGTCTGAGAAGGGCTATGGCTGGGCGGAGGCCTTGCCGCGAAGGCAGGGCCTTTATGACCCTGAGCTGGAGAAAGATGCCTGCGGAGTAGGCTTCACAGCGTATGTGAAATTTGTTGGAATAAAATTCGCTCCTACCTTAGCTAACGAACCAATTCAGTCATATTAAAGGCAAGCCGAGTCATAAAATCATCACTGATGGTAGGGCGGCTTTCTTAATCTTGTGGTTTGGGTTATCGAAACTGACTGTTTTTTCTTCGAATAGCGCGATACCTACTTTGCAACATGACTCATCGGGGTGCTGTGGGTTCAGATGCCCGAGATGGAGACGGAGCAGGCGTTATGACCAGCATTCCACACAAGTTTTTCGTAAAACACTTTGCTCGGGATGCTGGTGTGGAATTACCACCACTGGGAAAATATGCCGCGGGCAACCTATTTTTTAAACCAGATTTGGAAGCCTTTGAAGAGTCCAAAGTTACCTTTGAGGATCTAGCAAAGTCCCTCGGCCTCCGTGTTTTAGGCTGGCGCGAGGTTCCCCGCGACTCGACTCTTCTCGGGCCAGCTGCGCTTTCTCGTGAGCCATTTATTATTCAGCCATTCGTTGTGCTACACTCTGCGTATGGTGATGGAAATAAACCAAATAGTGATCATGAAGAAAACTTCGATGAGAGAACATTCGAGAGACAACTCTATGTCCTTCGCAAACGAGCAACGCACGTCTTGGGCCTAGTGAATTGGTTTTATATTTGCTCGCTGAGCAACAAAAACATTATTTATAAGGGCCAACTTGCGCCGATCCAAGTGTATGAATATTATCATGACCTTCTATCCGTTGATTACGAGGGTCATTTCGCTCTCGTTCACTCACGTTTCTCGACCAACACTTTTCCATCATGGGACCGCGCACAGCCTCTGCGATGGGCCGCTCATAACGGTGAAATTAATACTCTGCGTGGAAACAAAAATTGGATGAGAGCCCGAGAGGGTGTACTTAAATCTGATATCTTCGGCGATGAACTCGAATACCTTTACCCTATTGTCGAAGACGGTGGTTCCGATTCTGCCGCCTTTGATAATGTTCTCGAGTTGCTCACGATTAATGGTGTGCTGTCCCTCCCAGAGGCTGTCATGATGATGGTTCCTGAGGCCTGGCAGGATAATCCGGCGATGGACCCCAAAAAAGCTGCCTTTTATGAGTGGGCTGCCTGTTTGATGGAGCCATGGGATGGGCCAGCTCTTTTCACTTTCTCCGACGGTCGCTACTGTGGCGCAAATCTTGACCGGAACGGCCTTCGTCCATGCAGGTACTATGTGACTGACGATGACCGGATAATTTGTGCATCAGAAGTTGGTACCATTGCCATCGACCCGGAACGAATTATCGAAAAAGGGCGATTACAACCAGGGAAGATGCTTCTAGTTGATACTGTAGCCGGAAGGATCATTGATGATACAGAGCTGAAGAAGACTGTAGCTAATCGTCAGCCCTTTGAAGACTGGATTGAAGAGCACTTGCTGAGCCTTCCTGAAATCCATCAAAAGTTATCAGATGGAGATGTTAATCTCACACCAACACTGGATAGTATCACTATCCAACAGGACCCACGTCTCAAGGCTTTCGGCTATTCTTTCGAACAAGTCAGTCTTCTTCTTGGTCCCATGGCTGCAGATTCTAAGGAAGCACTTGGGTCTATGGGTAACGATGCCCCATTAGCCTGTCTAGCACAGCAGCCAAGATTGTTGTACGAATATTTCCGTGAGCTTTTCGCACAAGTCACCAACCCCCCAATTGACCCCATCCGTGAGGCTATTGTTATGTCGTTAGAGTGTTATGTCGGACCTCAGGGAAACCTCTTGGAAATCGACTCTTCTCAATGCAATCGCCTCCATCTTCCTTCGCCGATCCTTTCAATCAACGAATTTAATGCCGTTAAAAGTCTTCCATCGTTGCACAGCGATTGGTCTATCAAAACAATAGATATCACTTTTGAAAAATCAAAGGGTATCCAGGGATATCTTAATGCTTTGGATGATATTTGTGCTGCCGCTACTACGGGCATTGAAAATGGAGACCGTATTCTTATACTATCCGACCGTGCTACATCTGAAGATCGAGTATCGGTGTCAACCCTTCTTGCTACTGGTTTAGTCCACCATCATCTGGTTCGAAATAAGTGGCGTTCACTTGTTGCCCTAGTAGTAGAGACTGCAGAAGCCCGTGAAGTTCACCACATGTGTGTCCTTGTGGGATATGGCGCCGATGCTATCTGCCCATATCTGGCTATGGAATGTATTTTGAAAATGCACCGCGAAAATCTGATTAGAAAGACGCTCACAGATGAACAAGTGATCACCAACTACAAGACATCCTGCGATGGTGGCATTCTCAAGGTGATGAGCAAAATGGGTATTTCCACACTGCAGAGTTATAAAGGCGCTCAAATTTTTGAGGCCTTAGGCATCGATGACAGTGTAATTGACCGTTGCTTCGCTGGCACCGCCAGCAGGATTCGTGGTATGACATTCGAACAAATTGCGCAGGACGCGTTCGCTTTCCACGAACGGGGATATCCCACACGACATATTACCCAAATCCCTGGCCTTCCTGAGTCTGGTGAATACCATTGGCGAGACGGTGGCGAAGCTCATATTAACGACCCCGTCAGTATTGCAAATATTCAGGATGCCGTGCGCACTAAGAACGACAAGTCGTACGAAGCGTATGCGAGATCAGAACATGAGCAGGTCAAAAACTGTACACTTCGTGGGTTACTGGACTTTGATTTCGAGCAGCGCCCACCTGTACCAATTGAACAAGTCGAGCCATGGACAGAAATTGTTCGGCGTTTTGTCACCGGAGCCATGTCGTATGGCTCCATTTCTTATGAATCGCACTCCACTCTTGCTGTCGCAATGAATCGACTGGGCGGCAAATCCAATACCGGAGAAGGAGGCGAAGACCCGGAGCGCAGTCAAATTCTCGAAAATGGCGACACTATGCGATCTGCTATTAAGCAGATAGCCTCAGGTCGGTTTGGGGTGACGTCGGCATATCTCGCCGACGCAGATGAGCTGCAGATTAAAATGGCCCAAGGCGCCAAGCCGGGAGAAGGCGGTGAGCTTCCAGGCTCGAAGGTCACGGGGCCAATTGCCAACACTCGCCGCTCTACCCCTGGCGTCGGCTTGATCTCACCACCACCACACCACGATATTTACTCCATTGAAGACTTGAAGCAGCTGATCTACGATCTGAAATGCTCTAATCCTCGCGCGCGTGTTTCGGTGAAACTGGTCTCCGAAGTTGGCGTTGGTATCGTTGCCTCCGGAGTCGCGAAAGCCAAGGCTGATCATATCCTCATCTCTGGCCATGATGGAGGAACAGGCGCGTCGAGATGGACAGGTATTAAGTATGCAGGCTTGCCATGGGAGCTAGGCCTCGCTGAGACTCACCAGACGCTTGTGCTCAACGATCTTCGAGGTCGTGTGATCGTACAGACCGATGGTCAACTGAGAACGGGCCGAGACGTTGCCATCGCCTGCTTACTTGGAGCCGAAGAATGGGGTTTCGCAACTACTCCTCTTATCGCTATGGGCTGCATAATGATGCGTAAATGCCATTTGGGTACGTGTCCGGTTGGAATCGCGACCCAAGACCCTGCTCTCAGAGAAAAATTCGAGGGCACACCAGAGCATGTTATTAATTTCTTTTACTACGTGGCGAATGAACTCCGTGCTATCATGGCAAAACTAGGTATCAGAACTATTAATGAGATGGTTGGTCGTGCAGAGTTACTCAAGATTCGCGATGACTTGTCATCCCCCAAATTGGAAAATATTGATCTCTCACTCATCCTTACACCTGCTCATTCACTTCGCCCGGGTGTTGCGACATACAATGTTAGAAAGCAGGACCACCGCCTCCATGTTCGACTCGACAACAAGCTTATTGCTGAAGCAGAACTCGCATTAGAGAAAGGCCTTCCATGTCGTGTTGAATGTGACATTGTCAACACCGACCGAGCGATGGGTGCCACCCTCTCATACCACGTAAGTAAACGATATGGAAATGTTGGCCTTCCTCAGGATACCATCCATGCAAATATCAAAGGCTCGGCTGGGCAGTCGTTCGGTGCATATCTTGCGCCCGGTATCACCTTAGAGTTAGAGGGTGATTCAAATGACTATGTTGGGAAAGGCTTATCTGGCGGTCGCCTCATCATATATCCCCATCGGGGAGCTGCTTTCAAAGCCGAAGAAAATATCATTATTGGTAACGTATGTCTATACGGTGCAACTGGCGGTAGCTGCTATTTCCGCGGCGTAGCGGCCGAGCGATTTGCTGTTCGCAATTCTGGAGCCACCGCGGTCGTTGAAGGCGTTGGTGATCATGGCTGTGAGTATATGACTGGTGGCCGTGTGCTTATTTTAGGCACTACTGGCCGCAATTTCGCAGCTGGCATGTCCGGTGGCATTGCGTACGTACTTGACATGCAAGGTGATTTCCACACTCGAGTAAACACGGAAATGGTTGAGCTCTGTGGAATTGAGGACCCAAGCGAAATTGCTTTTGTCCGTGGTCTTATTGAAGACCATCACCACTATACTGGCTCCGAAATTGCTGCTCGCATTCTTCTCGACTTTAGCAGAGCATTAAGTCATTTTGTTAAGGTTCTCCCGACTGACTATAAACGTGTTATGGAAGAAGAAGCTGCCAAAAAAGCTGCGGCTAAGAAGCCCTGGCACTCTATTGTGAAATCCCCAGAGCCACTTGTTAAGGAGAAGGTAGGTGCCGGTCACGAAGAAGGCAAAAAGAGCCAGATCCTTGATATAGAGGATAGTATCATAGATTCTAAAGCGGAGAAAAAGCGAACTGCTTTGATTCTTGATAAAACTAAGGGTTTTATGAAATACCGTCGCCATAATGAGAAATACCGCAATGCTAAGACTCGAACGAAGGACTGGGCCGAGTTGTCACAACGATTGACAGAAGATGAACTGAAGTATCAATCTGCCCGCTGCATGGACTGCGGTGTTCCCTTCTGCCAATCTGATACGGGATGCCCAATTTCTAACATCATTCCTAAATGGAATGAGCTTGTGTTCCAGAACCAATGGCAGGATGCTCTGAACCGCTTGCTAATGACAAATAACTTTCCCGAATTCACCGGCCGAGTTTGCCCGGCTCCTTGTGAAGGTGCTTGTGTCCTTGGAATTAATGAAGACCCAGTTGGCATAAAATCCATTGAGTGCGCTATCATTGATCGAGGGTTTGAGATGGGTTGGATGGTGCCGAATCCACCGCCAAATCGCACTGGGAAGACCGTGGCAATCATTGGTTCTGGCCCAGCTGGTCTTGCTGCGGCGGATCAACTGAATCGCGCAGGTCATAGTGTCACTGTGTATGAGCGCGCAGACCGCATCGGTGGCCTTTTAATGTACGGCATCCCGAATATGAAATTAGACAAGCGGGTTGTTCAGAGACGTGTTGATTTCATGACTGCCGAAGGTATCAAGTTCTGTGCGGGCACTCCTGTTGGACCAGATGATGGTGTCACCTTGGAATCTCTGCGAAAGGAAAGCGATGCTGTTGTCATTGCTACAGGCGCAACAGTTGCTCGAGACCTTAAAATCCCGAACCGCGAATTAAATGGGATTCACTTTGCTATGGAATTTCTCCACAAAAATACCAAGTCTCTCCTTGACTCTGAACTCGCCGATGGCGCATACATATCGGCCAAGGACAAACACGTTATTGTTATTGGGGGTGGAGATACTGGGAATGACTGCATTGGCACTTCCGTACGTCATGGCGCTAAATCAGTCACTAACTTTGAGCTGCTTCCACAGCCACCTGGTGAGCGTGCAGGGGACAACCCTTGGCCACAATGGCCTCGAGTCTATCGCGTGGATTACGGTCATAGTGAAGTTAAATCTCACTTTGGTAGGGACCCTCGTGAATACTGTGTGATGTCCAAGGAGTTCGTTGGAGATGACCAAGGCAACGTGAGAGGTATTAATATCACTCGCGTTGAGTGGGCCAAGAGCTCTTCTGGCGGCTGGGACATGAAAACAATTGAAGGGAGCGAGCAGTTTTTCCCAGCGGATCTTGTTTTGCTGTCAATGGGCTTTTTGGGCCCAGAAGACCGGGTTTTGGGCGATGGCGTCGAACTGGACGCAAGAAAAAATATAAAAACACCTCCTGGTCACTATTCAACTAATATCCCAGGAGTATTTGCCGCTGGAGATTGCAGGCGCGGCCAGTCATTAATTGTCTGGTAAGAAACATTTCTGTCCCCCTTTCTGGTCGTGACTCATGTACTTACCTTTTCTCGCTTCAGGGGCATCAATGAAGGCCGTCAAGCTGCTCGTGAAATCGACTCCTACCTTTTAGGCACGTCCTCTCACCTTCCTATTACTGGAGGTATCGTTCGTCGCTCCGCGATAGACTCGGTGCCACAAACCCGTCCAGTCCAGCTGCAAAGCGTTACTGCTTAAACGCAACCATCAGCCATTTGATAACATCCGCATCGGCATGGTAACTTACTGCATAACCCGATGGGACACTTTCCGACAGTTTACGAGGTGTACTACTATTTTTCCTTTTTGCAATATCTTTTTGTTTTATTATGATTTATGGTGGTCAGCTGAACGTCCATAGCCTGTTTAATTGTGAGGCGACTTTATAAAACTATGCCTTTTCCCTTATTGAGACATATACTCTTTTTCTCTTACTTCCCTTGCTCTACGCAATTTTTTCGAAATGCATATTTTTTGGCGAATATTACCTGTCATCTGATGAGTTGATTGTGTGACTTAGAACCTATCCTTGATAAAAGGATCCGTATGTACTCCGTACAGACATGTATATAAATAATGTATGCAAATATTACTACGATTCGTTTTGAGGTCTCTGAAAGCATTTTTTCGTTTTTTTAGTGCGATCCCTTTTTATTTTCGTATCTACCGCCTTTCACCAGATTTATCCTACTAGGTAAGGAATTTTTCAAATTCAAGACTGCCGCTTCTAGATCTACATCCTCACAAGGCAAAAGATCCGAGATATGATAAAGTGGGAAAATCATTAGAAGAGAAATGATGATAAAAGACATGTACATAATCCATGCAAATCACCGTTATCAAATAAGTATATTCAACCAATAAAAATGATACGGTGAAGACATGATTGGCCCAGATTCCAGATGCTGTCACCTGGTGCTATTCCTCGCGCTCTCGCTGCTCTGCAAGCTTCATTTCCCGCTCCGCAGCTTCAAAGTCTCCTTCAAAAGCTCCCCGCACAGGTTCTGTTCTTATATCCCACACATCTTCACTATTTGGACCAGTCTTCCATTTCGTAGCCTTTTTTCGATTATGATCCGCAATCATCTTAGCCTTATCTGCTTCTGAATATGATTTTGTTCGCATGCAAAACCAAAAATCGGACCAATGTTGGGAGCAATCCTTTAATTCACCATATCTGTAGTAATTCACCCACTGACCACCGAAGGATTGGCAGAAGAAAGCGTAGTCAAAAGCCATGCGGCAAGACATGGTGGTCTGGTAGAGGGAGTCGGGGTCAATCGAAGAAGGTGTGGATGTGGATTCTAAAGGAGCCTTTTGCGTTGGAGCCTGCTGAACAGCCTCGTTTGTGTCTTTTATGCTCGCAAGGAAGTTCTGAAGCTCCGCTTCTGCTAATTCATCGCGAGCCACCGGCGTTTGCTGTTGCGAAGGAAGTGTTGGGTTTTTGCTTTTCGGCTGGAGCGGTGTCGACGCGTCTGCATTGTGAGGTTTGGGTGATTGGGATGATTGCTCGGATGAATTCCACCACCACCCCATTATGGTATACAAGGTTGGACAAGCGCCGTTTGTCGCAAAACTCCTCGAAATGCAAGATTGAAATATAATTACGAAGGTGAAATTTTGGTGTACCAAGGCGTATTTTTCACTACAAAGTTACTAGCGCCGGAATAATGCTGCCCTACGTCATGTTTGTCTTGCAACACGATATATTGATTCTGACTATCACCATCCATAAATCTCTCTACATTTGTATATAGAGAGGCTGGGGCTGCATAATGATACATATTGTGAAGAGGACACATGTGAGGACGGTTTGGCAGACCCCAGTATGCCTTGCCCGGCGAGAAATTCCGCCCATCAATTGCAGGCTGTTTTGCCTGCCCCTTAAGGGAAGATATGCCGCTACTTATTCGAATGCCGACGAAACTGGCCATATTGTCACGACGCCAAGCGAGTCTGTATTATACCTTGACAGTAAGTGCTCTAATTTTTGTAATGCATCTACAAGCCCAGCGTTGACTCAAATAAAAGATGTGCTCCCGGTGAAAGTTATCTTCTCCCGTCGGATTTCCAGCATAGATCCGACCCCTTCATTTCTAGAGCGAGTGGGAAACTTAATGCAACGATTCACTGGTGCTAGTCCGTTGAATATTATTGAGAGCTCTTTTCCCCCCGAGCTTCGGGGTAATATCGAAAAAGTTATTCCCCGTTACTCGGAAGGCGGTGCATTTGTGAAGCTTTCAGGTACACAAAACCTGAACCCAGAGGGCCTTTCAAGCCTGATAGACTCACATTTGGAAAATCAGCCTGTAAAACCATGGTTTAGTCCTTTCAGGTCCGTACGAGCTGCTGTGGTTCGTGGACGCCCCTGGCTAGAAGACCTACAAAGATACCCGAGCTCTAGACTTAAGGTGGAATTTCTTCCAACACATCCAGGAGCATCATACGTGGAACTATCACCCGAGTCACTTTATTCATTAGCTCGAAGGTACGGGAAGCTTTCCGATATTATTCCTCAGCCCTCCGATTCGAAAGTCCAACCGAGATATGCACTACTCGAATTTTCCAACCCAGGGTACGCTATAATGGCAAAAAACTGTTTACATGGGTATAATGTCTCGGAAGCAGAAGGTGGAGGAAGTACCGGTACAGTATTAAAATTTTCTTACGAGCAGAAACTGAAACCTCACGTCATAAGAGATTGGGTTTTCAATCACCCGAGAATTGTAATTCCAGTTATTGCTGCCCTCTTGGCTACGCTAACAGTCATAATTTTCGACCCTATCCGCACGTTTTTTATCAAAATACGGATATCTCCACCAATTGATGTTCATGATAGCAGGCTATGGAAATGGATACAACTTCAAGCAAGCAAAGCAAATGACATACTTTCGTTCCGCTCGCAACAGCGCTCAGACTCTAGCGGATTAACTGCTATATGGGACGACCGCAGAGGTGATATCCAGCAACTTCAAACCTGGTTGATCGAGGCTACAAATACATTCACAGTCGTGCATGGCCCTAGGGGCTCAGGGAAGAAAGAACTCGTTCTTGATGAAGCACTTAAAGATTATCGCCACAAATTGGTTATTGATTGCAAGCAGATTCAGGAGGCAAAAGGCGATAGTGCCACAATAAATGCTGCCGCTGCGGAAGTCGGTTATCGACCGGTGTTCTCGTGGATGAACAGCATAAGCAGCTTGATTGATATCGCAACACAGACGCTAGGCGCAAACGCCGGACTTTCAGAAACCCTGGATTCTCAGCTGGGTCACATTCTTCAGAATACTGCTAATGCGCTGAAAAAAGTTGCGTTAGAAAAGAAGAAGAAAGACGGAAAGGATGCAAATTTGACAGACGATGAGTTTCTCGAAACTCATCCTGAATATAGACCCGTTATTATCATCGATAACTTCTTGCATAAGGCAAATGATAACCAGATGATTTACGATAAACTATCAGACTGGGCGGCTGCACTCACGGCTTCCAATATTGCTCGCGTTATTTTTCTAACTGGAGACATTTCATATTCGAAAACACTTAGTCGTGCTTTGCCTAATCAAGTATTCCATGAAATTCAGCTAGGGGACTGTACCCCCAAAGTGGCGAAACAGTTCGTGCTAAAGCATCTTCTTGCGAATCAAAATAATATTGATCCAAAGGCCGGTATACAATTAGAGTCTTTGGAAGACAAATATATAAGCGATCTTGAGGAAAGTATTGGAGTGCTAGGTGGCCGCTTGTCGGACCTAGAGTTCTTTGCAAGGATGATAAGTAGGGGGGAGAGCCCAAAAGGTACGTTATCTACATGTGATTTGTTATGCTGCATGCTGTGGATCTATTCTAATAAATGTAGGCGCCGTTAACGACATCATTCGCCAATCGGCAGCAGAAATTTTGAAGATGTTCATTGCTGACGTAGATACTTCGTCTCGGACTTGGTCTCCAGAACAGGCATGGTTTCTTATCAAGAGTCTCGGCGATACTAAAGATGGTGACGTCTTGTATAGCCAGGTGCTATTTTCTGACTTATTTAAGAAAGATGGCGAGAGGACCATACGGGCTCTAGAGCAAATGGAATTGATCTCCGTGACCACACTAAACGGGCGCCCCTCGACAATAAAACCTGGCAGGCCAGTCTACGCCGCAGCTTTTAAGCGCCTTCTTGAAGATGATGTTCTCCGCTGTCGGCTTGATATTCGCACGCTTGGGCAGCAAACAGAGATGGAACTTGAGAATATTAAAAAGTGCGAAGGAGAATTACAGGTGTTGTCATCCTTTGCAAAAGAGCCGAGAGAAATCAGACCCCGAGTATCATGGCTTCTAAGCAAGCTAGCGAGCAGCCAAGCCAAGATCGAGGGGTATGAAAGAGAAAGCGCAGAGCTGAAGAAGACGCTTCAATCCCAAGTCTGATTTCGAGTGCCACACCTCAGTTCGCTTGGATGAGCGATGGGGCGGTAAAACCTGCAATTTTCCCCAACTCATATAACATTCAAACTCTCGCAAATATTTATATGATAACACCTGCAGAGGGTGCTGGTATAGTTGGTAAACGCTTGCAGGAATTCTTCTGGCATGGGCTACTGTTGGGGAGCAACCACCTCGGAAGGAAGTTTGTGGGTTTGAATCCCACTATCCCCAAAGTGCTATTGTACCGCATCTTTTGTGTCGGTTAGCTTGTCCACTGAGCCCTTTGCGCAATAGACCACAATCAGGTGTAAAGCCGCCCAGTTTCGCTGATATGAGCGCTTCATTGATGCGAGATAGCAAAATGGCTGAGATACTGAATGATAAACAATAGAAGAACCCCCAATGAAAAATGGGTTCTTATCCGAGTAGTGTTATTATTAGGCCAGACCCTCATCCTTTTGGTGTAAGAAGACGGGGTCGCCTTGGCGTCCCTGAGTTAAGGAAGCTCCACCTAGGGAGTAACTAACTTTGATTAGGTAATCTCCACAGGCCTAAGTTAAGTTGCTACACGCTAGTGTTATTTTGGTTAGGCCCGCATTTCAGGAGTCGTTTCTCTGGCCATATTCTATCTTCGCCTCCAAGGGACGCAGCTTATCTTTAGAAAGTCATTTAGCGTTATGTGTATTTTACAATAGTGTCGACAGAGTGGCACTCTGTATCACGGACGGGCGCTTTGGGTCCTCTTATAGAACGGAATTGGTTGAATACCAAACCCCAAGCCATGGACGAGAGCCCAGTCTCTCTACCGCTACTTATTCTTCAGTCATTGAAAGAAACTGGATCAGGAATATCACCATTATCTGTCTTATTACTCATAGCTTTGGTCTGTGTCTTAACTCGAGTCGTCACCGGCGTAGGGGGTCGCTCTGAAGCGACGTTTCCTGATGGGTCGATATCGCCAACACGAGTACCATATTGGTTCCCATACATCGGGCATGGCGTGCTCCTTGGATTCCGACGACGGATTCTATTCGAGAAGCTGAGGTGTGTGCAGCTGGAAACCTCGTTTCTTTATCAAAGGTTTTGCCTAACATCTAATAGGACGGGGAGGCACAATGCTCTCCCGGCGCTTTATGTTCAGGGGAAAGATCACTATGTATTACTCACCGCATCTTTAGCAAATTCCCTACTGGAGAAAGCATCATCCTCATCTAATGAAGGCCCTGCTCATTACATTCTTGAAAATGTTTTTGGTGCGCCAAGAAATCCCAGGTTTTTCAAGAGGACTGATCTTTACTCTTCGTCTGGGCCAATGCAGTTTCTCAACGAAGACCCTTGGCTAACAGATATCGCATCCACGGTTGCACGTGAAATCAAACAAGCTATGCCAAATCTACTATCATTTTCTCAGAGTGTTGTTGACCAATCAACCTGGGAGAGGCTTAGCGGAGTATCCATTGTCGATGCTGATAGTGGGCCTATCTGTGAAACTGACTTATTTGCTCTTGTGCGGAATTTTATTGGGGTAATATCCACCACCGCCATTATGGGCAAGTCGTTTACTGAAGCTTTCCCCTACTCTCTAAATGACCTTTGGGAATTCGACAAGAATTTCAACGCCATGTTGCTGGGCGTCCCACGCTGGGTCCCCTTTCCTGGACTTGTGACTTCATATGCTGCCCGCCGCCGTTTACTACTTGCTTTAAAAGCATTTCATAATGCTCTTGCTGCCACAGAAATTGGTGTGGATCCCGGGTTCGACTGGCAGGATATGGATGATGTCTCCGAAGTAATAAAAAGTCGTTCTCGATCAATGGTTGACGCAGGATACACGGCAGAGCAAGCAGCCGCTGAACACTTATTTTTTCTTTGGACACTGAATCTGACCACGAATACAATTGTATTTTGGAACCTTGTTCACATTTTATCCGATAAGGAGCTGCATGGTAGAATTTTAGAGGAGACTAGGCTATGCGCACAAGCATCGCGCCCAAACTGGCAGGAATCCGGTTTCAACATCCCTGAACCACCCCGCTTATCTTTAGACCCAGACAAAATCGCATCTGCTTGCCCTCTATTAAAGGCCACCTACATGGAGACTCTTCGTGTCTATTCCACACCAATAAGTTACCGAAGATTGAACAATGATATTATTCTTGAGGAATCAAGCTCCGCTGCTACGAATCGAAATTCAATTGCGTATCGATGTGAAGCAGGAAGCTATGTCGCTATTCCGCACTTCATTCACAATACCGACCCTGAGCATTTTCCAGAACCACGCAAATTTGACCCGCAGAGATTTTTGGCGCAACTGTTGGAAGATGGGCTCGATTCTCAAACCGAGGTTGTATCCGTCGAAAATGAAAGCTTACTATCGAGTGAGCTGGTCTCGAAGGGAATTGACGATATATGGCCGGATGGAATTAACGACATGTTTAGCTACAGCCGCTCTTTTGCAGAACGGCAAGCCCTACTCTTTACTGCTTCCTTTTTGGCCATGTGGGACATCCAGCGTGCCGATGGCAAGGCATGGGAGGTATTACCTAGCAGAAATGGGAGCGCAACTTGCGTGCCTAAAAGGGATATTAGAGTAAAAATGAAGTTGAAAATCTAAAATATAAATTATAGTTCTGATTCTCTAAGTCCTTATTCAAAGCATGCCATCTCAATATTATATTACTACTCCAGACGGCATATGGAGTACCCGTGACCTTGCCAAGCCTTCCAGCAGTTCAATGAAGGCTTGGCAAGGTCACGGGTACTTCTCAACTGGAGAAAGATATTATCTTATCAGATCAAGCTAACTATAGCCTTGGAATAAACGTTAATTTGCTGGTTAACTACCTAATTTCGCGACGCGTGTCAAGCGCGCAACGCGTCGCTCAATCGAGAAGCAACGAGGAAGAAGTTAAGGGCTGTTGAGTAGACTTCTCAGAATTGAGCAATGCCACTTCTGGTTTACACTTACATTATTTTTACTACGGTCTTTTTCTTCTGTAATTCCACAGATTCCTGACGAAATTACCCCGTCCAATGGCGCCGGAGGCGGCGAGACCAAGAGGCAGACCAGCCCGTAAGAACCCCCCATGATAATACTCCTATATTTAATGCCTTTTTTTCATAGTTCATTAACATCTAATATTGTCTGATTAGATACTCCTGGGGTAACGGTGCTATCGTACACTCCTAATGGACGAAAAGTAATCACTGGTGGATCAAATTCTGCCATTCGGATCTACACAACCGCGGAAGATGGCGAGCCGAAAACCGTCGACGAGGGCGTGGATGGCCATTTGGCGATAGCTGCACTGGTATGGCCGGGAAAATATCGGATAAAATTTCGGGCGCAGGTTGCTAATCAGACACATCTAGAATGACTCCTTTGTCATGGGCGCAGAGGATGGTACCGTTTGGCAATATGGTTTGCCAGATGGCAAAATGGATAAAATGCTCGTCAGGTGCTCATTACCCGTACGGAACTTAGCAATTTCTAAAGATGGAGAATGGGTAGCGGTTGCCAGCGAGTAAGTGAACATACTTTTTCAGAGATGCCATTATGCAAGGGCTAATAGTGCTATTCCTAGTGAACTCTCAGTCAAAATCGTTAATATAGAGGATATGACGCATGTTAAATACCTTCGAGACCAAACTAAAGCTGTCAAACATGTTACATTTGATCCAAGCGGAAGATACGTCGCTGTTTCTTGTTCAGATGGGATTATCTATGTTTATTCTTTTATTGAAACCGAACCTACCCTACTCCAAAAAGTTGATGGTGTGATTCGAAGATTAGAAACCGAGGATGAAGCAACGTCTCAAGCTGTATGGCACCCGGATGGTACAGCGTTTGCGGCTGTCGAAGCTACCAAAGACATCGTTGTAGTGTCGAGCAGCGATTGGACAAAACAGAAGAAATTCTCTAACGGCCACACTGCTGATATAACGGCACTAGCATGGTCACCCAACGGTGCATTGCTTGTTAGTGCAAGCGCAGATGGTCAGATTGTCCTTTGGGAAACGAGAACCCAGAATATCCTCCGCAAATATGACTTTCCAAACGTCACTAATGTTGCATGGCATCCTGTTGCAAACGAACTCTCATTCACTACCTCTGATGGAGAGTTGTTTATTCATAAAGATTTTATTCCTTCTGAATATAAACAATTGCTTGAGAAGACCCTGGAAGTTGCACCTTTACTCTCAACGGGAATCGATGTTGGCTCGGAATTTCCGAGTAGAACCTTTGCAAATGGGTTGCGCAGGGAAAGGGGGTTAAGAAAAGACTCCCCTGACTCCCTTGATGATATTTTAGGACCTATGGACGATGAGGAAGACTTCGTGGATGACGACGATGGTGCTGGCTATGCTGAAGGTATCAACCCTTTGGGAAAGCGTAGCAATGGCCATCTAGGGGATCCGTTTGGCCATGCAAAAAAGCGAAGAACCGGCGAATTATGGCAGCCGCAAAAGCATGAGCCATTCCAACCCGGTAGCACTCCCTGGCGTGGTGGTAGAAGATATTTATGTGAGTTCTTCAAGATATAGCCATGCACGTACTGTACATGCTAATGGATACAAAAAAGGCCTAAATCTTATTGGATTTGTATGGAGCGTAGACCAAGATACTCATAATACAGTGACTGTTGAGTTTTATGATCGAGAACGTTACCGAGATTTCCATTTTACAGATCCGTTTTTATACGATAAAGCATGCATGAGTATGTCGATAATTTTCTCTCTTCACCGAATCCAAGACTAAAACATCGCAGATGACAAAGGCACGTTATTTTCCTGCCAGCCCTCTGACGGAAATCCTGCTAGTATTTTCTATCGACCTCATGAAATGTGGACAGCCAGAACAGACTGGAGGACTGACCTTCCAGAAGGCGAAAAAATCACAGGTATCATGGCATACAATTTTTTGCATTCCATCGACTGATTCATATATAGCAATTGCATTAAGCAACTCCTATATCACTGTCAGCACTTCTGCGAACTATATCCGAGTCTACACATTATTTGGGACCCCATTTCGGATCTATCGGCAAAAAAGCCAAACTGTCACCTGCGCTGCATGGCGAGATTATGTTCTTACCATTGGGAATGGCTCAGTTGGTAGTGATGGCATCGCTCAATTAACATATTCAATAGAAAATGTTAAAGAGGACCGCATTTGCCAAAACGAAGACATTGTTGCCCTCGCAGACGATACCGATCTCAGAAGCGTTTTTTTCTCTGATAAAGGAGTAGGTGCAGCTCGAAGCGCCCGTTGTTCCATAATGCTAAAACGTGCAAATAGGATCCATGCATATACGATTCGTCTGGAGTACTTCTAGTGCTTCAACATTGGCGAAAGCCCGGTCAGGCGAGGTGGGTACCTCTACTAGATACCAAGCAGCTTGATCGTGTGGCGTCCGGCAAGAAGCAAGAAACATACTGGCCGGTTGCTGTTGCAGAAAATGCTTTCCACTGCATCATTCTCAAAGGGGGAGATCAGTATCCATACTTCCCTCGCCCACTTCTCACTGAGTTCGACTTTAAAATACCGATTTCTTCCACACGCAAGGACCCAGCAAATGACGACGACGGCGATACGGAAATGGAGGCACCGAACGGTCAAGACACTAACCGTAAACTTCAAGAAACCTTGGTTAGGGTCGTCATCGAAGCCAGTCTTTTGGAAGATTGTGTAGAAGCGGAAGAAGGCAGCTCGGCGCAACTTGCAGACCAACGAAGGAAAGAGGTCGAGGTTGACAAGACCATTTTACAGCTGTTGGCAGTCGAATGTCGGGAAGGAGAAGAAAAGGGGATGAAGGCATATGAGCTGGTTACCATGTTCCGAGATCGAACAGGAAAGATGCTTGAGGCTGCTAGCAAGATTGCGCAGAGATATGAGCGAACAATTCTGGATGAGCGGATCAGGACATTAGCTGAGAGGAGGCTTCTGGGTGAAGATGACGACAATGATGATACCTTTGTATGATACTAGACTATTTCTCACAAAATATACACTTCTTTATAGCTGTTCAGACAGATCAATTGTTCTCTTTGCTGTTTGCTTGAGTCTGAGCTCCTATCGAGCGACGTCATTGGCCGTTTGCCCGCAGCACAAAACTTTCTGCTGCCTCCGACGGACGGCGTGCTTAGCATCAACTGCAGGTTTCCCTCTAACGAATCCCTATGAAGGCGAGCTATATTGCTGTTATCGATACTCATGAAGTATCCCGATTTTTGAATTCCTGTTTTCCTTAGCATTTGCCGCCATCTCCACTATGCCCAAACCTCTCTGCAGCCTATGCCCAAGACCGTCAGTGATCAATGCCCTTTACCGATGCTCTTCGTCGATAGTCCCAGCTGCTCCCTCTACTTTGCACCGAACACATGCCCAAAATTATATAATTTCGGCCCCGTTCATACCGCGGCGCTCTCTTGCTCGATTGCGACCTGAGCGCGACACAGACTCGGAGCTATGGACAACTGCCACACAGCCTACATTAATATCCCGGAGTGATTCAAGGGCAACAAGCGGAGGAAGAGAGGATGAAAATCACAAGCCCCTGGATGAGCGGATCCTTAAGCTTGGGAAGAGTGTGTGCTGATATTAACATCCTCAATCAACACGGATATCAAGCTGACTTTTATACTTTTGACTTATGTAGCTCTTCGTACCCTCACTACCCACCTACCAACTCTCCTACTTCACCCAATTCCTCAGGAAATCCTTTCGCCAAATATAAGTCTTCATCTTTTTCCATCAACCCATCCTCACCTACCCACCGTCAAGGGCCGTGTTGCCTACCGTGCGGCGCTGTGGACCGCCCCGGTGGCATGGGGCAGTGTTCCGATTGTTGGAAATGTTCGATTGCAAATTATCAGCGAACGCATGGTACGTGGAGGGGCAATGTGCGAATTTGATCGCGATGACTCCTACGGTGACGAGAAGCTGGTTGTGCGCTGGGTGACGGAAGACGGCTCTTCAAACCCATCGTCAGGATCAAAAAATAGAGTAGTGACCAAAAGTGACTTGTCATCTATGTCTAGGGGTGAATGTAAAGGTTCGGGAAGCAGTGCTGTATCATCAGCATCGTCATCGTCTAACGGGGCAAACAGGGGATTGAGTGCCTTGCTAGGCGGTGATGTGCCAATTTTCAAGCTTGGAAAAGAAGAACAATTTACAGGATTGTTTATATTTTCTTTCGACGAGGAAGGCCGTATAGCTACACATACCATTGAGCATGCAGATGAGAATTCCGGCTGGGATAGAACTGCTAAGGTCGTTACGTTGACGGATTGGCTGCTAGGAAAAGCCAAATGGGGCTCTAGAGAGCCATCGAATCCCGCACCTGCATTTGTGGTCGAAATACCACCGATGAATGCGTGTGAGAGATTAAGATTGAACAAAGCTGCACAGCTTCCTAGTGATCGGCTACCCAGTGAGTGTGCAACTTGTGATGACAAGAAATGTTGGTCAGCATGAGGCAGCCTGAACATATACTTCACTTTTGAAAGGTGTGGCGCTCATTGCTTACAGTCGCCTTCATCTCTCTGTTTAAGTTGGTCTCCTAATTTAGCTTCATGTTATCTCGAATGCGCAGGTTGTATCAGTTTGCCGATGCCTTAAGTTGTGGGAGTTTTGAACTGGCGTTTGACCAAGTGTCATTTCACTCTGTACAATACCCAATTGGGACAGCAGTTATGGGAGGCTCTATGTTGATTGTCATTTTCCCCCGCCCAAGAACTGGGTTTGAAATTCTCCTCTCAGACTTTTCTTGTTATGAAATTCAGATAAATCTGAGTTGAACAATGAGACATGTATAAATGAAGTATCCTAGTGCTCCAAATATTCAAACTGCTTTGGCAGCTTCAGAGAGACCGGGCTAGATCCATTAAAAGAAAACTTGATATTTGACCCATACGTGCGCTCGAATGCCCGGTATAGAGAACATCTCGTAGCCGCCAATTATGTTATGATTTTGGAGTGGTGGAATGGCGCATGGGACACCATTCTTACCCAGTATTTGCCGAGAAGAAGGCTTAGAGTGGACTGGCTATAGTATGATAGGATAGGGACTACAAGAAGTATTCTTTAAAGCATCGAAGATTGGTCATTTGTTAGTATGTTCTATAGTATCAAGCTTTCAGATACCTGTTACAGTAGTAATATGCAAGCTTCGAGCTTGTTTCGTTTATATTCTTAGCGGAACCGTGTTTCCTCCATATAGTAATGAAAAAATAACATAAGTCCCTTCAATTGTATGGAATTGTTTCACGGCGTTTAGCATAGTATGGGTTTATAGATAAAATAAAAGATATAAATGTAGATGCATTTCTTCAGAACAAGGCTTCGGAATTTTTTTAAGTCCAATCCTTGTGATAAATAATATACCGCCCCTTAGGAAACAGCTCGCTTCTATAATTCCATTGACCCCAGAAGCCAAAATTGAAGAGAAAAACAGTGGTATTCAAACAAGGTGTGGCAAGCCGTGAACTTACCGTGTTATGTAGTAAATGGAATACTCAATGTAATCTATGAGCCCATGATCCAAAAGAAACTTATTTGCCTGCCGCTATTTTTGATCTGGCTGGGGATTTCAAAGCACCAAAGACAATGGCGCAAACACCCATCATAGCGGCGGCACCAACATTGTAGGCAATTTCTCGTCCGCCCCACCAGAAGAGGGTGCAGAAAAGAATTGGACCTGTTGCTCTGCCTGCCTGGCCCCAGCTTCGCAAGCGGCCTAGAAACACGCCCCTCTCACCCTCTGCAGCTTCGAGACTCCCCAGACTGTTCAGCCCCGTGACTACAGTGGCGCTTGTTACAGCAAGCAGGCAACCGGCAGCGTAGAGGCCAGTCAAAGAGGAGATACGAGCTAGGAAAAAGAAAGAAAAGGTGCATGCTAAAACACCGATGCGAATGGTAAGAAGAGGTGGGAGGCGGCGAATTATGGAGCCTTGGAGTATGGAGGATAGGAGGCCCATGGCGGAGAGAAGCCGGCCGTTCAGGGCTGATGGGCTTGCTGTCGAGTGTGACGGTGATATTTGGGAATAAAGCGTTGCGGTAAGGAATGGTAGAGAGAACTCGAGGCCCGAGAAGGGTAGGAGGAATAGGAAATGTGTGATGTTGAGCAAATATGGGTTGTTGGCATACTTTTTCGCGGCAGGACTTGCTGAGGTATTGGTATTATCTTTTGATTGTTTTGTCGAGGTTTCAGGAGATATCTTTTTCTCGGTAAGGTTTGAATATCGCGGGTGTGTTTCCGGTAGATAGAAGTAGATGTAAACTGTCTCCGTCAAAATCAACAATAGCGAGCAGCCTGCTGCAACGGCAAAAGGGTTCTCCGCTACCCCCGTCACGTTAGAGAGTGCAGCTCCAATGGCAGGCCCGAAGGTGAAGGCAATGCTAAAGCACGCCCCAACCAGAGCCATGGTTCCTCCTCTCTGGCTCTCGTCGCTGATATCCGTGGCAATCGCATTCGCGATCTGTACGTTTCCTTCGCTCAAGCCACCAACAATTCTGCTCCCGAGAAACGTTCTGAAATCTGTAGCAGCAACCCATAAGGCAACACTAGCGATATTGCCCATCATGGACCAGAGAAGAGCTGTCCGGCGCCCTTTTCTATCGGATATTTTCCCAATAAACGGTGCTGCCATGGCCTGGAGAAATGAGAATAGGGACCCAAGCGCGCCTCCCAAAAGAACGACATCATATTTGGAGTCAATAGGCCTTGCAAATGAATTTTTATAGGCATTAAGATAATGGAGTATGCGGTTGAGCACCGAATTCGGCGATTGATCTCGTTGGAGGTAGAAAGTGAGCAGAGACGGGAACAGCGGCAGAATGAACGTAAAGGATATCTGTAAGTGGCCCCGATTTCAGTACAATATTGCTCAGCTGGGGGCTAGAAGTTCTTTGGACTTGCTTACCAGGTCTAACAGTAGAGAGATGAACAGGACTTTGAGAATGCGCTTCCGTTGCGCCGGAGCGACAGCAGTAGTCGCCATGGAGAGGAAAACGTCGGGGTCAATCAAGCGCACTCAAGCATTTTTGCTCCTGGAGGTGAAATTCTCAGTTGGAGCAGCAACCGGCGGGGTCTTTTTAAATGTAAGTTAACGAACTAGACAAGCGAGAGCAGTGAGAAGCTTTGGCGCATTTTAGTTGACTAGTTAGTTAGTTAACTGGTTACGGTTTCGGAGCTCTCCTGAGACTGAGACACGCCCAAACCGAACCTTGATTTGGCGGGGTTCCAGCTCCAAGTACCTCATGCCGAACCGATGGGCTATTTGCGGAGGAAACGGCTGAGCCCCTATAGTTAGCTAATAATGGCGAGAGTGTTTGCAGCGAGAGCCGTAGTTGGTGAAGGATTCGGTTCCTTCAGGATCGGAAGGGCTGTGTTCTTAGTTCTACATGTCATATTCTTCTCTCGGTTGCCTGCGGAATTATCAAATTGATATTGAACAGCCAGGTTCTCTTCGACTGCCATTGCTAAGGATAAAGGGTATTATCAAGTCTCTAGGGGTCAATCTCCATCCCCTCCGCCCCAGTCCCAAGTGCTAGCCAGGTCAATTAAATTACATGGAACAAAAAAAAGCTCGCCCCCAACCGGCAAAAGAGACAACGAACAAACGAGAAATAGGGGCCCAGGAGATAACTAGGGAAGAAACGAACAACACCGAATGCACGCTAAAACAATCATAAAGCCAATTTTTTCATTGTTGATTCCTCTGCGTTGTCTCGATTGAAAAAGAAATGGCCACTTCCCGATGATGCGAAGTCGTCAGTTACGGCGAGGGCGGAACACGAATGGTAAAAGGAGAGAGACCGTAAGGCAAAGGACTGGTGGGGCTTTAGGTGAAAGATAGGATCCTCGATTCGGCGGCAAGAAAAATAGGAGCAGAGTCAGAGCAGAGATACCGACCCGACTATCAATCTGCGATTCCGGCAGGCATCTGTGTCGTAGGGTATTCACAGTACAAGCAGCACGTCGTTGGCGATCAGTTGATGTAAAACTTGCGCGCTCTACGGCTCCTGTTACTGTGCCGGTCCAGTTTCTCCGGCCTGATGGGAGAATGACCCGCGACCACGGCCACCTCTAAACTCTCCACGGCCACGTCCACGTCCACGGAAGTCTCCACGATCTCCACGAAAGTAGCCGCCTCGTCCACGATAGCCGTCACCTCGCGGGCCACGGCCACGGAAGCCTCTGCCACGTCCGCTGTTCTGTCTGTTATGATGAAGGACGGGCTCAAAGCCGTCCACTTGCTGAACGCCCTGGGTTGAAGCAAGAGGGGCGACGGGGATATCATCGGCCCAACTGTTGGAAGACTGGAAGGGAGGGCGTGGAGCTTCTTGCGATGCTGCCAAGGCCTCTGCGATCTTGTCCGGATTCTCAACGTTAACCCATTCCTCGGTCATTTGGGAAGAGCTCATCGCTGGCTGGGTGGCCCATGCAGCCTGTGCCACAGCATTAGCAGAGTCATTCGCAACAACGGCTTGTGCTGGGACAGTCTCTGCGGGCTGGAGTGTAGAGGAGTTCATTGTTGATACCTGGGCCATTAAGGACTGATCCTGCAATTCAGTCATCCCGGCGTTCGCTAGGGTAGGGTCTGTAGCCTGGATAGCACTAGAGGTGAGAATCGATTCGGTAGACTGTTGAGCTTCTTCAGTCCATGTCTCTGCCGGGGGCTGGTAGTCCAACGATGCCTGTTTGACTCGTTCATCTAAACGTAATATTAGTATAAGGATGAGGGTTGATTATCATCGATTATTGCGTTGCTGACTTACAGGTCAATTCGATTGCGTCTCCGTCGACACTTGTAACGTTCTCTTCAGCACCCTTGATCAACTTTTCCATGGCATCAACTGCTTCATCTGTGCCTCCATACACCTGAAACAATAAACCTTCGAAAGCACGGCTGTCGGTTGAATTTTCATCTCCACTACGTCTCATAGCAGCAGCAGCACGCAAGAATTTACTGAGGATAAGCAGTTTCTCCTTGAAGTCCTTCTCTGCAGTTTGATGGGCATCAGCAGTAGCATCTTTCTTGATAGCATCCACTTGCTCTTGATGTGTCTTTTCCAGCTCTGCCTTTTGTTTTGCGAGACGTTCTTCATAGTGCGCGCCATATTGTTTGAACTGAGAGATCTGCTCCTCGATGGATGCAACGTTTTCCTGGAGGGCGGGCTTTTTTATCATTTGCGCCTTCTGGTCTGCATTGATCTTTTTGGCAGCAACCAGATCATCCAGCGATAGCCCAGGATTTTCGGCAACAATGGTATCGACCTTAGCCGTGGCGTTCTAGGGCATTCAGCGTCAGTGATGCCTCACCCCACAGCCCATTGAACACCTAATAGAACTTACCAGCTTCTTGGTTGCATTTCTCAAGCTCCTATCAGAGACCACAGTGTTAGCAGCACGCAAGAATGCAAAAAAAAAAAAAAAAAAGCTCACGAAGGTCTAGACATAGGGAAAGCGTACTTTTGAAGGTCCTTCAGATAGGAAAAATCGGAGCCAGCGCCATTGGCAGTCGACTCAGCAACAGAAGCTGACTCTGGGGCGGAAGGAGTTGGAGGCGTCGCAGGAGTTTCGGCCTTACCACGCTTCTTCTTAGAGCTCTTAGAGTCGACTGGGGAGGTGTTTCCAACTGCCGATGCAGACATGGTCGGTAAGGTGGGCGGGTCGTGTGATGCGGGACAAGAGACAAGATGCAGTCAAGGGTGGCTATAGGAGCGTGGAATAGTAATAATCGCGCTTGGGTTTGTCCAAAGCGTACAAGTGAAAAAGAAAGATATGGGTGCGGTAAGAGGTGTGTCGTGGAGACAATAATCGAGTGCGAGAAAGAAGCCGCGGGCTGTTTTGATTTTGGTGGGCGAGCCGCTCGCCTTTGTGGAGCTGTGGTGCAGCAGCAAATCCACGCGGCGGCATCCTCCAGGCCCCTTAAGCTCACCAGCGAGCGCTTCTCTTGATTTCTACGCCGGTCCATCCGGCATGTGAGGATTCCACGCGAATTCAACAGGCAGCCTGTGAGGACTGAAATCTACTATACTGCTCTAATACTACATGCGACAACCACGATTCCAATAACTCCCGCACCCAGGATTCACAGGGTATCCAGCATTGCTAAGTCACCCCCCTTGTCAATATCAACACGTTTTGGGTAGCAGTCTCGGTTATTCGCCCAGCCCGTTATCCTTTAAACTTGCGCAACGTCCCCTAAAATATTAACGCATTAGCACGGTAGCAAGGTGCTCATTGAACGAAAATGCCGACCTCTGTAACTCGTCGAATGCTTCGAGCAGAAACACCACTCTCTCCGCTTTTCTTTGACCGGATCGAAGCTTCTCGCATCAACCTGAACTCACTACAGTCAATATCGCATGCGGCGGTGAAGTGATGCGGCCCAGTCGTTCCCGGCGATGGTGTTGTACTCACTCTTGCATAAAGAGCATATAGTCTAAATATATCTGTACGGCATGATTAGCATCATAAGCCCGGAAGCTCACTGCACGATTGCCAGCTGTTAATGAGCGGGAGGTTTGCGCGAGACGCACGAGAATGTCTGCATTCTTGCTCAGGTTCATCCGCGTGTGGGCCTTGACAATTCGCTTGACAGTTGCCCGCGGGTACAGCTTAGGGGCCACCACCATGGCTTCCACCGAAATTTAGCCAATGTCTTCTGGAAAAGGGAGCCGCACCGCAGCAGTCATGGCGTGTGGCTCGCGGGTTGTCGTTGAGCTTCCCCTCTTCGCCTTGAAATGCATCGCGTCGACGCAGCTTACATAATTTATACAAACTATACAAATAAGCCAAGGTATTACTCATCCGCTTATGCATGACATCATTCTTGGTGAAATGAGAGTAAAACACGCTAGTCCGCTTCCAGAAAGGCACCGCTGGCCGCTCGTGTAACGTGAGGGTGCCGCGGCCGCTGATTGGCCCGTAGCTGCAGCGGAAGTCTCGCCGCGGCGGTCGCCCGCGCAACCCCGGCCACTCGCATCGCAGCCGCCGCAGCTTTTTCGCTCTCGACCCCGGTCTGTGTGCGCGTGAGCGGGGACAACGACAGGCCTAGGCTGGCAGTGCGGCCGATACTAATCTTCCGACAGACTCAGTCCATATATACCCTGACGCCCGCCCGCCGTCGTGATCAATTGGATCTTTTCCTAGCACTCTCACCGGCATCACCGCAGCGAGGGCTTGCGTCGCGTGCCCCTCTCTATCCGCCATAATGCGCTTCGGCAAAATCTTGAAGAGCTCCATCTATGCGCCATGGAAGGAGCATTATATCGATTATTCCACCCTTAAGAAGCTCCTGCGAGAGCATGAGCCCAAAGCCGACGGGGACGGGGCGCAGTGGACGGAGGACGATGAGGAAAATTTCGTGCAGGAGTTGGTGAACGTCCAACTTGATAAGGTCAATTCGTTCCAGGTGGAGACATACAAGCAGCTTCGGGACCGGATTTCGGCTTGCGAAACTAAACTAGAGCCCTTGACTCTGGACACGAGCGTCAGCCATCTGCAAGAAAATGAGAGGAAAGCTATCGCGCAGGAAGCTCTAAATGAGCTGGACAAGGTGACCAAGGAGCTAAGTGAACTTGAGAAGTTCAGTCGCATCAACTTCACTGGCTTCTTGAAAGCGGCAAAGAAGCATGATCGTCGCAGAGGTACCCGGTACAGAGTAAGGCCGTTACTTCAAGTGCGCCTATCCCAACTACCTTTCAACTCTGAGGACTACTCTCCGCTCCTATATCGCCTCTCCGTTATGTATTCGTTCGTTCGCCAAATTCTGGACTTCGGTTCCGAGGTCGTGAAGGAAGTCCCCACTGTGGATGTCCACATTGGCCACGATGCTTACATCTCCCATAAGTTCTGGGTTCATGTGGATAACATCATGGAAGTAAAAACGTATATCCTTCGTCGTTTACCTGTGCTTCTCTATAATCCAAATGCCTCAAAGGACCTGGACCTGGGACAATACGATCCTAGTATCACCTCCTTATATTTCGACAGCCCATCGTTCGATCTGTATAGTCAGAAAATCGAAAGATCATCGGGTGCAGGCTCCCTACGACTCCGTTGGACCGGGAAGCTAAGGGATAAGCCTGAAATCTATCTCGAAAAGAAGGTAATGGGAGAACGCGGCAACAGCCGCGAAGTCAGAATCAGCTTGAAGGCAAAGCACATCCAGTCCTTCCTAGAAGGAAATTATAAGATGGAAAAAATAATTGAAAGAATGCAGCGACGTGGACACGTGGACCAGAGCCGTATAGATGCCCTGAAGAGCGATATTGAAGAGATCCAGAGCTTCATTCGAGAGAATGAGCTTCAACCTATGATCAGAGCCAACTACACTCGGACAGCTTTTCAGATCCCAGGCGATGACCGTATCAGGGTTTCCTTAGATACGGATGTTGCCTTAATTAAAGAAGATTCATTGGATTCAGAGAATCCATGCCGCGATCCAAAAGACTGGCATCGCCATGATATTGACGATGGTGACATGGAATTTCCTTTCACTGGCATTAACCCGGCAGAAATTGCTCGCTTCCCACATGCCCTATTGGAAATCAAAGTGAGGGGTGATAGCCAGCGCAGAGCTAGTAGAGAATGGCTTGCTGACCTTATGTCCTCCCATCTGGTAAAAGAAGCTCCACGGTTCTCAAAATTCGTGCATGGAACAGCTCAGCTTTTTGAGGATCAAATTAACAGCTTCCCTTTCTGGCTTAGCGACCTTGATATCGATATTCGCAGAGACCCCGAGACAGCATTTCAGGAGGAACAGGAAAAGATTGCCAGACGTGCTGAAGACCAAATTGCTGTAGGCAGCTTCTTAGGGAACAAGACTCCGGTAATCCAGCCCCTTGTAGGATCACCTATTGGCAGGATTCTGTCTGAAGAATCTGCCGAGCGTGCAAGACCTCGTTCTCTGCAAGTTGTGGCGCCCAAACCCATTCCTGATCATATCCCAGAAGAGATCGACAATGTGCAAGAACAGCCGCAGGAGCAAGATGAACGCCCCTGGTCCAACGGTCTTCGTTTCAACCTCCCGCGGCTCTCCATGTCTCGTTATGCTCGCGCCCATAGACAGCCTCTCCCCCCTGGCGTGTATGCTCCTGATACATGGATCAAAGACTCCGGGCCAGTCCGTGTCGAAGCCAAAGTATGGCTAGCCAACCAACGAACCTTTATTAAGTGGCAGCACATCTCTGTCCTTCTCGCCGCAGTATCACTTGGTTTGTATAACGCCGCGGGCCCCAAGAACCCTATCGCCCGCACGCTAGCAATTGTGTATACGTGTTTTGCTCTTTTTGCAGGCGCATGGGGCTGGTGGATATATATGTGGCGAGCGAAGTTGATTAGGCAGCGGAGTGGGCGGAATCTCGACAACGTCGCGGGGCCGTTGGTGGTGTGCTTGGGGATGGCCGTTGCCCTGGTGTTGAATTTCTGGTTAAAGGTCGGTTCCCAGCCATTTTTTCATATTCCCTTTGTGTTTTCTCTTCCGGCCCTCCATGCCATTGCGTCAGTGCATCTGTGTCACGGAAAGCACTGCGCCTGCCAATCGCATTTTCGCCGACTCGTCGTATCAGACAGTAGTCTTCCTAGGCCTCTCATTGCAAGATCCCTATTTGTCAGCTCTTCATATATAGTGAGACTAACCATGGTCCTGATTGATAGTATGCGACTGTCTGGAACGCGAAACACCCCCATCCACCCCCGTCGACTTCCACCTCTATCGCTGCGATGAATTCGTCCAGTGTTGCGGATTCAGCACGCGAAGCCGTTTTTCAATTTGTCAACCAAGTTGGGTCGTCTTGAATCTCTCGAGATTCAAACGATGCAATTTAATCCCGTTCCCTAAACACCACACGCATCTTGTATGTACCTGTGCGCGTACAAAATAACCCCTCATTTTTCGGAGTATTTTCTTTCTCATTGGAGTTCTCGCCTTGATCTGTACCTATGTACGTAGTTATAATAAATTGTTCGAAAGGGCAGAATTTCACGGTGCGATGTAATGGAGACACGTAGTGTTCCTCCATGCTGGCGGCTCTCTCTTATTTATAGCCATCGTCGAATCGGCATCAAGTGATTACGGGCGTTTCCACCGGCAGAGTCAAAACGGGATCCCCACCTCGGGGTGATCCTCCCGCAAGACAAGAATTCGACAGCTCACCTGCAGGGGATCCACCAAGGTTCGCGGCCTTGCTGAGACAGCACGCGTTTGACAGCTCTATTGGGTAATCTTACATGTAGCAAACTTTCACACACTCCCTTGTTATTTGGAAGTCCTACTAATCTGCGTGAGTTGAAGAAGGGACAGAATGTATTTATTTCCGAAACAATCATATATCTATCCCTTATGGCGCAACAAAAAGATCCCATATAACTCCATACCAACGCCGGCCAGTCCTATGCTTAAAACGGAATGGGGATAAGGATTAATATTAGGAGAAGTGGTATTACTGTGAAGGAGGAATTAAACGCCTAAGAAATAAGACCCACAGAGGGCAGAGATGCAGACGAAAGACAAGGGCCAACAGAGGGGGGAAGAGAAGTAGAGAAGCGTCCGAACGCCTCACTGTGCTAAGGGAACCAAGGAAGAGGAGAAAGGGACGAAGTGGAGGGTATCGTTACGGAGCCATTGATTGAGGAGAGTCTACGAAGCCTAACTAAAGGAAAGCAAGGCCGCCACCAGAGGAAAGCAAGAGCGTTGGCGAGAAGCAAGGATTCTCTAGTAGTAGGTCTCGTGCTTCAGCTCATAGTTGGGCATCTCTTCAAACCAGTTGGTCTTCGCGTTATACCGGAAGACATTGAGCTCCACACCATAGGGTTTCTAAAGGGCAAACAGAGTTGAATGTCAGTGAATGGACACAGGCTTAGAAGGGTATGTTTTTTCGGACAAACGCAAAGGGGAACAAGAGGGGACTCACAGGCTCCAGGGCATAGATGGTTCCAGGGGGCACATCTAAGTCAGTCAGGATCTCCCTTTTGAGCCCGAGAAAGTAAGCAAGCAGAATCCTTGCAACAGAGCGAGGCCCAACCAGCAACACATGATCTGTCATGCGTTCAACCTCAACAATCACTGCTCGTAAACGGTTGATGACATCCAGATATCCTTCACCACCAACACCAGGATAGCGATAGTGAAGTTTCTCACGGCGACGTGCAGCATACTCTTCTGGGTACTGTGCACGGATCTGCTCATATGTCAAGCCTTCCATTTTGCCGGCATTCAGTTCATCCAACATTCTCATCTGCTTCACATCATATTGTTCTTCGTTGAAGAACTGCACAGTCTGAATTGATCGCTGCATCATAGATGACCAGACACAAAAGTTTCGAGGCGCTTCAATGCCCTGGGAAGTACTGCGTTGTGGGTTTGGAGGTGTGCTGTCTCCAGGGCGTGGCGGGAAATGACTTTTTTCAGCTTTGTTTCGCAGGTTAAGCTCCCACATACAGCGTTTCCATCCAATAAAACCTGCAAGAGCTTCAGCATAGGCTATTCCAGTATCACTCAATGGTGAGTCTCCTCCAATTTTACCAGAACGGTCATCCAAGCTTTCACCATGACGGGAAATCCAAATCTGTCGCGGGGATAGATTGAAGTTAAGCAAGTAATAAACAACCTGCGAGGAAAGAAAGCCATTCACTTCAAAAGAAACAACCTTCCGGCAGACATCAATCGTTTTGACGTATGGAAGGCTGTTTATCTCTTCATATTCACCAAGAGGCACATAGGATTTTTCATACAATTTGACGCGTTGTTTAAAATCCGCCAAAGCGACGGTAGGGTCCATACCCTTGTAGTCGGGGCCAGAGAGCTTTAGAAGCATGTTTGACTCTAATAGATTTTGGTCAAGACACTGGCTTTCGACAAATAGAATGTTCAAGTCCGGTCCAGCTCGGGCACGGATATACTGCATAATTGCCTTGCGGCGCTTCAGGGTGCTGTTAGTTGCATCAAGAATACCGACACTGCCACCCTGCTCAAGAATGTAATCAAGAAGTTCATCCAAGGTTTGAAGGGCAAGTCTTTCCCTAATCTGCAATGCGCGTTCGTTATCGGGATCGAAAAAGCCAGCAGATTGGTCCATCACTTCGTGTTCTTGGCCTTCAGTCTTTGCGGTCGCCGCTTTGTTCTCTTTATCGGTGTTTGTGGTAGCTGAGATTGTTTCAGCGGGTGTGGAAGGCAGATCAGTCATTGGGCTTGCAGATTGTAATCCCTTTCGTGGATCTTCTAGAGCCTTGCCACCCATCAGAATTCTGGCAGCCGGAATAGCTACAGTAGCTTCGACCTGGCGACGAACTTCTGGGGTTTGCGTGTAATTGGCATCATCGACAACTGAGCGAACTGAATCTCTCAGCTCATCTTCAACAGAAGCCGGCGCCTTCAAGCCTTCTTTGATCGTGTTTTCATCGGTGTCTTGGAGCGTGATGACTGGAATATCCTGAGTCTCATTATGCAGCTCCCCTACAGCGTCCTGTTTGCTAGCATTGTTGCTTTTGCTTTCATTTTGAATAATCTTGTTTGCTTCTGGTTGAGGCTCTTGTTCAGCGTCGTTTTTAAAGGCGTCTTGAGAGCTGTTTTCAGGTGCATTCTGGGAATTGTGATGATCATTTTCTTGCTCGTGTTTTGCACCGTCGGCTGGCCCGCTACTGGCAGCAACACGGCGACGCTCTCCGACATTGAAGATTCTGGTGTCGTGCTGCAGCCAGTTCAGATATCGGGAGAGCTTCTTCGTGATATAGCTCTTGCCTCTGGCAGGCAGGCCCACCATAACGATGACCAGCTTAGAGCCGACATCACGCTGAGCGATACGGCCATCGGGAGAGACCTTGGATTTGGTCAGGCCGGGGATATCAAGGGTGGTGGCACGCGGCTTGCTTGGAGTCGACGTGCCAGAGATGAAGGGATGACTGATATTCAACGCAAAGTCAGCGGCTCGTTGCTAGTCTCATTTGCAGCTGGCTCCACATGCCGCGAAACAGCCCTGCAAAGTTAAAAGTATATAGATCGGGCGAGAGAGGAGCGCCCGAGACGGACGGAGACGCAGACAGAAGACAGGGCAGGACAGCAAGAACAGACTACTCACATTTGAGGCGACGGGGGAGCGGTGGATATCGGCGTGTCGGCCAGGGCATTACCAGCACCCGCCGGCGCTGCAGCGCTGGAAAAGCCACCTGTCGCTGCGTTGGTGCCAAGAGCCCGTCCAACCACGGTTTTTGGCGGAGGCATCAAACGGTCGGGGTCTTCTTCCAGGTCACAAGAGGGTGCAGAGCTGGTGTCACTGCTGGGGCCGAAAGTGGAGTCGCTGGGGCTCTCGATGGCCGCGAGTTGGTCGTGCATTCTGGTGGTGGCATTGAAGAAGTTGGACAGAATGGCCTGCCGGGCGAGGAGCGAGTGTCGTGACATTGGCGGCGCTTGGGCACACGCACCCTGATATCAAACACGCTCAGCCCTACCATGCCGGTCAGTGAGAGGGCCCGCACGCAGCGTAACAGTGGCTGCCCTGGTGATTGGAGAGTGTGTGATTTACCTGGTTAAGCTTAATGAGAGGCTTCTCGGCGCAGAAGCTTGGTGGTTACAGAGAGTGACGCGAGATGCAGTTGTGTGCGGGTGAGTGAGAAAGAAAAAGAAACTGAGGATGGAGGACAAAAGAGAAAGAAAAGGCTGAGGGCTAAATGAGAGGAGAAGGAGGGGAAATGTGTTCTTCAAAGCACAGAAAGCAGACGCGTCTGGTTGTGTTGATGCAGCTGAATGGCCTGGTAACCGTCACTATGATGAAGCCTCCCGACCAGATCCTGATATACAATGCACCGCCTGCACACACACAAAGAGCCTACACTGCCGCTGCTTGGGCTTCCAGACCATTGTTGAAACACTGAGGAAGACGCCTTATATGTATGCTTCGCATGCTGGAAGTTCTCTCACCAGCATTCGGCCCAGCACCCTCTATATATAGCCGGATGGTCAAGGAAGCCATTGGCTTCTGGTCGTCCTGCGATCAGGCTCAGATAGCAGGGACGGACCCAAGTGAGAACTTCCGCTTGTTTTGCGCTAAGGGGGATAGAAAGCCATGGAAGATCCCATGGAAAGAAATTTCAGCTATTACCTGCTATCCATACAGATACACACAGAACGGAGTACGTACATACATACATACACAATGATATAGTGGCTTGTAAATGCATTCCGCGCCTCGACCAGAATGTTCAAAGACTCTAACCCAGATGCACCCACCCACGCACACGTAGAATGCAAGAAACAGTCAGTCACCGGGTACATAACCTGCAGCAGCTGTAGACAACCTCCTAGAACAACTCTCATCAGCTTCTCTTCGGCCGGGGGTTGGGCCGGCCAGGTAGCGAATACAGATGGACACTTAACTATGCCCGCACCCCTGGCCTAATCGTCCTGTACGCCGCGCTCCAACCTGCCGTAGCCGTCAGTGAGAATAAGAAAGCCATTCCCATACATCTCGTCTATCACTCCTCTCTAGTCAAAGCACGTAGCCGCCCCTCCCCTAATTTCGGCGTTCCTCGGGGGGTAAAAGAAAATTGCAAAGATCTCGAGCGTACTCAAGGCCTAGTCCAGCTGATCGAGACAGCCCAGTAAATCACCGATAAAAAACAGAATATCGTAAAAGTATTTGTCGATCCAAAACATTTGCCATATTGCCTCCCGGCGACGACGAGGGCATGCTTAAATTTTCAGCGTCAGCGTTAATCCCATCAGGCAGCCATACGCAGCCACACTCAGGGCAGTCAGCACGACGACGACATTGCCGCTGGTCCGAAACTTGCGTCGATTCACCCCGTCGTCGTCGACCTCCTGGAAGAACGATTTGTTGCCCTGCTGCCGGCGAAACAAGCCGACGACCATGACGGCGGCGCCATACACGGCAAACAGCGCCCCAATACTGTAGAATTCGGTGGTGAAGATCTTCAGTACGACGAGGGCAAAGGAGAACTGCGAGAGCGAGGTGCGGATGTATGCGCCCTCGAAGGTGCGCTGGGCGGCGCGGACTTCGACGATTTCTTGCTCGGTCAAGACCACGGAGCGGGCGCGGTGCAGCCGCAAGCGGTATCGTTCACCGGCTCGACGCTGGTTTGCCAGTGAAAAAAGGCCTTTTGTCAGCTTCAGTAGAGACAAGACCAGACGGGAAACTCAAACGAGAGAGTCTGGACAACGTGAATGGGGACTGTGTGCGTGTGTGGTAATAGCCTGGCGGGCCGGGGGTTGTCCAACAGGCGGTCAGGAGTAGGGCGCTCTCGTACCTCAAACATAATCGCTCAAACGAAGTTAAAAGAGCCTTAAGATGGCGTGTGTAAGCGAGCAGGGGTTGCAGACTCGAGTCTACAGGTTGATTTTCGAGAGAAATCAAGAGACACTCGGGGTATAAGAGCGAGAAGCGTTCGCCCGAATCCTTCGCGCTCTGGTCGCTGTGGTGGCTGACGGCAAACCGTCGCGGGTGCATCGGCCGTCAGCTGAGCCTGACATCATTCTGCCCGCTCCTTGTGCCTACGCTGCTAGCAATACGGTGGCGATCCTACGAGCCGGGCTTGACTGAGCCCTAGATGTGCAGAGGCGTACTCCGTGTGTGTGCATCACTCTCGCTACCGCTGTCGAGGCTCGTTGCCGGCAATGGCTCGCCCGCGTGGCCTGGCGCACGGTCGGTGTGGCGGACAACGGCTGTCCCATGGCTGCAGAATGTGGGCTGCATGCGACAATCTCCATGCACAGTGATGCGGCGTGCTGCATCTCGCTTCAATGCTCCTGATGAGTATCTTCGGTGATGGAGGAGTCAACCGCAAGAGAAACGCAGCCCTCCCAGATGAAAATCTCAAGCGCCAAACAAATCCAAGCCAACGAATTTAACTCAAGCGAAGCCACAGAGATGCAGCCGGGGTAACTAACTGATCAAAACAAAATGACATATCTTCTTTGCTTCCAGTCGCATGTACACATGTAGAGCCTCCGTTTGGCACAACCTCCAAACTTGCTAGGAACACCCTTCACCCATATATAATCCCCGAGCCGGATAATTTGGCGGCTATTTCCGAGGATGCCACCCGTGCTCCGTGGGTAGGAGCCAGGCCAGCAAGCTCTATAGGCGCTGGCGCCGAATCAGCAAGCCCAAGATTCTAAGCAGAAACTCAAACTCCGGGCTTGTCGGCCGAATTGCCTGGAGCCGACGCCCAAAGCTCCATCAAAAATGCTGGAGCTCCACGGGAGGCGTCATCGCGTGTGCCCGGATCAGACTCAACAAGGCCGTCCGAACCCCAGACTGCCCACCCCGCAAGCCGGGGGGAATCCTGCCAGGCTGTCCGCAGCCACCTCGTGCCGTCTTTTCCAGGCCACGTTCCGGATATAACCTTGCGGGAGCACGCTGCTGTGTAGCAAATATCAGTATCATCCTTGGAATAGGACTGGCCATTGGATAGTCGGTCCCGGAAAGCCATCGATTGGAACGTGGCGGAGAAAAGACACAGAAAAAGAAAGAAGAGAGAAAGCAGCAGAGTCATTATTGACTGGTGATGGCACAAAACAAATTTTTAGATTCGGCAGAGGGTGCGTAATTCTCGTTGGCTGCCGTGGCACAGATCGCGGATACTGACATCTCGCCAGTTGCGAAACACAACACTGCCGACAGCTGCTGGGTCGTCCTCTATGGCAAGGTGTACGACGTGAGTGGCTCGCCTGCAGCCCATTAATTAGTCCTTGGGACGATCCTAACAGCCTGGCATTTTAGGTGACTGACTTCGTTCCCGAACACCCTGGAGGCGCGAGCATTATTCTGAAATTAGCCGGTAAGGATGCGACCGAAGAATACGACCCGATTCACCCCAGCGGGACGTTGGAGGAGAATCTGCGGCCAGAAGCCTGCATTGGCGCCGTCGACCCCGAATCGCTGCACAAGTTGAAACCCGTCAAGGCCCAAAGACCCGCACAGGCCCGCGAAGGCCCCCCGCCGCTGTCGACGCTGCTTAACCTCGACGATATCGAGCGCGTGGCCACGCAGCAGATCAGCCGAAAGGCCTGGGGCTACTACTATTCTGCTGCCGACGATCTCATTTCCAAGTCCCTCAACACTACTGTCTATCGCTCCATACTCCTACGCCCTCGGGTTTTTGTAGACTGCGAAAAATGCGACCTCTCCACCACGGCGCTGGGCTACAAGATCGGCTCGCCCATCTATGTCTCGCCAACCGCAATGGCGCGTCTGGCCCACCCCGCCGGCGAAGCTGGCATTGCCGCCGCCTGCTCGAAATTCGGCGCGATGCAGCTCATCTCCAACAATGCCTCCATGACACCCGAGGAGATCGTCAAGAACGCGGATCCCAACCAAATTTTTGGGTGGCAGTTATATGTGCAAACGGATAAGCGCAAGAGTGAAGCCATGCTGGCACGCATCAAGAAACTCAAGCCTATCAAGTTTGTTTGTTTAACGTTGGACGCAGCGGTACCCGGGAAGCGAGAGGACGACGAGCGAACGCAGGATATTCCAAACTCTAGTGAAACGCTGGAGTTGGTCAAGGACGCTGGCGGTACACCTGCCTCTGGCGCCAGCGGTATTGGAAAGCAGCTGTTTGGTGGCACTGACCCGTCGTTAACGTGGAAGACGACACTGCCCTGGCTGGCACAGCATACCGATCTTCCCATTGTTCTCAAGGGCCTTCAGACCCATGAAGATGCATACATTGCTTCACTTCATACCCCACAAGTCAAAGGCATCATTCTCTCCAACCACGGTGGCAGAGCCTTGGATACTGCACCTCCGGCAGTGCATACACTGCTGGAGATGAGGAAGTTTTGTCCAGAAGTTTTTGATAAATTAGAAGTTTGGATTGACGGAGGAGTTAAACGTGGTACAGATGTTGTGAAGGCGCTATGTCTGGGTGCCAAGGGTGTTGGTATTGGGAGGCCCGCTCTTTTTGGCCTGGGAGCTGGTGGGGTTGCGGGCGTAGAAAGGGTCTTGCAGAGTAAGTTGGGTGCCTTGACTTGACGGCCTCAGCTAACAATTTTCTATCAAGTTCTCAACGATGAAACCGCAACTGCTATGCGTCTTCTAGGAGTGGAGAAGGTGGAGGACCTCGGCATGCAGCATGTCAGTCACGCTACTCCCGCCGCCCTGAAGTGATACTAATTAAACGTTATAGATCAATGCTCGAGCTGTTGAACAGCTTATATACGACGGCCCAGCCGGGCTCAGCGTTCTCGGAACGCTTCTCAAGGCTAAGATATGAAGTGATGGTGACTTTTGTCTATATATCAATGTTGTCGGACATATTCCCGTATATACTTTTATTGGCACATACCGTGCCCTGCATTATAAGCAGGCGGAGCCTCTTCGCCGGGCCGGCAAAAGATTTATCTAGAATACACTCAGTGCTGCTGTGTAAATAGGTTCCTAAATCTTGTCTATATCTATGTAGCTCGAGTAAGCTCAGTTCTAGAACAACTCAGTCCCTGACGCCGGCGCGGGCTCAACGCAAACCCAGGCTCAGCGCCGCGTCGCCGGCCCGTGCTTCCCAAACTCAAAGATGCGACGAAGCTTCATCGCGAAATTCCTCGCATCGCCAGTGCCAGGCTTGTTTCTGCCAGAAAGACCCTGAAGCAAAGCATCGCATCGCCCTCGTACTCCTCGGAACTTGCCGCCCCTCCCGTTGTCACCACAGCCACCACGCCGCGCATCAGACCCCACTCTCTTCCCTTGTGGAAGCCCTTCGTCCTGCTCCCCCCATCCCTCCGTAACGCCGGCCCCCCATCCTGTTTCCACCTCACCACCTCCCACGTTGCATCTGCCATTCATGGTCACCACCCAGCCTCAACCATGAATTCTCGAGCAACTTCCAACGCGATCGCAAAAAGTCCCGCGCAATCTCCTGTTCCAGAGTCTCCAGAGACGCAGACGGCCGCAGGCACGAAACGAAAGCGGGGCACAGAGCCCAAGTTCTACGCCGTTAAAGATGGATTCCACCCTGGCATATATAACACGTGGAGTGAATGCTTTGCTCAGGTAAAAGGGTACAAGGGTGCTGTTTGTGCGTCTTGCCTGTATTTCCATCGGCCCTCAAACCCATATACTGACGCAAACGATGTATGAGCAGTTCAATCATTTCCCTCCATTGCAGAAGCCAATTCCTTCCTGGCAGGCAACTCTGCACCAGTCTCAGAGAACCCAACAACGGCCCATGCCAAATATTACGGCGTACAGCGTGGAAGGCAGCCCGGCGTGTATACCGATTGGGCAGTAGCTCAAGATCAGATCAAAGGCTTCCGTGGACCCAAATACCGCAAATTCTCCACCTGGGCTGAAGCAGATGAGTTTGTCCGGCTAGGTCGAGGCCAAGATGGAGCCAGTGTGAATAAGCCCCTCCGCGGCGCGCCGGGAATGACGGCCGAGCCGCCTAAAGATGAACAAGGAAACGAACTCCCCGCAGGTCTGGGGCCATTGCCCGCTGGCGCGGAGGATGGCTTTGATCCGAACGTGTTACTAAATCCAACTACTGGGCAGCTAGTGTACAAAACAGCTAGCCAGAAAGCTGCGACGAAATTGCAGCCGAAGCAAGAAATACCCAACATGCTGAACATTTACACAGATGGTAGCGCGCTAGGCAATGGCAAGTCCGTGGCCAAAGCGGGTGTCGGAGTGTACTTCGGCCCAGGAGATGAGAGGTATTCAATTCGCATTCTTCCTCTCACTCTCTGCCGTTTCAACTAAACCGTTGTCTGCTGTATAGAAATGTTTCCGAGCCCCTGAAAGGCTCCCGCCAGACCAACCAACGAGCGGAGCTGACAGCTATATCCCGTGCCTTGGACATTGCGCCCCGTCATCGTGACGTTACCATATTTACAGACAGCAAGTATGCCATCGATTGCGTGACAGTCTGGTGTTTGAAATGGCAGCGAAATAAGTGGATGACGAAGGATAATAAACCTGTTGAAAACAAAGACCTTATCCAAGCAATTATTGCTAAAATTGAAGAACGCACACTGTTACGTGTGAAGACGCTGTTTGAGTGGGTAAAGGGACATAATAAAGATGCAGGGAATGAGGCTGCTGATCGACTAGCCGTGCGAGGGGCGAGAACCGCTCTACAAGCAATGAATGACCATCTTTCTGTGGGAGATGGAAAGGAATCAGGGGAAAACGAGGAGGAAAAAGGAGAAGAAGAAGAGGACGAATTATGATGGTGTTTCTATACTCTTTATTTTAACTTTCTCATCTGTTTTCTTTTCGTTTATTTTGTCTGAATATTTATGTTTTCAATCAGCACCTTGGTGTGTGCTTTTCCTAAATACCTCCCGAACTTCGGCTGTCTTCTCTATGCCAGTTTATTGGGCCCTCCTTTGTCTATGATGTGTGAGTGAGCATGAGATAACATTGCCTAAACCGCAATATTATCATTTGTATTTTCGTCTAATACCGAAAATCGGTCTTTCTATGTTGTATCAGATGCCATGGAGACTACTATAGTCTAATTTTGCCGCTGCTCTGGAGAGTACTGCAGAACTAACATCAGATAGCCAAAGGTATCTTTATGAATCAATAGCATCCCGTAGTACAGTGAGTTTTTTTTTTTTTTTTTTTTTTTTTTTTTGATATAACTTTCAATAAGAAGGGGAACATTCGTTAGGGTGCTTCTTCTCAAGAGGATAATACTTTAAAAAGGAAAATAGCCCAGAAATAGTGTGGAGATGATCTGTCGACATGGTTAATAATCAAGATATGGTTATTTTGTGCCTTAGTCGGAAGGAGAAAAATATAAAAGGTAGCTCGGATATGAAATGATGGGTCTGCCAGGAAAGGCTCACTGAATATCCTCTACATGCACCCAATACTGAGCGAACTGCAGCTTTTCGGTAGCTTCTAACCCTTCGATGGAGGAGTTGCTGAGTCTAGCAGAGAATAAGTATTCGTAGTCCGTAGGCATCGGCAATATGGAGCAAATGCGACCAGGCTACCAACAGTCGTTCGACTTCATTGGAGAGAAGTATTGCCGGTGTCCCCGCACAATCACAGATTGTAGCTCATATCTCTATAGCTAGCCAAATTCGTCCAAGACGATGGATGAAGAGCTCATCCAACCTCGATATTATCAATATATGTTCTTGTCTGAGTTTTACTATTGACTGTCTTCGTTCCTCTTTGCGAAGAATCTTTGCCATAGTGCCGATAGAGGGCGTGGGAGCTTCCAGCTTGATAACCCTAGCCATTGAAAAATATTGATTCTAGGATATCGAAAAGTAAAGAGGTTTAGAGGCCAATACTTGGATGTAGATGGAGGGTTTGATATCCGGCCTAATGATATTAGTCTAAGAATGATAGCGGCTTAATGAAATACTAACGAATATCTTCCAGCAGCTCTGTTGCACAAGAGTACTCTCCACGCCAGCATTTACCCATTATATTGCTCATGGGTAGTCCTGAGACATCAGGAAATGTTCCAGAGTTATATAGCTGGACTACTTCATGATCTTCTAGATCTGGATAAGGATCTTTGGAGGTAATCAAGTTATACAACACAGAGCCAAATGCAAAAAAATCGTCTTGAATAGTAAAGGAGTAGTCGTACGGGTCCTCACAGCTACCGGGGCGATATCTAGTTTTGTTTGTGATGTAGGACACCCTCTCGCCATTCAAGCAAGAGGAGGCGAAATCGGCCAAAACAATATCCAAGGAGTCAGTAACTAGAATGTTGGCAGATCGTAAGTCACAATGTATAACGCCGTTTTCGTGTAAGAAGACCAATCCTTCAACAATTTGTTCAGCCCACTGTAGATAGGGTATTTCAAAGTCAGGCCTCTTCATTTTCAGCTGATCGATGCAGCCATTCTCATAGAATTGTAGTTTCACAGTATGCACAACTGGACCTATGTACCTGGCGATTCGAGGATGCGGCCCAAGCAGCTCATAAATTTGCCGTTCAAACTTGACCTCATGTTCTGATCCAGGGAAGGGCTGCTTCATCACCGTTGTATCTGTGGCCCTCGTGACAATCGAGGTCGCGCCGAATGCAATACTCTTCATTGCTGCGGTAGTGGAGGGGATGACCGAGAGGGTGGTTGGGATTTATTTGCGGTGTGAGGAGGCTTTGATGGGAATGAGCGTTGCTTTTGATTGCCGCTGTGTTTGCTCTGTTTGCACTATTTATAGTTACGGGGCGTCCCGATTCGCGGGGCGCGACCTTAATGGCCCCGTAAGTTTCAGGCTAGTGAACTTTGTACTCCATACTAGTAACCTAACTATATAGCTACAGAGTAGTAACAGAGTAGTTGGGCACAAATGAAGAATGTATTGCGTACTTTGAAAGAAATATCCTAACAATCTGTGTGCCCATGGCATTTTCTAGTAAAGACAACGTGTACATATGGATACTATCAAGATACTCCATACAGTTGTGTATTCCATAAGTAGTGAGCCTATAAAAATAGATTCTATTGGGTGTTGTTGCGAGTTTCTAACTTAAAGCCGCTTCGACACTAGATTTAACTATTCGGTCGACTGATTTTCATGCTCCAATCGGTGCCATCCACGCTGTTTGATATAAACCCCCCGCCCTCAATATCACCTTAGCATCGATAAACTCGCGCAAGTGTAATTGTTAATAGTACCCCAATCTGACACACTCTGGGCACCGAATAACCGATCCTCCTATTTTACTGGAACTGCCAAACACCATGCTGTCTGACTGTGTTGCTTGAGCACACATACGACCAAGGCCAATCCCCGTTTTGGGGTTGGGACAGGGATCGGGTGTAGGGACTCCTTCGTTTGTGAGCGTCCCAGGAATAAAATCGGTCCGTTTTCGCTCTTTGATCAGGTGTTTGGGATCAGCGCGGCACAACGAATGTGTGCAGGAGAAGATAGTATATTCACACATTGCTGTCATACTATTAGCTATGCTATTCTCAAGTAAGGAGGGACTCTGGATTTGCATACTGCACTGTAATGGAGGCTAACAGTTCTAACCAGAGATTGATTGTTGCTTTTCAGAAGAGAGGAATCCAGCCCTTTTAAATGTTTTGGGAATGAACGAGACTTACCCCTCATTTACAAAGAGACCACTGGAGTTTCTCGCTGCTGCGAGGTGGTGCTTGCAAGGGTCAAGGCGCGTTTTTATGTACTGTATGTATAGGTGTGCAGGGTAACTACAGAGTGCTCCCTACTTGTCCTTCATTTTCTGGCCTACACAGCGAGAGACCCACCGGTGCAGTCCAGAGTGATTATGGGATAACTACTCCGTAGGTAGATACCTAGGCGCCTCCATACACTCCCATCAGAACAGCCGCCTCCAATAATCAATCGGAGTGTGGCGGAGCGAGACCCGGCTGGCCAATGGGCAGGTCCAATTACCGCCCCTGGACCCCTCGCCAAGACGGCTAGAACGGGCTTCAACACATGAGTTTTAAGAATACGGAGTACATGGCCAACACAACCAACACCCCAGCACAGTGATTGTTATTGGCAGTTTACGGAGCATCGGCAAGCGAGGACAGAGAGCCGTTGAATCGCGTTAATTATCGTTTTGAGGCTCTAGTGACTCAGTGGTAAATCTTGGCATGTGGACGTACAGACAAATATTTACTCAGTACGGCTTTTTATCAAACAGAATACAGACTTTTGGGTATGCAAATTATACCACACAGCTCGATCAATGCCCTAAAAAGACTATGCTTTGTTGGCTGCGGCCTGAAATTGACCGACTATGCCCACATTGCTCTAAACTTCTGGTTGAACTCGCTCTGGAGCATCCTGAAGGCCTTAAGCACCAATAACAAGTCATTGACGCTAGAGACATTTGAGGTTTCGATGCTGGGCGTATCTCCCTGGTTATTGCTTTTTTTTACATCACTATAACCGTCGGAAAACTCTCCATTGTCTTCTGAATCATCTGATAGGTCATCGTCCCAGCTTTCCGTGACCTTTTTTTTGGTTTTCTGGGTTGGGGGATTGCTTTGGAGAGGGGCAGCCGTGGGCACCTGCTGCTGGCGGATCGGAAGTACCCCGGCACTGGCAGCACCATGAGTTGTTACTGGAGCCCCATTCTCAATAACATGGTCATCAAGTTCATTTTCGTGCGCATCACCACCGCCCATAACGTCAATCATATCCACGTCAACGTTACTCGAGAGCTGTAGGAAATTTTCAAAACTAGTCACAATTGTCGCAAGAATGAGCGAGAAATCATTGAGGACAAACCAAACGTCACCGCGTCGAACTCGATTCGCACTTTCCAGCTCATGAACGTTCCCGTGCTTGAAAAAATCATATAGGTAGGCGTTCAGAGGCATTTTTCTTTCGTCTTCCTCCACAGACACGTAAGGAATCACTGACTCTTCAAGCCAGATCCCACTACGAACAGTCCTGCAAAGATGATATACGCTATCCCATTCGTCACGGTGCCCAGAAAGGGCAAAGAAAGGAGATGTTACTCGGGTAGGCTTTTCAGGATACCAGCCAACACCAAGCTCTGCGGCCGAATGATCTCCACCGCATTTCATATTACTAAGGGGTAAGGTACAATCGGGCTCCTGAATGTGTTGCTCAATGAAAGTTGTTACATATGCAGCATAAACACCAAGCGTCTTCTTGTTTTGCAGATGTAAGATTTGTGCTGCTTGCCTTGGCATTGGCGGAAGGAGAACAAGTGAGGAGGTCCTGCTGTCGCCCCTTTGAAACGTTTCGATAATAGAAGATCGGAGATTTCTCCGTCCAAAAATATGCGCCATGGTGAGCATTAACGTAAGTAAGGTTGATTTAGGTTTAGAGTTGATGCCTTGGCAAAGCTTATGAAAATAGCCGCCTTCAAGTAAAGCATGGAATGCAAAGCTGGAATTCTCAGTGTAGTAGAGATGGGATACACAGCCAGCAAAATTCAACGGTGCACCTGTGCTACTAAGCAACCTGTTTCTCCGAAGGTATTCAATAGAAAACCGGAGGTGATGCAGCACCGTGTCCCTCATGGCAGGCCCACCTAAGTAAATGCGTGGGCATGAAAGCAGGGAATTGATTGCCTTGATAGCGAATACCGACTGTTTTGACTCGTTCAGCAAGATGAAAAGACGTAGGACTAAACTTGTTGTGATTGGAAAGTGCCCATTGAGATCTGGAAGTCTGGAGCTGATCAACCGACAAATTTTTGCATAGGAGATGCCCTGGAAGACGACATTTCCAAGCATATCAAAACCACGGCGACCTGCCCGACCAGCGGCCTGGCGAAAGTTAAGAGCTGTTAAGAACACAGAGTCTCCGGAAAAAACGACCGTTTTACACGGCATATTGATACCCAAAGCCAGAGTGCCGGTAGCAATAACCACTCGCAAGAATCCTCGACGGAATAGCATTTCGCAAACCTGTCGGTATTTGCGGTTCATACCAGCATGATGTACACCGATGCCACGCTCCAGAGCATCGATTAGCCAATCTGCAATAGAAAAATGTCGTAATTTATTAGTGTACTCTTGGAATTGTGATGGTGTAAGCTTTTTAATATCTGCCACATGGAAACCCTCCACAGGTCGGTCAGGATCAAAGGTTTCGAGCCAACTCGTCTCGGCGGATGCAGTATCTCGTGCCCGGTCTGCCTTGGACATTTCACCGTCATTAGTATCTTTTTTTGCGATCTTTTGCGCTTTCTTGGATGCTTTCTCCTGGTATTTTTTCCATTCCTCCCACTGAGCAACCTTGGCTTTCCACGCTGGATTAACTTCTTTCCACTCTTTCTCCGCATCTTGAAAGCGCGTGAGCAACGTACGACAAATTTCTTCACATTTAGCCCGGTCATAGTTGAAGAAAAGAGCCGGGAGAGCATTTTGCGCATAGAGTGAACAAACTAGTGGAAGGGTTGTCTCAATCGGGTCGTCAGTTTGTACCGAACGGCCGCTCTCTGATTCAGCGGTGATGGGCGAGTGTGTAAGAAGCAGCTGACTCTCACCCTTTGAAACAGGCTCTAGTTCATTTATCACTTTCGCAAACGGTGATTTTCCGTCCTTCATCCAACATGTTAATTGCGCTTTGAGACCTTGTTGCCAGTGAACGATATCGAGTTTTCGAATGACGGCAGGCAGCGTGACGGATGGGTCTAGTGATGGATCTACCGGGAAATTCTTCGTCTGATGCTTCATCATCGCTTTCCATAGCGTAAAGCAGTCTCGTGGCTCAAGGCTAAGATCATCTGGCATCCCCCTTGAGCGGTCCACCAAGCTGGCAACTGGATGAACGAAAGACATTTCGGGAATGTCATCCAAGTCAAGGGGGGCTAATGGAACAGGATCTGGAAGCCTTTTGAAAGAGAATATATGGGGCACATTGTAGGTATATTTTCGTAGTTCCGAGTAGCGATGCCGATGCTCAATCATTGTCAAATCAATATTATTTGCCTTTTGTGTTAGGCTTAACCAATCGCAAAATTCCCTGGGGTTTCCAACGGTAGCTGATAGGGCGATAATTGGGCATGGTGATAGAAGCAGTAGTTGTTCCCATATAACACCGTCTTCAGCCTGTCCGATGCAATGGATCTCGTCAAAGATAACGCGCTTAACACGAGGGGACCACGATTTTGCATTGGATGGCGAAAGCAGCATAATCTGGAGAATGTGAGGCACTGTGACTAGGATTTGACAGCCGTTGGGATTGTTGATACGGTAATCTCTGGTGTGTATTGCCCATACCGACTTCCCGCCATGCTTAGCGTTATAATTTTTTGAAAAGCGGGCTTGGATCTCTGCGGCAATCTGATTGACAAGGGCTTTCGTGGGGGCGACATATACAAGAACTCCATCATCGTCCTCCTTTAGAATTTGTTTCATAGCATAGAAGCTAGGAAAAACTGTTAACATGCTAATAATAATTATTAATCATTGGCTGAACAAAAGACTTACGATATGAATGTTTTTCCAGCACTAGTAGGAGCAACTACAAACACGCTTTTCTTTTCGTCGATCTGATCCAGGACGTCACGCTGCCACCGATCTGGCTCAAAGTCCGGAGTTCGCGGGTCTGGTGCAGAGTCCATGTTGCGATCCATAAAAGGACCTGCATGCATAAGTTGAAACTCCATTGGTGACATTTTCGTGTTGATATCGACTTTATTGAATCTAAGAGGAGAAGCGCATTTAAAGGAGAGCTTATCTTCCTCTCGGGTGCGAACATCAATACTCGGCAATCCAAGCAATTTAGTAACAGCCGTAATAAATGATACGCCATCAGCGGGGATGCCGGACTTAACCTTCCCAGCGCAGTTGATAGTATTCCAAATCAGTGCCACAGTATTCATTTGCCGCTGCTTTTCTTCTGTGTCAATCAGTATTTGAAGAAGAGTATCCAGCATGTAGATTAAAACTTCAGCTTCAAGGACAAGGCGACTATCTTTTGCCAAACCCGACAAATATGTTCTCGCTTTGATAAAGCGAGACATGACATCACTTTCCTTGTCCAGGGTCGCCCGTTTATAGCCCCATTTTTGTATCTGTTTTTGGATTGCTTCCAACTCCTTTTGCTGAGCATTGAAAGCAGCCATGTCCTTAACGGATGGCTTGCTGCCTTTGGATTGAACCTTTTTACCGGATTTTGGAAGAGTCTTAGTTGAGCCAGAGTTACGAACTTCTGTCGTGGCACTGTTCGTGATTTTCTGCTGCTTTGCTTTCGCGGATGTCACGAATACCGTTTCCGGCTCAAAGGCGCCCCCAGAGCTGGACATAGTTAACGCATAATCTCTCATTTCAGCCATGAAAAACTGGTTTCGGCGTTGGGATCGAAGGATCTGCAAGGGGGTCAATGGAACTTTTGCCTTCTGATCAAGCGGCCGCCTATGGTTATGCCAGTGAGTTAACTCCTGAAACAGTTTCGAAGTTTCTGTTTCAGTGACTGAGTTTGCAGAATTATCAATCGATAGACGAATCGGTTGTAAGTGGGCCTCAAAAACAGGATTTTTGAAGGGAAGCACTCTAGTGGAAATGTTGACGCATTTATTCTGGTATTTGCTAGAGGAGTCTGCGGGGTTAGTTGGGATTTTTTGTTTTTGTTCTGCCTGTGGCAAAGGAATATTAGCTCCAGAAAGAAGGTTAAGCAGAGATACAAGATCTGTAAAGGGTGTTAAACACATGAGCGGTATGGTCTCATCATTTCTCATTAGGAACCTGTGGACCTTAAGAAAAAGCCTCGCATCTACCGCATCCGATAGATCGCACACTGATCCGGCGTTACTCATTGTTTCTCTCCAAAAACGTGAAGAAAGTAGTGAGAGGGCTGTTTTTGCGAATTTGTTGAAAAATTCGTTAGCCGTGTCGGTATAGCAAGACTCAACTAGTCTATCCAACATTTGAATATTCTGCAGAAGTACTGTATGCAAAATCATAGCCTTGGCTTCATCGGTAGTACAGCCAATGGTATCAGAATTGAGCATTATGCTCAAAGATGCAATGGCCAGGCATTGTCGCTGCGTTAGGTCTGGGTTATGCATCACCAGCCTTTTGAGGAGTTCTTCTGCTTGAGGAAATTCGAGTGGCGCATCTCCCGCAGTATAAGATACAGGAAGGAACATTCCCGTAGATCCAAATTGAGTAGGGTGCTCTTCAGAGTCAGATAGATCCTGCACACCGTTTGTATCAATGGGCATCAAACTACATAAGAGTTTTTTGGCCTTTGGGGCGGATCCTTCAACGATCATCGCCATGATCTAATCACGATCAATATCATAAAAGGGAAGTTAATCAAGCAAGATATCATACCTTTGAGTCTTTGAACTCGACACTATTAATAAGAGCAATGTTATATCCATGAGACATAAGCCAATTTATCATAAGCCGCAAGTCAAACTTTGAACGGCTGCTTTGACTGCCCAAAGGCGTTTCCCCGGAAATATCGTCTTCAGAGTAATCATCCTCGGATTCAGACTCATCGGACTCTTCTATATCGCTATCTATGCCTCTTGATTCTATTGATTCAGACAATGCGCCATCATGGCACATAAAAAAATATGCTCCGGAGGACGGGAGGTGGACTCTGAAGTCTTCAAGGCGATAATTCTTAAAGATCTTAATTTCTATGGACGGAGCAGCATTCTGGCAGAGATGCTGAATGATTGCCTCTCGGGCAAAAAGATACCTTGGGCGAAGCTCTTCAGCTACGCCATTTGGTATACACAAGTGGGCGTGATCAGTAAAAAAAATAATTTGAAAAACACATCTGCGCTGACGCAGTCTGTTCAGAAAGGCCTCTACAATATAGGTCGCGTGGAGTATCTGGAGACCTGGCGAAAAGTCTAACTGTTCATCACAGAACGCATGTAGAAGAAGGGAGTCACCCTCAATGATGAAAAGGTCATCGCCCGCATAGTCACCGACTAGGTCAACGGTTCGAGAGTGTAGGCAGTTGTACCTGTTGGCAAATCAGCATCACTAGGGTTCCACTAAAGCCCAAGGCGGGGGGGGGGGGGAGGTAGTTACTGACCACCCCAACAAATTTCGGTAGCTCGTGGTGAGCTCAGACGCGGAGGCGGCCATCTGACAGGGATCTGGAGTTACAGTCGGCAGTGGAAAGTATTTGAGAATCACCCGCAAATATCACCATTCAGACAACATCAGTCCAGGGCTGAGGCATCAAAGCACGGCGACTTTGTGAGGTGGGATTCTGCAGATAAACATATTAGGAGTAGTGCGATGACATAAGCAGGGGATATGAGGCTATATCACATAAGGTTAGTCCATACAAACAGTACATTTGTGCCAAATACAGGGCTTATGATTGGCTCCGTGATCCCGCCGTTGACCAGGTTAAGCGGCAACCACATGGAAATATGTGCCGCGGACTTTATGCAGTCGCACTGATAGCTAACGCTTCCATGGAAGTGCACATTTTGTAATTATTGCATACCCGGGAAGACTCCGCCCCCCGCCCAGGCGTAACTACGCGGTCATCTGCGTCCTCCTGACCGTCACGCGAAACAGCAAAACAAGGCATCGCCGCGCCAAGACCCAGCTGACTGGCGCGATATGGGGCTCGGGAGGAAAGCGCGTCCTTGGCTCCTTGCCCCCAATCCCCGCAAACCCAACAAACTACCCGATACGGCCTAGCCCCAGACACCCAGCGCGTTGCTTATCATCAGCTGCTTTCCCCGCCTACTCTGCGTCTTCCTCTGACTACTTCTATAATACACAGAGCAGGCATTGCTGCGCTCTCAACAACTGTTTCCTCCTCATCTCAGCTCTACCCTCCCCCCTATTCAACCGTGCTCTTGTTAATTCCTGTGTATAGTTTCCTGTTCATTGCTTTTCTTCACTGCTATCTGATTCGTCCCTTTCCAATGAGCAAGAAACGTTTTGTTTTTGTGCATGGTATGAGAATGCCCTGTTTATCAGAATAACACGTTCTAGAATTGTTTTTGGGCTTTTTTCTGTCCTTTTTGCTCCGCTATATCCTGGCGAACTTACCATATTGGCTTGCCTGTCCTTTCTCACAGTCTTCCTACATATACCTCTCTGGATTTCTGTTCTTCAGGAGAATAAGCTCCTGAAATCCACCTCCATATCTTTTAACTACATCAAGCATTTCTTAGCAGCTATCGTTCGGGCTTGTTCCCTGGTCGATTGTTCAGATCCGGCCCGCCAAGCGCAGTTCAAGAACAACGGGAAGAACGCCTCTCGGTATGCCGACTCTCGCAGTTACCAACTTCAATATCGTCTGCGCAGTCTTGGGAGGCTTTATCTCGCTCTTCGGCCTGGTGTCGTACCTTTTTAAGGAGCAGTTCTATCTCTCAGAAGCGCGTATGTAGGATCCCTAGAATCTCGAACAAGTTTGCGATGCAGAACTAGATGTTTTATCAACCTTGGTCAATGTTTACTGGTCGGCTCTAATTATATGTGCAGTGATATCGCTTCTGGCAGGTGTTGCTTTCTCCCCGAATGCAGCCAACTTTATCAGGCCTCTAGAGTATGCTCAGGGATCACAGGCGTCTTTGGAAGCAATAACTCTTTATTTTACCCGTCTAGTTCTTGGAGTCCAGCTCATCATTGCCGGAGTGCAGCTTCCTACTCGCTATTTGTTGAAGGAATGGCGAAGTCTCTCACTTCTAATTGGACCCGGCATGACTGGCATGTGGCTCTGCACAAGTTTAATTATCTGGGCGTTTGTGCCGCATATTCCATTTCTCCATGCACTCGCGGTAGCAGCCTGTGTTACTCCTACTGATCCCATCTTGTCCAACTCTATCGTGAAAGGCAAGTTTGCTGATAACAACATTCCGCGGCCCCTCCAAAGCATCATTGTTGCAGAATCTGGTGCCAATGATGGGTTGGGATATCCATTCTTATTCTTTGCATTATACCTCATTCGGTACACAGGACATGGTGCACTTGGCCAAACAGGCGGCGTCCAAAAAGCTATGACACTTTGGTTTGGAGAAATCTGGGGCTATACAATCCTTCTAAGTATAGTTTATGGTGTTGCTGTAGGGTGGCTTGCGAAAGAGCTGCTCCACTGGGCAGAAAAGAATAGGTACATTGACCGAGAAAGCTTTTTGGTTTTTGCTATAGCTTTAGCCGTAAGTTTTCCCCCTATTTGTGCTCTCTCAAAGATAGTATCATTGACTACCAAAGTTATTCATTGTTGGTACATGTGGTATGATCGGAAGTGACGATGTTCTTGCCTGTTTTATTGCTGGTAATGTCTTCACCATTGAGTAAGTCTATTTCCACCTTCCCTCCACAAGCGTGGAGCCTATGTAGCATTATGAAGCCAAACAATTGAGCAGCGATTGGTTCCGTGTCGAAACGATGGATGACTCCTTACAGCCTACAATTGATATGCTCCTCAATCTCTCGATCTTCATGTGGTTTGGCGCTGTTTGCCCCTGGTCCAAATTCATTGATAACAACGTCATTCCCTTCCATAAGCTTTTGCCCCTAGGCATACTCGTCCTTGTTTTTCGACGCATTCCTGTAGTTTTTGCTATGCACAAACACATTCGACAGATTGAAGAATTTCGCCAAGCAGCATTTGTTGGGTTTTTTGGCCCTATCGGTGTCAGTGCTATATTCTATCTCTATATCACACTGGAATACTTAGAACACCATATCAAAGTTGATGGCGAAATACGGGAGGATGCAAAGCATTTGGGAGAGGTCGTACATATTGTAGTCTGGTTCATGACAATATGCAGCATTGTAGGTTTATTTTCTCCCCTAATTCGTTCTGTACCAAGAGAGTTACTGATCTGGGCTTAGATTGTTCATGGGCTTTCGATCCCACTTGCTAAACTGGTGTTCTACCTCCCACGTACCCTCTCAATATCTCTGAGCATGAGCACAGATCCCGATCCGGAGCCTATAAATTTTCCATTCCGCCAATCCTTAGCTGCTTTTGCGTCCCGTATGCTCCCCCCTAGCATTCGGGGCAGGGCATCATCCAAGCAAGATGGCAAAACTACGTCTCGCGAGCGCTCTCAACCCCCAAAGCCCGTGGTATTTCGCATTGGACGGCCAGTTATCTCAAACAACGACAGTAATTCGGCGGCACCGGGGGGGAAAATAGCCCATGAGTGCCCTCTTCCTCCGGCAGCTCCACTTACGGCATCTTCCCCGTTACTGGGTATTTCGCTACCGATACGAGATCCAAGCAGATGCTCTAATGACTGCGACATTGAAAATGAGGCTCTAAATTCCTCACAGGCAGTAAACGGATACGGGGCTCTGGATGAGACACCCACTTTGCCTCGAATCGTGGTGTGCCAGGGCGATTATGATATTTCCAATGTTGTCACAAGTAAATGAGTTTATATTTGTGAGTATTATTCTGTTAGATTTGGCACGACATGTTTTGCAGATGACTCGAAATATTTGCTCAGAATAGCTTGCAGGGCTGTAAGCTGTGACTAACTAGACTAGATTGATTAGATAGAGTTTTTATGCTTGTTTTGATCAATGACATCATAGGGAAATATTTCACTTGGCATTTGCCTTTACATACATCTTCCTTTGCGTGATGGTATTGAAAAATTTGTATCATTGAAGTCTTCAGCATATAGTTATCATGGACCTTGATATATTCAAGGAAAATATTTCCTCAATACCCATTATACACAGTTAAAAAAGCATACACAGTAGGCTCGTAACTTTTTATCCTGGTCTCTTTACGGAGTACTCCTCGTACACACGTCGTAGCTTAATTAGCCATTCTTCTCTCCCATTCCTCTCTTGGGAAGCCCTGCTGCCTTGTAAATAGCATCAATACCTTCCATCTGCGAAATACTGTCCTCATTTGTAATCCAGCAGGGAGGTTCTTTCCCCCTAATTTTATCCATAAACGCCTCCAGCTGCCACCGGTACGTACTCCAGGACAGATGTCCTCCCTTACCGCCAGTTGTCCATTTGTCACCCCACAGCGGGCCGCCAAAAAACTGAGTAAAATAATCAATTTTCCCTGTGCGCTTATCTGTCACAGAAATATAGTGGTAAAGATGCGGCATCAGAGCATTGTGGAAGAAGATCGTCGCGTTGGCCATTTCAACTTCAATGGAAGGAAGCTCCCAGAGGCGCGGCAAGAGACCAAAAAAAGTCCACTTGCGGGACATGTCAGTGTAGATGCGGCTTTGGATGCTGTAGCTGGGCTCAGTGGGTGAGGTGAAGAGAAGATGCGCATGCATGGCGGCGTCGACGCGGGGGTCATTTTTTGATGAGCGGCAGACGGCAGAGAGAACAGTTTTAGGACAGTGAGGTGTGTGGATTGCGTAGCGGGTAAAAGAGAGAGCATATGTTTGATCCATCAGTGAGCCACCTAAAATATGACCATGTTAGCTTTATAGAAGCTCAAGAATGAAGAATAAATATGCATACCCCCCAAGTCGAAATTCCAGCGAATATCTCCTTCTGGAATTCCTATGCTAGAGGTCATCCACGCAGCCGTGCTAAGGATTTTACCATAATTTCCATATTCGATAATTTCGCGGAATTTGTGCGCAGCTGGGTGGAATTGCCAGTGAAGCTGTAGGAGTTTCCTAACTTAGCTCAAGTTATTCTAGCTTGGGGAGTAAAACTATACTGCTTCTTCGAGAACCAATTTCTTCAGTTTAGCCATCCTCGCCAATTCCTTTGCCTCCTCAGCATTCGATGCCAGCGGCTTTTCACACAGAACGTGCTTTCCGGCTATCATAGCTTTCTTTGCCCATTCAAAATGCATGCCATTTGGCAGCGAGATATACACAATGCTGATGTCTGGGTCATCGAGTAGTGCCTGATAAGAACCGTAGTGTTTCTGGAAGCCGTATTTTCTTGCATACGCTGCCGCTTTGGACACATCTCGGGATGCAACGCCGTATAGACACACGTCCGGGTGGGATTTAGAGGGGTAGATTACTGGATTGCCTGGTTATTTTATTTTGAATATAGATGGAAACTAAAGCAAATACTGACTAGCTGAAGCATTGATATTTGCAGATGAAAGGACACCGAGCTTTTTCGCCATACTTGATGTTTCTTTCTTCGCATACACCCATGATAAAGCGTATTGTTGCAGGGAATTTAGGCCTTCAAGAACAAACGTCATGGTGAAGAAGCAGATAGCAATTCTAAAACGATAATACGAACCCTTAGCAATGTCGAAAATACCCACAGAAGACGACTCCAGATATAGATCGTTTTTATAGGGAAGATTGAGTGTTTTGGAGCTTTCGTAAATCTGATGTAATGCTGGACGTCATGTCCCAGCAATTCTTGGAGGAAAGTTTGGGTCCTGGAAAGTAGGGGGAACTTGAACGGTGCCTTCCAATTTGCGAGATATTGAGTACCACTACTCCTCCCCACCATGATGTGTTTAAGGATGGACACGAAAAGACTGCGGCAAAAATGGCCTTTGTCCACCTGTTTATAGGGCATTGTTTGAGCCAAGGGGAACTAATTTTTGAATTCATTTTTGAATCAAAACGAAAAACAGGCCTCTGCACAGGAGTACGAGTGGTAATCTTGCTAATAAAGTCGAATATTCGATTTTCGATACTTTTCATATAGCAGATGGGTAAGCGCGTTGCCTCCGAGTGTCTCAATGAAACTATGAGAGTGTTGTACACTAGGCATAAAGGGTAACAATCATTATTTTTCGTGGCCTAAGTCACTACAGAGCAATGGAGTATCCGTACTCATATGTTGTTGATCCCAACGGACTTGGGCCCTCAATCAATTACCCCGAATGACAGCGCTATACTCCGTATCTGTGTGGAATATTACATGATCATGTGGGGTCGGAGAAATGATATTCCCCGGGAAGGACCAGGCCTAATTCAAAAGGCAATGAGAACAGAGAGTCTAATGGAGATCAAACAGAGCTGCGGAATCAGTGCAGATGCCGAGCACTCTTCTACAGACATTAACTGTCAGCAGTCACCGCAGAATACGCCGCCCTATTAAACGAAATTCCGGCGACACTCATTTGCTCCTGGTGGGAAATCTGCCTTCACTCCCTTCAAACGCAACGAACTGTAGTGCTGAAACCTACACGAAGCTACAGCACAGCCCTTCTACTACTCCGTACAGCCGAACAAGTTGTCTGGGCCAGGGCAATTCTGCCCCCGGTCTTCACGAAGGAGTCGAAGCGTTTCAACATCTCATAATCATATCTTCGGTTCCTACATCATCCAGCATGAACGATTACCGTGTTTCCAAAGAACAGGTCCCGAATCGTCTCTATTATGTTCACCACGCGAGGTCTCAGGCAAACACTACGGATGGCATTAAAGCACAAGATCCCACCTTCTTCCATGCTCATAATCATGCCTTATATTCCTATAAAGAATCCGTCGAAGACCACATGAATTGGACTTGTAGAAAACCTAGTCCGTACATTTCGCTCTTGGTCAATAAAGAGCATACCGAAAACTTCGCAAGGCTCATGTCACGCAAAACGGGAATACCGTCGCAGGTATTTCATATTAATGGGAAGAAACTGAACACGTCATATGTTTTTGAAGTGCGCCATCTTCGGAAGGCCCTATGTCTGAGCCTCCGGCCTTCGGCACTGACCGACTCAGAGTTCCTCGTACTCCATCGCGTCCCAGAAAAAGCGATCATTCGTAAGATCGTGATGTAAAATCATGTTGCAACACAAGTAAGCAAAGCATATTGGGTGCATTAGCAGCAGGTAACTGACTCCTTTGTTTGTAGGACAGGACCGCTTTAAACAAACCAACGTTTATGTGGCCTTTATAGGAACACGGCTATTACTGGCGCTGGGAGAGAGGCCAGCGCGGTTTGGACCAGAAGTTTAGGGTGGATAGCGATAACTCCAGTAGCTATTCGATACGAAATCTTGACAAGTTTTTCCTATGTCGCCTCCAGTAATATCATCCCCTGAACGGCCCCAGCATGCATATACCTATCATTTGCCCTAAAAAAATTGGAGCCTGTATGGGTAGGAGGGGAAACGATCCAAGCTAGCCCGATCGCTTCTCGGGCATTTTTTTGCTGCAAGTTCACTACAAGCCCTGCCATGCGCCAGCCAACATGACACGTTTCATGGAAGACGACAAGCGTTTTACATACCTTGGCCGTTTCAGAGAGAGAGCTGATATAACCACCTGCCTACAGTCCCACATGTATGCAGGTATCCAACCGAAAAATGTTGGTGAGAGCTGAGGCCCGGTGTGCAGCTTTCAAATCGTAATGTTGCGTCCGTAAAAACTGGGCTGCCAGGCTCTTGACTGATGCTGGGGTTCCAAGGCCGGCAAACGAATGCCCAAGAAATGCGTTGCATCCGCTACTAAGAATAAATAACTGTGCGCGCCGCCGATAGCGAACACGCCGCCCGAAGGCCGACCCTGGTCGCACGCCAATCGACTCGCCAGAGAAGGGAAGTCGAGCAGAGAATCGCAAAATTGAGCCCGCGCTGGCCATGACGCCGGGTCGCGAGGGCCCGTTTTTCTTTGTCTGCGCCGCCCAATCCTGGCATCTTGAATGCAGGCTTATATTGTGGCCACCTGTAGGGGGCGAGTGTGCATGGAGTTGGTCGAGCGTGTGATCTGTCCGACAGAGGCCCGAGAACACCATGGGAGAAGAGGGCTCAGAACAGCAGGCCGCATGAACGGATGGGTCAAGCCTCTTTTTCTTCAAATAATCGTCTGTGTCACCTCCGCGCCACTTGTCGGGTTTCCAGTTGAGATCTCCCCAATGGACATGTCCAAGTAGCCGCCGACACGGCAACGACAAACACACCCATCATCATGGCTGATAGTGACGATGCGGCTGCAATCGGAAATCCGACAGGTACCATCGAAGTCGATGTGAGTTCAGCATTGGAGCTCCTTTTGACTTCAAGAATATACAGACTAATGGGCTTCTTCGTAGGAAGAGGAGATAGATAAGCCCGCAGTTTCATACCTGTACGTAAGGCTGCTTCTCCTTGCCCTTGACCCGGCATTTGCACTGGTATTAAGCTACCTGTTGTTGAGACAAGAGTGTTCTCTGCATCCACATGCCCCTCAATGGAAATAAAACATTGCATGAAAATGATAGATTGGTTACTTACGTGCTCTAAAGGCATAGTTCGGCCACCTCAGTTGCGTCTGAAGTCCACAAGTACAGGTCTGTACTCTTGATATTTTGGTAGAAATGGCTAGCAGTTGCTAACATCCTTCATGTAGAGTTGAGGTATGGCCATGATAGCTGCACGGCAAGCCACGCCTGATAACAATGCAGGAGTCAAAGTAGAACTAATTGCTTTTCTCAGAATGGTCGACAGTATCATGGCTACCGTGATGGGGCATATCTGTTGGTCAGTCTCATCGGCGGCATCCCATCCTAGTTTAAGCTGTTGCTGACAGGTACTTCACTATATCTTAGCCCAATGACAGACGAGAGCAGGAGCGTATGGAAATGGTGGGGCTACCAGAAGAAGACTTGGGCTATTGGATGGCTTCTAACATGTTTCTTTTAGGAACATAGGTTGTTTCGGCTAGTGTTAGAGGGGAGACTATATCTCTCTCCGCTCACTAAGGACCCGAGGAAAGTTCTCGATTTGGGCACGGGAACGGGATCATGGGCATTGGATTTTGCACAGTGAGTTGTGATGCACGCGCCCCGTATACGAATTCCGTTGTTTGACATGACCTGTACTACAGACGACATCCCAATTCTCGAGTATTAGGTGTGTGACCCTCGCATGATCGATAAACCTGTACGCCGAGGACAAAATGCTGAGTATCAAAGTATAACAGGCACTGATCTTAGTCCTATTCAACAACTATGGTTTTTATTACCTTTTAAATTCGAATTTCAGGATCAATTACTAATTATTCCATTAGGTGCCCACGCAACTGTATATTCGAAATAGACGATTTCGAAGCCGAATGGCCCTACCAGCCATTTGCCTCGTTCGATTTTATTCATGCCCGCAATATAGCAGGGTCTGTTTCTGACTATGACAAGCTTTTTGATCAAGCATTTGACCATCTCAGCCCTGGTGGATACCTGGAGCTACAAAGTCTAGAGGCTAAATTCTTCTCTGACGACGGAACCGATAAGCGGGCTGTAACCGCGACGCAGTGGCAGCAACTTCTTCTAATAGGCAGCGAAAAGTTCGGCAAGCGGCTGGATGTTGAGGATGGGTGGAGGGAGAAAATGGAAAAAGCTGGATTTATAGATGTGGCGGATGTATCATTTAAAGTATGGCATTTTTTCTATGTTATTTATTTCATTTTCACACATCTAAACTAAATAACTATTCAGGTGCCTCTTCGCCCCTGGGCAAAAGACCCAAAATTAAGGCAACTTGGCGAATTGCAAGCAATCCAAATCAAGGAATCTATCGAATCATACTCTTTAGCACTGTTCACACGTATCTTGGGCTGGACTGTGGATGAGCTTGATATATTATTGACGGCCGTTAGAAATGATTTTTCTGATCCACGCAGTCATTTATACGGGATAATGAGATTTATTTATGGAAGGAAGCCATAAAATACTATATGGAAGTTCATGTCAATTACTGCGGACAAAGCTAAGCTTCTAGAAGAAGACGCCATGGAGAGGAGATTCCTAGTCTTTCTGTTGTGTCGTGGTTGGTGCTGTTATCCATTGAGAGTTCGGGCTTTTGCTTCGAGGCAATGTAATCGGCACCTCGCTCTTTTGAGAGGGCCTGCTGGAAGACTGAGATAAAAGGTGATCAAAATTCATGTGTTCGTTATTGGCTAATTAAAAGGTACTACCTCAACATTATTGAATTATTGATTATCAAATGTATAGGGGTATTATGATGATAGAAAGAAAAAAAAGGAGTCTCAAAATGTAAAAATACCTGGAGGCACTAGCTCAGATGACATACTAATATCAGAACGTCAGTGTCTATCGTAAAAATATTGGCATGGGTGGATATGATCACATACAGGAATAAATAGATATGGAACCTCCTTTTCGTATTGGGTCCAGGCTTCTCCGTACTTAGCTCTACATCTCTGAATATCTCTCATTGCACGATGCGTGATCATGGCGGCAAAGAAAACAGGATAGAACCATGGGAACGGGCTGCTAAATCCAGTGACCAAGCCCCAATTCAAGGCAAAATAAAGGTCGCAGGTATAGTGAATTTTGCGGGCATAACGGTCTAAAGTGTATTTAGTATCGAGAAGAGGCGTTACGCTGGGCGAAGAGGAACACTTACACCAGCCGTCAACAAGAATTGTATCGCCTTTCTTGCTTGTAATAGTCCGGGGGTTCTCAACCGTCTGCCATGGCAGCTGAGGGAAGGCCTTTCTCAAGACCATATCACCCCGCTGTTGTTGACGAAATCGGTTCTTCTGGCTGTTTGTTGTATCCCAGACCCAGTAGACGAACACGTAGGCAACGTACATGGCAGCGAGAGCGTATTTATTCCACTGGTAGGTGGTGGGGTCATGGCTGGCAAGGTATATTGTGCAATGGCAATAACTGAGTGGCACACCAGCAAGGTTCCAGAAAATTAGCATAAAGCCAAGTTTTTCGTAGTACATATCCCTGTAAAGCAAAAAAATTATTAGCACCGTCCCAGCTCTGTTCCGTATAGTATTGCTGAGCTGAGCAACCACATACCAAGTCGGAATAATGCACTCTTCACCCTTTGAACAGGCATTGGCGTACAAAAAGTGGGCCATCAAAAGAAAGCCCACTTCGCCTGAAATGTATCCATACTTTTCGTACTGCCGTGCTGCCGCGCCCATTGTGACCAATAGCAGGATATACCAAGGCAGGCGTACTTCGAAAAACATCTTGAAATCCAAGATACCAAACAATCTAGGGTTCAATTCCGCGCCCATAAAGAAATCGTAAATCGGATATCCAGTGATACGATGTTGGTTGCCACGAGCAAACGCGGAGAAATAAGCAACGAACGAGAGGATGAAGCCAGTTGCAATAGCAACGCTCATCAACGGACCGAACTCGTCGATTATCGTGTAGAGCTTGAAGAGCCCCGAAAAGTGAAGGCCAAGTGCAATGACAATCGTCGTGTAGAAAGAGGCGACGGCAGAGCAGCGATAGGGGAGCTGCTTTCCACCCAGGTGCTCCAGGGGCCTGCCTTTCACCTCGATGCCAGGGAGATACAAGTAGCACAGGGCCTCGAAGACGAAGAAGGTCCAGTAGATAGTCCACGCCTTGAGCGAGGGGAAAGCACCCTCGTACACGATATTGCCCAAGTGCTTCACGAAATCCCCCATAGACTGGCCCTGCGCCGGCAGAGGAAGATGGCCGTTGTAGTAGACGGCCCCAATCCACATATAATACATAAGCAGCGGGAAACCAATCATCATAGACAGCACGCCCCACGATCCCCCAAACTCGAAGTGGTCCGTGTACTTGCCCGAAGCCTGGGTCTCCGCCTGTTTAACGTTTGTTTGATCCTTCGACTGCACGACAGCCGCAGAGTCGACAGACCCAACCACCTCGACGCCGACCTTCTGAGCATCACGCCGGTGTCTCGTCTGGATGGACGTCGCCATTATTCCGTTCGACAGAAGCTTTGCCTCGGTGCGTTCGGGGCTCTTGGAAGCTCGACTTCTCGTGACGCGCCGGGTCGGGGTTTCAACGAAGCCTTCGAGGACGATTTTCCTAGGGCACGATGGACGTTAGACGACGGTCGATAGGCAGCAGAGTCTGTGCGACGCATTGCAGCCCGTTCCGAGAAGCCCACGGTGTGATTGGGCTGGGGCAGCGAGGAGCATGGGGATCGCACTTACTTTGGCGTCTTGCCCGTCTGTGAGCGCGTGAGAGTCATAACGGGCAACAGGACAAGCGCAGCGGGTTAACTAAAGGAGGACTGGCGGCCCCTGACTGGCTACGCGAAAGCAGAATTTTCCTCCACGCCGGCGATGCTGCCACAGCCGTCACGCTGCCGTTGTGTTTTTTGGCGAAAACAGTCGCCAATGAATTCGCGCAGGCCGATCTTACCGGGCGAACGATACGGTAACGGCGTGACGCGCCAATACGTTGAAGCCCCTGAAGCTGTCGCAGCCCAGGCGTTGATTGGCCGGGTCGGATGATACATGTAATTAACACTATGTGACAGGCGGACAGCACCAGCCAAAACACGTTCGTTACAACGCCACAGAGCCGCTGCGTTTGCTCGGCGCGGCGGAACACGACCAGCGACGCTCGGAGCCCTGGAAGCCCGTTGCCCGAGTCGTGCGTAGCAGACGGCTGGAGCGTACTTACAGCATCATGTCGGGTACGCGGCAAGCAGACACGGGCCTCTTGCGCCGGCCACCCTGTGTGCAAAGCACTTGATGATATGCAAACACGATGAAGTGAGCAAGAGCTAAAGGGCCAAGTCTGCCGTTACTAGGCAACTATGGACCAGAGGAACAGAGCAAAAACATTGTTCAAGCTGCACGTCTAGCATTAGTTGACATCAGTGTGATCTTCTTTGTTTTCTTCTTTTTACCACTGCTGGGTGTAGCAGCCTCCTCGACCTGCGCGAGGATTCCTTCTTGTTCAGCAAGCAAAAGCTCTCTTTCCCAGTCTTGGAGCCACCCATCATCGCCTTGAGTCTGGCTAGGCTGGGCAAGCGGCTCTGGGCTGGGACCAACGGCTGTCGTACCCCACACTGTTCTATGAGTGGGGGGACTGCTGGATGGAGAAGCAAGCGCAGCAAATGATGGGTGCTCTTCGCCGCGAGAGGGTCCGAAGGGAGGAGAAGCAACTGTGTCTGACTCTGAGGCAGCTGCTTCAACCTTCGACGGCGTGATTAGAGGCAGGAAATCACTATCGGAAAACGGCTGGTTGGATGGGGCACTTATACTCGACCGTTTCCTTCGAGCGGTGGCCCATCGTTTTTCGTCTTCCTCTTTCTCGGCCCGAATACGTTCCTTTTCCTCTCGGGTGGCCTTGTCCACATTGCGCTTTCGACGGCGATTGATCTCTGGCGCAAACTTCTCGAGATTCGAGGGGCTCACAAGATCTGTCCAATCGCATTCCAAGAAACTTACCTCGCAGCCATAAGGCAGGTGGTTGAGATACTTCATACGGTTTAGTAGTTCATCGTCAACAATATGGCCCGTTGAGATGTGTTCGACACGGGGCAAAATTGTAGAAGGAAATTGTGAAAAGTCGCCGAATTCGGCTTTCAATATGCGAATGTCCAAAGGCGAAAGATAAAAATGAGGGAGAGCTTGATAAAAGTAATACGGCAGATTGGAGTACTTCGACTTCTCAGCACCGCGTAGTAGACCAGGCGAATGAAGTTTTTCGGGCGTGGTGCTAGTAACAACCTCATTCGAGAGGACAGATAGTGTCGAAAGGCCTGAACAGATGTCGGATACTCCATTCGTGTCTGACTGACTGACACTGGGCTTACCAGTTTCAGTAGTCAAAGGAGTGACAGCAGGGCTTGCTGGGGTACTTCCCGATTTAATCGAACGTTCGATCAAATACATATCGGGAGCGTCGCCCACCGATTCTTCACACGATCGCTGTGATCGTGCTGGTCGCCGCTCGACCAGTTCCCTAGACAACTCGGGCGGGTTTCCGATTCCTCTAATTTTCTCTTTCGCGTCCTTGATTGCTGAAATCGCTTTTTGAGTCCAAGTTGAATCTTCCCCAAAAAGCAACTCATCCTCATGCTCCAACCTTCCAAGATCCTCGATCTCCTGATCGTAGTGTGACATCATGTAATCTTCACCACCCTTCATAATGCGAGCGTAATCAGGTACATCGGCAATATGGTACCATGGAATATCTTCCTCTGGTCCAAGAACAGCACCGTCACACGGGAGAGCGAGAGTGCTCCTGGGCATCCTCCAGATCAATCTTAGCAGGACATCACCTCCCTCCATGAGCAGGTCAACTTGCTGTCCAGCGTACCATGCAACGCAACGGGTATCTGAAATGTAGATAGCATCCCAGCAGATTGGGCATTTTTTCCACCTCGCCTTCTTCTCAAATACCGGATTCGAGTCATCAACGGAATTCATGTACCGAATAAGACATGGGAGGCAGAAAACATGACCACATTTAGCCATTCGTGGCGCGACAGGGGTGGAGAGGCAGATCGGACAGGAAGTCTGTTGGGTTTGGGACGAGACCAGAACCTGTAAAACGGTGTTCCAATCAAGATGGCGATTCGCGTCCGCTGCTTGCGCATAGTAGTCTTTTGTCGGATCTACTATGAATCGATAGTTGGCATGAACATATCTAACAATCTTTAGCAGGCAAGAAAGCGGTATTTGGGTCACTAGTCTAACCTGGCTTTGTCCACGGCACCCGAGCGAAGTCCCAATCCATAACTACGGCGAGGAGGTGGCCGAGAGGGTGCATAGTGCTGATGAGCGTGTGGGCGCGGAGGGAGAGAAAAGTTCATAAGGTGGGTGATGGACGTCTGGCCTTTGCGACTCATGGTGTTTCTCACTGCAACCTACTCCAATTAGCACCATGCACCAAGCTAAAAAGAAACATCAGCACACACAGACTCCGCAAACGCATCCTCATCTACCAAACGCGGCCGACGGTGACGTTTGTGCTGCTGCCTGCGAGCTTGGTTGGCTTTTGGTACCGACGAGTTCCGAAGCGCCCCGGGGTTCCCAACGCCCCTGCGCTGCGAGTTGGAGTCGGGGTTGCCGGTATATGCCTGAGCTGTGGGTGCAGGCGCAGACTGGATTTGGGTATTCACCGATTTCGACAGGTTAGAGGACTGGCCTGATGCCGACGACATTGCTGGCCGAATCCAAAGCCTCTATCAAGCTCTGCCGTATATACCAGGTGTTGCTTGCCGGAGCTCAGCTCTTTGCGGCAACAAGAAGGCAGCACCGCCGTAAATCTTCCACAGAAGCGAGCAACCAAATAAAGAGCAAGATATTCCAGCACACATTGAACCTCAGCTCCCCCGAGGGGCGTGTTGTCGGCTTGGTGAGCTTGCGAGGATCGAATGATGATGAGGGGCGACGCGGGCGGGTGAGTCAGCAGGGCAATGTATACCATACGTGTATCGTACAGTGGCGTACAGTAATCCCGTTTCTTTTCTACCAGTTAAATCACCGACGGGGTTACATTCAAAGCACGCAACAGTTTGGGTATTGTATGACGCGTTGAAAATACAGTACCACCTCCTACTGGCCCATGCTCCCGTGACTGGGTTGGTGAGTCAGCAGAAGCCGGTTTCACGAAAAAAACATCAAAATCGCAGCCGAAGCGACGTCCAGCCGCCAGCCCTCCACTCGCCAACACCCACGCAGCTTCCCCCAGTCCGCCGAGCACCTCTGTTCTACTTCATTTCTAAATTCTAATAACATATCTTATTCTGTTGCATGCTGTCTCAACACTCTGATATCTGAAGGAAGCTTGCAACCCAACGTTTTCACTTCGCCGAAAGAGTTGCTCAGCTTACAGTTCGCCCCAGCAATCAACAACACTCCGTCGTCCTTAAGCCCGCACTTTCTTGTTCACAATGCGGTTTTAATTCCCTGCGGCGCTTGCTGCTATTCCCATCTATCTGCCGTGCTTAGACATCACTTGCATGGCTCCCCACTAGCCTATTTCGTCCGCTCAACGTAACCATGCCGGGAATGGGAACAATGAACCAGCATCCTCCGCCACCTCACGGGCAATCTCCCGCTCCCCCTCATCGCAGGCAAGCCGAGATACCATATACAAGTGGGCCGCCTAATGCCCGCTCTTCGCAAGCATTCACGGGCTATCATCCTCACGCCCACACCCATGCCACTGGACCATTGCCTCCATATACTCCTCACCAATATCAGCCGCATTGGTATTCTTATCCACAGATGCCCCATCCACCTCACCCCATACCACCACAGCCGTACCAGTCGTACAGTCCTCTAATCGTCTCTTCATATCCTCGTTCTCAACATATTGCCGCCACTCTTCCTCCTCACTCTCTCCCGCAACACCCAACCACCTCAACCCCGCAAGCTGCCTCGTTTACTTCTACCCCTCCACCTCTGTCGGCAGTTTCAGCGCCAGTCAAGTCAGACGCAAAAGAAGATGCACCTCGTATCCAACAACTAGAGGTACAAGTGAAAGGATCTGATACCTCTGCCGATTCCTCTCCTCTCACGCCCTGTTCCAATTCTCAACCACCGGAGGTAAAAAAACAAACTAAAGAACAACAGCCAACCAAAGCGCCATTCAAACCACCTGTAAGTCCTAGTAGCCCCGCAAAACAAACGTTTGTTCTCTGACACGCATCTCACTCTAGCTTCCCTGGCTGTCGGTCCCCGAAGCCCCGTTCCCTCGACGCCTGCCTCGGCGACGAAAGCCTGGGTTCTCCCAAATTACACAACAATCCGTTGCATTATCTTTCAAAGTTGAAAATGATGTTAATGGCCCCAAACCTACTACTCTAGCTCTCGTGGAAGACTTCACCGCTGCGACCCCCACAACGTCGCATCCAACATCTGAGCCTGCATCGACACAACCCACTAGCCCTTCAACCAGCGTCAGCGTCCATACCCCACTTCATGGTCGCCAATCCTCCCAATCAACTACATCACGACATATAGCGCCCATAATTCCCATTATTCCGATCCTCCCACCTAGCCCTGTTGTTCATAAACAAAGCCCACAAAAGATCGAAAAAGTTTCTGAAAGCGCAAAAGCGAATGGACAGGTCTCTGCAGATAGTCTTAGCGAGCCTGCTGAAGATCTGTCCGTTAAACAGGATGTGAAGCCCGCTCCCATCTCACGCCCGCCACCAAAATCATGGGCTGACCTGGTTCGAACCACAAAGCCAAGTACTGCCAGCAATAGCGTTCTACCGTCCTCAGGAGTCGTTGGCGCCCTGGGCTCTACCAAAAATGAATCTCTCTCCGATGTCATTAATGATCTTGGGTCTTCTGAACTTGAGTTCTACAGCAGCAGTAATAATATGGTTACTTTTTTCGAGCCTCGTGGTCTCGTCAACACAGGGAATATGTGCTACATGAACTCTGTAAGTTGATCGACCTCTCAGACCTTGGAATACTGACTTACTTTCTCCAGATTCTCCAAGTGCTAGTCTTTTGCGTCCCCTTCTACAACTTCCTTGATCGAATTAGTCGTCGTGCTGCACATGCCTTCAAGAGCGAATTACCCCTTCTTGATGCCATGTAAGCTATCGTTCTTCCGCTCGATATTACCATAATACTAATTGGTTGTTTGACAGGATCATGTTTATGAGAGAGTTCAGAGTAATTGATTCTGCTGTATCGACCGAACAGCTACGGCTACGTTTGAAACCAAATGAGCTAGAGCAGTTCGGTCCGTCATTGATACCTGAACACGTGTACCAAGTTATTCGGCATCTTCCTCGTTTCAGAGATATGCGCGTAAGTAGATTCAGCTGTCCCAGCTATGAAAGTATCTAGTTCTAACAACCGATAGCGAGGACACCAACAAGATGCACAAGAATTTCTTGGCTTTCTTTTTGAAGAACTCCACGAAGAATGCTTACTTGCAGTGAAGAGTTCGAATACTCCTTCTGATGTCCCGACTCCCAGTGATCTCGATGATCTTTCCATTACTAATACTTCAGAGGGTTGGCTTGAAGTTGGCCATAAACAAAAACCCGCCGTTACCAGGTCTTCGGGCCACATCGCCACGGAATCTCCGATCACAAAAATTTTCGGAGGCAAGATCCGTTCCGAATTCAGGGTTCCAGGCAACAAAATATCCGTCACCCTGGAGCCATACCAGTCGCTTCAGCTTGACATTGGCTCTCCTCAGGTTAATAACATAATCGATGCGCTTAAAGGCCTCACAAGGCCGGAAACTATGCATGGAGATTTCAGCTCATCGCGCGGCCCCAGAGTGAGCGCTACGAAGCAGATCTTTATAGAAAGCCTACCACCAGTTCTAATTCTCCACCTTAAACGCTTCCAATATGACAATGTGACAAAAGGCACCCAGAAGATCTGGAAAAAAGTCGGGTATCCTTTAGAACTTGAAATACCCAAGGAAGTATTTCCCCAGTCACGCCGAAACATGTTCGCTGCACAGGGCAGCGGCCTGCCGAAATATCGGCTTACTGGCGTCATATATCACCACGGCAAAAGTGCAAGTGGTGGCCATTATACAGTTGAACTCCGCCGCCAAGATGGCCGTGAATGGATACGTATTGACGACACTGAAATTCTTCGCGTTAGGAGCGACGATGTTGCCTTCGCTGGTAGCGAGGAAGATCCCAAAGCCCTTGCTGCAGCTCTAGAACAACAAAAGCTTGCAAGCAATGGCTCGCAGACGAACATTTTCCGCCACTTTGATCAAGATGATGATCAAGATAGTGACAGTGGATGGAATCGTGTCAATGGCTCAGGCTCGGGCCACGGAAGCAAGAAATCTATCAGCTCCCTAGCAAACGGGACTATTTCTCCAACGTCGGGAGCTTCTACGAGCAAAAGAATCCCCAGCAACCGGTCGGCCACTCGAGAGAATAAGGTCGCCTATTTACTATTTTATCAACAGATCTGAACGTCGTTGACAAATAGATATCTTTAATACTTTCTGATATATTACCTCCCTCAATGACTTCCTCCTTTCGTATAGCCTTTGTGAAACAACTTTCTAGGGCCTTTTTTCACCATTGTTTTCTTGTTTGACATGCCTTGGAAATTTTTCACGTCTCTGGGCATTTTCCAGGTGCTTCATTGTTGCATGAATGGAAGGCTGGTCAAATCGGTTTTTACTTTTGTTTCTTGCATGGTCGGTTCACGCGTAACTCTCTCGAGCTGGGAAACAAACAATACAGAGATCATGTTTCCCCTCTGTCAGCGGCAATCCTCCTTGTCTGTTTGCTTCTGCCAAACGCCGCCCTATTGATTGATTTTTGCCGTAGGTGTGGAGTGGTCTTCGGAATACATAAAAGCGTGGGTCGTGAAGTGTTTGGATTCTCCTCAAAAGGGATATGCAATGGGAATGGAGGGCTGGAATGAGGATTCCTGGTGTGATTAAATGCCAATTTCCTGAGAGGCCTGGAGCTATGATGTGCCCTAACGTGTTGGGATGACCAACGAAATATATCTTTTAAACTCCATTTGTTTCGATAGCTATTGTAGCTCAGTCGTCCCTGAGAAAATGGTAGACGGGCGGAGCGCCCATTTCAGAGAAAGCTAGGGAGCTGCCGTTTTATTGAGGATTCCTTAGGCTTCATAGCGGGGTGTTCTCTAGACATGTGCACGTATATAGCTCTAGGGATATGCTGGATTCCAATCCATGAGAAGTGTATGGCTTGATTGTATTCAATACCTAAACAGATCCTAAATATCAGCATAGAAATCCCCTAGATTTCGTTTGTCACTTTAAATATTGAGTTTTGGGCTTGACTATGCCCCTCTGTTTCACTTTGGAATATCAAACCTTGAGAAAGTGGGTTAGTCAGGGCGTAGCTAACATTACCCGAGAGTTGACCAACATCTAGCCGCTCCGTATTCGCCTGCCTGGTAAAACAGCATTTTTATTTGGACACTAATTTGCTACATAGTGTACAGCAATTGACAGGATGCTTCTCCAGGAGTCATATCATGATGTTAAAACAACAGTTGCAGGGGAGGGGAGCATGAGTAAGTGTTCACACGAAAGTTCAACTCATGTTGCTGCGCCAAACACTTCCTTCAAGCAAATGGTTACATGATTGTCCTCTTGTTGTACCCACTTTGAAACCAGAGATGACGTTTTTTTTGAGGCGCTGAATTGCATACCGCGCCTAAGCACTGCTTCATCAGATACCCTCACATCAAAACTTCTAGATATGTTACAACTACTGACCTCCTTTTTTTTCTCTTGACGTCATGTTTAGGGATCTATGTATTCCATCCCACAATACCCGGATACCCAAAAGCTAAATTTCCCGGTGTCGTGGTGTTTAGTGAGATATACCAAGGTGCGTATATATGAACAGCCCGTGAAGGATCAGATCATAAATTATGCATCCATGCTACATCCACTTGCTATGTTACATTGTAAATCGGAAGTTAAATACTAAAAAGGATTGTGGGACAGTTACCGGGCCGGTTGCCCGTTTTGCACGCTTAATTGCCGGCCATGGCTATATCTGCGCCGCTCCATCAAGCTATCACGAGTTCACAGGGCCCGAGCCGTTGAAGTACGACGCAGAGGACACAGATAAGGGTAACGTATGGAAAATCACTAAGGTATATCGGTGCCTGCCATTTTAACATAGGAAAATCCAAGGCAAAACTCAGGACTAAGTCATTTCCATACAGAAAGTTGCCGCCTACGATGAAGACGCAAAGCTGTGCATCGATTATCTTGTCTCTCTTCCTACCTGTAATGGGCGCATTGGCGCCACGGGAATGTGCCTGGGTGGGCACTTAGCATATCGTTGTGCGTTAGATGAGCGGGTGAAAGCGGCTGTATGTTTTTTTGCGACCGACATTCACAGTAAGACCCTTGGCGAAGGGAAAAACGACGACAGTCTGCAGAGGGCAGGGGATATCAAAGGCGAATTGGTTATGGTAGGTCTATAGCATTGGCGCTATCCGACTTCATTGACGTAATTTAGTTGATACTGATGTCAGGTTATATAGATATTTGGCAAAAACGACACCCATGTCCCACCGGCTGGGCGCAATTTGATTCGTGACACGCTTCATGAAAAAGGAGTCTGCTTCAGCTTTTATGAGGCAGCCTGGGCTCAGCGTGAGTTGTCACGTCAAAATGACAAGCATTTCTCCAATCCCTGCTGACCGTTATTCAGACGCATTTATCAGAGATGAATTGAGCAAAGGCCGATATGACCCTGCAGTGACAAAAATTTGCATAGAGATGATGTTCGAAGTATTTGGACGCACGCTCAAGGTCGAGCTGGGGGACTCGGATGGAAAAGACCTGAAAGTAGAGCATGTCTGCTAACTTGCACGCCATCAGCGGTTCCTCTGTGGGATATGCTTACTTTTGAAATGTGTAGTAGTGAATTGAGGCGATCTATGCTTTCGCTGCCCCCTTTCCTAGATATGATGACAAACCCTTGCCTCTGAAATCTTCAGAGACATGTAAACCATGGGCATGGGGAAAGAATTCCCATGGCTCAACCCAGCACAGATGGGAGCGCCACAAGTTCTTTTGCCTGAGCTCTGGTAGTCACTGAAAGTTTCCAGTGGATAAAAGTAGTTGCCTTCAGAAACAGAATTTTCCAACTGTGAACCACAAACCATAATGATTTTTGTCTTCTGTCGTGGCATAATTCTTGTTATTTTTGCATTTGTGTGATCGCGATATGCATTCTCTTATTCCGGCGCAGGGCGGATGCTGGTACACAATGGGAATTAACAAAGACAATCAAAGAGCCAGCATTGTTGGGTGATAGTCTATGGTGTATTCGCAAAAAATATTCCAAGTCATCCAGTCTTGATAACACGGCCTCAATAAGTATTCATCGGCCATTATAACCAGCCGATCACAGCCAAGAAATGCAACAACGGGAACGCCAAAATCAACTCGCTTCGTTGAGCACGAAGCGGAGTGGACAGCCTTGGTACGGGTCTGAAAGGCTTATGGAGCACTCCGTACTCCGTACTGCATACGCATTTGCCCAACCACCTCCCAACCACGGCGATTCAAGGAGGCGGGCGCACGGAACAGCGGCTGCCTATCGCCTCAGGGTGGACCGGGAGCCGTCTGAGATGGGTGGGACAAGTGCTCAGCGCTGGGAGCGGTGTCGACTGTGAGACCAGCCGCGTTTCTGTTCGGGCAAAGAAGCAAAAAAGGTTTTAGTGGACGCGAGGGCTAAAGTTTATCGCCACGGCGGCAGCTCCAAGGCAGCGAGTGGCAGTTTCAACCACAAAAATCCTTGGGTCATTGGCCCATTGGAGCATGAATTGTTTCGCAGCGCAATCTGGCGGAGGGTCTGCATCCAAGCAATTCGCGCTGCCCGATTCGGCGACCACGCCCGTTCCGGGCAGCCATACCGCTGTTACGGGCCTGTACCACGCGCCGTATTCCGGTGGAGTAACAGCGCACATGTCGCGGTTTTGATTGGCTACGTTTCCGTGGAGACCCCTGAAACCCCGTGCCAGGGCCATATAAAAACCGCTCACGATGTAGCCGGCGCAGTGGAGCCCAGCCACGCTGACAATACGCGGTGGCTTGCGCGGTATTGGGCCGTACTGCCCAGCCCTACTACCTACTGTGACCGACGGCAGCGAGCAATCGGTTCCTCCGCCTCCCACCGACGCTCGCCCACGCGCGACGACTCCAATCTCTCTCTCATTAGGCGGGTCCCTGTCGAGACTGTTCTGGTCTTTCTCACACTGCTTTCGAGCTCTCGTTTGACCCCACGAGCCTTCACTCTCCTCTCATTCGCTGGTCGTATGTTTCCTCGCATTGACCTCACCTCGCTTGTCACCACGAAGAGACACCGCTTTGTTGTATCGGCTATTACCACACTCACCATTCACTTGGAGTAGGAGGAAGCCACGGCATAGCTGGTCCTTGGGTAGCCTGAGGTAGACCGATTCGCAGTCTGCGAATCGAAGGGTGGCCTGCATCGTTTTATCGCCGGCACCATGGGGTCAACTCAGTTTGGCAAATTTGATGTACGTCCATAACTCGCTGGGCTGCTGGGAGTGGTTTGGGACATCATGCTGACCGCTGGCTGTGAACATAGAACTTTTGTCGTGATACGACACTGCCGATATGCAATGTACGTCGTTACTGAAATCGTCTAGGAAATTGGCGCTGACTAGGATCAGATATTCGTGGATAATAACCAACCTCCAAACGCAAAGTTTGGTGGATGCCCCTTGACCGGAATACCTCTAAGCAATGGCCGCCATCTTGCAAATCTCGGTTCGCTCAGATATCTCTTATCATCAGAATGGCATGATTCTGATAGGCTACAGGCTCGATCCTATTCTGTTTCCTCGCAATATTTATGAGCGCCTTCTTCATATGGAGATCGGATAGAAAAAAGGCCGCAGTAGGAAGAAGGTTAGACCTTTATTCAATCACTGTAGAGTCGACAATGTAACAGTTTGATACTGACAACGACTTTTAGGGAAATTCAATTGTTCCTTCTCGGCTATATCATTATCCAGATATGCGAAATATTTACTGTCGGCGGTTTCCCGCTAGATGATAACGTGCGAAAGGTACGCAGTGTTCAAGTACCTATTACATAGAATGTCTGGGTCAATTGCTGACCATTTTTTAGGGATTTACCGCGGTCCACCTTGCGGCCATATCCGCGACAACCTGGATACTTTTTGTCAATGCTGTCGTCGGGTTTCAATTTATTGATGACGGAACTGCGATTTCAATTGGTCTCACTTTGACGTCTGCGGCCGTCCTTTTCGTTGGAACGGGCTATATCTCGCTGGACACTTCTTTCAGCTGGACAGGACATTTTGACCCAAGCCTTTCAGGAGATAACAAAAATATTGGGCTTTACGTCCTATACCTGTTATTTCCGTTGATTTGCCTCGTAGGGTTTTTTGTTCTGGAGTCAATTCTTGTCATTAGAGTGCTTGGAGAAAAGCGCCCAATGGGTATGTTCCAGTTGCCCCATTCCATCCTTGACACCTTGCTAATATAGATCGAAAATTATAGTATATCTGTCTGTTGCCGGCCTGCTTTTCGTAATTGCCCAAATATTCAACTTCGTTATCAGCACTCATATTTGCCAGTCGGTAAATGGCAAAATCAATGGCGCTATGTTCGAGACATTCTTTACCATGCTTTCCGTCGCCATGGTTTGGGTCTTCTGGAGTAGTATAACGGAAGATGACTGGCCGATGCCCTCTGGTGGAAGTGGGGGATACTCCTGAACAAATGATGATACCCATACGGAAAGGAGTGTGATTTTTTAGTGGAAGATATGCCGACAATACCCCCTGCTCTATTGATATGTTTTGTTGATCATCTTTGGGTTTCTCTACTTTCTTCTGTATCACCTCTTCTTTAATGTGTCTACTAATTTATGCGTGTATGCCTGTTATATATATAAATGCAGCGTTGGCGATTTCTCGCTTGGGGGAAAAATTAATGATGTAATATCGATGACTTGGTTGTTTGCTCTGCTGCTTGCAACCTGCATGTCTAGTACATAAAGATATATACCCGGAGCTTATGAATTATAATCCGTACATTCATCAATCAGAAATAGATCTCTAACAGATCTATCATTTGCTGCAGTGACTTATTCATGCGATTACATAGGCGTCTGTGCTTTGGTATCCCCTTCTGTTTAAAGTGTATATACCCTATCGTAATTGGAAACCTGGGCAACTGCAGTGGAGGTAAACTGTTGTTTCAATTTCATCCCATTATTAGGAAAAGAGTGACGACAGCAACTATAATCCAGAAACTACTCTGTACAAATCCTTATTCTGTTGAATCCCTTGTAGTATTTTCTTCTTGAGGACCTTCGGCGGGACTCTGACTCGGCTTACCGAAAACTCCCATCCCGAGCCAATACCGCCAATGCGTCCAACCCGGCCACATGCACACAGCTTCAATATTGTTCCCCATCGGATCGAGCACAAAAGCCCCATAGTAAAACCGTGTGTATTGCGGCCTTAGGCCTGGCGGACCGTTGCATTTGCCACCGGCCTTTATGGCCGCTTCATAGAACGCGTGGACCTGCTCGCGGCCTTGGAAGGGGATAAGTTAATTGACTGGTGATATCTTAAGCTTCCTGGGATATTGGGACTTACTGCTGGCACTGAATGCGATATGCAGGGGTTTTCGCTGGTTTTCTTGTTCGTCTTGGTCTCTGTCGCCCCCGTCTTCAGACTCCGGTTTGACACCAGTGATCCAGAAGTCTGGATAATATACCCCGAGCCCAATGACATTTTCCACAGGCCGCATGTGCTCCTTATACCCGAGAGGGGCTAGGGCAGCAAGGTAAAAGGAAAGAGTCTCATTGAGCTTGCTGTGAGGGACGCAGAACCCGAGATGCGAGAAAGGCATAGTTGCGGAGGCGTAATTAGGTATAAAATGACGAAAATGGTCACTGGGGTAAGGATATATACTGAGACTCAGAGCTGCGGCGTGAAAAGTTTTATATCGGCACCTTAGACCTAGAATCTACTCTAAGGAAAATACGCCCCCCATTGCTTAGGACAATAGGAAAGTATAACTCCTAAGACGGTAAAGGCTGCGAGCTTCCAGGCAGCAATGCGTTAAGCTCAAGTCATAGTTAGATGCGCCAAGGGCAAACACGAGAATTAAAGTGACATACGAACAGCCAGGGCAAAATTTTCTCTGACCCAAATAAATAGTCCTTTCATCTTAGTATTTTAGGGCTTTGGGTGAGAAAAAGGCCGTGGGAAGCGTTGTCCCATTTGACGACCAGCTACCTGAACAGTCGGTAAGAATAAGAAAAAAACACGACTATACCATGGGTGGATTCCAAATTAGGGGGGGTCCATACGAGAGACGCCAATTAGCCTGTCGTTCGATGGAACAAATTATTTATAGGGGCAACTGAGAACTTAAGAATATGTATATATAAAAAAATACAGATCTGGGGCATATGTATCCACAACAAGCTTATAAAATACATGTGCCTTGTGGGTTTTTGAATTGCAAACAGTGTTCTGTTAAAAATAGAACAGTCATTGAAGAGCCGTCAAAACGCGTATTATAGTAGCAATCCACGCTCAATATACTCGAAAGGTCGAAATCCGAGACGGTGATGGGGTTCCGTCGTTGTTCTGTTATCCTATGGCCTGTAGGCCCGAAGGCACAAGCGATGCAGTTCCAAAGACCCAGCATAGGCCAGTAGGGTGGTTGAGGAGACCCTCCAAGTTTAATTGAGGGGGGTTTTTTCTTTCAAAGTTTCTTATAGCCTCACTTTGACACCAATACATGGTAAGGTCCATTCCCTCCTACCCAAAAGGCTCCGCAACCATTCTAAACCAACGCCCGTCCACTGCGGCTGCGCCTCCACTGGCTCCGTTCCAGTTGGAGTAATTCGCTTCTTCGCCTCCTCAAACGCAGCAGTGGCTAATGCAGTGGCTGTCGAATTCACGGTTTCTAGAGCATACCCGACTAACCCGGCGGTAGTATCTTCCGTAGCATTACTGGGCGTGGTGGAGGTCGGCGCGACGAATTGGGGGGAGAACCAGTTGCTTTTAAAATCAATGAAGCATCGGTCGGACCAATGGCACGAAGATAGAAATAGGATTAAGAGGAGCGCGGAGCAGTAGATGCAAGGTCGATGTAGGAGATAAGTGAGAGCGACAAAAGATATTATGAACAGAGGGCTTGCGTTCGTTGGGATGAAGAGCAGAGGAAGCCAGCTTGATACCGCAAATGTTAGGCAACCTTCGGACAAACAAGGAGCAAGAGTGGCGTACCTTCTGAGGCAGAACATTCTCGCATCCGAGGCGGTTTCGCCTAAGAGAGCTGAGTACGACTGTTAAAGCTGCCGCTATAGTTAGCTGAGAGACTGCATCGACGGGAGGATGCTTCTGGTTTCGCAACAACCCGCGCTGCGCTGGTGGTGGCCGAGAACAGGCGGCAGTTATCGCCCACAATGTTTGACAGCGAGGCAAAGCACACAAACAGAGCAAACACCCGGCCTGCCCAAAAACAACCTCGCCAGCTTCTGTATCATCAACCTTCTCACCTCCTCCTCTTCTCACCTTCTCATCAAACCGTTCCCCCACCCTCTCTAGCTACAACAGTACTTTTTTAGTCTATTTTGTAATTACTCCTTCTTTTCTTTACGTGTCAGGGGTCTTTCGTCGGTGGTGCAGGCAGAAATGTCGTCGTCGGCGGAGCTTCAAAGGCTCTTTGCCTCGTTGGTGAGCAAAACACCATCGTCCCAGAGCTCATCTGCCGCTCAGTACCAGCAGCAGCAAAGCCGTACTCTATCAGGCTCACCTGGACCCAACACTCATTCCCGCCCGCACTACGCCCCTCCATCCGTATCGTCACCAGTTGTTAGTCCACCGGTGGCTGGGACTCCTCCCCACCATGGATCTGACATCATAAGCCCTAATGTTCCCACTCCTCGAAACGAAGCAAATCCAACACCTCCTTCGATTTCACAATGTACCGATCATCTACTCGGTTTACTTAAATTTGAATCGCCTACTTCCAACGGCTCTTCACCTCCGCCCCAAGCAGCTACGGATATACCTTCAAACCCAAATAAGCCGGGGACTGGTATAGATCGTGGTGCAAATACTCAGGGAATATCAGCTTCTGATCTAGTTGCGGCCTTTATGCCGAAACCTACGGCTGAGCCGGGGAACCGGAGTCTACCGCTTAGCAAAGATAATGTGAATCAGCCTCCCACGGTTGGTGTTCGACAGAAGGATGATACTCAGGAAATGTTATTAAAAGTGCTCAATGATCGGCCAGCATCTAAAACTCAGTATGCAGACTTGCCAAAACCTTTGGAACATAAGCCAGTTTTTTCACCGCCTGCCTCTACTGAGACCCAGCTTCCTGAGAAAGAAATTTCAGAAGAGCGTAAATACTCTCCTGTTCGTGCTTTTGGAACTCGTGAAAGCCGTGAAACAACGCCTTTCGAAGCTCCTAAGTCAGATGCGCCGGTGCAAGCCCCAATTTTTAGTTACGTTAATCCGTTTGAACAGCTTGCTGCAGCGTCTTCAAGCCCCATAGGGAAGCCTGGTGCACCAACAGTGGAAGATGCCTCTAAACGTCAAAGCCTTGAGCGTAATGTCTCAACTGGATTGACACGACCACGGGAAGAACCAGAACCGTTAACCAAAGCAGGGTCAACTACTATCCAAGAGCTTCGCCCTGGGAAAAAGCTGAAGACAAAAGAAACAGTTTCCGATGCTCTCATTAGTGCTGGCGAGGAAGCCAAGGCTAAAGTAGAGACCGCACTGGCCCGTCCTACTGAAGGGAAAGCTGTCCTGAAAACGACGGAATCGAATGGCACCCATAAACCAATTCTCAGGGGTTCGGGGGATGTGGATTCGATTAAGGACCGAATTGGCGGCCGACTTGAAAAAGAGCCCGCCGCCAGCAGCTCTGTATCAGTTGCTGTTAAAGGGAATGTAGAGAAAGACCTCGCTGACTCATGGGAAAATGAAGCGGAACGCATTGTTCCTGTCTATGGCTTCCCGCTGCGACCTTTCATTTCTATTACATGGAAGGGTACCACAAAAAACATAGTCTCGGTTCGCGATGATGGGTTCATGGACATCGCTAGGCTAAAGAAACCATTTGATCAACTTGACCGCTCGCTTACCTCGGCCACAGCAAAGTATATCATTTACGCTCTGTCCAAAAATGGTGGAATACGCGTTATTAGGCAGGATGATGGCTACGATCGGCAAGTATTCCGTGCTTGTAACGACCGCATCTTCAATGTTGCTCTATGCCGCTTGGGTCCAAATTCTCCGTCTGGGAAGGATGAGGCAGTTCTAGGTATTGGTGATAGTGGTTCCGTGTATTGGGCGCCTCTCTCCAAAGGAGATGAAAATCTTTTTGAAAAGGATGCGCTTGATATTAATAGTTTAATATTTCCTCCGTTTCCGGCATCCGATGAGAATACGTCTGGTGGTCAGCTGAAAACGCGCGCCCGACCAAGCTCGCGTCATCCTGAATTCTTCGCCATCGGCCGCGGCAAATCAATCCACATCGTGTGGCCTAGCGCTGCCCTGTCTCCAAAGTATAGTGTTTCAGGATCTAGCCGTGAAGTCGATACCGAAAAGTTTTACAAGGATCGAGCTGTGAAGATTTCAACTGGAAAAGCTGGAAAGGATTTCATTTTCAGTGATGATGATACTGTCATCGTCTCTCTAGACAAAACAGGGCGCTTGAGGTTCTGGGATATTCATGAGATGGTTAATGGAAACAGCGAAGCCGGCAAGGCTGATATTCGTGTGCCTCTCCTGACCCTGGTGACCAGCACTCCAAATGAAAAATCGTGGCCTACATCTGTCCTATTTGTTGATAAATTGCGGCCTTATATAAAGATGTCTGCGATGCGATATATGCTTGTCGGTCTTAGGCAAAATCATACGTTTCAACTATGGGATCTGGCACTTGGAAAAGCAGTTCAGGAATTGAGCTTTCCTCATGAAAATGAGTCGGATGCAATTTGCAGCGTGGCTTACCACCCCGCGTCGGGCATTATCGTTGTTGGTCATCCTACGCGCAATTCTATCTACTTTATCCATTTATCGGCCCCCAAATATACTCTTCCGCCAATGTCTCAAGAAGCGTACATGAAGGGTATCATTAATAAAGATGAGCAGCTGTTTGGTCCTCAATCCACCGCCTGCATGAGTGGGCTTCGAGAGCTATCTTTTGGGCCCAAAGGTGAGCTTAGAAGTCTGGAACTGCTCCCTCTGGGCAAACCCTATCCATCCACGCGCGATGAGGATTCCGGGCTGTTCGAGCTGTATGTTATGCATTCTAAGGGTGTCACCTGCTTGAACATTAAGAAGGCAGATTTGGGCTGGACCATGGACAACAAGATCGCTCAACACATCAATGGCGTGGACGAAGATTTTGTCGAGATTAAAGAATTGCAAACCTCTCCTTCTCAAACCGATGAGCAATCTGTTGCTGGGGAAGTATCGCCATCAATCGTTGTGAATGGGAAAGAGACGGCCAAGAAAATCGAAATTTCGCCTGAAAAACCATCCTCTGCAGTCTCATCGGGCAGCCAATCTCCAATTAAAGAGACAAAGAAAAAGTCACAAGACAACGTAAATAACACTCAGCGTGAGCCTGTAGAAAAACCAGACAAGAAGAAAAAGAAAAAGTCTGCCATAGAGACCTCGCCTAAGCCGAAAGAGTCCAACGAAGGGCCCAAATCTTCTCGAGAAACCGGTCCAGTGGAACCTGCAGGAAAGCCTGATACCTCGCTCAAAGGAGCGGAGCTAGTTCCACCACAAAAACCAACACTGCAAACACCCAAACCACCTGCGGGACCATCTGTTGAAGGGGTTTCTGATTATTCTGCCAAAACGGCCAAAGCCGCGGAGGCTGATCTGTCCAAAGAGTTTTCTACTCTACTTAGCCGCGAACTAGGTATTTTCTATAGCCGGTTCAATGAGGACAGGCGTGCCCAAGACGAACTTTCAGTTTCTCGACAGGACGCCGTGCTCCGATTAATTTCCAGCACTCTGTCTGAAAATGTTGAGAAAAGTCTCTCCCGCATTGTTACCGGTGCTATTGAGTCCACTGTTGTGCCAAGTATCAAAACCGTGACGACTGCATCTCTGGAAAAGCAGTTTGCAGCGGAATTTGATAAGCGCGTTCGTTCAGCGATATCCGATTCGGTTAAGAAATCATTACCAGATGCAGTTGCCCATGGAATCCAGACACCCCAGGCATTCAAATCTTTTTCGGATTCAGTGGCTACAGCGGTTGTTAAAAGCGTGGAGAGCGAACTCAGCATCACTGTTCGCCACAAGATTCTGCCAGCAATCAAGAACGAGTGCTCTAGTTCTACTGAGAAGGTCATGGGCGACGTCGAGAAGGTGGTTATTTCTAAATTCCAGCAGATGGAAAATCAACATCTCAGCGACAGTGTTAAAATTGACCAGCTGACCAACCAAATCAATTCTCTTGTCCAAGTTGTATCAACAATGGCCACCTCCCAAACGAAATTGCAAGAAGAAATTTTGGGAATGAGTCGCCGACTGGAGGAGATGCAGATAGCTACCCAGGAACGGAGCACCCGACCCCCTGCTGCTGCTCCAGTGATTGAAAAAGAAGCTTCTAAGCCACCGCCCGAGGATACAGAGGTTGAAGAGGTCCGCCGTCTGATGACTGGAAGGGAGTATGAACAAGCTTCCATTAAGGTATAGTTAATACCCTATTTTAGTTTGACCGCATGTTCTCATCAATAAATATAGTGGGTGCAATCTACCAAGCAAGCAGAACTTTTCGATACTTTATTTATCCATCATGATCCGGCCTATTTGAAAACGGTTTCACCGATTGTGTCACTTTCCGTCAGTGTTGCTGTGACGTCCTCGCTAAAAACACACCCGGTGGAGCGTCTCAATTGGTTGTTCCACGTCTTCGGATCCGTCAAAACCAATGTATGGATCCCCTACACATATATTAGACTAACAAGCTAACGGGTGCATCACTAGGACCCTGATATCGCAAGCATTGTGCCAAAAATCATGGATGTGTTAATCGAGAGACTCCAAGAGCTTTACATGTCGGTTGCGTCTCATGATCCACATGCCCCGTATCTTCGCCAAATCTCACAGCTTAGCCGTTGGGCTCGACAGCTGAAGGATACGACTCCTTCCCAATCTTAGTCTGCAATTGTGCTTGAATTATTCTCGTTTTCAAAGTCTTTTCCCCTTTTGAACCCGGCGTTTGATCAAAAAGCGATCATGCATGAGAAGCTATGACACTGCCTCATAATTATCTTGTCATTTCCTTTTCCTTGTTGGTATGGTAAAACGGGCACCTCTTTATTGGCTTACTGGTTTTACATGACTTTCTTCCCCTGTACTATGAAGTGCAAAAGGAAATGTGCCAACATATCTCGTTATCTCTTTGTTTACGGCTGTGGATATGTACACTATGCAACTTTATATACCATCTTTTCCATTTCTCGGCTATGGTGGTGATCTCACTTGATGTATTTAAGACGGGCCCGAGGCGGAAGAATGGCTGATAGACTTCTGGAGGCATGACTACGTGGAGATCATGATTGAGCGTTGGGGGGCCGATGGCTAAGACAGGTGATCTGATGTGAAGTGCCTGTTGATATCCATTCTTCTCCTATCCGGGGCTGAAGCTGTGGACTGTATTCTAGTGATGGATGGAAGGAATCATGATCAACAAAAAGTTGCAATCAAGCAGATTTAGTCTATTCTTCTTTCTCTCTTTCACGCATGGAATCCAAACCCATCATCCCCACCACCATCATCCTCCACACCATCCTCGACAAACTCAAACGCCATGGCCCTCCAATTCAACTCCCTCCGCCAATGCAGCCCATACCCCTTCTCCGCATCCAGCGCCGCCCCAGCCCTCCTCCCATCCCGCCTCCCCACCACAATCGCGCGAAAGCGCGACAGCAACACCCCCATCGCGCAGCACACACACGGCTCGTGCGTCACGTACACGTCCAGCCCCGTGCACAGGTATCCGCCGCCCGCGGGCGCGCTCAGGTTGGCCACGCCGAAAAAGCGCGCTTCCAGAGCGGACAGCGACAACAACGACGACGGCGGAGGCGGTGCGGCGCCGCATTGCCGTTTCTGAGACACGAGGTCGATCGCGCGCATCACCGCGTGCGAGCTGGGCTGGCCTTCCGTGTCCGGGTCGTACTTCAGAGGCGGTTCGCCGCCGCCGCCGCCGCCGTCCTCGTCTGGAGCGCGGGGCACAGTCGGCCGGGGCCCGTCGCGATACCGCGCGTCGCCCGCCACTGCGACGACGGCCGCTAGCGGGTCGTCATTGTCATTGTCCGCGACGAGCGCGGGATCAACGACGACGGCGCCCACACGCCGGCCGCAGCTGGACGTCTGCGCGTCGCGCGCGGCGTGCCAGGCCAGCGCGAGGAAGCGGCCGGCGTGGCGCGCGAGGCTGGTGTGCGCGCGCTGCAGGATCTTGGGCGGCGGGGCGTGCGAGGCCGGCTGCGCGGCGGGGTTGTAGGTGGTGGGCCAGTGGTTGTGGGACCACTGGCGGGCTTGGGTGGGTGAGAGGGGTGGTTGGAGCGGGATGGTGGTGGTGCGGAGGATGGGTGTGGGTGCTGGGTTGTTATTGTTGTTGTTGGGAGGGAGGTACGGTGTGAGCAGCGCGAGGAGCTCGGAGCGGTCGGGCAGCGGTGGGGAGATCAAGACGTAGATCGTGCTGCCGGTGCTGGTGCTGGTGCTGCTGTCTCCTTCGCTGGCTGGCTTCAGATGCTCCGGGAGGTGTTCCGGCTTCGCGAAGCGTCGGAGGTGGGTGAGACTGAGCGACGGGTCTCGTGGGAAGGTGGAGTCGAGTAACCTAGCACAGATAACAAAGGGCTTAGTTTTTCGGGGCTTCTGCTGTAATAAGCCGGGCACAAGGGGAGGGTGGGGAGGATGTTCCAAGCGGACTTTACTACAGTGTTGGCGGACTTGATGTCGATTTCCGCGACCAGAGCGTCGGCTTTGTTATCCGTTGGTTAGCGTGGGGGTGTCAGAGGTCACTGCGTGGGAGTACTATTGGTGCTCACCTTGTTCGAAGGACGGCCGAAGCTCCTGGACAGTCGGCAGAGCGACCAGCCGCCCACTCAGCGGCGTCAGGCCATCCAAGACGTCCGTCTTCGAAGCCATCGAGCGTGGAGGGGGGGCAGCCTATTATTGTCAGGACCAGCCCAGATCAGATCCGCGGGGAGCGCATGACTGCCGGGCCACCGGGGCACCCAGGATTCCGATCGTAGTAGTATAGAGTACACACCGTAGGCCGCGATGCGCGCGTCTTCTGCCGGTGGGCGTTGAGGTTGTTGTGAAGCAGCGTGTGGGTGATGCGCGCGATGGGCGATGTCGTCCCGAAGCGGGCAGGCCCTAAGCTAAAGCCCTAACTGGCGCCGCATTCGGAATCTACGTCACAGCAACAAACACAGACGGGGCAGACAACCCAGCACAGGGATCAAAGAAAGAAAGAGTATAGATTGGTCTTTTGTTTAGTGGCACAGAGTCCTATTAGGCGCCGCGAAAGAGCCATGTGGTAGCTAACTAATTTATCACGAGCTTCTCTTCGGTGCTGTCTCACTCAGGCTTTGTTTCCCGCCGAGGAGGCTCGAGAGCGTAGTTCCCCCCCCCCCTACCCCCGTCGCACGAGAAACACTCTAGAAAGCGAAGAGCAAATCAACAGTAGAAAAACAAAAAACAAAAAACAAAACAGAAAAGAAAGTCAAGGTCATGCAGTGCGTATGTATGTGTGTATTGGCCGCAACCGCGTTAAGTAATATATGCAGCAAGAATGCAAGTGTAAAACGCCAACGTGGGAAATCCAGGAAGCCGCCCATCTAATCGACCGCATAAGCCCCTTCTCTCTCTCGTGTGGGTAGACCGGGAAAGCACTGAACTCCATGCAACATGCGCAGAAGAAACTCGTTCGGAACAAAAGGGATCTCCGTAGAATATGATGCTGGTAACGAGAGAAATGCAGTGGGATAAGAAATGATTTTTTCGTGAGATCTGGATTTTGGGTAAAGAAAATTCAAAAACAAAAGAAATAAAAAAGTAAAGCACGCTCAAAACTAGCCGACGGAGCCCCCGTGGGGCCTTGCATGCTGATATGGGCGAGGGTCGGGCTCGGGGTCGGTGAGCGCGGGCTCGGGCTCCATCACGTAGTCGGCGCAGCGCTCGACGAGGTTCTGGTAGTACTCGACGAGCTTCTCGGGCTGGGGCACGATGCGCCACTCGACGCGCCACAGGAACTCGAGCTCGAGCAGGGCGAGTTCGGGGACGGAGATGCCGCCGACGCGCGAGTAGGTCTTGTTGGTCCAGAAGCTGTCGCTGAGGCCCTTGCTGGCGACGGTGGCGGCGGTGATGAGGAAGCGGTGGACGGTCAGGCTGGAGACGGTGAAGGACGGGTACAGCTCGCACAGCAGGTCGATGTAGTAGACCATGCTGAGCAGGATGGGCGGCGAGAGCGTGGCGTGGGTGGTGAGGCGGGCGAGATAGTCGCGCACGGAGATGCGCGGCGGCGAGCGCGAGTGGAAGCGCGTCAGGCGGCCGTCGCGCAGCGGGATGTCGTCGTTGAAGCCGATCAGCTCCATGAGCATGCTGGCGATGAGCACGACCAGGTCGCGCGGGTCGGCCTTGTCGTAGCGGCGCGGGAGCACCTTGGGCGCGGGCCTGGGCGGACGGGGCTTCTTGGGCACGGAGCCGTCGGGGGCGTCGTGGTCGGCGCAGTCCTTGTTTTTGGCCTTGTTCTTGGTCCTGGGGGCGATGGCGAGGGCGGAGGAGGAAGAGGAGGAGGAGGATGGGGGGGCGGTGGTGGAGGACGGCTGGGAGCGCGCATTCGCAGCCGTGGCGCGGGAGGTGTGCGTGGTGCGCCTGGAGCCTGCAGCGGTCGAGGGCATTCGGGAGCCAGCGAGAGGAGAGCGCGCAGTGTCAGCAGTAGCAGCAGCAGCAGCAGCTGTAGTAGTGGTAGTGGTGGTAGTGGTGGGCGTCAATTGGGCAGCGGGCGAGGACGGGAGGTGTGGAGGGCCGTCTGGCGGCGGCGGGGAGGTGGGATTAAGAGTAGTAGTGGCAGCAGTAGCAGCGGTGGTGGTAAGAGCTGTGGTGAGAGCTGTGGTAGTGGTAGTGGTAGAGGTGGGAGACAACGGCGGGCGGGCTGGGCGGGCGGCGAGACTGGCGGGCGGCGGCGGGCGCGACGACTGTGTGGCCGCGTCGGCGGTTGGGCGACGGAAGGCCAGCGCGCGGGCGGGCGGCAGCGGTGGTGGTGCAGCAGCAGCAGCAGCAGCAGCAGCAGCAGACGGCGGGCAGCAGGCGGGCATCACCACAGCGGGCGGCGACGATGCCTGCCCGGCGTGCTGCGGCGGCGGCTGCGGCGACGGCGACAGCATCGCGCACGTGGGCCAGCGCGGCAGCCGCTATGGCGGGCACGCGACGGGGGGCGGCAGGCGGCGGGCGCGGCGGCGATCGGCGCGCATCGTGGCCGCAGCGACGGCGGCGGCGGCTGCAGCTGCGGGCCTGCGGGCCAGTCAGAGAGCGGCGACGCAGCGGACGATGTGGTGGCTCCGTCCGCGGTACGGAGGACGGCGTGGTACGGTCGTCGACGTGAGGTGAGTCAGTGAGTGAGGGTGGTGGTGGGTGGTGGTGATGTGGTCCAGAAGGGTCATGGGGTCGCGGCTACCGCGGCCGGCGCTAGCTGACTCAGCCCTGACTCAGCCATAGGGCAGGCCGATTATGTCAGCGCCTGCCAACACAGCCGGGCCACCGTCGGCCGCGACATCCAGCTCGCCCTCGCCGCCCATCCCAACGACGACGACGACGTCGACTCGCCGTTTGCTGCCCGACGCTGCCTGCACAGTCGCTGCTGCCGGTTTGCTACCTTGCTACTGCCCACTACTGCCGCCTGTCGTTTGCGCCTGTCCGTCGCCGTCTTCTCGCCCGCTGCCCGGACAACCCTGCGCTTCCTCCACGCCGTCCAACCCGCGACCCCCGACCCTGCCATCCACACCCACCCGGCCCTGCATCTGGCGACGGACAATACGGTGTCCTCGGGGGAGGTGTGTGCAGCTGGAGCTTGTTCCAAGATTGCAAGCGCAAGACGCCCGTTGACGTCACCACAACTGCAGCCCTAGCTTAAAAAAACATCATACTATCAAGCTCTTCTCGTGCACTTCAATTCACCGGCATCTTTTCTACCCAACGCCTTCAATCCCGCCAACATGATGCCGATCTCCTCTCTGGAGATCTTTGCGGACTTCCGGGACCCACATGCTCCCTATGATCGACTGACGGCCCTGCGCGCCTTGAAAAACGATCTCGTCGGCCATGACCAGAAAAAGGCCATGTGGATAGAGAAGGGCGTTGTGCCCGTGCTGTCCGCCATCCTGTTTGAGCCGCTCTCTGCCGAGAAGGATCCTGTGACCCCGGCCGACGGCGCAGAACGGCTCCCAGTCCACCGCGTCGACCGGGCCGAACGAGATGCCATCCACCGGGAGGCCGTGGTGATCATTGGCAGTCTTGCCCAAGGTTAGTGCTTGTTCTTTTCCCACCATTGTTTGAGACCTGTTCTCCGGCCTCCATCTCTGTGCCGTGCTGACCGTCGGATTCTACCTGCAGCTGGACCAGCCTACATTTCGTCCATCCTCGCCAGTGACATCCTTCCCGCCCTTCTTTCAATGCTATCATCGCCCTCCTCTCCAGCCGTCTTGGACCTGACAATTCTCCAAACCTTACACACCATTGCCGACAAACTCCCACTAGCATATCAGCATGGCAAAACCCAGCTCCAGCGCCTCTCAACGCTTCTATACTCCGGGGACTACATCCACTGCTTGCTCAAAATCTTTGAACAAACCTCAAAATCTTCTATAACACAAGCATCTATTGCTCTAGCCGCCGATATTATCTCGAAAACATGTACGGAAGAGTCTTACAAGGTCATGCTTGCCGAGGCCGGCGTCTTAGATGCCTTAGCATCCAAGTTGGCGAGCTTTGTCGTTTCACAAGGCTTTGTTATTCCTGGCGCCGAAAATCAAATCAAAACTGCTGGCACTTTGGACGCCTTACCCCCACCCGCTCCACCAAGCGCCCAGCTCAGCCCTTTGCTTCGAGCTGTTTCCGTCATCATCGAGTACTCCCAATCTCGCGCTGAGCATTTGATAACATCCCCAGCCTTGGTGACTGTATTTCCGCTGCACAACACTATGCAGGACCGTATGTCCCAAAGAGGTCCATGGATTACCCCATTAGTCTCTGCGAAGCTCAGTCCTTCAAACCCCATTGATCAGCTTTTGCCATCAGTGCCCCATCCGCAGCCCCCTGGACCTCTTAGCTTTCCGCCTTTAGGTTATGATAGGAGGGGCATTGCTATCGCTCAGTCGCCGGCCCCCTCTTTGCTCGACGACGAACCATCAGTTGGTAACGAGCCTGAAAGTGCAATGATATCATGGCTGATATGCATCGCGAGACAAAATTCAGGCTTACTACGGCTCATGGCTATTAGGTTGGGTGCTGTACTCTTTCGCTTGGGCCTTGCGAGAAAGGAGCGTGTTGCGATGTTTGGATACCTGCTGGTGCCACTTCTTATACAAATGCTCGACAATGATTACGTTGCCCCCAATAACAGCGAGACGCGTGAGAACGGGATGGCCTCATGCACTGAAAGGGTCAAGGAAGAAGCTCCCGCTGTTCTTGCGACGTTTTTAATGGAGAGTCGGGACCTACAGAAGTACGCGGCGGATGGCGGTGCTATCAGGAAGCTCTCGCAGATGCTCAAGGAATCATTCAACCCGATCGAGGACTCTGGAAAACCCATGTGGAGTCCTGTTCCGAAAGACACCTCGACCAATGGTTTACCAGAAACGAGCCTCGGCGTAGCTGGTGTTTCCCCTACTCTGCTCCATCGTGTCAGGGTTCGAGAAGGAGTTCTTCGAGCCCTATCCGCGCTTTCTCTCTTCAAAGAAGAATACCGGAAAGCTATTTGCGATAATGGCGTCATTTCCTATGTAATTGATTCTTTGAAAAGCTATGAACCCGGTGACCCTAGTTCGAAAGTATCCTCGCTGGAAGGCAATCCCGTTCCTACGTTACTTGCTGCCTGTGCTGCTGCCCGGTCGCTCACCCGCTCCGTTAGTGTCTTGCGCACTAGCTTGATTGACGCCGGCGTAGCAAGCCCAATATTTGATCTCGTCAAGTCTCATGATGTTGAAGTCCAGATTGCGGCTACCGCTGTGATCTGTAATCTGGCTATGGACTTTAGCCCGATGAAAGAAGTCAGTTTCCACGCCAAAACGGCCCTCGTCTTTTTTTTTTCGGGTAGAATAATAGCTAACATTATCTTAGGCAATTATATCCGCTGATATGATTCCCACGCTTTGTGAACATTCTCGGTCTGACAACACAAAGCTGCGATTAGAGTCGATCTGGGCGTTGAAACACATTGCCTATAATTCGACGAACGATATCAAGATGAAGATACTTGCCGCGCTTGAGCCATCGTGGCTGAAGCAAGTCATTTGCGAGGATCCTACTGATACGACAATTCGACAGAAAGTGGAAGAAGACCTCGCGGCGTTGGGAGATAGTGAGATGGACATTTCGCCGGCTCCCGCGGAGTTGAGCGAGCCCCAAGATTCCGCCCCAGGCAATCTCCGCAACACCCCGGAACCAACGGTGGATCACAGAATGACCGACACGGTCATGCCGCCGAAGATGAGCCTTGATGCATTCCTAACGAATGGCGCTCGACAACGGAAATTGGCTCTGAGCGGGGACCTAGACCAAACAAAACAAATGCGTCGAGACGATATACAAGTCCAAGAGCAAACCCTCGATCTCGTGCGAAACCTGATTTGTGGATCCGGAGCTACCGAAATGATCGACTATCTGCTTCAGGAGGTCACCGATCTTTTCGATGTCCTGGCGGATAAGCTACGTCCCAAATCTCAACTCAGCCGCAAGGATTCTACTGCCAAAGTCTCGCCAGTGCCGACCGAGATCATTTGTTCTGTGACGTACATCATGATCCACATCGCGGCTGGCCTGTCCCGCCATCGACAGCTGCTCATAGCGCAAACGGAGCTCATCGAGCTCCTGCTGCCCCTCTTCCAGCACCCCAGCCGGCAGGTTCGTGTTAATTGTGTGTGGATCGTGATCAATCTTACGTTTGAAGATGATCAGAGCGACCACAACAGCTGCCGGGAGCGCGCGACTAAGTTGCGTGATTTGGGTGTACTGGAGCAATTGATGCTGTTGGACGATGATATGGAATCTGACGTACGCGAGCGTACGAAAACGGCTTTGCATTTGATAAACCAGTTGATGTTATAATGAAGTCAAGCGTGAGTGGCGAATTGGCCCCCCCCCCTTCTATTCATTTAGCCTGTGAACATGTTTTCCAAAAGAAGAGAAACGGTCAGAACTGTTTCCTCTCTCTGCATATAATATTCCTAGCATACTCAACTTGGTGTTTGTTTTGTCTTTTTTTTTTTTTTGGTGCTGTTGATTTTTTATCTTGCCCCTTTTAGCATTCTGCTCATTGTTCTGGAAGTTAGCTTTTTGGTTGGTAAAAAAAAGTTTCCAGCGAGGCGTGGACGGTCGAAAAAGGGGGATTATAGACGAGGTAGCTCGGTATTTTGGGGCATACAAATTGATTGACATTGCATGCAAACAACATCGTAATTACTTGTGGTCTAGCTACGGTGTAGATACCTTTTTCCTGGTCGATTTGCCCTGTTTGCACCACCTTGTAGTCAACTACGTCATCATCAACCTCCCTTGCTTATCTAGATAGTTTTCAACCAGGAGAAACGGAAATTTATCATCCACGTTTGATGACCATAATTTCTCAGGCCAGTACGCCTCCCGGACAGCAAGCACAGAGTCCACATTTTCCATCCAACGCTACACCATGGCCCCCAGATCCTTCCCCATCCCGGCCTCCATCCTCACAGCCCTCTCGCTCCCCCCTCCCACCGACCCCTCCAAAACCACCCTCTCCCCCCACGGCTCCGGCTCCGGCTTCACATCCACCGCACACCTCCACGCCCTCGTCCCGGACCCAGCCAACCCGGCCCAAGATGTCGAGAAGCACTTCTTCATCAAGACCGCCAACCCCCGCGCCTCGCTCCCCGATCCCAGCATGGAGATGGCTCGCGGCGAGTTCGCGGGCTTGAACGCTATTGCGGAGGTGGTGCCGGGCTTGGGTCCGCGCGCGCTGGCGTGGGGGCAGATTAAGTATGATGAGGAGAAGGAGGAGGGCGAGGGGTGGTTTTTGGCGACGGAGTTTTTGGACTTGGGCGGTCGCCGTGGGAAGCGGGCTGGGGATGGAGCGGTGGTGCTGGCGAGGAGGTTGGCGGCGTTGCATTCTAGGCCGGCGCCACCGCCGCCCACGAAGGTGGCAGCGGAGATGAACATCGTGAACATCGCGCAGGGAGATGCGGCCACGGGCAGTGGCGTGACGCCGCAGTTTGGATTCCCCGTGCCGACGTTCTGCGGAGACGTGCGGCAGGAGAATGCGTTTCGGCGGTCGTGGGCGGAGTTTTACGCCGAGCAGCGGCTGCGGAGTGTGCTGGCGGAGTCGGAGAGGAGGAATGGGGCGGATGGTGGTCTGCGGGAGCTGGTGGAGAGGGTGGCGCGGGTTGTGGTGCCGAGGTTGTTGGGGGATGGTCATCTGGGGTATGATAAGAACGGAAAGGGGAGTTGGATTGTGCCGGTGGTGGTGCATGGGGATTTATGGAGTGGGAATGTGGGCAGGGGGAGGGTGGTGAGGAATGAGGTTCGAGATGCGAATGGTAATGGGGATGGAGATGGGGAGGTTGGCGATATTGTTTATGATCCGTCGGCTTGCTATGCACATAGTGAGTTTGAATTGGGGATCATGAAGATGTTTGGAGGGTTTGGCAGGGACTTCTATGAGGAGTATCACCGCCTGGTGCCCAAGACGGAGCCGGTTGAGGAGTATTCTGATCGAGTCTCGCTCTATGAACTGTGAGTCCGTACCCTGAGCTGACGAATGGGAGCTGATTTCAAGTGCTTTTAGGTATCATCATTTGAACCACCATACGATATTTGGCGGTGGCTACCGTTCAGGTGCTGTGGCTATAATGCATCAGCTGCTTAAGAAATATGATCCTGAATGGTTGCAAAGGATATAATTTTTGTTTCTTTTTGCCATTTAAACCATAATATAGCTCTGATGTTTTTTAAAAGCTTTTCATAGATGGCGCAGCAATGCTACCAGAGCCGGCGACTTCTGCTACCTGGATTACGTTTGTTCAATTAACTAACTCTTATCGAAACTCTCATGACTCACTATGTCAACACAGCATCGAGACCCGATGGTTTCATTTCCTTGGAAACGGAGGATTTGCGCCACGTCCAGACGACAATGCAGTGTATATTTTTATCAGGTTCCCACTAATCCATCCAATGTTGATGAAATACGAAAAACGGAGACATACCGGTGATTTGGACACGGCCTTCGAGTGCGGCTCGACAGCTTTGTACGCAGCACTGATCGCAACTAAGTGGAACACAGGGGGCTGCATCTTGTTTGGTCTTTGATACTTATGTCCAGACAAAGGAAAGCATGTTTCAAAAGATACCACAAGGTAAGAAGATTCTAGCTTCTTTCTTTGAACGGGGCCAAAAGCAAAAGAGAGCCTGAGGAATGGAGAGTTTCTGAAAGAATCTTGATTTTGATCTGCACCTAGCAATACCAGAGAAATAAAAGGAATCAAGAGAGATTATGAAAGCCACAACTCTTCTCGCCGTTAGAGCCAATTTAATGCCCATAGTAGGTTATAATGGGGGAATCTGCAGCTCATGCATGTAGCACAGTCATTTCAAGACTGTGTTTCTGGGCTTTCCGTTAGAGCCCTCAAACGGATTTGTACTAAACTCCCATATGATGTGTTTTGGCTTAGTTAGTGTGACCAACTCTACCCGCATGAGTTTGTTGCGATCGGCTACTTGCATTCCCACCAAGGAAAGCAAAAGTTTCAGGGCTAGAGCAAGGAACAGAGCTGTAAGGAATGCAGGAGGAAACAAACCTGATAATAGCCTCAGGTTCTTGGTGAAAATGAACCTCTAATGCCTTCTCCTCACATTAACATCATACTGGTATAGAAATCTGTGAATGAAAGAAAAACAAAAACACTTTGCAACATTCATGTGTCTTTGGCAGTCTAAATTCACTTCAAGCCTTCTTCATCTGCTTGTTCATTATAAATTCAGATCTTGACCCTACCAGGCAGACTTGAACGCAAAGTATTCTCTTCCTCAGTTCAAAGACGGCTTCTTCAACCCTTTGTCCTTAACTGCACTCAAAAACGCTGCCAGCAAACAGATGTTTGAAATTGGAAAAGGTGGGTGCAACAAACACCATTTTCAGAGTGCTGTTGACAAGACCAGTTCTTTCATCAGTGTTTTGAATGCAGCTCACTTTCTGCTGATCTCAGCAACCTCCGTATTTGGCATAAAACGCTCTAGCATTGTCCCGCATCACTACTAAAATTTTAAGGCAGACGCACACGATAGCAGTTGCAGTCATGAGGCAATGTGTGTCTTGCAACACTGTCCTGGCGAATTTACAGGAATACTTGGAGCATGTCAAGCCAGCTGCGAACAAGCAATGCCCCGCCTGTTCTCTCTCATTTCAGATTGAGTGTGATTATGAGCTGCACAAGTTGACTGTGCATACCCAGTAAGTCACAATCACACCCAACAGCCCGATATGTAGGGGAAATGCCGCTAATAAAGCTTTCCATAGCGACCAAGAGAACACAGCGAAGGAAAATGTGCGGCCAGAAATTGCATCTGCTCTACCGGATAATGAAGAACCTCTCGAACAGCAATCCTTCGAAAAATATGTCCAAATGCTTAACTTAGAGTCTTCGACGTCGAGTACATCGTCTAACGCAATCACCACAAGTCACCAGGTTCCGCAGAACTTTGCACTTGATAATCCATTTGATGATGCTCCGGTTTTGGGTGGAGGAACTAGTAAAAAGCTCCTCATTTCGACATTGCTAGGGCAGCCACATGGTGATCTATTGGACCTAAGTCCCGTATCCACAAAAGCGGAAACCCTTGGGCAAGCAATTACAGATTTTCAAGGTGCTTTGAAGAAGCGGAACTCGCATGAGTCTACCGGTGGGAAAGGTCAGAATTCAGAGGTTGAGCTCAAGAAGCGGTTTGTTATTCCACTGGAGACGACGTCGACTGGATCTCCAGTTTTGCCGGAATTCACTCCAGGGAGCTCAGAAGCGACAATGGGGTCCCCTATTCGGGATGTTGAAGGAGTTTCATTGGTATTGCACAACCAGGAGACGGCAGCCGTGGAGCCAGGCCGAATTATCTGCTTTGAATGCCAAGCAGTCTTCGGCAATATCCTCGCGCTCCATCAGCATCAGATGGTGGAGGGTCACAACTATTGCCAGTGGTGTTTTGCTTTCTTTATTGACCGCACGATGCTGCGGAAGCACAAAGACCAAGTACACAACTTCCAGTGTGCAACTTGTGATTTAATCCACATTACCCTGGGGGATCTCATGACGCACAAGCAGTTGAAGGGACACTGCTATTGCAAGCCATGCAACAGCTATTTTGAGAATGTGAACAGTCACAAACAGCATATGTCTGTCATGCATGATAATGCTCACTGTAGCTTGCGACCTCGCCCTGTCAAAGTTGGAGTGGCTGGTGGAAAATATAAATGTACTGTTCATGGCTGTTCATTTTCTGCATACAGTGCTAACACTCTGCGCACCCACCAAGAGCAGGAGAACCACAACTTTTGCCGGCCATGCAACAAAGCATTCTGTGATAGTCTGGCGCTGAAAAATCATAAGTCCGGAGGGGGTCGGCATGCTGAAAACTTGAATGCAAGAAAGATAGCGGCTAGTACTTAAGGTAGCCAAGGAGGCCATTTCGGGGCTGATATAGTATAAATAGAGCAAATTTCAACCATAGCAGACATTAGCTAGCCCCCTTATAGTGCCCTATATATGAGCCTTAAAAGGACCCTAGAAGTCGCCCCTATGATGTCTCGCCCTTCTAGCTTGGCAGCGTTAAGGCCGTCGGAAACGGATCATCATATTGCCGACTGTCGCCCAGAAAGTCTAAATGGCGGTCGTCGACCAAGCTCGATATCAAAATGTCCTGTGCCGTCCAGCAGTAAACAACCCTGCACCTCATGGCGCCGGCAAAGAGCGAAAGTTCTCGCTCCGGCGATCAAAATAATGTCCCTCCGCCACCTCCCCCTCCCCCTACGGGCCCGCATCCATCATTTATTCAGGTAGCAAATCCGTATGTCTTCGAGAAGACTGTACAAGAGTGTCTCGCAGCAACCAGGGTAAATCCGCAACGGGAGGATAGCGTTCGACTCCAGGGCATCACCTGGATTGATAATGTGCGAAAGGCACTCCATCTGTAGGCTGCACCGCGAGCATCTTTTGATATCGATGAAGTATATATTGACCCGTGAGATAGCCCAGTGAAGACGTACAATACAGCAGCTACCTACTTCCACAAATTTCGCTTGGTACACTCGGACGCTGAGTATAATCACATAGTATGCTTCTGATCTCTCACCTCGGGTGCTTGTTTTACTCTAACCTTTTCTTAAAGGACGCCGCTGCCGCTGCTCTTTTCACTGCATGCAAAGTGGAGGATACGCTCAAGAAATCGCGAGATATTCTGTGCACTGCTTACAATTTAAAGCTATCACCTGCAGAACAAGCCTCTGCTGATGACCCTGTATGTCCATTTTAACCCCTGATAGCCTGTTCGTGTGTTCAAGACTCATTTGTGTGTGCAGGTTTTTGAATCCCACTCCCGCAGCATTATTGGCCTCGAGCGACTAATGCTAGAGTCATCTGGTTTCGATTTTCGAAGTCGTCACCCGCAGAAAATCCTCTTGAAGCTTATAAAGCTGCATGGCTATAGAAAAGACTCACAGATCGCCAGAACTGCCTATTCAATAAGTCTTGACTTATATCGCACATTTGCCCCACTCAAGCAAACATCGGCTACAATGGCGTTCGCTTGCTTAGAATTAGCAGGAAGATTACTAGATGAACGACTAGAGGATCTTGAGTCGGACTTGGAGTATGAACAGTGGCAGACATCACGGGTAGAAGTGATGGGTTCGTGACCATCCCTCTTGCACGTTATTTTCATTAACAGCAGATGCTTACCATATTTTTTCTAGAAACTATACTTGATCTACTTGAACTCTATACACATCACCGTAACTCAACCTCGGTCGGGCCTGATTTCTCCCTTGACACCCTTCTCAACATTCGCATCCCCCTAAATCAAGAGGCTGACTCTAGAAAACTGCCTCGCTACAGCAATTTTGCCAAACATTACCCTGACGCCAATGGCGTACGGGCATCTAATGGATCGAGGAGGGATAGGGATAATCCGCATAAGGATATAGTCGCGCAAACAGCCAAGGAGGCTTCTCGTTTTAACCCTCTCGCGCCAACTGCTGCCCACGATACGTCCAATCGGGAGAGAGGTCGAGATGCTACAATACGGTTCATGCTGGACCCGGAACAAGCGCAAGCAGAAAGGTCGACCGTCGAGCAATATTTCAAGGTGGAAATGGAGCAATATGAAGTGGAAGAATAAGACGTGCTTCTTATACGTCACCCAAAAAACGGGGTAAGAAATTCTTGCCAAGACGGCTGGCAATATACTTTTACGACTACAAGCCACTGTCTATACAGCAGATTTTCCCGTTCAAGACTTTTTGTCGCTTCTGCTACCGGTCTCCCTCTCTTGAATAGCGGCTGTTATCGGGACAAGAGGACTCCTCGAGCCAGAATTACCTAATTAAAACCTTGCCTTGACAAGTTATTCTGTACCTTCCGGTCATGTAAGGGACGACCCTCACATGCGCTAGGCTTTCTGGTTTAGAAATCCAAAGATCGGTGTTAGCCCGAGTGGAAAATCCCGGCCAGAGGATATTATTCGCTCTCTTTCATAATAAAAAGAGACATAGCGGTGGATTTTGGAAGATACCCAAATGCTTTTTGAAGTATTGGATTCAAGGCAAAAAGATAAAAGCAATGGTTTTACCATTCATTAGCGAAATGTACAGAAAGCTAATATTAATTCTAGTTGTCATATGCAGACCATGCACTTGGTAGGTCCATAAAATTATAAGTTTAATACATTCCAACACCTTGTCTATGAGGATAAACAACAAACATTTATCAGAGAACTCTACTCCTTCTTGTTCTTATTGGGAATTGGGTTACCATTCTCATCCACAAGCCCCTTTTCGCGCATGACACGGAGAGCATCGTGAAGCGGGTCCAGCTCAGGGCATGGTGCTCGATGCGAATGGAAGTAACTATCAGCCCAGGTGAAGTACTGGCCGTAGTTGACGGTAAAGTACATGTGGTGAAGGGTGTGGTGAGCGGGACTATTTATATACTTTTCAAGCCAGTGGCCCGATATCATGTCGCCATCGTGAATCAGAATTGTCCAAATCTGCACGAGAGCAAAGAGTGTTATGTAAAGGTACTTTTGCACGGGGAAGATAAAAACGAAGATACTAAATAAAGACGTCAGGGTGGCGTTCTCACGGCTACTTTTTGAAGGGTATGGGGTGCTCACTGGTACGGCAAAGACTGAACATATCCATCAAGGGGGTGGAACGCAAGCGCCGCCCATGGGGTCGGTACTAGATAAGTCAGCCAATGCATCTGCCTTATCATACCAGATGGCGATCCATACCGATCCATTTGTGATGGGGCTTATGAATGTATTTATAAACACTGGGGTGATGCTCGAGTCTGTGAATCCAGTAGATGAGGAAGTCATTCCATATCATGAACAACAGAGTTGAGGCTCCCATCCACGCCCAGCCGTACTCATCTACCCTATCATACAACATGCTCTTGCCCCGGACCTCAGCCAGGAAAAATGGTAGTGTAAAGATGTTGATCCACGGCACAGCCTTCATCGACGATATCATCTCCTGCCGGACTTGGTTCTTGAGGAAACGAGGGTGGTATTCAAGACGTCGATCGAAAATCAGGAAGTACGAAATAGCACTAAAGAACCAGTAGAGAAGACAAGCGCCAACCTGCGTGATCGCGAGGATTGAGATGCATTGTCGCAGTATGCTATCCCGTGGCCATGCCGAAATGGGCGATGAGAATGGCTTCAGGCCCAGGCCTGCACTGGCTGTGGTATTGGAAGATGTCGCTGGAACGAGGTATGCGTAGGTTTTGTCGAATATCAAAGGGTCTAAGAGATCGAGGGCTATATCCATGGTGAATTTGTTACGAAAGAACGGCTTCAAAGAAGGTCGAGACGGGAGCGTCTAGGTTTGACGGATAGAGAGAAGTGTTGCTTAACTTCAATCTGCTGGAATGATATCGACAGTCAGTTCTGCAAGAGCCCACGTCCAGCCTCTGCATTCCCCCCTTTTCCTCGCATCGTCTGCTTCGTGTCGTTTCGCATCCGCATCCGCTTTCAGAAAACAGTGAGCTTATGTAATCGGATCAGATAGCCGTTACGGTCCCATGATTGGCCAGGGGCTCCCAGGCCCCAGGCCCCAGTGCGCTAGTGTTAGTTACGTCATGGTCAGGCCACCAGGGAAGGAAAGCTTAAAGAGAAGAGAGCTTCAGCCGCTGTATTCCGTACCTGACAACAACCACCACAACCACCTCCTCCACGCATCCCTCCAACTGTTTGTGAGATTATGAGTCTCAATTCGCTTTCTCCGATGTGCTTGGGCTCATGCAGCCGAATCCCTTGAAAACGGTTGGGAGTGCGTGGACTGATCCGGCAATCTGAGGCTCAAGCGCCGGCGGCATTGGCTTCCCGGGTGCGCTGATGCTGACTTGATCCGCGAGCCGTGACATTGAAAATACCCGCGATGCTAGTGAAAAACTGGATCGAAGATAAATTAACCAGCCGGCCTCTAGTGAAAGCAATCTGACAGCAAGCAGCTCTTTGAGAGAAATATGGTATTCCCGCCGAAGCTACCCCCGGAATTACAAAGGAATAACAGTTGAAGTAAGAATGAGAATACTAAGAGAGATACAGCTATTCTAAAGGGCCATGACCGTGTCTAGGCGAAGCTATTGTGACCTTGAATTAAAGACCATGCCGCCTAACGAGAAAGAGAGACCTCAAGAGTCTTCTACCGATAATCATAGCAAACCGCTATTTATATCTCTGCAGACCTTATTCTCTCCCTTGGTATCTACTCCTCAAGGACCATTCACATATGCATCTTCCTCATACCACTCCTACCCTTCTCTTGGAAGACGATACGGATAGCCAGGGTGGGCCTGGCTTAGCCTGCCTTTGGTCCCCCTCTCAAGCAGGACATCATGATTTTGGCTTGGTCAAGACAACTCAGACCCTCTGGTAATTGGAACCTCTGGCTATCATATATGCATTCCATGGGCCCTATTTAAGTTGGTCACATCAACCATGGAGTGAAACAACATTGTTCAATGGTTGTTACAATCTATGGAAAGTCCACAGCAATGCACAAGCTTACCGAGGCAGTCATGGCTCGTTCCAGTATACGGGGAGATAAAGGGACATCTTAGGACTTTCCAGAGGACAGAAAACAACCGGTCGGCCGATCAATATTTATTCAGCATAGCTATTGAATGATATTCTGCCCATAGACGACCGGGAGGATTTAGTATAAGTGGAATTGGTAATGGAGCCTTTTGGGGTAAGTCAAGTAAATATAGCTGCCTCTTGAACCAACCAAAACTACTCCGTAATATTTCCAACTTCCCAGCTTCTTATTAGGTAATACTCCATCGGCAAATATATACTTAATATTTATATACAGAGTTTTAACATCAAATTCTTCGAGTTCCTCTGAAGGCTGCGACTTTTCTATGTTTCTGTTTGCTGTCTCCACCATCACCAAGATGGTTTCTGATGTCATTTAACATTGACAGGCACCAATGACCCAGTAATTAAGTAATAAGAATATTTGCATCAACATAAGTAGGCATGCGATATCCATGTTCCAATTTTGTAATCTTAACTCAGTATTGAACAAAACTGCTGTCATCGGAACTGAGGAAGTAGTTGTATAGAGAAATTAACAAAGTAAAAATTTTTTGTATGCAAGGGTCAGTATCACAGTTCTGAAAAAAGAGGTAGAATAGAACTAGAACCTCACTGAAAGAATTTTCATCGGAAGATCAACAAGTACCATGATGGAGCACAGATACATGCACGCTAGCACTCAAACAGAAAGATAAAATGGCCTACCGGCCTGGACAACAGTAAAATCAATTTAGAAGTTCGTAACGGTATGAAGATCGATGACAAACAGGTCACCTTGGGAGTCTGAAATCTCCGCTTATACATTCAAGAATCTACGAGTCATGTTAGCAGCATCGGGAATCAAGTAGCTTATCGCAAACATACCTTTTCCGAAACCGCGCCTTGATTATATAAATATTTACTCAGTCCTTTAATAACTTCAAGCTGGTCGTCAACCGTCAACCCAGTAATGGCAGTTTCGATGATGTCGCCAACGCTCGTCTTGTGCAGTGCAATAAAACTGTGGTAGTACATGTATGAAAAAAATCCCATGATAAATTGACAATCCATGCGGTCCGTAATACCGCCGTGTCCAGGTATCGATTCGCCAAAATCCTTGATCTTAAAGGTCCGTTTCAACCCAGAGGCAAAAAACCCTCCGAAGGGAGCAATTAGTGAAGCAAAAGTTGCAAACATGAGAATATGAAATTGTATTGGGGCAATTTGAAAGGATCGTGTGAAGTGGGTCCATTGGGGTAGCTGGTAGACTTGTGGCTTGAAAACGGGGTTGACGTCGCATTCCAGGCCTGTCAGAACATTTGAACCCAAGTCGTTTACAGGGCATGTAAAGTACTTATATCGCATCAGGATATTGGTCATGACGAAGCCAAAGAGAATGGTGCATATCCAGGCGCCGACAAAGCCTTCGACCGTCTTCTTAGGCGATAGTTTAATAAGCTGCGTGCGGCCGAATGTGATCCCACAGATATAGGCGAAAATATCATTCGTAATGACGAGCGAGACAGGAAGGAAAAACCAAATCATGCCCTCGAAGATATTGTTCATAATAAAATGTGCCTGGACAACAATAAGAAACAGTGCCATATGCGTCCATGCAAACTGAGTAAATTGGAATCTGTAATGCCCTTTCTGTAGGGAGCCAACGAAAAATACAAAGCCTAAGTAGCTATTAGCAAGAGCTTCAACAACTCCAGAGTCAGGCAGGGACTCTACCGATCAGATAGAGCATAAAGCTAATAAACCGATGGTGCGTAGCCAGCGGCAAAAGCACGCGATCGACAAGCAGAATACGTTTGAAATAGTAGATGACGCTTTCTCCGTAGAGGAAGTACATCGTCGTAGTCAAGAAGTACCAATTGAGAGCTTTGGTGAACCGGAGATTTTTTGCCTTGCTAGGCACGTTGGCGATAGCGATGACCTCCTTGAAAGACACAATCTGAATAGCCGTAACAACAGCAATGAGGTATATGTGCCCGGAAAACATGGCCACAAAGAACCCGGCGATCATCACGAAGGTCCATATCGTGCGAGTTATGAAGGTCTGCTTCTTTTTCTCGTATTCCGAAATCTGGCCGTCAGAAGGTGCCTGTTTCAGTGACCCCAGATGATATTAGCGCAAGATCAGCTTTGAGCAAAGATTATACAGGTACTTCCTTACCTCGGGTGACGAGGTGTCTGCCTTGTTCTCACGGTCTTCGCGCGGGCTCGAGGGCTCTGATACATCGCTGGTGTCTGACGTGGCTTTCGAGATCTCGCTACCAGTCCGGTGCTGGAAGCGGACAGTCCTTTTCGGCTTGCCCATAGTGACCTAAATGGAGGCGACTTTCATAGAGAGGGCGTGTGGTGGAGTTGAGAGAAAAAGCTGGCAGAGCTGGCGGAACAACTGTTGGGCGAGGAAAAAAAGAAGGCTCGGGGGAGCTGTGAGGCAGATCGCTTGCGATAGGCAACTGGGCACAAGAGCTTCAGGGCAGAGCTGCTTCGGCCGGCGGACGGCGGATGTCTGCAGCCAGCTTGGGTGCTTGTTTGTTGGGTTGGGCGAGAGTCTCTTTCGTGCAGCGACGAACTCAATTCAGTCGATTTGGCGATCAGCCTTGTGAAATTCCGCCGTCAACGCAAACCAGCCGCGCCGCTTCACGCGAAGCACCGCCGCTGCTCGACTCCGCCCACACAGGCAATGCTGTGCCCTCTGGCTTGTCTTGCGTGTCTTGAGACGGAAGGCTCTCTGTCTAAAATTCCTTTCCCGCTGATCTAGAGCTGCTCTCCTTATGAATCCAACTACGCACCAACCGTCCGTGCACAGCGAGCTAGAGGAAATATTTCCCGTGGACGATGGATGACGACTTTGACTTCGACCTGGCCGATATCCCAGCCGAGGAATTGTTTGCCCTCGTAGACAATGCCCAGAGTCAATCTGCCAATGCTCAGCCCCTTCAGAAATCCGCGGTTGCCGCGTATCCCGCCCCCCCAGATGACAACCACGGCACTAGACACATTCTCCCTCCGTCGGCGCGGCTCATTCGCAATCCTATAAGCTTTGGTGATACAGATGCTCGAACGCTCGATGCTGGTGTTCTAGATGATGGCGGAAAATCTTTGCTGCTGGACGCGAAGCCGGGGTTTCGAAATGACATAAGAGCAGACGGCGCATCCCTCACTCACGAAGCCAAAGCACGCAATTCACTATTAAATGGAACTTCAGGCTCTGTGAAAGAGCATGCGCCGCTATATAATGTACCACCAGAGCTTGAGGACACGGCGTCGGAGGAGGAAATGGATATAATTCACGACGGGGGCAAGGTCAATGGCAACAGGGAAACAGTGGATACGGTAGAATTGATGGAGCAACTCGAGCAGGTTTGTCTCTTATATTTCAGTGCTATAGGGCTTGATATGCTAATTGCGTATGTAGCTTACGAGAGAGCGTGAGCGGTTATATCAAGAATTAGAAGCGGCTAAAACCGAATCAGAAACCCGCGCTGGAGAGATTGCCATTATACGGGCGAACCAAGCGAAACTAGAGCAAGGCCAGTCTCGCCAACTAGTAGCGTTGCGGAGTGCTCGAGATGAAGAGCTAGAAAAGCACCAGGCAGAGATCGATGCCTTGGTCATGGAAAGCAAGCGGCTGACTACCGAAAACCAATTCTTAAAACAGGACCTGAAGGAAGAAGCTTTTAGGTTCAATGAAATGCAGCAAAATCGTAAAGCCAAATCCAAGGTAGATGATTTGGCCCCGACCACACCAAAAAAGCCAAAGGTACTTCCCCTGAGGGATGGGTTCGACGACGACGAGTTAATAGCCTCCCCAACGAAGTCAGCGGGAAGGAGATCGAAACGAGGAACACCATCTGCTCCCGGGAAACGCAAACGGACTATACCAGATGACTCTCCCATTGTCCCTGCTCTTCAGCTGAGCCAGTCGTTCGAATCAGAAACACTGGCAGCTGCAGAACCCCCAAATGCCATACATTCAGAACCAGTACTGGATAAGAAATACAGTGAAGACCGTGCTCTTCAATTAGTGCAGAGAATTCTCAAGCATAAAACTTATCCACGTAAAGTCTCTGACCTTGAGGCTTTTGCGGACATCTCGTTTCCCAGCGAGCCTGGGAAGATGTTTTCTTCGTATATTCTACAAGCAACGACCACAAAGCCATCGCAGAATTTTGTGGTAGAATATGGAAAGGCTGTCATTTCGTTATGGGCCCGTGCCTTAAAAGAGAAATTTTACAAGCCTGTCTCTATGCTCATGTCTATTGTCAGGTTCATTATTACACTAGATACTACGACCATCGCTCCTCTTCTCATTGCAGATCTAGTACCGGTAATAGAGAAGTCAGCATATGTCAATGGAGTCCCACGATTTACTAACTCCCCTGTTTCGCATACGAATTTTGGACAAGTGAAGCAAACGCCACAAAAAGAGCTCTATCCCCTAGTAAATGGCACAGAGGCTCTGGAACTGCTTTACCTTGCAGCGAACGCATGCTCTCACACTGGCGGCGCCCTTCAGCGAGCTTGGCGTTTGATTTGCTGCGATTTTATTCTTATGATGCTCAATTCTTATCAGCCCATCAAAGACATTATCCTCATCCTCAACCTCCTCTCCTGCAGCATTTTCTCCACCACATTTGGGCCTATTTTGAACTCACCAGCGGACCAAGTCGCAAATCAAAACTACTTAATCGATCGGATTGCCAATTTACTCCAAGAACAGCCCTCCGTGGACGAGGGCGAAACGCCATACACGTCGTGGGACATCGCTACCCTACGCTACGAGGCGATGTCCCTTCTGCAAGAAATTGCTTTCTCCTGCCCTTCCCCGACGCCGCAGCAAAATTACGCAGCTCGTATGATCGCCACGCATCCGAGCGCGCTGGCACGCGTGTTCCGTGCGATGCATGACGAACTCGATTCTCTCTACTCATATCCGCCAGAGCGAGAGCTTCGCGCCGCAACCGTCAATGGCCTTACGCATTTAGCATACGGAGTCATCATGACGTTTCCGGACGTGGTCGATCTGCCGACAAAACTGCGCGGGTTCCCAGGCGCAGTACAAAAACACCTGGTGGTGCTCACGCGGCTGGCGTTTAGTGAAGGGCCTGTTCTCGAGGCCGGAATTACGGACGAGACGGTTGAAATGGCGCATGAGATGCTAGAAGACACGGTCAATCCGCAGGAGGCGGAGGCGTTGCTAGAAGCATTTCGCCCGTCAAAAACACTCCAGCGAACATTGCCTGATACATGAGATTTTTCGAGATGCCATTTTTGGCGATTTTCTGGTGCATGAACCCTCATGTAATGAATGATGATGATAGATGAATGTAAAATGTATATAGCGTGCTGCAGATGCGGCCTGCTCTGCTGTAAGATATATCAAGGCCAATCAATACATAAATAATAGTTACTACTCCCTTCTAACCATTATCTTGTTATAAAAAAGGGGACGCAAAAAAGAAGACGATTTGGCAAGAGGGAGGTTCGAACTCCCGCGGGTCTCCCCACCAGAGTTCCTGGCCCACCTTTTTCAGGCGGAGTAAACTTAAATCTGGCACCTTAACCACTCGGTCATCTTGCCTTCATTATGGACTCTGCGCCACTTTGCTCCTATAGCCAGTGCTTTTGGGTGACTAAGCAGCCATAAACCATCGTGTTCTACCGACTTGCTCCGCCAACAATATACTAATCCAACCATATCAATCCATTTAATTGGAGAGAAATCTTTGAGTGGAGTGATCAGCCCGGTATAGAACCCTTTCTAGGAAATCTGAATGGAGGACGTCAAACAGTCGCCTCTTTCTGAATCGCCTGCTCTTTTTCAATAGCTTCTTCCACTTCCTTAGCAGAAGAGAACCCCTTTTGCCAACAACGTTGGATAACATCGCCCAAAGCAACTCCCTGAAGGCTAGGGTAATCCAGAGCCTCACATGATTTCGCCCAGCAGGTGATATGTGGGAATGGCATTGTAAATTTCTTTGGAATCATTCCATCACATAGTTTTTTGCGCCAGGAAAGATGTTATTGCTAAAACGATAGACAAACCCAGCGATCCCACACCCAGTCATAACAGTTCCTAGTTGCGGGTAGATTCTACTGCAATGAAGGAGGTAGTCGGTTGTTGGACTTTTTTTGGACATGATATCTAAACAGGGGGTAACTTGAGGGCATGAAGAAGCACGGCTCTGGACTTGGAAAGACTATGCTCACTTACGATGTTTGATGCGCTTTGGGTGTTGTAGACAGTAAAGAGGACTGATAATCTACATTAATATACTCATTTGCGACATTGGCTCTTCACTCGAGGGTCTGATAACTAGAATCACCTCTTGTTATTGAAAGCAGGCAACATGCTGGAGCTTGGAATTCTCATTTTGCCCAATAGAGAATGCAGGTGCCTGCATGTTGGTTGGCGCGGCTCCTAGATTGTGTATCGAGTCTGACAACTGGAATTACAGGAACAGCCAAAACTCCCAAGCGTGGTGAAAAGAAAAAGTCGGTATGTAAATATCTCATATTGAGGCAGGAAATTCGCCAAAAGCACCTCAGCTTGAATACTACATAATTGAGCTTTTGATTATCGACCTAAGCACTCCATATCCTTGAGTAACATGGTGTCCGAAAGAACACGAGAAGCATTCCTCCATGCAGCAAACTCCGTTTAATCCTCATCCCAGTTGGGGTTCTGGCCCGGAGGCTTGGGTCCGCCCGCTTGCCTGGCTACGATGATCTGGTCAACACTGAGCACTGTCCGAGCAGCTTCGGTCGCAAGCTTAATTGCCCACTGCTTGGACACCAGGAGGTCCAGGATTTCCTCTTCCACGGCATCAATGGTGCCAGCAGGCGTCGATGCGTGCATATCAACTCCAGTGGTCCAGTATGCTTCCTCTTCCTCCTCCGATTCGTCATCGTTATCACCCTCCTCCTCTCCATCGCCATCTTCAGATGACTCTTCTGACTCTGCTTTGCTATCAGCGGATTCGTCTTGTCGTTGGTGAGCGGCATATAATCTGGATAGGACTTCTGTAGCGTTGAGACCCGCTGATTCGGCCAACGTGCGAGGAATGACTTCGAACGCTTCGGCATATTTTCTAATCGCATATTGAGCTAGTCCTGGGGTTCTATCGGCAAATTGGGAAACTCTTTCTGTGAGCTGGATTTCGGTGGCTCCAGCACCGGGCACAAGGCGTGGATCTTTGGTAACCGCCTTGACAGCATTGACTCCGTCGTCAATTGCACGTTCAATATCGTCCAAAAGATTTTGCGTAGCTCCACGAAGAACGATTGTAGACGTTCGAGTGATGCTGGAAGTATCTTCTTGACGGAAGACTGTCACTCGATCGCCTCCAATCTCCATGGTTTCAACAACATCGATGCTACCCATCTCATCGGGCATGGGAGCTCCTAGCCGAGCAAGCGGAGTAGCTCCAACAACACGGCACAGCCTGCGAAGCTCAAATTTAGAAAGAACCTTGATCACTAAAATGTTGAACCGGTTCAAGTAATGTAGAGACAACTCGCCAATCGTCGCACCCGCAACAAGCACCCGAACTCCAGAATCGTAAATTTCTTTAATCGCAGCCTCCAGGCGATCTTCTTCGCCCTTTGTGAAACTGAGCATCTCTTGCGCATTCTTCAAGAGGACAGTCCCCTTGGTCTCAGTCTGTGAAATATCGATCGGACAGCTAAAAACCCCAACCTTCGCCTTTTTAGCCTTTTTAATGGAGCCCTCTGGTTCCCGACCAAATACCATACCCTTGATGACCTTCGACTGTTCTAAACTCCCACCCATAATTTTAACCACACGCACATTATCAATATTAAACTGAGCAGGAGTTTTTGGCATAACAGCGAGGATTGCCTCGGCGACCAGAGGAGCTAGGATGTCTTCGGAACCGCATTGTTTACTCCCAATCACTGTTTTCAATGCCTTCCCTAGCTCGGTTGTGGAGCGTAGCTCCTTTAATCTATCCACCTCCAAATCTAGTCACCTAGTCAGCAAAATTTATCATTCAAACAGATAAGAAGCCTCAAATATAAATGACTAACCATCTAAACAGGCCAAAGCAAATGCCTGAGCCTTCTCGTAGCCCTGCACAATATCACTGGCTTTCAATCCCATCCGCAAAAGATCTTCGGCCTTTCGTAATAATTCCCCAGCGAAAACAATAACCATGTTCGTACCATCTCCCATTTCTGATTCTTGTTGCTGGCTGGCCATGACTAATAGTTTAGCTGCAGGATGTACCACATCTAGTTCCCGTAAGATTGTTGCGGCGTCCGAAGTAAGAATCATCTTCTGAAGGTGGTTGATGACAATCTTGTTTCGGCCATAAGGCCCTAAGGAGGTTTGGACGGTCTGTGCAATGGTCCTACAAGCGTCTATATTGCGAAGAACAGCGCCATCTTCGGCGTCGTAGCTGTTGGGTGTCGAGGCGTAGGGTAAGCTTGAGCTCTTTGGTGGGGTGCCCTTGGGAGTTTCTCACCTGGTATAGCCCTGTTTAAACAGGCCAGCATTGGGCGCGTTTGGAATCGCTAGAGACATCGTGGACTATACAGACAAATATAACTGTGGCTTCCACGAGACTGTACAGCACCAAAAGTAAGGGTATTCTGGCTCTTCAAGCTCAGTTCAAATGTTTGGCTGTGGATGGAATTCGGAATGGGAGCGAAGCCTGCGTGTTTGCACTGTTTGCTCCGTGACATAAGCAGACCCAACAAGCTGTTCGCATACAATTCCCCAACGTTTCTTTGAGCAGCAAAATATCTCTCCGCTCCTCGCCCTTCCCTTTCCTTTTCGTCTGCACATTGTACCGGAGTGGTCTCGGTTTGAACATGTTCTCGAGACTAGTTCGTGCTCGCTCGGTGGCCCAGCTGGGCCGCTTTCCCCGTTCTGTTGCACGCCGGTCTGTGACGACCAATGCTGCTTCGGCTCATGCAGAAGATGTCCCTACAGTAGGATCGCAACCGGGAGTTACTAGGTTGGCTGTGTCTAACGCTCCGTAGGAAGAGGATAAGCCATTCACAATCAAGCTCTCCGATGAGAGCTTCGAATCATACGAATTCGACCCTCCCCCATACACACTTGAAGTAACAAAAAAAGAACTCAAACAAATGTACCGCGATATGGTAGCGATAAGGTGCGTTTAGAACCTCCCTCTTAGTTTGATGTCGCTAAGACACAATTAGACGCATGGAAATGGCGTCCGATCGACTGTACAAAGAAAAGAAAATCCGAGGATTCTGCCACTTGTCGACAGGTCAAGAAGCTGTTGCAGTCGGAATTGAGCACGCACTTCAGAAAGAGGATAAGCTGATTACGGCCTACCGGTGCCATGGTTTTGCATATATGCGCGGAGGAACCATCAGATCCGTCGTGGGAGAGCTTCTTGGTCGCCGCGAGGGTATTGCCTATGGCAAGGGTGGCTCCATGCACATGTTCGCTCAGGGATTCTATGGTGGTAACGGGATTGTCGGTGCTCAGGTCCCCGTCGGTGCTGGACTGGCGTTTGCGCAGAAGTACGAGGGCAAGCAAAACGCCACTATCTGCTTGTATGGCGATGGTGCATCGAATCAAGGACAGGTCTTCGAAGCCTTCAACATGGCAAAATTGTGGAAACTTCCTGTTATCTTTGGATGCGAGAGTACGTTTCAACCTGAAATATCATAGCCAAACAACCGCTGACAATTTATCTAGACAACAAATACGGCATGGGAACCGCAGCCAATCGTGCCGCGGCCATGACCGACTACTACAAGCGTGGCCAGTATATCCCAGGTCTTAAGATCAACGGCATGGATGTTCTCGCTATCAAAGCTGCTGTCAAGTACGGCCGTGAGTATACTCTCGCCGGCCACGGACCCCTCGTCTACGAATACGTTACATATCGATATGGTGGCCACTCCATGTCCGACCCCGGAACTACCTACCGCACCCGTGAGGAAATCCAGCGCATGCGCAGCACGAATGATCCAATCGCAGGACTGAAACAGAAATTGCTTGACTGGAACATCACAACGGAAGAAGAATTAAAGACGATTGATAAGGAAGCCCGCAGCTTTGTCGACTCGGAAGTGGCGGAAGCCGAGAAAATGCCTGTACCAGACGCGACTCCTCGTATCTTATTTGAGGACATCTATGTACGCGGCAGCGAGCCCCTCTGGATGCGTGGCCGTACCGCCGAAGAAACATTCTACTACTAAAAAGATTTCTTTTTTCCGGAATAGCCACTGGACGTTTAGGATTCAACTTGTATGACCTTCTTACTGGACACCTTCTTTTCCTTTTCCCTTTTTGCCTGTAATTTAAGAGTATATAAAATACCATGGCTGCATGGTTGGCTCTTCTGTGCCTAGTTTGGGCAGTCTACTGAGTCCGAGGTAACCTGTGGTTATTGTCCTTCAAAATGATACCTGATACTTTCGCATCGCGTAGAATGCTATCAAAATATATTAGGAGGCAGATTCCTAACTCCAGCCGGGAACGAAGGTTTGCCCAGAGCTGCAGCCCAGCTAGTTGTTGCTTAACTTCAAGCTTAACTCGCCAATTTCGAAGCCAGTGGATATTCGTTTTGAATCTCATCTACGAAGTATTGTACTCCGTTGTATTAAGAACATCCCAGTTCCTAGCCAACGCTGTCGATGCCCGCATGCAAAATACACCATATTTCCTCCATTTAGGAAGGTAGATCTATGTAAGCCGCCCAAAACTCGCCAGCCCACCTTCGCGTCATCAATCAGCAGAGTGACCCAAACGGCTATGTTCGTACTGTCGCACTATCGCATGCAGTGTTCCCATCCACAGAGATGCCGGCCGTAGAACGCGGGCTGAGAACGCTGCATGCCAAGTGGACTATTTACCTACCGTGGAGATGTGACAGCAGAACAGTGCAGTCCATTCCCATCGTCATTGGGCAGGGCGACGTTCTGTTCTTTTTCCTGTCTACTGTTGTCACCCCTCAGCGTAGCTGATCTTCTCTTGATGGCCTGGTTGAATATCATTGTTCGCGTATTAACACCGAAATGGAACGAAATCGCAACCCGATAGGGTCTGGACATGCACTTCACCCCCACTGTCGAAAAGTGAACACCCGATTCTCCCAGACGGCTGGGATGCTATTATATCTCAGTGAGAGAGAAATGGATATATAAAGCTGCCAGAACCCCACTATCTCCTCTCTAAAACCATCAGCTTACTCCTCACCAGCATCAAGCCTCATTCCCAAATTTCAGCTCCTTCAGTTACCCTAGTGGCAGACCTCCATCAACCCAAAACAATGAAGTTCACTTTTACCAGCACCATCTTCTTCGTCCTCCTTGCCTCCGGCGTCCTTGCGTCTTCGGCTCAAGCCGGGGCAGCGGTTGATCTGGGTGGTGCTGCTAGACACCCGCCATGCAAAGGTCTGTTTCCTCGGGGCATGATATGAGTATGCCTTTATGGACAAGTCAACGATTTAACTGTTGACATAGAGGCTGGGTATCCCTGCAGCTCGGGGAGCCAATGCTGCTCTGGCACCTGTGTTTCCAAAAGCAAGCGCTGCCGTTAATATGGCATGCTTCCCAAGGACCGCTGTCGAGGCACCGAGCACTCCCGGACGTGGAGAAATGCCCCGTACATTACTCCCATAATCTGCCTGAGCCAGCACAGCGAACGGTCTTTAGAGAGAGAGAGAGAGAGATGAGCATCATTTTTAGACAAATTGTTGTTCAGCCCATTGTTAGACGCAATGGAATGTTTTTCGGTTATAGTTAGAAGACTGGCCGATACAGAGTAGTAGAAATCAATGACACACTCATTATACATTTTTCATGGATCAACTACCCCCAAGCTCGAAGCTCCTTCTATCTAGGCCCCTATACTACTTACTGGACCCAACTTCAAAACCAATGAAGCCAGGCTACCAATTTTGAGTTTCATCGGCCCTGAGTTATTATCAGCCTTCCAGTCTCCGCTCGTTGATAGAAAAAAAGTGATTATGTTTCTTTGATAACCTTTATTCCCAGAAGAATATTCAAAGTATGAAGCAAAGTATGCGACGCAGGCTCATTTGAGAAATAATATACATACGGAGCACATGAATCCGGATCTACCCAAGCCAAATCGTACAGACATATAGAGGGGGTTTGATCAAATAGTAAAAGGAGGAAGTTTGTACTGTGCATACGCCTCCCCCTCTAAGCCCAGGACAAAAAAACTCCTGGTCAAAATATTCCAGTTAAACACAACTAATCCGTGTTTTTGTTTTTTTATCTCCTCTTCAAGTACCAGACAAACGCAGGACCTCCAATCTGCTCCCCGAAGGGCGTCGGCACCTCCGCCAGCCCCGGTCTCGCAACCGGATGGCGGATGTAGACCGCGGCGCAGATATTGTGATTGACCTCGAGATACCGCGGGATGAAAGCGAACGGGCTCATGTAGTCGCGCGGGCGCCACGGCGTGGCGTACGGCTTCGTGCTGTCGATGGGGTTGTCGCGGAGCTGGACGAGGGCTTGCTTGAGGACGTCGAGGTCGTTGTCGGAGAGGTTTGAGATGGTGGCGGCGTCGAGGGGCTTGGAGGGGTCGAGAGTGGCTTCACGGAAGGCTTGGTTGAGGTGGTCCATGGATGCGTCGCCGGTTTGTGAAGATTTTGGTTGAGGTGAGGGTGACTGGGGCTGTTTGGAGGGGGTGTCCTCGGTCTGTTGTGATGGTGGTGGTGGTGAGGGGGCGGATTCGGCGTCTTTTGAGAGAATAGCTTTGAGCTCTAGGAACTGGGCTTCGAGATTCTCTGTTAATATCGTGCTGGTTGATGAGCGAGAAAGGACTCTGCGAACGGCGCGCTGGAAAGCCCGGATATCTTGTCTTCGTTTGGCAGGGAGAGTGTCTTTGTTGACGTTCATAATGCCCTTAGCCTGCGAGAGAAGTCGTTTCAGAACCTCTCGATGGTCCTCCTCTCCCTCCTCCTCCTCCTTTGTATCTTCCTCCTTGAGTTCAGGGTCCTTCTTCTTGTCTCCGTCTTCCCCCCCTTTTGCTGCACGCCGTCGTATACGCCCGGAGCGTCTTTCTAGGGCATCCTTTGGAGCTCCTGTGGCATACATGACTCTTTCAGTCTGAACTTGGAAGAGATCTCCAGGATTCAAGAGATACCCAGCATGTTTCATCTACAATGCAAAAAATCCCACCGAATTAGACAGGTCCCTAAAGCGCACGATAGGGGCGAGTGGTTTTCTACCTTCTTCCCATTGACGGTCACAAACCCATGAATCACAAACTGCCTGGCCTGCCGCGTACTGCTGGCAAACATGGCCCGGAAGATAGCCACATCCAGGCGGCGCTCCATGGGGGCAAAAGTCATCTGCATGTACGGGATGGGCTGCAACTTGCGGCGAAAGACTCCCTCCACGCCGCCGCGCGACGGCGACCGCTCCAGTCCCGAGCCCCGGCCGTCAGACTCCCGTGAGCCGTCGTTCCGGGCGAGATACCTGGCGTCCATTGGCACGACGGAGCGCAGGCGGCGGGCGAACATGAGCTCCCACTGGCCTTCGCGGATCTGCTCGCCGTGGTAGCCACGGGCCATAGCTTTGGCGGTCCATTTCTGCTGGAAGAAGGTTCTATTCGCGGTTTGGGGATGTTTGGCGCGGTAGAGATTGTAGAGGTTGTATTTGTTCCATGACTGCCGGACTTTCTGTGCTGTGGTGTTAGCTCCGGCCGATGGGGGGGGGCAATTGAAGGCAGGGCTTACCGGCTTCCTTAAGCTGAAGGTGCACCGATTCCGCATTGTGCCCAGAGAAATGCGAACTCAACGACGACAGCTAGGACGGTTTGCTGGCCGGCCTTGCACCACTGCTCTGCAGACAAAATTCGACATAGCCCGTCACGTGCAAGATGTCGTATGTAAGCAGAGCGTTCGCATCAACGATAGTCCGCGCCGGCACGTCCAGCCAACCACAGCGCCTCGCTTAATCCACGCTAGCCCCTAGCGCGAACCTTGCTGGGCCGGCCAGGGCATAAATAGCCGGCCGCCCGCCCGCCACTTTCACTTTTCTTTCTTCTTTTCTCTTCTTCATACTTACCTTGTTTGGGCGGACGCGATCATCAAGGCGTCTTGCCGTGGAGAGGCTCCTACATTGCACAGCGTGGCGAGTCTTGCCACTCAACATCCTTCGGGATTTTGACAGGCGCATTTTTTGGCTCTTCTCTCTAAAGGGATACTATCTTTTCATCGTCGGCGTGCCTTGTGCATGATTGCGAAGAAGAGAGTAAATTATAGCTGCTCAGGTGTCCGTTCGTCTACTGTCACGTAGTCCATCCTGCATCGAGACATCTGGTTCGCGTCGCAGCAAGAAACATCCAGTATTCTTTCTCCCAGCATTATCTACTCTGGTGGTGCCTTTTTCAAAAATCCAAAAAAGATCTTGACAAGACAGGGATTCGAACCCTGGCGGGTTTCCCCAGTAGAATTCACAGCCGTTTGAGGGCCGAAGGGCGCAGTTTGCCACGCTTACTTGAGTCTACCACCTTAACCGCTCGGTCATCTTGCCTTTTGTGGGCCAGAGTTCACCGCCGCCCCCTATGACTCCGCACCTCTCTCTCTCTTTTTCTGGGACGGGGCCAGGGACGAGAGTTCCCCATACTTGTTTATATAAAAGCACGTATCTAACTAACTGCTCTATCTAACGAGCTAATTACGGTTATGTGAATGTGAAGTAGAATACATATCCCCGTGGAACTGGTTTTCCCCATCAAAAACCAGGCAGAACAAAGAAAGACATCGCTCACAGCCCGAAACAATTAGCATAATACGTCACGGTGGCAGGCCAGTCGGAGAAGATTCCAATGATGCCGACTTCTCTCGCCAGCACATCCAGCACGACATACATATCGCCGTCACTCTTGACGGCGGACAGCACGGACTGGTAGTAGTACTCCTTGGTCTTGGCCACGTTCTTCAGCGGGCCCGACCGCTCCAGCGACCACGTAATGATCTGGAGGCCCGCCTTCTTCGCGGCCTTGGCGTAGTCCGAGGGGACAATGCGGTTCTGCGCGTCGGTGGTGAGGAGCGCGAAGATGGGCGGGGCCACGATGCGCACGCCCTTCTGGGCGAGCTTGTCCATGTCGGCGACGGCCGTCTTGTAGCCGGCGGGGGTGTCGACGCGCTCGTCCAGGAACACGGCCTGTTTGGCGAACTCGGGCTCGCGCCGCCCCCAGTAGTAGATGTCGTCGGCGAGGAAGGACTGCGCGAACACGCGGCTGGGGTGGATGCGCGCGGCCTTGTACTCGTCGATCATCTGCTGTGCGTACTTCTCCTGCGTGTAGTCTCCTTCGTATGGCATCTTCACCTCGGGCGTCTTGAGCTCGGGCGTGAACTTGAGGCCGAGAGTGTCGATGAACTGGATGTATTCCTTGTGGGTATAGAGCGTGCCGCAGAACTGGTCGTAGAGGGTGGTGCGCCAGTCGGCAACGCCGCCCTGGAAATCCTCCGGGGTCTTTGCGGTCCTATTGAAGGAGTCCATCTTGCCACACAAGGTGCGGAACTCGGCGAGGGTGAAGTCGCTGGTGCAGCATTTGGCGGCAGCGGGCTTGCCGTCCGTCGCAGGAGTGAACGGGGCGGTGCATTTCTTCGCCAGCTCGGGGATGGTCAGCACGTTGGTGGTGGTGTGCAGGTCGCACTGCGAATGGCGGCAGACGAGCTGGCGGTCCTTGGTGAAGGTGACGTCGCACTCGATGATGCCGGCGCCCATGCGCGCGGCGGCGTACAGGCCCTCCATGGTGTGCTCGGGGAACTGCAGCGGCGCGCCGCGATGGCTGATGGTGAAGTCGGTCTTGCATGGGCGCTTCTCAGAGCACGACTGCAGCTTGCGCTTGAGCGGGCCGTCGGCCATCTTGCTGACGAGCCAGTCCGGGCGCACGCCGACCTGGATGTTGCGGATGGGCGTCTGGCCATGGCTCCGGGGGGCGGCGGTGGCAGAGCCCGCGAGCAGAGCGCCGGCCACGACAGCGGCCGCAGTGAGCTTCATGGTGACAATTGCAGGCAGAGAGACGCAGCGACGCGCAGCAGCAGCAACGACAACAGCAGCCGGGGAGCAGCAGCCAATTTATCGGGGCGGGCGGATCCTCCCCAGCGTGCCATCGCGCTGCACGTGGAAGCTGCTTGCCCAGCAGCCGCCGTCCAAGGTCGCGCTGCGTGCGGGCGCGCGCCCGTCTCATTGCCTGGCCCGGCGCTGCTGCCCCCCGGCCGCACCGCTCGCACTTGCGCACGCCTGGTCCGCCGTCGAATCGAATACGCGGTGCGTCGCGCGCTGGACGGCGGCGCGCTGCGAGCGGGCTGGCAGCCCCCTTGGCTGGCGCGATTCCGGGTCGTGAAATTGGCCGTGGAGAACAAGCCGTGGGCTAGAGAACCAACCGCCAGTTCGTCTCTTGGGAAGGATGACGAGGCGACGTCGCCACGGGCTGGCGGCCACCCCGCGCCCTCGTCTTCGCCGCTGCCCGCGTCCGCTGCATCACGCCCATTGTGCTCCGTGTTGGCACGGTTGGTTGTGATTGCAGCCGCGCGACCGAGTTTCGACTACAGGGCACCGCGCCACAGCCACACACGGGGTAGTGTGGCTGATGGTTAATGTGGCTAGTGGAATTCCTGACTAAGCAGGGCCTTGATGTGTCACGTGCTCGTCCCAACTGGAGCATAACTTTTCAGCGTTGACAGCCGAACGGCGCCAGCAGAGAAAAAAAACGACCACACCTCCACCTCAGCTCTTCTGTTCCGCCCAATTGCATCTGACTGACCTGTGGCATCATCAGCGGCTACTCTGGACTCAAAAGCCAGTGCGACAACGGTGGAATTGCGCCGCCGGAAGTTTCGAAAATCACTTTGTCAAAAATAATCCCGACCACACTATGGCCCTCCCCCTTCAGATCTCCGCCCGGTGCTGCCGAAATGCCCTCCGGCAATCTCCCGCCGTGGTTCGAGCCGCCGCCCCAGCATACTCGGCGTCGCGAGCCCGCCGATGGCAATCGACAGACGCCGCCGCTGCCGCGGCGGCGCCCGTCAACCCCAAGATCACGCAGATTGTGGACCAGATCAGCCAATTGACGCTGCTGGAAACCGCTGATTTGGTGTCGAGTTTGAAGGTATGAGAATGCATACCCCCGAGAGCAAACACCCGGAACCCGGCAAACACTTCGTCCGAAATTCACTGTCCCAATCAATACACTCTACTATTTTACTAACCCCCTCCTCTCCAGACCCGTCTGAACATCCCCGACCTCCCCGTAGGCGGCTTCGCCATGCCGGCCGGAGGACCCGGCGCCGGAGCCGCGGCCGCCGTGGAGGAAGACGACCCTGCGCCCGCGGCGCAGGAGAAGACGCTCTTCAACCTCAAACTGGAGTCATTCGAGGCCACGTCCAAGGCCAAGGTGATCAAGGAGGTCAAGTCGCTGCTGGGCCTGAGTTTGGTGGAAAGCAAGAAGTTCGTCGAGAGCGTGCCCAAGGTCTTGAAGGAGAGCGTGCCTAAGGAGGAGGCTGAGAAGATTGTCGAGACTCTGAAGGCCTTGGGCGCGAAGGCGGTAATGGAGTAGACAAAAAGGGAAAAAACGCCATGGTGTCTTCATCATATACATGTTTCTTTGCTTGAGGCTAGGGATGGATTTGATAGAGTCTATCTTTTCGTTTTTCTCCTGCTCTGTATATTATTGGTTCCCTTTTGGAGTTTGACCCTGTTTTGTCTTCCCCCCAACATCATATCTTTCCCACTGTACAATGAAAATCCCAACGTGAGCGAGAGCAGAGTTTCTTTCAAAGAACCAAAAAATTTCATTGATATTCAAGCTGGAACTAGCCATAATTTTGGAGAGAGTGACTTTGATCAAAATATTAAAAAAGTGAATGCACACCAAAGGAACTGCCAACCCAATAAAACCATCCAAAGCCCCCCAGTCCAGTCTAAACCATACCATCTGACCCAAAAACCGACATTAATGGTAGCATATATGCCATCCAGATATTAGGATAGGAGAATTAAGAGAGAATCTACTAGGGTCTGGGCCCTGAAAATTCCCCAAACAAAAAAGAAAAAAAATCAAAAACCAGGCAGCAACGGTGTAAGGCATTGTGGACGGAGGAGCACAAGACCAAGGGGTATAAAAACTTGTCAAAAACCAGCTGGGGAAAAATCTTGACGACGTAAATAATCACGTAGGGGGGGGGCATTCAGCATTGAATCATTAAACCAGACCTATATCCGAAGCATGAAACGAAGCCGTATAGATGCAACAGGCACAAAAAGGGCAGGGAAACGTTAAATAAATGGAAAAAAGCGCAGTCAACATGAAAATCATGAAGGGCGTAGAAAATTTTACTCTTCAGTGAGCGACTCATCCCCAGCTTCGCGCCAGTCACGCGATCGTTCCGTGAGCCGTTTAATACCTGCTATTCTGTCCGCCCACTGCACCTCGGACGGAGTGCGGAACGTATACGCCCGCTGAGACGAAATCACACCAATAGCCTGCAACACCGCTTTGCGCGAGTCGCGCCCAAAAACAGCAGGGTGACCAATCCACTCCAAGGCCGCTTCCAGATCTGCGTCGAGAGCAGAGAAAGTGTTGCAGTCAACAACGGCAACCGGGGTGATTGTCGCGGCCTCAGAGCTATGGGATGAGTGGCGGCTACCTTCAGGAGCTTCAGAAGAACGCGGCGAGAGAGAAGCAGGGGAATTGGTGTCGATGCTGCTACTGGTACTTGGCCCGTGGGAGTGTTTGATGGTGGCGCTGGGTGGGAGAGGAGGGAGGCTACCTTTTCCAAGCCCTTTAAGAATACTCCGCGTCTCAGTGAGAAGATGATGCGCACGGTCCTGTTGACCACGCGATACCAAAGTCAGAGCGCGCAGCAGCATATCGGAGGTAAGTAGTTCCATTCGCCTTTGGACGATGGAAGGATGGGGAGGAATCGGAGGAGTGATTGGTCGTCCGATATGCTTTGCTTTAGGCGGCGCGGGAAGCATCGTTATCGCAAGCAGGGATGGGCGGGGAGACCGAGTGAGATGGCCTTCACGTAGGATATCGCCGTATGTAACGTCCGCCTGGAGCAATGGCACTTCCTCGACGCTTACGACACGTTGATCCTCCCCATCGAGAGGACCCCCGAGAGCTTCGAGTCCTGACACAATCGTCTCCCAGGGATCTTGGGGTACGTGGTCAGGGGAGGCACTGTCAGGAGAGATCGCCAGTTGAACCAAAACGTCTACCAAAGATGTTAGTAAGATCTTCCATGCCCGTTCCTACGATCGGAGTCAGGTCCATACCTCTCTTGTCCCCAAACCTTAAATCCCCCAAAACCGCCTCCGCATCCCTTCCGGTCGCACGTTTCGTAGTGCTCAGCGCGCCGCTAATTTTCACGAACCTCGCGGGAGATCCTTCCGGCAGGCGCAGCTCGAGTTTCACATTCTGATGCGAAGTCGTCTGTAACGAGCCCAAACACCCAGCAACGCATTCTCGCAGCATCATCCAGTCCTTGACATACATGTAGCATGCCTTGGTACGAGTGGACAACTCAATCATGGTATCGGGCTTGTGTGTCATCCCGAGGCCGAAAGTGTAGATGCCAACTCTATCAGCAGGATTAGTTTCCCGAAACCCTAAAAGGAAAAAGGTACATGAAACAGAAGTGGAGCACTCACTTGGCAGCTTCGGCACGGGAAATGACAAAGTCAACACTCTCTGGCTCTGATGTCGACGAGTCGCTGATCAACAATATCGACGAGAGAGGATTGCTTGATTTGCGCTGCATCAGTAAGTCCATCGCCACGTTTGCACCCTCGATAAGGTCCGCCCGAAGGCTTTTCTGGCCTACGGGTCGAATAGAGTTGAAGACGTTATTCCACCCATTCCAGGAATTCGAGGTCATGCCAACAAGGGGCACTCCGCCACCACTAGACCCAAATGTCACCAGCCCCATCCGATCGCGAGGTCCAAGATTCTGGACAAGGAACCGGAGGGTGTCGCGTAAAAGTGTAATCTTCAACCCCTGCATTGAGGAAGAAACAGGAATCACAACGACAATGTCTAGGGGAACATGGAAGCTGCTTGGTCTAGTATCTCGAAGCGGGTTTGTATAATCAGTAATTGCGGTAGCGTTCGATTTTCCAGCGCCATAGGAGGAAGTAGTTGACGACACCCTCTTAGGATTTTTGGAGGCTCTGTAGTCTTCATCTTCAGGGCTAGAATTTTCCAAATCATAATCGGGATTCCGTGCAGGAGTCTCTGGGTGATGCAAATCCAGCAAAGCCCTCTTCCAAATCTCGAGCTGGTTACGATGCTGGAATCGGAGATGGAAACAAGGCAGTTCGTTCACGGAGAGATTTAAAGTCAAAACGGGTTCATCTGGAGCGGAGTCAGTAACCGATTTGATAAACACAGTTCACGTAGAAAGGAGTAGTCTGTAGTACCAGGCACTGTTTCAACCTCTCTTAAGTGTTTTTTGATAAGTATAGAACCCTTCAACGCACACCGCGGAGACTTGGTATTAACGCTATTATCGTCGAATTGGTGCTGGCTTGGGGGCTTCTTCTCCTTTATACAAATGAGCATCTCCGAGAATAGAAAGCACTCTAGTTCCTGCCAAGATCTTCGATCTTTGCCGACCTTTAGTCTACCCTGCAGCCTGAGTTTGCCGAATCTACAAGATACTTGTCAGCAACAATATACAATATCCGGTGTGAGTGTATTGACGTACCGATCAAATTCCAGGCCATGCCAGTTATCGACACGTGTGCGCAGATCTTCCGCAATCTCATCGAGATCCTCCTGCATGTCATACTGTGAACGGTTTGGGCTTTGGCTTGCCTGTGCAGGCTTCATTGGACTCTGGAGTTCCTCCCGAGGCAACGCGGGTGTTGGTGGAGCAAGCCGCATAGTTTCTAGATCCGGCTGCCATTTCCCTACAGGAACCTCAATTGTAACCAGGCACGTGAGAGACTGTTGCTGTCGCGAACGGTTCAGAGTCGGAAATTCGCTGCGCACTGTGACTACTGGCGAGGGTATTGGATTTTTCATCGAGCCCTGGCGCGGACTGAGAGCCGATTCCATCGCTTGCACATCGTAGTCATGTCTTCTTCCGATGCTCGCATACTCGACCGATGCGCCAGTGCCGGTAGCCTCACTAATATTGCGCGTATGATTGGGTCGCAAAGGTGCGACCATGCGCTCGATTCTCTCGCGCTGAACATTCGAATCCCTGAAATCACGACGTCGTGACTGTTGACTCTCGTGAGACATTGAGTGAGATGAGTAATCGTTCGTCGCTTGGCTTATGCGGTTTCCCAGGTCCCAAGGCGTCGGCGCAGCATTATTGGGGCTATTAAGCCGTGTCGTCGGCTCGCTGACCGAAGCGGCGCGAACTATTTTGCTTATTTTCGCTATATCGAGATTAGTTTTTTTGGGTATGCCCTCACGACCACGTCCACGGAGAAAAATACCAAGGTCCAAGACACTTCCACCTCGGTTGCTATCTAGCCCGAGCGGTGCATTACATGTCGGGCAGTACTGGCTGTCGAATTCTTTCATGTATTCGTAGAAGCAGGCTTCGTGAGAGACATGCGCGCAAGAGAGTTGAATCACCCGCTCTCCACGAAGTGTGTGTTCCAGCGGCTCCTCACAGACCGCGCACTCGCTCCCAACAAATGTCCTCTCCCGGCGGCTCCGGGCGCGCTCCACATCCATCATCGTTCGTCGTGGGTAGGAGAAAAACGACCGCCGCTTGGGGCCGATTTGAAGTCCGGTTGGTCAAATAGGTTTAGAACAGAGATGGAGAGGTAATACGGAGTAGAAAAAGCTGCTATTTGGCAAGTTGGCTTCTTTGTTCACACGCGGCTTTGATCCAGCGGGCTTCCGGTCGTAGATCCTTGGTGCAAAGCGGTACCGGATTTGGGCCAGGCGGGGGTGCAGCGGATAAAAAAAAGCGAGCGGCTGACAGGGAATGTACTGAGTATGTAGTAAGAGGAATTCAAACTCGAGGATTTCGGGAATTCCCCCCAAAGGGGCAGATACTGGTGGCTCTTTGGATGGGGCTCCGCTACGGCAACCCCAAAGGCGCGGATCGGGGGAGGACTGCAGGAGGATCTTCAGCTCTGGGGGGGAGCAATACTATGACAAACAAAGAGACCGGCAGCAAAAGAGTGGTGTGGCTTGATGCAGTGCGCGCGGCGACCCCTCAACAGCGTTGAAAGCAAACAACCAGAAAGAAACGGACAGGGCGCAGCACAGCCAAAGGGGAGCGGAGGAGAAGGGGGAAAAAACACAGAATCCGGGTCCAGCGGCCTTGATGAGGGTGAATCAACGACGGGCGAGGCAGCTGGGCGCGCGCGGGTCCAGACGCTAAAGTCAGCCAGTAAACCCCATTGTGGCGTCCGTTTGGACTTTTTGGCCCCCTCAGCCGGGAAGGACGCCCCAAGCACGAATCCCTTCCCCCCCTTGACGCTGCCCGGTGGAGCCGGTTGACGCTACCATGTCGTCCTTCAACCAGGGGTTGTCTGTAACCAAAGCCGTGTCATCCTTGGGGCCTCGGACGGCGGCGTCAGGCCTGCCGGCAGCGGCCGCCGGCGCGCTGGGCAGGGCACTTGCAGCCGCGCTGAGCGTGCGAGCCGGCCGGCATGGCGAGAAGCGGTGGTGTGGCTGTGTGGAAGGTCTGTCGCCGCCTGGCGTCGTCGGCGTCCTCGTCGTCGTTTGCTCTCGCGGCGGCGGCGGCAATGCAGCGCGGAGGGGAAAAGAGCGGGCCAGCAGCCAGGAACTCGCCGCTGATTGGCTGCCCGGTGCGTGGATACTCCTGCCGTAAGCGAGTGTTTTTCGAGCGCAGCCTTGGCCTGATCGGGCTAGCGCCATCTTCCAAGCTAGCTCCATGTGGCCAGGGCACGTGGCGGGGCGCGGCGATGTACCCCCCGCGCCGATTTCGCGCGCTGGATACCTAAATGTGTTTCGCAGCTGGCCGTTTCGCGCCCGCGCTGCCGAGTGTTTGCCGTTTCGCTGCTCCACGCGCATGGGGCGAGTGCTGCCTGCAACGTCCTCGCCATGCTGCTGCTCGTTGCCTACCGCCGATCTGCCTGCGCTAGGGGAAAAAGTGCTGTCCGGATGTCACCCAGTGTCAGGCTGCTGCGCGCAGGAACAGCAGTGGCATCAACATCGTAATAGCGTGTAGGACGGAGTATGGGGTAGGGACCTGGGCAGATCAGATGCCCGCGCCCTCTGCACGCTCCGGGCCGTTATTCGCATTGTCAGGAATTATTATTATCCCCCCAGGGAACGCACCGATATCCCCTTCGGGCCAAATCATGCCAGGTATCGGCCACCCGAGCTGCCTGCTGCCAGCTAGCTTTTCGGAGGTGGGGGGTTATTATACATATACGCTGGTCGTTAGGGGCATCCCTGCTTATGGGCAGGCAGGGCACCCTGAGTCCTGACTCGCTGCATTGTTTGTGCAACTGTCTGGAGCTGAATAATAGCAGTACGGAGTACGGAGTATTGGAGTGATGATATTGGCGCTGCACGGGCGAGAACGGCGCCCGGGCAGCCTGCCAATCAGGCGGCGACGCTGCAGCGCATTTCCATCTTCCGGATGCTGTTCCTGAATCTTAAATCGACGGGCGCAACAGCTGCTGCCCGACCCGTCCGCCCGTATTGCACCCACGCAGGATCCAGCCAATACGCGCCCGGCCGGCACTGGCGAACGTCTCCCCTTTGGCTATATTGCTTCTTCAGGATGAGAGGCCGTGGCTTCCGCCGAAAAGCAAAGACGCCGCAATGCGCCAAGCCCCGCCGCTCGCCGCGCGGACTGGGCCCGCGACGAGCGGCAGCGTTAGGCCTCCACCGCACAACCCAGCGCGTGGTCCCCACTTGGCGAGCCAGGGCCCGGCCGAAAAAGAAATACGTCTCGCAGCCTGTCGGGTGGCGCTTTGGCTACCGCAGTGCTGGAATGAGGCCTGTCATCTAGTTTTCCTGCGATCGTGAAGAAACACCTCGTCCCGGATGCCTCGTTCCGGCCCTGGGTGGGTGTTGCTCGGTGCCCGACGATTCCCAACCCCAGCTTGCGCCACGCCCCTCACGAGCCTAGTTAACTAGTTCCTCGTACGCGCGCCCGCAGGCTCCAAGTACAGTAGCAGTAGTCGTCATGCTGCTTCCATCCTATCTATCGCCTGCGTGTGAGCAAAGCGGCTTTGCTGTCCAATTGGCTGCGTGATTATCTTCCCCCCTGGTGCCCGTCGAGCTTTTTGTTTAATGCTACCCTCAACTGCATGCAAAACCGCCGACCGTTTCAGCGCGCTCGCAGGTGTCTCGCCCCTGGCCGATCGCTGCTCTGGAGCTATCTATTACGTTAGATGTAGATGTCTATTCCTAGACAACACCTACTCCAATGGCGTCATCCCAGCTGTGTTGTGGTCTACCAAAAGCTTCCTCCCTGCTTTGTACGTCGTCTCTGGTGGAGGGTAGGGCTAAGCCTGCCCTGTTTGGCTCTCAAACCTGTCGTCGCTGATGTTTGCTTCTGATCGTACATCGCCATCATCGGCCTTGGACTCACTCCCTATTTGTTCTTCGCTCGGTATCCTGGTTTTGGTGTCAGACATCGAGTTGGGGTGACCAAACTCCGATCCTTCCTGCAAGAACCAGATGTTGAACGTGACGTCCCGCTCAATTTCTTACTTTTTTGACATGTCTCCGATTCAGAAGGCCATCTCGTATAGAACCCTTTAATATTGCTGTTAGGAAAAATACGTGAAGAATGAAGAATGATCGCTTCGTCAATACTTCTAGATGAAACTGGGTCGCTGGTCTGCTAACTATGTGTGTAAGGTGGCGTCGTGTTTGATGAAACTGCTGGCTGGCTCTGGCACATGCTTGCCAATTCTCTCGAGTCGAGAGTTCTCAGACAATAATGAGGAAGTTTTGCTTTCAAAGTCACGTAACTTCAGCAAGGGTCATTGACGTTCTCTCTGACTTAATTGACCTAGTTGCGGCAAACATATAGGCGGACTGAGTAGCTGCCGATAGTGGGATTTCAAACTCCGCCGGCTTGATCTGGCATATAGTCTGAAATTTGCCAAATATGCGCTTATTGTCCTAAGCGCCGCCCTATGGTGCCATTTGTAAAACAAGAAAACGTCACTTTTCAATAGATGGAAGATCTTGAACGCTAGAGCGAAAACTATATGGTAAGCTCCAGCCACCAGATGTGCCACGCGACTACTCAAGAAATAGTTGCATTTCCTGCTGATTTTGAGAGCATTCATCATACTAAGAATACCGAAGCTGTTCCAAATAAGATGAAGGTAGGCTGATTATCCCTTCCAGAACTAATACGGGCTCCCTTCCCCGGAACTTCTGGAGTTTGAACTGTAAGCGACTAATGTTTTGAACAAGGGTGTTGCCATAATCGGAGAAAAAAGGTCTTGCTACGCTGTATCTAGACGCCCGAAACCGCGAGTCCCAGCTTCTTTCCTCTTTGGGCTGATGTAACAGGGCATGCATCGTTGATTAGCTTTCGTATTATAGGGGATAAGCTATACTAGCGTCGATCTGAGATCTAGGAGAATGGTTTTGAACAAAATGGCCCTTTTGGCTAGTTAGCAAATCGGCAGGCCGCGCATCTAGACAGATACGAATCGACGGGCATCGCGTTGGTAGCTTTTGATAAACTGTTTAAAAACAGGAGCTGCCAAAGAGAGTAAACCTTAGTATCATGGAGCACTCTCAACTCGCTTTACTTCATTTAGTTTGCCCCGCAGGCCATCTTAATCGGACTATATTTCCCGTCGGCATTGAATATTTGACGGCGGAGAAATCAATAACGGTTTTCACTCCAATCACCCTTGTCAGCTATAAACATAATTGACAACCCTTCTCTTTAGAAACTCAATGCGAGTAAAGTGTACAATTCTTTAAGCGAGCTTTCATCGAAATCGTGTCAGGTTGAGTTGTAATAATAAGCGCTTTGAGTGCTGCCGAAGCCTTAATTTCGAAATAATAATATTTATTTAAGCCAGGTAACCGCTGTCTGCAAACGGTGACTTCCCTGCCATTTAAGGGACAGCAACAGTTGATGCTCCTTCACCAAACTTCAATAGCGAAAGAGGGGTGTCCAGTTAACGGGACTCGGCTTCGTTGATCTGATTTTGCTTTACGTATTCAAACAAACAAACTCACTCATATATTTTAGCCACATATAGTAAGGTAGAGAGTAATAGATTACCATTATGAAACGCACTTCGCCCCTATATGTATGGATGCTCATATATAGTAATTAACATCTTCTTAAGAACAGCGATGCTGAGCCGCTGGGCATTAATGAATTGCCGATTTCCGGGCCCCATCTAAAAGGTGGTCTAGTAAGCAGCTTGCTTCTCCACACTAGAGCAACTCTTAAGGTGAGTCTTAATAGGTTAATTTGATACTGCCTATATTTCTGTAATATTATATCGTGTAGCGGAGATAGCGTCTGATATCAGCTCGAGAAAGATGCAATGACAGCCACCAGTCTTCACCCAAAGAAGTATAAGGTACTCCGTAGGTGGCCACTTGTTTTTAAGCGTTGGGCTTTAGTATGCCGCTACAGGTCCAGTCTTAGTGTTGAATAATCCCTGGTCTTGTCTCGCTTTCTGTTAGCAAATAGAGGCAAATAAACAATAGTCGAGAAGTTCAACAAATATAAAATAGTAAATAATGATCGAGATACGGTGGCACTCTCTTTTGTAAGTTTCCACACGCATCTTTGAGCTGTTCGTCTTGTCACGAGACCCGGATTTTGGTACCACGGACTTTGCTTAGGCATAAGAGGAGGGAGTCCCCTGAGCCAAGGTCTCGACTGACGCTAATGAGTTTGGGGGTGCTTCGTATTGGGAGCAGTGGGGAAGGTGGGGGCGCGAGATATTTCCCGGCCCAAATATCACAACATGCTTTTGAAAGGTTTTTAGCAGAGGGTTGCAAGGACGCTAGAAATTTGCAAGTAAAAGTTGTTGGGAGGTCGGTCCATTCTCTTTGTTTTACAGACCAATAAATAACAGTCAGTATTAACAATAGAAAAGATTGCCAGAGTCCGTTTGAGGTGGTTTGCCAAGTTGATAACAGGTAAGCCTAGAGAAACCGCCCTCATTTTAGAAGCCATCTCATGCAGCAGATAGAAAACATGGTCTGATCCGGCGTACCCTGCTGTACACTATTTTTCTTGGGCCCCCGTAAACTAGAGCTCTATGCTCGTAGAACCAAATGCACAATAGCAGTGTTCATAATGGATGACATAGTATATGCAATAATTATTGCCCGATCGTATGATGTTGGTATCGATAGTTGTCTTAGCCTTGGTTGATGATGAGAAACGTCGTTTGAATAGAGTAGCGGCCGAGATGCTCTGACTAACTAGGCCAAACTCAGATTAGCGTATTCCTTATGTCATCATATTTTTCACTCTTGCTCTATCAGAATACTTCACAAGGAGTGCTCGTCTACGCCTCATCTATCGTCCAAAATCGTTGTTTAGTGGCAAATGCGAGCCTCCTATTGGGCCAGAAGCCCTCTGGCTACAATATGTAACGCCAAGTTCCGCTGTCGATATGCAAGCTCCCAGCATGCGCGCCTACCGGTCCGGAGACCAACACGAACATCAAAGTTGGCCCAAAACTTTTCGTCCACTCTAGAACCTCCTGTGGCATTGTTTTCTTCGGCTCTTTACGGCGAGACCGAATTTGATTGTGCAGAAGCTCTTGATATTGCTCGAAAATGTATAGCAGCCGTTCAGAACAACACTCAATCGTCATCATTGGACGTCAAGAGCATAGACATAAGTCAGCGCCCTCATCCTTGAATGTTGATTACGCACACGTTAACTGTACATGTAGACTTGAGGAAAATCGCTATAGTGACTGCAATACTGGACCGTTCTCCAAGCCATAAAACGGTTTCCCGTTTTGTGAGGACCGCATTGGCTCGTGCTGGCGAGCCGCTCTCTATCAACACTCTCGCCTCCAAACTGATTCACTCTTCTTCAATAAATAACCAACCGTGGCTGATCCAAAAAGTGGAGACTCTTGCCCGTGAAGGTAATAGTTGGAAAGCAATGGTCCTTTACGGCATGATTCTGCTTGAAAAGGGCCAGCCTGACGAAGCAGCAAATTGGTACCAAAGTGCCATGAATGCGGTAAAGCCAATTGAAACTCCTTCGTCGCTTCAGACAATCTTAAACGCGGTTGCCCTCGTAAAATCTCCCTTTGAAGCTTATGCCGAACTCAAGCTAAAACTTGAGCAAGTCGACGAAGCAAGGAAAGCAGCTGAGGTAGGGGTCTCCCAATATAACAACTCAGGGTGCCACAAATTACTTGCCTCAATACTTTCTTCGAACAATCAAGACCACGATAAGGCTGAAGGTCATCTCATGAAGTCGGCAATGTCTCGTGATCCAAATGCTTGTCATGTACTGGGCCAAATATACCGCTTAAAACATCTTGGGTTAAAACAAGCCGAAAATGATCCATTTTATCAGGTCCTATTTGCTTCAAGAAAGATATCTCCAGGGCTCATACTTGACCGCTCACCATATATATCAACTGCAGAGTATTATCGAATGGCAAAAGAGTGGCTTGAACTTGCTGCCTACGAAGGAGTAGCAATGGCTTCTCTGCAAATGGCAATATTGCTTCGCCAGGAAAACAAACTTCAAGACGGGTTGGCTTATTTAGATCGAGTGGGAGATGATTCAAAATACACACAAGTGGTCGCTAACCTCAGGGAAATTTGGACTACCCCAGATGCCGACACTTCTTCAATCCTATTGGCGAGTCATCAACTATGACTTTTGCTTATATATTATGTACATGTGTTATGCCGTAGTCATCCATGGCTACCAGGTATTCATCTCGTTTTCTTGGACTTCGCCCCATCGGCCCCCAGCGCCTTTAATTGTTCCGATAGGAATGGCGCCGGATTCATTCCTGGGAAATCTTTCGCGGGATAGGCTCGGAAATGGTTCGACCATACTTCGTCCAAAATGGGTATCTTGCCTGTTGTGGGCGGCGCCCCAGCATCTATAAGTCGGAAACGTAGTTGATATACCCCCGCTGTTGGTATACGGAGATCAGCAAATACAAAGAATGTGCTTTGTCTTCCTCGGGATGCTGAGCCGGGGTGCGGAGGAGCCTTGGCAGGCTCCGGGTCCATCTCAACGAAAAATGGGCTAACGCACGTTTTCCCATATACAGGCCTAATTAAATTAGGATCGTCTTTGCCCTGCTCGACGAGCATTGACTGCGGTGCTGAATCGAAACCATGTGTCTTCTTAAGGACGATGAAGAGTTGGCAAGCAACGACGTATTGACTGTATTTCAAGATTTTGTGATCTTCCGTTGAATGGGGATCAAAACCCGCTACGAGGAGTTGAAGAACAGGTGATGGATCGATACAGCGACGACTCTTTTCGCCAGCTGCACAAGTTCGCGCGGCAATGGGTTGCTGCCGTACATATAATCGCAGCCGAGAAGCAAGAGGTAGATCCGGGGATGGGTTAAGGAGGTGATCAAAACCTGATGGGACAGATGGTTTTCGAGACTGATTGGAGACCGTGTTTGGCATACTGGGAGTTTCCTCTTGGATATATCTAGGCTTGTTAGCTTTTGAATCTTGAACATAGATTTTGGACCCTGCTTACTCTCCACTTTCAAAGCTTCTCCTTTCTTCTACCCGTCGCTCTCCTGATTCTTGTCGTGAAAGGCTGGTCAATCTGTATGTGCTTTCTTTGAGGTACACAGGTGCTTGGAAAACATAGGTTCCAGGCCCATAACAAATATTTGACTTCGGAGCAAAACGAGGATACTCAGAGGCAGTGGTCTGATCCAAATTGCCTTCACTGGGATACATCTTGCTATGCTTGGGGACCAGGAAGCTATCTGCCGAAAAAGCATTGTGTTGGAAGGACATTGATATAATATCCGGCCCAGCACTGAGACTTTATAAATTCCAGAGCAAAAAACTTTGTGAATCGTTTCCCTGATGGCTGCTTTAATGATACCCAATTCCCCAACGATCAACAAAGAGTGAATATGAAAACTACGAAGCTTTCGGCAAGCAAATGTTGATCCCAAGAGTAATGTCCACTCCAAAAATTTCCAGACAATGCGTCAAGAGGGCTGAGAATAAAAGTTCCTTCCGTCATGCTTAGGGTAATCTGAAGTCCACTCAACTATTGACGGACTTCTGAAACCAAAAGCAATATGGGCCTGCCTCGTCGGGATCCTAGTCAACCTGCAGCCAGTCTCAAGGCGGTTTTCTGGTAGTCTAAGAAGACGTGTACATTGGGTCTCGCAGGTTTAGAACCCCGGTTGTCAAGGGGGCTAGTGTGATTGACTTTCGGTTCAAAATCCACATGGCGAACGCATGGAACGGCCCGTGCGTCGCTAGCTATAGTCCATGTTCTACCGCGTCCAGGAAGCTTTCGATTCCAAAGCTTGAGTCTCACGTCGCCTGTCAACGAGCGAAAAATACTGCATAGTTCAGGTTAGCATGCGGCGACCCGTCGCAAGGCCTGCCAATCACGATGAAAGCAAAAAATAGTGATGGTACGGCTGATATTTGAGCAGGCCACTCAGCGTTCGTGTAGCCGAGCCAGGGTATCATGCCGGGTCTCCCGCACCAGGAAAAGTATCGGAAAAAAGAACATTCTCAGGACGAAATAATAATGGGACGATACCGGAAAGGGTGCCAGTCTATGCAAATCGCGTGGGACATTCCCCCCAATAGCTTTACTTCTTCGTTCCTTTTTCTTGCGTTCATATTCCGCGTGGTTTGATCGTCAACCCCCTTTTCCTAAACAGCTCGCTGCAACTAATTCCTGTCAAGGGCAACGCTGACGATCGCACCAGAGCAACTCTCTCTGCTATACCGCTCAGTTCCACGTTTCTTGTGACACCTTACGGCAGAGGATTCTACTGTTGGTTAGTTGGTGTTTCCACATTGCGATCATCGAAGCGAGAGCACTCGATACCCATTTGTTGAGATTCTGACTGCCTTTTTTCCCTTCAGCCTTCTAGATAAGGATCTCAGTGGATAGTCGCCAACAGCCCTGTGCGTGCCAGCAAACTTTTTCCACACGTGCCCCCCGATATAGCTACATAAGCCCATTCTGACAGCCACAAACCCAGAGATGGTGCTTGGTAGCGAGTGTCGAAGTCCGGTTCCGAAAGCTGCCGCAGAAAATGAAAACTAATTTGCTGACGGGCTGAATTCATTCTCTGATCTTGGTCATGATTGTGCCGAACCCTCCTACGAGCTGACCTGCAGATTGAACGATCAGTGCTGCGAAATCAGAGTCTACGGAATACATCTTCCGAGACGGCACTTTCTTGGGCCCACGGCCCTTACCCCAATGGCATTGCAAAAGTAGCGGGATATGAAATCATAATATTTGGGTCAGAAGTGTGATGTATAATACTGGGTTTCTCACAAGGCTGTGAGTATATATTACTAGTGGTGTGTTGCGGAACCGAGGGGATTTGGTGATCAACGCTTGATATTGCAAAATCGCCTTTGCCAGACAAGGGCCGGTGAGGGTTCAAATTGACCGCTGGCTCACTGACCGCCAGCTAATTGCATCTGACAGCAATCTAGTCGGTATTCCAATAGTTTGCGTTTCCTAGAGAATGCACCCGATGCAAGGTACCAATACGAACCCACCCAGGCTGGGACAAGACACCCCAATGATAACTCGCATTTCATTGGCCCTAAAAAAAGTATAATTTCATTTAAGACAGGTGATTCACTTGAATTATATTTACATGTTGGGCCGCACTGGCTCCTCAGGCTGCACGGCCATTTCGTATTGACTTTCAGACTAGAGTGAATGGTTTTTAACGATGCTTGAGCTTGGAGCAGGAATTAAGTCTTAGAAAAGGTAAGGAAATCGATTACCGGAGGAGGGGCGGAACAGGAGGCGAGGGGTGGAAGAAGAGCCTCCCTATTGCGACCAAAATGTTGTAACAAGGGCAGCAGATGAGGTTAATTGCATGTATATCCATATATATGTACGAAGTACGGAGCAGGTATGGATGTAAGCGCACACAATTTGAGGAGCAGGAAGGCCCGGTGCTATAGCCCGTACAGATCACTCTATACTCCGCTCAGTATTCCACTTAGGTTCGCAAATCATATGCTGGATCAATATCAATCCAAACGTTTCGTTCATCTTTGAAGATCTCAATGAGCTCGAGTCCCTGTATATCGAATTCAGAGCGCTGTTGCTGCTCTGTCAATTTTCCTGCCTTCACGCAGGAATACTGAAAATACGGTGGGGGTTGAGACTGTCGTGGCCCTGCTCCCACGACGCCACAGGATTCCCCAACCCACAAAAGGATAAGCTCGCCTTTCTGACGATCCCAACATACTAAGTGTCCCGTTGGTGTTGATTTATTTCGTTCATCCAAAGTCTTGTTTCGTGCAGCGACATATCCAAGCTGCATCAAGTAGAGGTGGGGGCTAAGTTTTTGAGGAGCACCATTGCAGTCCTGGCGGACCCTCAGCAAGCCTAGAGATGAACAATTAAGAGAAACATTATCATATGCCACAGCGGGCATAGTATTTTGCAATACTTCAACAGGCGAACACTGGATGATCCACGTCAGTTCGATCTGGCCAAGGTTATCATCCCGCGTTGTGCATAGTGACATCTCGACACCATCGTATTCGTGCAATATATCTGCCATCATGGACAGATTTGCTGCAGATTTGGTCGAGGTGAGAAACCTAAAGGTATCTACCAAGTATTGTGCACTAGGGGTTGTATTAATAGTGCCGAGTGATTCAAAGGCCTCCTCTGGATTGCCGCTATTACACCAAATTGGTGTATCTCGGGAAACAATGTGGTTTCCAATGTCACCTCCCACCCACTGTAGCCCAAGCATCAATTCGACAGAAGACAGCTCTGTTGTAAGGATCGATTGTGTTGTTTTTTCAGTGGCAAGAGTGCGGATTATCCCGTTGCTATCATCACGGGCTAACAGAACCCAAAGTCGAGGAGGAAGTAGTGCATTCAAATCCACGCAAGAAGAAATATCCTGGGCAGCTGCTATTGCTGCTTCTGGGTTACCAGTCTCAATCATACCTTGCAAGCAGGATGTGACGGTATCAATGAGCGGCTTTGCTGTATGACCGCGGCCAATTTCTACCCGTATGATTGACCATAGCTCTTTCAGCCTCTGATAACAGCCTAATTTTCCCAATAATTCGGCATACAAGCCAAGGAAAGAGTTATCTGATGGCCGCGATATATCGAGAAGCGAATCAAGAGTACCAGGGCGGTCATCACTATCGGTATTTCCCACGATGATTGAGCGCATGTAAGCTCCATCCATCCGAACATCAAAATCTCCCGTTTCTAAGGCTTGATTAAGATGCCTTATTACCTTGGCTGCCATCTCAGGAGTTAAATAGCCATATCCATTGGCAGAGTATTGTTGCAAATAACATCGTAACGCGGGAACGGAAAAGCATCGAGAGGCATATATTATCCCTAAAAGAAGCAGCCCCTTCGTATCTGTAGCTCCCAGTTTTCGCAGCCTTGCCAATGTCCCGTTGATTGTTGCTAGGAGATCCTCCCATTGCGCTCCACCTTCGCACAGCGAAAAAGCTTTGTCTAACAAAGCGAGGGAGTATACCAGCTCATTTGCTGAGTCTCGATCTTTGACTTTGGTCTGAATTTCATCTTGTATCCCAGAGAGCACGTCTCTTCCACCACTAGGGTGTAGCGTGAAGTTCACAGGATGCTCCGCGGGACTGGTGGTCCAGGGTAGACGATGGCTTGAAAACTGCTTTGCTAGTTCGGCATTAATAATCGCGCCGCAGGTTACGTTTCCAGGAACCTCCACTGATCCCGTCAACGCATATCGGAGAAGCTGGACTCGCGGGAGCTCAGTGTAGGAAGAGGTATTTCTTGGGGGAGGGACATTGGAAGGCGCCCTTGATCCCGCGCATGGCGAGCTGTACTTCCTCAGCTGGAGAGCCCTAAGGAACCGGTACGCCCTTGAAGTCGCCGTGAACATTGAGGCGTGCGTGTAATCGACATCGCACTGGAGGCTACTCTTAAACAGCTGGTCTGCCTGCGAAGATTTGGTGCTTATGTAAGAAAATACAGGCTTGGCAAAACCAACTACGGAGTATAGAATACGCTCTCATTATATTGAAACATCGTCCATATCAGAGCACCAAACGAGGCTTCGAATACAATATGACGGCCAAAGAGAACGTTATAAAGGAGTCGCAGGACACCGAAGATTTACAGGAATCTAAAATCGAGGGTACCGAAGAAAAGCAAGATGTTTGCGGATCACCAGAAGCTGGCCCAGCCAAACCCTGTGATCAGAAGGATGACGGCAATCAGGCTTCGAAGAGCCAAACGAGGCTTGAGAGATTCAAAGCACTCCAAGCGCGAGCGGTAAGCTCCTAATATTGCCCAATCTGGAATAAAGCCGCCTAACTCTCTGGATAGAAAAGCGCTGCGAAGAGTAATCTCAAAGAAACCGCTGCCGAGTCCCACCGATTGTCTACAGATCCGACACTACTAAATTCCATCTCTCGCAAACATGCTTTTGCATCACACAATCTTTTAAAAGCGGATGTCGAAGCCGCTGGTGAAGACTTTGAACGCAAACGTGCTTGGGACTGGACCGTGGATGAATCCGAAAAATGGGACCGCCGAGTGGAGAAGAAACAAAAGCATCGGGAGGGTGTTGCATTCCAGGATTGGCGTCAAGACTCTCATAAGAATTATAAAAGGCAGCTGCGACGAATGGAACCCAATCTTGAGGCTTACGAATCCCAGAAAGCGGATGCCGTTATGCGCGCCGCCGCAAATGGAGGTCTTGATCTCATTGAAGGCGAAGATGGCGAGCTAGTGGCTGTGGATAAGAATGGAACTTTTTACTCTACCGCAGACTCAATAGATTTCACGCAGAACCGACCGGATCGCGCCGCAGTTGATAGATTGGTAGCCGATCTGCAAAAGGCGGAAGAGATGCGCCTGAAAAAGCGAAGAGAACGTGGCCTTGGAGACGACGATGGCGACGTTACATATATCAATGACAAAAACAAACGATTTAACCAGAAATTGGCCAGGTTTTATAACAAGGTATGCAGTATAAGCTTAAGATGATTCTTAGAATAGTCAGCTAACCTTTATTTTGTTACAGTATACTGCTGAAATTCGAGATAGTTTTGAGAGAGGCACCATGATCTGAGGCTAAAAACACAACAATGTACAGAATTTCAATAACAGTCACAGGATACTTAACCTGCTGTGGCAGTTATTGATAGGATGATGGGAACGGAGTAATGGCCATGGAACGATTCAAAGCATCGTTCTCCTCCAGCCCTTCGTTGCCAAATCCTCGATCTTTCTGGGACTTACCACACCCTTGGTCACCCCATCTGAAATGGCCTCAACAACCGCTTCGCCAACCGTACCGACCTTCAATGGTTTTGCCATCATCGGGCCCAAAAAAGATAATCTGCCACCCAACATATTGTTGACCTCGGATCCGATTATTCCGCCTAATGCAATGGGCATTGTTAGTTTTCTCGAAGAATCGTACAAGAATGTCGGCCGCATGAAAATACTCCGTGTCTCGGGGAAATCTATTGAGATCAAAGATTCGGCTTGTCTCTTGGAACCGATGTAGCCCGAAGGTAGAATAGGTTGGCCGGATTCAGCGGAAATATACACGAACGTCGGGACCTTCTCTTCCGATGAATGTTTTGCCAGGGTTACCGCTGTCACGACAGCCTTTGTTAGTATTAATATAACACTCGCGCAGGGCTCGAAATCTACCTAAATCTCTATTCATAACCGCATAACTTTGTTGTGGTGGATTATTCCGTTTTCCATTTTCCAGCGATGATGAGCAGAGCATTTTTTGTATTCCACTAGTTACCGACTCTTTTCCCTGTAGGATACCTTTATAATCTACTTCTAAGAGAATTCCCATTGAGTATACAACGGCTGTAGCGTTTTTGAGGTGCGACGAGTACGTTGCTGGGTCCAACATATCAGCCTTGGCCCAGTTGACAGACTTCGCCCAGCGCGGTGCCTGGGAAGATGATGTGATCGCATCCCACGTAGGTTCTCCATGTCGACTATTGCCACGTAGTTATTAGTGATTGCGATGTGAGAAGTAGTGCACAAGCATTGGAGAGCAAGTACCTCAAGGAAACGACATCCCACCCTCGAGTAACGGCAGATTGACAGATTCTAGACCCTATCGACAGAGTTTTAGTTTGATATTGAGCATCGGATATTGAATAACCAGTGTACCTAGAAAGCCGCTTCCGCCTGCAACGACGAGCCTTGTTGCTGCTGCTGCCATGTTCTAGAAAGTATGTTTCCAAGCTAGCATGCGTGGGGGTAATGAAATTCGCTGTGATCGTGACAATTTTTTGCTATCTAGTAGATTTCACGGGCTTTCCAAGTTCAAGGCAGCTGGGCGCTTCTCAATTGCGTCCTAGGGATCTAGATCCCTTCACATTCTGCTCCGCTGCTCCTCGTCGTCCGATAGCTCTGGCTCCCGGCTGGACCTCTCCGAACATCACGTGCGAATGGGCTTGGCAGGACTTTATCTTCAACGCGCTGAATGAACAATCGCGGCTGGCCATCGACGTGCGCAAATACTCTCAAATTAACGTCTATAAAAGCAAGGATGCCAGCGCCCGCCGGTACAAAGCGAGTTAGGGTTTGTCGCCTTTGTTTCGAGTGCTAGGCTTGCTGTTACTGACCATCGTCGCTGTGACAGGGTGTTTCGATATTCCGGCCTTTCAGTATGACCCTCTCGGCGAGCATCCATACCTGCTAAGCTAAAGCTGATCTTTAATAACAGTCTTCGGAAGCGAAGCGCAGCCATTTGATCCAAATAAACGGCCGACTGGCATTCCCGAAGATCACACGCACCAATGGCGCATCTTTGTCAAAGGTGTCAATGACGAAGATATTTCCTACTGGTTGAAGAAAGTCCAGTTCAAGCTCCACGAAACCTACGCCCAATCTATCCGGACGATTGAAGGCCCACCATTTGAAGTTACAGAAACTGGCTGGGGTGAATTTGAGATCCAAATCAAGCTGTACTTTATTCCAGAGTCGACGGAAAAACCACAGACGTTATGGCATGGCTTGAAATTGCACCCTTACGGACCAGACGCGGAAGCCCAAAAGGCGAGACGAGATACCATCATCAGCCAGCATTATGAAGAAGTTGTTTTCAACGAGCCAGTGGAGCAATTCTACAACTTGCTGACTGGCGGAACTCTCGCCCCACTACCCTCGAAAGGGAAAGCCGGAAAGGGTTCAAAGCAACAGCAACAGCAAAGCGGCCGAACAGCAGAGATTCCATATTCGGATTCTCCCAGGAATCCCTATAGCCAGAAATCGGAGGCCAAGGAACTCGATAAGCTTGGCGAGGCCACAAAGACGGTGGACAGAATGTTGAAAGAGGAGCGTGCCAAACTAATAGAGCGAGAAGTGTATCTCGGCAAGCTCAAGGAAAGTGAAGGTTTGCCTGTTGTTCAGAAGAAAAAGTGAACCACATCTTCAACAATACGATTTCGACACTTAGCGGACATGGACAACCGGCGTGAGGTTACCTTGGGGCTTAACCACTGAAGTGTCCTTGCAGTACCCGAGAGCCGACTAATAGTGGCTACTCCAACTCGCACATGGCCGTTTCTGCATGCACAGGCTATTTCTTGGTTCAATACCACCCTTTGAGGTAAACGGACACCTGCATGGCCCCCAAGAATGCTCCAAACACTTCCTTACTACAGTAAATCAAAATGCCAGGGTGTGTGTACGATAAGGTTACCCTAAGAAGAACAAACACCACAATCTATTATGGACTGTGGTGTCTGCTGGATACTTCTTTGATGTATTATTGGCATAGGTTCTGTTCGAGGATTAGGCTGACAGGTGATGAACCCCAGCGTCATATACTTCAACAACCTTAGCCCTGGGAAGGAAGATGATGTGTTTTAATGGGTTCAAGGCTGTCTAAATCCATACGTCAGAAATATATGTCCTTGTCCCGAAATCATAAGGGAGCTTGGCCTGCAAAGCAGTAGAATAAGAAAATCAAATGACAATGCTCCAATCCTTAGTATATCCGCCTCGAGTACGCCTTGCATCCATGTTCCCTCGCCTGCATAACCAGTCCCCCCTCACGCCTTCTTACATCCCCCACTAAAGCAGAATTCACAAGGCCCGAATCGTGTAGTCCCCTTCTCGATCATGAAGCCCCCTTTTCCGTTTTTATCGAGGGCACAGCATTTACCGTTCATCTCCTTACTATATCATGACACATATTAGTCTCTGGCACATGGCAATAAGGGTGAATCGCTTGCGCGCCCCCGTTTTCGGTGGTCGTCCCACTGTAGGGCTCTATCCGTAGGATTTGTTTTCTCTATAGAGGGAGGGGTAATTACCAGTTTAGCGGTTGCCCAACACCTCCGACTAACATTTTCCCTGTGCATTTCTCGTCATCGAGGCGATAGCCGGTGCATTCCGCGTTGATGAGCCTGCCGGAGAATACGACGCCTCCAGCTGCTTGATTGGGAGCGGCGGCGGCAACTAAAGGCGCGAGCGAGAGGAGGAAAGAGGCGGCTAGGAGCTTCATTGTTTGGTGGGGTATATGGATTGTTCTGCTTGGATTTCTTGATGAGCTGTCACATCTCGTTGTGAAATTTCTCGGGGTCGAGAGTGCAGTTGTCTGGGCGCTTCTTATATTGTGGCTTCCAATACGGAGTAGTGCCCCGTGCTTGGGAGTTCTGGATTCATTTCGCTAACTACATAATAGGCGGTTACTAAAAACAACCAACAACAAGCTAACAAGCAGCTAGTTGGTTTATTATAATTAGCTAGCCATGAACCCTCCTTTGTTTCATCATGAAAAACATATTTGACTTTGGCAGTACGGAGTACTCCGGACGGAGTAGAATTATCCGATCCTTGGTCGCTCGACTCAGGGTTCGTTCTCCGGGCCAAGGGACGTTGAAGCATGGGTATTCTGGTCACCACTGGGGTTGGAGTTACACATGATGATCCTCCTGACAGCATTTTGCATATCTTTTGCGCTTTCCGGTGGTTTATGAGCGCTGCTGGGTTTCGCTGCAATCAAGTGGCATGGATCATGAATACGGGGCCTGCTACAGGTATGTAATGTGTCTGCGTGCAGAGGTCTATGCCTGCTCCTGTGGTCGCATCTATTCCAGCATAATTTATGTTCAAAAAAAATTCGAAAAGAAACGAGATGCAAAGAAAACGCACTCAAGGATGAGCGGTGTTTGGGCCTCTTTGTTTCAGGCCGGGGTTCTTTGGCGGCGATATTGCAAAGAACAGTCGGGCATCTCTGCGACGGCCTCCCTGCCATGATACCATCCCTCCTCTATGAGCCGGGTCTCGAGATCCCGCCAATACTCTAATTTTCCTCCTGTCCCACTTTTGAAATCAAGGTCCCCGAGGCGCACTTCGGGCGTTTCGCGTTCGTCGCGCGGGACCTAGAGCTCAGGTTAGCAACTACGTGCGAATCGCGTTATGATGTGCTCAAAGAAAACCGGACTGCGTCATGAGGGTGATCAAAAAAAGGAAAATACTGAGAATAGATTACGTACCCGAACAAACATTGTACAGTCTCGGATGGTCATTGACACGGCCCTTTCGCGAGAGTCAGCACACAACCCAGGCAAACCAACTGCATTCTTTAATATCTGACAGTCTCGCAGCTTGAGTAGCGTTGGATGCTGATGCAAGAACTTTGCGAGGCGACTCCTTTCATGCTGTGGCCCCTTCATCAATCGCACCGCGCGCAAGACATCGTCAAAGTCGCTCGAGACGAGATCGAGCGGACAAAACGCGCGACTCGTCTTCTCTCCACGTTGGCAAGCATAAAAATTCTTCATTTCGCGCAGAGCGCAAGTCCGGCATCTCTTTGCATTTGGTGGAGCTGAAGGTGACTGAAGCAGCCATTTTGGTTTAAACTCCCAGAGACTTGCGCCAGAGTTGGGAGACGGACTCATATCTGTAATGAGCAGCCCGAATGGTTCCTTTAAGGACAAATATCCCCCACGTCTGCCTTTTGGTCGACGGCCACTCGCCTCGTCGCTCTCTAGCTGTGCGTTGCATACTGAAACGATATCCTTCGGCAATGCCACCAGCGTCTGCTCCACGAGCTCGCTGTCATGAAACAATGCTTTGATTTGGGAATCAAAATTGATCGCCGTCTCAATATACGGCGTGCCGGATCCGATTTTCTTTCTGAGACGCAGCAGTCTTCCGCCGTACGTGTGCTGCCACTCTGTTTCAGTTTCTTTCTTTGCCCTACATGATTCGGGCATCACCATCCGGTAAACGATATTTGCACCACCTTCGGCAAGGTATGCCAGCTCTATATCGGTCTGTAGTTCGGGGATTCGCATCATTGCTGACAAGAGTCCTGCTGCTGTATCTACCGACGCTGGAGACATCGGCGACAGGGCAACCGTACGGGCGATTGCAACGTCAGCAGTGGGGAGTCGCCCGTAAAGCATAACAAAGGTTGCGTTAATTGGGCCTCAATAGGCAACCAAATAAGCTCCCTGCTGGAAAGGGTGATGCAGCGATATGGGAAGCTACCCCCTCTCAAGGTTGGTGGATGTAGCCTTAGCTTCACCGTGGGCTTTTAAGTAGAGCTATAGAACAAAGCCGACGTAGTCCTATAGAGCAATCGATGCAGTCATTTCCTCACGTGGACAAGATATAGAGCTAGCTAACAGTTGTGGTCAAAGAAAAGAAACGAGCGGCTGCAACTGAGTTGACGAGAAATGCCAGGCTTGGAGACGTAGCAGGAGAAGAAAGTACTTGTGCTCCGACAACGCAGTACTTGGGAGGTTTCGACAGATAGCCGGGGCCATGGACGGCGGGTTGATAGCGGGAGAGGGGCGCTGGGGGAAGCGTCTCGGGGCTGATAGTGAAGTATGGCGACGGTCAGGGGAACGGCAACACCTCCGGGCGGCAGCAGGGCGGCGAGGACAGGCTATGTATGAAATACTTAGCACATGAGAGCCGAAGAGGAGGATGCTCAGCAGGAGCACCGGCGCAAGAAGGAAAAACAAGGCGCAGGCCAGACCCGGCATGGGCCTCGTATTTGAGCGCAGAACGCCCGCAGCACGACAGCTTCCGACTGGCCGGCAGACTGCTGGTGTGGCGCATGGCGACAAGAGGGAAACAAAAAACAGCCGCACATCCAGCGTTACATACCTAAGCAGCAGCGGAGTCTGGTCAGCGGGCGCGTCAGCGAGGCGGCGAGAAGAGGGGGATGCGAGACGGCGGCGCTTCATCTGCGCTCGCGACCGAGAGCGAGAGACGGGAGACGGGACAAAGAGCACGCGCTCGGGGGCAGGCAAGCTTAAATGCCAGATCGTGGAGCATTCTCGCCTCCGTTGCTGGACCAGCATCGCGTGGGCTGAGGAGGAGGATTGCGGGCGCATCCGTTAAGCTCCATGTGGCGGCTTTTCTCACGAATCGCCCGTCGGCCTCTGCGCCGCCAACAACAAACCAGGCAGATCCATGGACCGCGAAATCCTCTACGAAGTCTCAAAACGACAGCGGAAAAAGTCTATCCGTCACATGGTCGACGACACGAGCTGGGCGGGACGCTGATGGCCTGATCTCTGCGCGTGCGCAGGGCTGCAGCGACGACGACGACGACGACGACACGCAGTCTGCGATGAAGACACTCAGGAAAAATACGGCGCAAGACTCGCAGATGACAGCCTGCCAGGATGCTGACGACGTGCATCACCGGAGAACGCGCGCTGCCCACCCGGCCGGGTTTGCAACTGCACGTCGTCTGTGATCGGATCCAAATACGAGGGTTATGCAGGTCCGATATGGGCCGGGGAGGGGACAAATACCCGGGCGCCAGCTCGTCGAGCGGCTCTTGCGCCCGGAGAGATACAGGAAGAATCATCCACGGAGCAGATCAGGCGGTCAAACCAGATCGTGGGATCGCGACGCCTCAGGTACCCTCGACACCGCGGCAGCCACGGGGCGGTGCCCATTGGCACGGCGAATATCTTGCCCGGTTGCAGCTAGAGCCACCCGCGCCCAGCATTCTTGATTGGACTTGACTGCGCGCAGGCCAGGGATGAGAGGCCCGGGAGTGCGCTCGGCGCTGCGGCACGGCCTGGCATTGCCGACCAGCCACAGGAGGCAGAAATCAGAGAGGCGTTGCTTGTGTCTAACGGCGAAGCGTGGTTTTACCAGAGTGTGGAACAGCGCCGTCTGGGTCGAAACGTCGGCCTGTCGATCGCTCTCCGTTGTCCCACGGAATAGCGCAAGCTTACGGAGTCATACGATGGAGTAGTTATGGTTGTATCTGCTCCGTATGGAGTACTCCGTGCACCATGGACTATTATGGTCTCGAGAGCTGAAATATCGAACCCACTCAGAAAGAGGCCCCCAACCAGAGCGACAAGGACAGCCTATCAGCCGAAGGGCTAGTTAGGTAACTAGATCTGCAAGTTTCAGGGGTTGAGCGGCGCGCTTTGGCCCTGCATCAAGGGTGTTTTTTGGGTTGATCTATGTGGAACGGCCCTGCGAGCCAGCCTGCCTGGCCCTCTCTTCTCGTCACCTGCTGATCAGCTATCAATGCCAGGGGTAGTAATATATTTTAAACCGATTTCACCACACGTACGATGCTAGGATGCTAGGATTCTTATCGTATCAGAATTCGATGTGACCCACGGAAGAGCCAACACTGTAATGTGTCCTGAAGTCATTGGAATACCCGCCCCCACCAAACGTCATCTTCAGCTTAGTGACAACTCTGTGAATTACAGTTATGTGGTATTGGAGTCAGTTATCAAGTACAGGTCGGCACCCTTGTCTTGTTTCCTGATTAAATTGCTTATAAGTGGTATGAATCTTCAAGATGCAAGCGAATTAAGTCCATAGAGTACTCCGCACTCTGTATTACCAAAATGTTATTTCACATCTGCAAAAAGCATCAATTATGAACTGCCTAATCAGTTGATTTATTCCTAACTCTATGCCGACTGATTTCACAGGCAAAGATTACAGTATCACAATTGTGTTTAGAGGATGTTTTGCGGCGGTTGAAACAATGAACCTTGGGTGAGATTCTCTGACTGCAAATGCACCTGTCAAGGGCGGAAAGAGGCAAAGTTCTGCTGGAACAAGCCCTGGTACTGTTCGCCCAAAATCGGCTTTTTTATACATGCTCGACTGCTGGAGCAAAAAATGATGAATTCTTTTGACACATACGTTCCTGGTTTCTTGCGATGAGGAAAAGAACTTGGCACAACATTATAGACAATTCAATATTGAAGAGCTTGCTGAAGTGGCCGCTGAAGCCATAGACCTGGAGAGCACTTATCGTGTCCGGGTTGAAGAATTGTCTGATGGTATGCATGTAGTACGTACGTATAATGCAGCGCTGCTGGTAACAACGAACAATGAACAATAAACAACAAATGGGGTCCAAGTGGTTGGCAAAGTGCAGAAACCAAATGCAGGCTTGCCGCACCTCGCTGCCGCATCTGAAGTAGCCATGATGGATTTTGTTTGTAGGAGTAAACAGTGTTTCCTACGGAGTACTCAAAGAAGTCATGCAGGCGTAGTCGCTATTGGTTACATATGACATCAGCTGGGCAAGGCGGAATAATAACCAAATCCAACCTCCACCACTTAACGAACCTTAATTGCTCTCCGGAAAGCAAAATGTTTGAACTCGTTGCCCAGATAGTCTGATAGAACGTGTCTCCGTAACCCGCGTTTCCTTTATACTAAATTGAAATCAAGCTAACGCTGAATACACCTGCTATTCCACAATGGCCAATGTGGGGGACTCGAATGTGTCTAATCTGCCAGACCACTGCGTCGCCGACTTCTGCTTGGTCCCAGTGCGTTTTTTTCCTTTCTTTCCCTGGCTATTTCCCATTCAAAACCCTGACCTCATTTGGTCTTTCTGAGTAGATAGGAACATCTTCTCCATCTGTTTCTCATTGTATTGCCGATGTGGAGCGGCTGATTGGGAAATCAGGACTGAAATTCAAGATGCATTCGTGCGGGACCACAGTTGGTAATTATATTTCTCTTCAACAATAGCGGAAATTTTACATAGGGGAGGCTAATGCCGGCGTGTGAAGAGGGCCCGTGGGATAAAGTCTTCGATCTGATCGGTCAGGCACACGCCATGCTTCACAAGCAGGGAATGGCTCGCATTCACACTAGCATCAGGGTGGGCACGAGGTGAGGTGGCCTCTTGCATATATTGCATGATAAAGTCTAACAAGAAAAATAGAACGGATAAAAAAGAAACGATGGAAAGCAAGGTCAAAGCTGTCGAGGATATACTAGCGTCCGATTTGTAAAGGCTACAGCAGGAGCTTTCACCAGTTTAGAGAATTGCATTTGGCATTTCATTATTCCATTGTAATATTCTATATTGTGCCTAATTATATATGAATATGAAAGAGACCGTCATGATTAGGGAGGGTATTAGGCAAGCTATCGAAATTGCGCTAGAATGTCACTTTTTGAGGACATTTCTAATACACAAAACAAAAAGCAATATCCTAGAGCTTCCATTATAGGATTAGGTAACCCTCCAAACCATCGTTGACGTCGTTGGCTAGAAATTTGTAAAATTTACCGGGGGGGTCTGGAATGGTAGTCGGGAACGAAACGGTGCATGTCGAACCTTAGGCCTAGGGTTCACTAGCCTGTGAAGGTCCCCTTCATATTCAGAAAATACAGGCTTCCCCCACGCCTGGTCTATACTCTGCATGAGTTCCTCCAGAGACCATGGATTGTTCTTCCGAAGTAGACGATTGTATTTGCGACGCGAAGAACGGTTATCGGAGAAGAGTGCGGCCAGGCGCATACGGCTGGCGCTTTTGATAGTATTAGTTTGTACAATAACGCCCCTGTCTTTTAATTGGCGAAGGAGAACGATTCCACGGGCCCATGGGATCAGATGCTCGCCCTCATTGCCGAATGGGTTGAGCATAATAGTATTTTCGGCGTCATAGGGGCGCATGCTGAACCCCCAAGCAACGATAGCATGCTGCAACTGAACTCCAAAGATCCGTCTAAGAGGCGATCTTGGGTGACTCGCAGGCAAAAGGTGTTCCAACAAATCAGAGCCCTTTCGAGTGCCTGCTTTGGGCGGCTTAATGCCGTCAATTGGCTCGGAAGTGGATTTTTTGGGGGGTCCGTAAATTGGCACCAGCCAGAAACAGAGCTTTTCCAACTCATCCCAAAGGTTGTACATGCCGAGTCGTTTCAAGCATTCTAGCCAGGATTCTGGAGGGACATGCCCTCCAGACATTATTACTTGTTGATATAGCCAAATCAAAAACCGAAGATCATTCATAGATGCTGAATCCCGAGGAGGGCTGTAGCCGCTGGGTCGGGCAGGAAGAATTTCGCGGGCCATCGATTCCACAGTTGATATTGACAAACAAAGACCGTGTTCTTTCATCGACTCAAGTTGCTGTATAATTAAAGCTGCATTGCCGGTTCTCACAACATCTCGAAACAGCACGTCATGCCTCTCACGTCGTGAATCTGATGCCATTGACATGATAGCCAAAGTTTTATGGACCTGGGGCCAGTCTCCGGCTCTTGAATACATGGCAAGAAGCACTTTTTGCGTTTCTAGGTCTTCAAATACATCAGGGTGCTGATCGCTCTCAAGAATATCGCGTAGCAATGCCGTATTTCTGTCCTGGACAGACTTAATAACCAATTTTGAAAAAACAGATTTTCCAGTAGAGATCCCGGATGATTGGAGGGCGGCAAGCTGGGATACCAACTCCTTCATGTTAACCGTTCTTAGAGCCATTTCTCGTAACGTTAAAGGGCCGATCGTATCAACACCAAACATCTTGAAGCCCCCAAGGATAAGTTCGAAGGTTAAGGATTTAGTTGCGAACAACCGAGCTCCAAAATCGTCGCGAAAGGGCTGTTTAGTGGATTTTTTTGCTGCTTTCGGGGTATGGTGTTGATGTTGCTTTGCATCGATAGATGTATCATCCATAAGACCGGCTTTAACTAATTCCTGCATGAAATAATTGTGCTGCTTTTCTGACCCATACATCTCAACATATCTTAATAGAGGCTCAATTTCCGACAGGGATTTTGGGCCGTCACGGCGGGAAACCAAGAATTCATGCATAGCAAGGGCATCCCCTACCATACCCTTTTCCCAAAGAATAGGAACAACAAAGCTATAAATTTGGTGTCCCTCCAGACTCCGGCAGATATTCCTGAAGCCGCGTACGCCATGTTCGGTCGTCATGGCATGAGGAAGAATACAAATGACTTCGTTTGACCGTTCGAGATGAATCTCTTTCAGCTTCAGATGCCAACGCAGGGCTTCTCGTGGTAGGTGTAACTTGAAATAACCGCCGATAACCTCTTCATAGAATGGGTGCCATCTCTTCCTCGTTGCCTTCCATATTGTTTCCCCATGAAGCTGTATTTCCCTCATTAGCCATTCCTGCTTCAAGCCAATGGAAATAAACGTCTTCCATAGGTAATCAGCATCATCTCCTTCGACTGGAAGACCCAGCTCAGCACATCTCCCATTTAATCCCTTCCATATATGCACAACCCCCTCGTCGCCATAGTGCCGTTGGCGGTATTCTAGAAGTACCCTCCAGAGATGAAAGTCTTGCTGATAACGAAAATCGTCGATCAATTTACTTCCAATATGCTCAAGATTGCCGACATTCGACTCAAATTCAAGCCTCATAGGGTCGAGTACATCGTGGGTAGGCCCCAAGTAATTTGAAATCCGATCCGGTAGGCCCGGATTGGCTGCCCTTTGCTCATATATGTGGAGGGATTGTGGCGGTGGGGTGGAAAGTGCTTTTTGATTTTCGGCGGAAGATACGTCGTCTGCTATCCCATTATTTCCAGAGCTTTGATGGCACTTTGGACATTCAACGGTGTGTTCGGGAGCTAAGGTACTGGATCTAGCCACCAAATTACATGGAACAAGTCTCCGGTGACGTGAAAATACGGTCCGGTGTGCAATTGGCGTGTAGAACTTCACGAGGGTGTCATTTTTTCGGGATGTCAATGGGAGTGCTAGTCGGAGGCACGCCAGCCGCATTGACAGCAAGCCACCAGCTTATTGACAAATAGCTGATGAGCGGGTGTAGCCCAGTCGAGGCCGGAAATCTTCAAGGCTAGACCATACCGTCCATATGGAGTACAACCATCTCTTCTCATCGAGCTGGTCGCAAACATTGAAGTTTTTTGGAAGTAATCGCTGACTAATAACGAATATGCTTACGTAACAAACTTAACTTTATCTGACTAAGCGGTGACTAGTTATTGGATAACGTGATGCGATTCTGGAGTTCCCGAGATCTTGACCTCACGCCAAACAACCACGATACCAGGTCGTTTTGTACCCTGTTAACCCCTCCAAAAATTTCGAATTCGTGAAAAAATGGTCGCCAGAACACTCCCCAGACTCGGCGGGTAAGCTTCCCTCCTTATATTAATACTTCCGACTACCTGAATATCATCCTTTGCCGCCCCGAACCCCGTCGTTTGGGTTGTGTGCGACTGGGCAAGAACCCAGGCCAGTGACCATTTCAGATGCTTACTATCACTACCTAGATTCGTTTTCCGCGAGAATCGTGTTCCTTACTATCAACGACTTTTCCAGAGGCACGATGGCAAGCGCCAATGGTGGAAGGTTCGAGGCCCTAGAACTAGCTCGGATAAGAGACATTGTTAACATATACTTCTACATAGACCGATAGAAGTGCATACTTCATGTACCCATACTATATCTCCATGGCTGGAAGCTTAGGCGGTAGGTCTACACATTTATTATGAGTGATTATATTCCATGCAAAATCACTAATGTCTGTATTTCTAGCCGCTCTTTACGGAATGACGAGACTGGTTTTCGTAAGTAAATCGTTACTTCCTACATCCCCTGCACGTCCACTTTGGTAGCAGATATTGCCGCCAATTCAAAGGCCGCCTGTCCCGTATCATCGAATTCGACTGATAATTTTCTACAGGGCCACAAGACTTGGTTCGGAAAAGGCTAAACGTTTCCTAGAACAAGACTGAGCTCCTAAACATATTCCCTTGTGATCTTTTTGGCTACGTCAGAAGATAGATTGAGGAGAGCTTGTATATAATACTACAGAGAAATATGCTATCACTGAAACGAGCTTTTTTTTCTCCCACACAATTTCGGTTCTAGAGAATGCGACTACAGACACTTTACTTGATCCCATAAGGCATTAAGAATTAACTATTCGTGAAGACCGATAACGCTTGCCTTTTGGGCAATACAATGCATTGCAAGATGCACGACTTTTCCTTGATTGGGTGCACACATCACTATAAAACACATTATATAAAAGTAGTTTAACAATTAAAAAAAATATTTGCCCCAGCAAATTCCTCTCCATAGCCAAATTGAACCACAGCATTTGGAATGAAGATGAATAATCGTACACATCAAGCTCTCCTGGAATGCTTCTTCATCTCCCTCTTCGTCTCTCTTTCCTTTTCCTTCTCTAGATATTTCCTCTGCTCTTCCGCAGACATACCACGTAAGAGTTTGTCCCGCTCTTCTTTCTTTGATTTTTCGGCAGCAGCTTTGCGTTCTTCAGCCTTCTCTTCTTCGCTGGCGCGTCGCAGCTTGCGTAGTTCGTCTTCTCGAGTGGCGCGGAGTTTACGGAGGACTTCTTGACGGAACCGAGCAGCAGAGGCAAGTCGATCGTTAAGACGAAGGAAGAGATGGAAAAGGGGAAGTGAAGAAGCATATGCAGTGGACGATGTGGATGATGGCACACGCATGGAGAGCATGGTGCGCTTGCGCGATGTAACCTCCTCGACCCTAGGTAGCATAATTAGTAGACACACAGTAGCATCAAGAAGTAGAACCATACGTGTTTGGCTTATCTGCAGGTTGATCGGTGATGAGCAAGTATTCGAAGTCATCGCCAGCATCTTCAACGGCCTTAATGAGTTCATTGGTAAGAATAATATCTGTAATCTCCGCACTCTCGCTCATTACTGTAATCCAGCCTGGGAGTTTCGCATTGTCCTTTGTGAATGTTAAGGAAACATCATATCGATCCTCTCTCAATTTGCGCATGGCATTTTTATGCACAATGGCAAAAACAAATCCATCAAAGGCAGAATTGTTTCCTTTGGTCAACTGCTCTTTTTCCGCTGGGGGTGCTGGAACCATGTCCTTTTCTTTGCCGTCGAACGGGTAGGCAGTGATCTCAATTTTTTCTGCTGGGGTGGATAGGGATTCGAAAAATAGACCCATAATGGAATCACCTATCATAAACGCAGGGTTATATCGTTTCCATAGCTGGATCGAGATATCCACAAACGCGACATTTTGCCGTCCGGTTGCGTACGTAGAAAACTCATTTGCGGCATTCTCCTTCAGTAAGCTATCATCAATCATTAGGTCCTCTGAGGATGAAAGATCCTTGAGTCCAGCGCCCCTTCGCACACTTTTGAAACCCACAACAGCAAACTCATTGTGCAAAACTGGGATATGAGCTTGCGCCCACGCCTTAGCCTTGCTGCGGTTCTTTCGGGTTCCCCATATATGGAAAATGACAATAAAAATAATAAATGGAAGAACAAATGCTTCTTGCATGAAGTCCTTTGGCGACGTCCGCTCCCATACGCGATACCATCTTGTGTACGGCACGTTGCTTCCTGGCGCTTCGAGGGTCGAACGGGGGTCTGTGGCCGCGGAAATCGGCGAGCCGGACTGCTGAGATGGTACGGCGAATTCGGCGAAGTCTTTCAAGTAAAAAGATTTCCATTAACTTATATTCTTCTATTACTGGAGGCAATTTGTTTTGAGCAGCAGTTTTGCTGAGAACATACCTGTATCCTCTTGCTTCGAAGCTCCCGCGGCTGGGCCTTGCGATCCGCCTTTCAGCAAATTTTGAAACAGACCAGACATGATGCTTGGAGCTCAATTGGCATCCAGCAGGGCGCTGCTGAATTGTTGTGGTGTATTGAAACTGCACATATGCACGAAGCAGTAGCTTGGGCTAGCTAAAATGTTGGGTGCCAAGCCACGTCCGCCACTCAAAATGTGGAGGAATGGGTTCGATTGTTTACTCCATATAATAATGCTCAATCCAGTAATATTTCGTCAAACTTGGATAAAAAGTACATATATTCGACAAAAGAAATTATAAGGAGCGACTGATATCAATCTCAATATACACGCATCTCAATATTCCAAAATCAACTCGGTTTTCTCCCTTTTTCCGACTCCAGGTACCGAATCCCTTTTTCCTAGCCAGGAGATAACCTCTTGAAAGCGCCAAAATTCAACACAAAAGCCTCCAGACGTATAAATACAAACTAGACCAAGACTAGACTAAGGAATGTCTAGTAGTGAAATTGCTAAAAACGAACATGCCCTGCTGGATCAACAGAGTGGGGATAGTAGATGAAAACAAGAACGGCAAAACACCAAACACCACGATTACTCGAGGTTTACTGGCCATATGCCGGTGGGGGTGTGTGGGCTCGGGCCGGCTCCCAGGCGCCATGAAACTTGTTGTTGTCCGCAGAAAATTTGCTTTCTTGCATCTGGCGAGCAATTTCATTTGCCATTTTCATCACCCACGCCTGTCCTAGGATGCTACTCTGTGATGCGGAGTCTGAAACAGAAAGTTGCTGGTGTAAAAAAGATTTCTCCTGGGCAGCTGAATATGCTTCTGGATTAGGCGGAGATTGTCGGGGTGGTGTTTTGCAAGTTTCAGTGTAGCGCGGTAAACTGCTTGTAGGCTCGGAGTGAGGACTATTATTTCGCAATTGACCATAAGTTAATTGCTGAGCAACAGGTGTCTTCATTTTACCCTTGCCCTCTGATGTAGAGAATCGATGCTGGCGATTAGATATTCGAAGTGCGGCTTCGGGTGAGGTAGGCGGAGTGACGGGGTCATCATTCGCTTCCTCTGGAATCACGGAAGATGAGAATGTCATTGAAGCAGCAGTGGATTCTGTAAATTCACTTTCACCATCCACACTCTCCGAGTCTGTGGGTTTATTATGCTTTCTCAAGTCCACAACTCGCTTCTTTCTCTTTCTGGTCGGTCGAGTTTTGTGATGGCGACCAGCGCCTAGACCAAGACCATAACTGCTGAACGATGTGCCAGTTGTTGTTGATCGATTTTGAAGAGATAGGACACTGGAGGTGTCCTGGAAGGATGCTGACGGAGACGAGATATGAGAATGCGACCTGGAGAGAGCCATGCCACATGGAGAAGCCAGGCCACTGCCAAAGCCTTCGTTTTGATCGGCAAATCCTGTACATGCTCGAAATACGACTTCCCGAATTGATGGTGTGAAGAGCGATAGTGTGCGTTGGGAGTTTGTTAGTGCAGCAAGTCGTAAAAGGCTTTGCTGCGAGAAAAGGGAATGCATTTCGACACCTGAGTCAAAGGATAGAGATGCAAGGTCAGCGGAAGTCAATAGGTTACCCGACGCATCCACTGGATCTTTTGGCGGGCTCAGGAGTGGATCTTCTCCGGATCCGGGTGAGACTGCTGCATCAGTTTCTAAACCACGATACTCGGGAACCCATAGTCGCAAGGACAGTCTATGTATGATGGCGGGGAGTTCGTCCATAAAGAGTATTCGCAGCTGTCCTTCGATTTCTCGCTGAAGATAGTCTCGGACGGAGGGAATTGAATCAAACGTTGAAGATACTTTTAGAGACTCGAGCGGATCGTTTCGGAACACGACAGTTATTCCCTTTTGTTTCGAAAATACCAGAACAACGAAACCGGAAAGTCTGAAATCGGAAAGCGTGATTTGGAGGGGGATGGTTAAGCCGGACCTTTGTTCGCACCTCGGTTAGCAATATATAACTAGAGAGGAGGACGACATAGCTTACGCTGCAGCAAGAGGTTTAGGCGAGGCATAGGCAGGGCGAGTAATTAGAAATGTATTCAATGGATTGGCCTGAACGCGGGTTTTCAGAGTAAGAAAGGCGTCACCAGAATATGACATTTTAAAGATGCCGCGAAATCGATCCTCGGCAAGGTCGCCAATCTCTAAAATTTCTAGATCCGGAGGGATCGAGCCCAGATTCAATTCCGTTACAACAATGTCATCAACAATGATCGGGGGTTTTGGTGATTTATTGAGAGCCGCGGTTAGCAGGTCCTGTGCACGGATGTAGAATCCCGCATCCGCCATCAACGGGGACCAGTTGAAGTTGAAGGCCATCGTGGCGCATTGGGTCTCGAAGAAGCAGCGGTCGAGGCGTCGTGGTATTTGATGGAATCGGGAGGGCAGAATATATGGAGAATGACTAGACTCTGCCTAGTCGCGTGGGCCGGGGGTCTCGTGAGAACGGAGGGGAAATGGAGATCCAAACAACGCGGGCGGGCGACATTTGAAATCAAGCTAATAATATATTGATCCCACACATGTGAACTGGCGTGTCTCGGGATGGGCTGCTCTGAGCACGCTCGGGATGGCTGTGCGGAGGGTTGGAAGGGCGACGACGGGGCGGCAAAATCGCGAAATTTTGCCCTGAAGAGAAAAAGAAAACAAGAAAACAGTCTTGGCGGCCAAATACTGGGGCCAAGAGCGAAAAATACCAGATTTACGCGGTCTCGCCGTACCAATGTTACCCGGCCGGGAGGAATAGGAGCGTGGCAGTACCGTTACGAGGCTGTGGGTGTATCGGCAACGCACCGGAGTGCAGTGGAGCCTGGGCATGGGTGGCTACAACCACACGGTGTTTATTCGCGGCACAGTTCCTAGGGACAATTGTTTATCCGACCCCACATCTTCTTTAAGAAAGATACTCCGCGCCGCCCATAAGGATCCGCTTTTCTGATGATCTCCCGTTGAAGACCCATCTATGACTGCTTGATGCATGGAAGCCTCTGTCTCGGCGTACATATGCCTACATACATACTAGACTATCGTGTCAGCTGGCTTTCGCCCGTTTATGGCTGTCTCAACTACGCCGCACTACAGAGTACAGACTACACAATAATATACATCTTCTGTTGCAAAATCCTCCTGGAACGGCTCGGAACCTAAACCCCGCCCCCACCAGCATTCAAGATATCATCCAACCATATGCCCCAGTCAAGGGTGATGTCAGCTAATGCCTTTGATATTTTTTAGCCTTTTTTCTCGAAAAGGCCCTGAATATCCCCACCCTTCCATTGATCCTTGACAATGGAAGATGGAACCGGAACCAAATTTTTTCTTAACTGTTTTAACGTCCTTTGACGCCGTGCCTAATTGTCTAATGGGTTATCTCAGTTGCAAGCGAGTCTTATAAAGCAATTTCGGAAAGTGTGGCAAATGATATCATTGCTGCTATAACTTGTTTATGCCAAATAATCAACGATAGGAAAAAATGCTATTTCTCAAATACAGCTGGATTTTACTTGATTGTTTCTAGGAGGAATCATTATTATATTTGGAAGATGGCTAGCCACAAGGTTAAGGTTGCTTCCAGTGTGCTAAAACTGGCTTGGCCACGGCCCACGGCGCTCATGGTTTAACAAACCACACCGCCTCCCCCGCGGATATTCGTATGTCCTTGAAGTTGTAGGGAGTACAAAACGCTAGGGACCCTCGAACTAAAACGCCCGTACTCCTGCACTATTGTACAAGGCTTGCACATGAAGAGCACTATGATGTGAAAAACGACTCTAACTGCCTAAAATACCCAGACTGCCCTTCATAAAAAAACAGTAACTTGGTTATAAACAGTAACTTGGTTATACTTTCCCATCAGTATAGGCGCTTATCGGTATATGGTGGGTATATCCATGATGACTTAGGGGAAAGTCCGCTGGGCCCTGGAGCAATAACATTTTCTTTACAACTCAGCTAGCGGGATATTTTCTCACGATGCCATATAACTTCTTTGAAGTACAAGAAATAATTACGCTCTGACTGAGCGGCCAACAGTTTGCTTTGGGCGAGAATTAATAAGAAACTAGTTAGTTCAGAACATCATCCAGCTTGATTCGTTTATCGTCCTGGTTGATTTTCCTCGACAAATCGCGCAACCCCTAAAGTTGTTGAGTGAAGAAGACAGAGCTCATGATTGGGCGTTGTCGACATCAAGAGCGGGTCGGAGAAACCGTTTTGCCGATGAATTAAACGTTCTCAGGTAATCTACCGATTGGTCTCCACAGTAACGAAGAGCGCTAGGCCTAGATGGGAATAATCAAAAGAAACGGATAACCCGCTATCTTGATCAACCAGATCACAATGAACTTGGCTGGAGATGAAGTCAGGAATCGCACAAAATGACCTCTTCGGAATGTTTTCTAAACTCACAGTCTCCTTGGAACATATCTCCTCCACCGAAAGCCCCAAGTCGCACATTACAATCGAATCGCGTATACGGCAGACGAAAGTTAGCATCAGCAAAAGCGGTACTGGAAAAGGAGGATTCAGCATCCAAGAAGGTGAAAAATCAAGGAATCATGGAGAAAACAACGGATAAACTAGTTGATGATTTGAGAGAAACCCTGGCTGCCATCAATCTCGAGGACGCGTGCTCAAAATCGACAGCCTACCCCGAAGTGAAAGTAGTGATCAAGCAGCGGAAATCGCAAGCAAAACAAAACTCGGAGGAGGACGGACGCCCTAAATCGAGCCCATCAAGTAATATCGCTAGAAAATCTTCGCCAGAATCGCCAATGAAGCCACTTGTGAAAGCGTGCAGACCAGTCAGGACAAGGCAAAAGCGAAAACAGAAATCGCCTCTGAAGGCCCCATCGATACCATTGGAAGATGTTATAAACGATTATGCTAGGCCAATATTAAGAGAGGCAATAGCTTCCAAGACCGTGCAAGACTTTAATTCTTGGGCAGATCGTGCGGCAGAGATGTTTGACGTCGAGAAGATTGCAGAAGGTTCTTACGGTGAGGTATATCAACTACACGTTCGACGAGAGAATGCCAAGCGGGACATTTCAAAACTCAAGATAGAGAAGTTAAAAGAATATGATAACGGTGTGTTCAAAATTGTTCCTCTTCGTGCACGAACCGGCCCTGGCTCGAAGAAATTCACCTCAATACCTGAAGTCGTAGCCGAAGTGCAAATGTTAAAATTGCTAGACGCAATCCCAGGATTTGCGAGGTACCGAGATGTTCATGTTGTTCAAGGCCGGTTTCCAGCTTCTTACCAAGCCGCTTGGACTCGGTATAGCCAAACAAGGGATGACTGCTATAACCCAGATCCAAGCAAAAAGAAATCATATCCAGATACTCAGCTATGGGCAATTCTTGAAATGGATAATGCTGGTTCTGAGCTAGAGAAGTTTGATTGCTCTTCTATTTTTCAGATATATGATATATTCTGGGGCGTTGCGCTTGCGCTGGCTCGAGCGGAGCAATTTGCTGCTTTCGAGGTAAGGCGACAGAATATCCTTTTTTTGGAAGTCTATTGCTAAGTGTGTCAAACAGCATCGTGATCTTCATCTTGGAAATATTTGTATTAAGTCAGCAAAAGAAGAATTGCCGAATAGACCAATAGCAAAAAATAGCACCGGCTTCGGACTTAGTGGTCTTGAGTCAACAATAATTGACTATTCTCTTTCGCGAGCCGATATTCTGCTTGGTGGGACTTCAAATGATTGCAATGTCGCCTGGTCTGACCTTGACAAGAAACAACTTTTTGACGCTATTGGCAGGGACGACGATGAGAGGCTCCTTCGAGATACATACAGATTGTAAGAGCCTGTTTACTACAATTGTCTTTTAAACTTAAAGCTAATGCTTCCAGAATGCGGGCGGAAGTATATGAGAATCGGGACTCGGCTAAATCTCAAGGCGAGCCATGGAAAGGGTTTAACCCAAGAACCAATTTAATATGGCTGTCGTTCCTTTTGACTATGCTACTTACCAAAGGTCAGGCCAGAGGTATTCTCCCAGCATCTCGACAAGCATTAACCCCTCGGTGCGTGAATAACACCACCATTTACAATTCGAAACTACGTGGAAAGGAGGCTGCCAAATCTAAAGCTACGCCGAAGTATGAATTACTTGAGCTAGATTTTCAGCGTGAATTACTTGACAGGTTACAGACAGTTCTGGATATTTTAGAGCCGGAAAATCTAGAGGAAGAAGGGGAGCTGTTGCATTGCACAGGGAGTTTAGTGGCCTTTGCCATTGGATCACAATGGTTAGCAGAGTCCGATTTTTTATGTTGATTTCAATAGGTTCTCGTTTTCCAAGAGACCCCTTCAGAAGCATCGGAAGAGTATCTTGCACCGAGGCAGATTGATAAATGCAAGAGCTTTACTAGACAAATACTTAAGCACATGTAGCTATGTAAAGGCTGTACATTTAGAGAGCATAGTCTATCTGTATACCTTGATGACGAAAACACAACAAAAAGAATAAAATAGCTTGGGTGTTGTCCTGCATCTGGGAAGGCACAGAAGAGCTGGGAAAGTTATGAAGATCCCAGCATCCACTGACAATAGGAACTAATTCCTTGACAAGCATCATTGCCTTGTTCTGCTAAAGAAACTCCTGTACATGTAGAAACACCGCGAGTTCAAGATAATAAGGCTTTGAGACCTTTTCTACTACTCCGTCTTTTATTTACCCGATCTGCCAGTCGGGACGGTATAAGGCTTTAATGTAGTCCCAGTACGCTGGATAAAAACCCGCCATCTCCCAATCAAGAAGAGCAAGGACCTTATCCCCACGAACAATGATGTTTTGTGGAGAAAGGTCGGCATGAGAGAAAACAATCTCATGGCTGGGGATTGGCTTGACCATTCGGCCAACACGATCCACCCATGTATCACTGATTGAGAGCTGCAACGCTCTCACAATTCCATTGTTGAGTTCCTCCTCGGTCTTATAGGGGCCAAAGCCTCCAAGTTCAGCACAAAACATTGGGTCGTTACAAGGAGTACCATCCACCGCTCCAAAAGGTTACCCTTAATTGCATGAAGTTCATCCATAAATTGTCGAAGCTGGGAAATAATATTGGCACGCTGACAAGGATCAAGCTTGTCCCAAACGTCGGTCAAAACATCCCCATGGATATATTCCATAAGAATGACGCCACGCGAGGTTGAATCATCGACGTACGCGTTGTATACTCTAGGCACAGGCACGGAAGTTTTTGATCGAACTAGCTGCATAGCTACTGCTTCCACAAGTTGTGCTGGAGGACATAGCTTAGCTACTGTATGCTCATCGACGCGGTAAACATTAACAAATTTGCATTCCACTAGACGTTTGGAGTCAACAATATCAGATGGCCCAATACGGCGTGCCATGATGTCTTTGAACCGTGCCGAGACTCTTGGAAGCTTATCCTGTATTTGTTGCTTCCCACAGATGCCGAAACTCGATTTGAAGAATATTGACGACCCTTGCTGTCTCTAGGAATCCTAAGGCCCATCCAAATCAATGGGGCCCTGGTGTTTCAACCGAATTATTAGCAGTCAGCTACCTCATAACCTCAGACCTTTTGGGATAACTATGAAGAAATACCTAAGTACGGAGTAGTTCCATTGCTATTGGGGGAATGCCCCACCCCAAACTGCTGCGGGGGTACTACTACATTGCGGGCAACCGTTGGGAGTAATGTTGCTGTACGCCTATAAATCTAGAATTCGAATTCCGGTATAGCCTTTCTTGCCCTCACAGAGTACGGAGTACGGAATAGTGCTTTAGTGAATAGGAAATAACACTACCAATAATGGAGTAGATTTGAGCTTGACAATACACTACTCTGTACGGAGACTAAGCCAAATCAGCGCAGATATTCAAAGCATTTCCAATAACACCAACTATAGCCCAAGTTTGGGATCCTTTAAAAATCTGCGCCCATACGCGCAATATTCCGGCATTCAACTGTTGATTCATCTGCGGCGACCACATCGATAGTGTAGGCGACACAGGAAATTCCGTCTCATCAAGCATCAACTTCACAAGAGCAATGACGCGACGTTCATCATCACTAATTGGGGGCTCAGGGTTTGGTACAGATAACGCCTCAAGCCATTTACTCAAAAGAAAGGCGCATTCAAGCGAGCAAATCGAGTGCTGGATAGACCATATGAAAGTTTGAGTTTGGGCAACAAGTCTGATGCCAATTTTGACCGGAATGCTCAAGGCATGAGCAGAATGAAGAACCGCGCGAACTAATTTCGGAGTACGTTGTATAGGTGGGCTCGCTCGGAAAGCCTTTGCAATTTGCACGGGGTCTCGTGTATCGAGAGCACGACCAGGGCCAATGTCGATATTGAGGCGTATATAGGCGAGACGGAGCAGGGCGGTGGAATTGAATGCCACAGGGCCGTTTGGGTCCTGGGGATCATGACATGATTCTGGGTGCCGTTTCCATCCAATTTGCCAATTTCGCAACGCTCGTTCCAACGCGCAAATGTCTTCAGTTGCCATATCTCTTCTACCACCGAAGCAACCAAGGGCTACTTGGCGGAGGAAAAAGATATGTTGTATGATTGCGTGAATTAGTATGTAATTCCCTAGTGAAGAGGTGGATTCTGCGACATCATTTCCACCGCGAGAAAATAAGTGATTTAAAGCATCCTGAAAATTCACTTCAGGGGAACCTTTATTTCTCTCCTCGAGCCATGATGATTCATTTGAGGCTTTGAACTCGGCTGAGCCAGAGGGCAACATAAGATTAACCTCCGAATTTAGTATCAGAGATGGAATGTTATAAACGATGCAATGTAGATTAAAAAAACAATAAACTATGAACTTCGTCCTCTTCGCAGTTTCTAGTCGAACCCAATCTTCCCACTGGACATTTTTTGGCATGGGCTGATCATGGAGGCCGTGATCACGAACAAGTGTGGCTAAAATGCTCTGCAAAGCCAACGCTTCGCGCAGGATCTCTTTTTGCTTTGCCCAGGTCGCCACGGCCATTAGGACAAGTAACGCTTGGATCGTTTGTATTGGATCTTCCTTCTCATGTGCTGCTTCGCTGGGAGAGCGACTCTCCTTGAATGAGGATGATACGCAGTGCGAGTTCTGCTCCTGCTCTTCATTCTCTGGAACACAAGCAGCACCTGTGACTTCATGGCGGTGTAATGTATTTCTTTTCACATCTCTGCGCCGAATCTTTTCCATAGCAATTGCTTGGCTAGCGTGAAATAAGTCAATGCCCTTTTCTGCTTCTAGACAATACTGAGTTCCCATGGCCGCGATAGCAAGGAGAAGGTCAACAGAGCAGTGGGGGACGGACATGCTGGGAATATGCAGAAAAGGAAGATGTTCATGAAAACCGTTAATATAAGCGGCAATATATCTTGTCAGTGCTAAGCATGATGGCAGTTGGAAAGAGGGCTGGAGAACGGCAGAAAATCCATCCAATTTTGACAGGATCTCTCTTCTATCTTCCAGGGAAATTTCACCAAGAGGACGATGGGGAATATGCATCCGTTTAATCTGCGGCGGTTGTTCTTCCGGTTGGAGTGATGGAAGGCGTGAGCCAAAATGAGAGAATGATCCATCACTGGGGTGATGGCTGACATCATAAGAGATTAAAGTATCCCCGTGTAAATCAGAAAGACGAGCCATGGATTCTGGAGAAAAGAGAGGCATGGGCTGCTCAGCAGAGACAAGCGAAGAGAAATGATAAGACGATAAGGTACTATTATCCAAGAAAGATGCAAGGCCGCTAAAAGAGTTATCAAATTCCAAATTATGAATATGAGCTCTTGAATGAGAAGGGGTTCCTGTCGTTGTCATGGAATCATTCTGGCCCAACGAGACATGGTGAGCATGAGAGGTTGCATGATTAGAGGGAGTGTCATAGGGCATTTGAAGAGCGACATGCTCTGCAGCCATAGATAATGTAGCCAATTCTATGCTTGGATGTTCGGTGCCTGTGGGAGTGTGACGAACACCATCCTCAGTAGTGGCGGGATGGTGTGGGACTGGTGGTATCTCCCGTTGGCTCAAGGCCCCTGACCTGCCGGCCCTTGATCTAGACCCCCTGCCACGTTTTGGTGGTGTAATTTTATTGTGTGACAGTCGCTCATGGCGGGTTAAAAGATCACTGAGATATGTTAGCAGCATTGTTTAAGGTTTTGGGCGATATAGTTATTACCTTCTAGTAAATCTAAGCTCACACAACTGGCAGGCAAACGGCTTTTCCTGTGTGTCTGCATATGGCAATTTGGTATTCAGTAACAGAAAGTTGATACAAAAAGCAGTATTATGTACATACGGATTCTTTCATGTCGTTGGAGATGTTCTAGTCTAGAGAACTTGTTTTCGCAGTGTCGGCACTGGAATCGCCTCAACTTCGTTGCCGGCGGGCTCGCTACGGCCTTCTCGGCCTCCAACCCAGGGGAATTTTGCGGATTATCCCCCTTGGCAGCGGTTCTATCCATCCGCCCCAATCGAGCCGCGGTGAGCTTTGGGTGCTGTTGGGGAAATGTACCAGATCGTCATGGGGATTGTGGGATGGAGAAGTGTGCCCCTCGTGCTGGGTGGCGTGTGGGGAAGACCTGGCTAGGCGATCACGTGCAAATAAATAGCAACTCAGGCCACCGGGTATAGAGTACTCCATACGGAGTAGTTGGGATGAAAAGACATCTTAGCAATTCACTGTAGGCTGGATTCCTATGTTGAATTTCCCCACGGCACGGCGTAGTTAACCACCACGACTTCAGTACTCCGTACCCCGTACGCAGTATTCCGTAATTAAGGTTCAAGCGCGTGACCTTGTCACATGACGTCAATTGTGCGCCGGTACTTTCATCATTGAATCCCCCGAGCCAACAACAGCTATAGACTGGAATACAATGTTCTGTTGACGATGCCTGCATAGGGCTTCGCTTTTCGTCAGCGACCCAAAATGTCAAGGAGCATTCTCGAACGGCTCGTTAATCCGCGCCGCTCCTATGAGCGTGTAGCGGAAGAAGATGGAGAGGAGCGGTTGGATGAATATGCTACTCCAGAAGAGCCCCCAGTGGCTCCATTCTCCCGGCTGGAATATGTAATATTTTTATGGCTTGGGGTGTCTATGCTATGGGCGTGGTACGTTGGTATTCTTGGACGATACTGCTGTTCGAGTGAACTAACCCATTCATCGTGACGCCCAGGAATATGTTCCTCGCAGCAGCACCCTACTTCCAACGGCGATTTGGGTCCAACCCCTGGATCCGGTCGAACTTTCAATCTTGCATATTATCGGTTTCTTGCCTCACAAACCTCTCCTCGGCGCTTATACTGGCCAAACTCCAGGAGAATGCCTCGTACCCCCGAAGAATCAGAATTTCGATACTCCTCAACATAGCCGTTTTCGCTCTCCTTGCCATATCCACCGTCATGTTTCGGAACATTTCATCTCTTGTATACTTCGTCTTTGTGCTTGCAATGGTCTTTATCGCTTCTTTGGCTACAGGTATGAGTCAGAACGGCCTTTTCGCTTATGTTACAGGATTTGGCCGAAGCGAATACACGCAGGGAATCATGGTTGGACAGGGCATTTCCGGTGTTTTGCCCTGCATTGTGCAAATGCTAGCTGTTCTCGCGGTTCCCGACGCCAGCGAAACTTTAGATTTAGACACCGTCGAATACCAGTCTGCAAAATCAGCCTTCATATACTTCACAGCAGCAGTTGGTGTCTCTGGTCTTGCCTTTTTTGCTTTCCTTTACCTCAATGGTTCGAAGGGCTTTCACAGAATCACCGATGAATCTCCTCTTCATCTGGATGAGGACGAGACTCTCAACAAGAAGTCCATTCCCCTTCGCCTATTGTTCCGGAAGCTCCGTTGGATTTCTTTGGGAATACTCATTTGCTTTGCAATCACGATGGCTTTCCCGGTATTCACAGTCGAAATACATAGCATTCGAGAATCAGGAACCCCAGCACCACCTCGTATTTTCCAATCTGCCGTATTCATACCGTTGGCCTTCCTTTTCTGGAACACAGGAGATCTTATCGGGCGAACATCAGCAGGCATTTCATGCTTTAAGAAAGCCAGCCGCTATCCATTTTTGCTGTTTGCTGGTTCCTTGATGCGCATCTTGTTTATTCCCATGTACTTGATGTGTAATATTCGCGGACAAGGCGCAAAGATCAACAGTGATTTCTATTATCTGTTTGTTGTACAATTTATGTTTGGTCTCACGAGTGGGTACCTGTGCTCTGCATGCATGATTGGAGCGGCAGCATGGGTCGATGAAGACGAGAGAGAAGCTGCAGGAGGGTTTATGAGCCTCATGCTGGCTGCTGGACTGGCGACTGGAAGTCTATTAAGTTTTCTGGTTGCGAAATTATAAATCCCATTCTTCAATGTTTTAGGGCGTTTTCTTTTACTTATAAATATGGGTTGCATTTCTTGGGGTATCATAGTGCTACATACCTAGATAGATCAGGCATTTTAGGGGGCGTTGAATTCATGAAATATTTAATATATTTGGGCTATCGTGCTGTTTTGGAGTCTGAATCTATCAGGTTAAGGAAACAAAAGCCCCCTAAAGTGTTTTGAAGTAATTCTGAACATTCTGGCCTTTTATTTAATGGAGTTATAAAGCTTTTCACTGGAGCTGCTCTGACATAACCATGTCTGATGGCCAACCCAACAAGCTGAATAATTGTGCGGCGCAACATTTTTGGGGAACAAGACAGGACAAGAGCGGAGTGGAATGCTTGTACATAAGAAATGAAAAGGGGGATAAACCACCGAAATGGGGAATTCATCTAGATACATGGCTTTGGCTGATATATCAATAATACACAAAAGGCCGGTAAGAGAAAAGCAGAATAACACACAAAGTCTATATGCTTAGTCTCATATTGGATATCATGATTCAAATAGTCAAATAAAGTAAACAAAGATTCGTAGGAATCATTTGTCAGACATCCACCAAAAATATCCACTATATACAAGTGAATGAGGAGGCGCTGTCAGGTAGCCAGTGGCAAATCAAGTAGGGTGGGGAGTAGCGGAGGTGGAATATATTATGCAAAGCGTCATAAGGCTTTGACACAGAAGAAGGGCGACGGAGATACATTAAGAGAATTAAGGCCTGACGGCGGTGCCGGCTCTTTCACCGACTTCCTCATCACTCCGTGCAGGCTCCAAAGGCTTTTGTCGATGAGGTTCTTCATCCTCAGCATCAATACCATCATCGTACTCTTCGTCTTCTCCTTCTTGAAGCATTTGCTGTAACTCTTCCGCTTCAGAAGGTGGTCCACGAGCTGTGGATCCCTCGTAGTGTGCTACTGGAGTCATTCCTGACTCCCCACCGGTCATCTGCCATTCCATAAGCTTCATAAATGCACTGTCCTTTTTTGAGCTAAGCTCGTTAAAGGATCCTTGCTCGGCAACTCGGCCGTCGGAATCAAGCACAATGATTATATCAGAGCGTTTAATCGTTGATAATCGATGGGCAATGCTGATTGTGGTGTTACTGTCACGAATTAAAGCTGCCAGAGCGCTATTAACGAGCGTTTCCGACTCCGCATCAAGAGCAGATGTGGCTTCATCGAGGATCAGGATATCAGGGTTCTTAATTAGCGCTCGAGCAATGGCTATACGCTGTTTCTGTCCGCCAGAAAGCTGCGCACCTCGCGCACCTACATTTGTATCCAGGCCATCAGGCTGAATTGCATAGTCAGCACATAGATTGGATAACAAGAGATTGGGTTCCGTCGAGACTTACAAAATCACTGATAAACTGGCAATTGGCCTTTCTTGCAGCGGCAATGACCTCCGCTCTCGTGGCGTCCGGCTTTCCATAAGATATATTCTCAGCTATAGAGCCTGAGAAGAGCACAGGCTCCTGCGGTACCACACCAATCCTCCTTCGGAGCGATTTGGCGTTCATTGTAGCAATGTCTTTGCCACCAATGTAAATCTGGCCTTTGGTTGGATTATAAAACCGGAGCAACAACGCTGCTATCGTCGATTTTCCACCACCCGAAGGACCGACAATTGCTACATTGGCCCCCTGGGGAATTTCGAAATCGAGGTCTTTGAAGATGGTCACAGCAGGGCGAGTGGGGTAGCTGAATGCAAGGTGTTGGAAGCGAATAGGCCCTTGGGCCGACTCAACCTTCGCACCAATCGTAGGTGAAATGGTAGGCGGCCGATCTTGAAGTTCAAATAAACGGCTGGCGGCCCCGACTCCTTTCATCAGCTCCGAGTAAAAGCTAGATAGACCAAACATGCTAGAACCGGCGTAGGCAGTATACATCAGGAACGACGTGAGGTCGCCAATCGAGATTGCTCCTGTTTGGACCATTCCACCACCTACATAAAGTAAAGCAAGAATTGTCATGTTACCCGTCCAGCCAGTCTATACCAATGTTGTTAATCGGGTACTTATTGAAGCTACAGCATAGAAGCACTTACAGAGCTGAAAAACGTTGCACTTATGAATGATTCCCTTTTCCCCAGTTCAAATATGCGTTTGATTTGGCTGTTGTATCGGTGTACTTCTAATCTCTCTCCTGCAAAAGATTGGCTAGTTCGCACATTCCCCAATCGTTCTTCCGCGATTTTGGTGAGCGTGCCTAGATTTTTCTGGATCTTGCGGCTCAAATTCCTGATAGCCCTTCCATAAAAGAAAGCAGCGACGGCGACTGGTGGAAGTAGTAAGGCAAGAATACCAGAGAGCTTGAGGCTGACGTAGGCCATCATGCCAAAACCAGCAGCACCACTTACTGCAGCTCGAAGGCCATCGGAGAGATTTTGCGTGATGCTTTTGCCAACGATGATGGTGTCAGAACTCAATCGCGAAATGAGATCACCGACGCGGTTCGCATCGAAAAACTCGGCGTCCTGGACATAGGTTCTCCGGTACAGCCTGGACCGTAACCTAGCCACAATCCTCTCGCCAACGATGCGTAGAATGACAATTCTTCCATAGCTAGCCATAGCACCAAGGGTAAGCACTCCTCCAAGAGCACCGTAGAACCAAGGGAGGCTCAGCCCGAAAAGCTGTTTCAGTCCGTCTGGGTTTGAACTCGTGGCGATATCTAGGATCTTGCCGATAGAGAATGGAATCGACATGGACACCGACGACGAGATAAGCAGAAGCACAAATGCCACCGAGAGAACCTTGGCTTCCGGTCGAGCAATCTTGATCAGCCGCCAGATCTCCGAAATCCCGGCGCGTTGTCCATGAGCCAGGCCATCCTTCGCCAGCTTCGCGCTGAGATTTATCTGCGCGGCCTGCGAGGCCTTTTCCGAGCGCTCAAATCCTTTGTGTAAATCCTCGTGCGCGATAGCTTCTTCCAGATCCTCTTTCACATGGCTGCCTGGTTTTTGGGGACTATTGTCCTTTCGAAGACTTTGACAATCAGAAAACGAGCGAATAGGCTTTAAATTCGTAGGCCCCGCAATGGAAAGCCCGTGAATAGTTGAATATATGCCGCCGGGGAAGGGATGTTTCGAAAACGCATGGCCTGGAGAGGTCTCCAGCGGAGTTCGGGAGTTTGGAAGGGTGTGCGTAGGACCAGTTGTTAGTGCTCGCTGGGTGATCTGAGGAGGAAGAGCTACAAGGCGGAGGCCATTTAGACGAGAAACTCGATGCAAAGGTATTCGCGAGGGGAGCGTTGCGAGCAGACCGGAGCTGCACATCGCGGAGAGGCGTTCAAGGAACTGCGGCGGCGGCCGCCGCTCGCCCGCTGGTTGATGGGCGATAAGTAATGATTCGAATTGTCAATCGGCATTCGTGTGCTCGGACGGAGCGGTGTTTCAGAGAGACTGGCCCGATGAATTCATGGGTGCAGCCCGGAATTCACGGGCTCGAGTTGGGTTGCATGTCGTTGCTGAGCTATAGTTTCCGGAGAGAATTTTAACCCGCGATGACGATTTAGTAAGTTAGCGACCTTCGCCGGTTGCGGATGGTTCCTCTCAGCTCCCCCACCTCAAGCTCAGTCACGGCGATACCACAATCCCACCACCGGCTCACAGCTTGGAGTACACAGGGAGCGACTTTCCGCTGTACCTGTTGTTTAGGACTGGCTGTCCGTCCCCGTCTACGCACAATTTGCACTTCCGTCCTTTGAGAAGCTCCATAGCCGCCCGCCACCCCTCTTTCAAAAATGGTTCTGGACTACAGCAAGTGGGACTCTCTGGAACTATCTGACGACTCGGACATTGAAGTGCACCCCAATGTCGACAAGCGATCCTTCATCCGGGCCAAGCAGAACCAGATTCACCAGCAGCGGCACCAGCGCCGCCAGGAGATCGCGACACTAAAGTACGAGCGGATCATCAACGACGGGCTTCTGCAACGCATCGATAGCCTCCTGGTTGCCCTCAAGAAGCACAAAGACAGCACGAGGCAGCCTGACGAACTTGTCTTCCAGGCCTTGATCGAGTCTGCCGGCGCGCCCGAACACGACCAGCCCCCCGTCCCGCCAGAAGATGTCTACACGCAGGTCAAGGACACGCCCAAGTTCTCGCAGATGATGGGCTCCTTGGTGGACCAAGTCAAAAAGGAGCTCGATGAGACTACGCCCGCGAACCGGTTCGAGGCCTTCATCCAGGGCGTGGAGGGCCACAGGAAAAAAGTCCTGGATCTACAGCAGGAACTGCTCGTGAAACTGGCGCAGCTCGAGCGGGAAGAAGGCAGCAAGATCACCAGCGACAGCATCCACACGGGATTCAACAGCAGCTTCATCGCGAAGCCCAAAACACCGCTCGCGTCGGCGGAGAAGAAAGACGCCGGCGGCAGCGTGCAGCTCTTGAACCCCGGTGCGATGGCCGGCGGCGAAATCGGCGGCGCCGTGTCGTCGGGCGCGGAGGCCGATGAGGAGCCGGAAGATGATATCAAAGTGACGGCCCTGGCGCGGCAGTTCGCCAAGCTGCCCGTGGGCGACTACCAGGGGTATCTCCGATTCATCATGGACCACCCGGAGGTGGTGGCGGAACGGAAGACGGACGAGCTGTTGATGGAAGCGTTTGACGCGCAGATCGCCGGCCACGAGGACTATGCTCGCCAGTGCGTGCACCAGGGGCTGCTCCTTCAGTACTGTCGCGCGCTGGGTCGCGATGGCGTTTCACTGTTCTTCAAACGGCAAGTTTCCCGGAGAATTCGTTTAAACTAGGTAACGACTACTTGCACAGCTAACATACCAGCTTTGTTTTTTTTTTTCCAGCATCACCACCAAAGACCACCGCGCCAACGCACACTTCCGCGACGACGTCAACGGGACCTACAACCGCATCAAGAACCGCTCTCGCGAGCTGGCCAAATCGTCCGGCGGCGGCGGCGGCGTCGAGCAGATCCAACTGCACGCCGTCGACCCGTCCACGAAGATCCACATCACCATCCCGCCGGCCGACAGCACATCGCCGCAGGACATCGCCGCGCGGGAAATCTTCGACCGTTTCCCGCCGGGCCTCCAGGCGGCGTTGCGGTCGGAGAGCCTGGACGAGGTCAATAGCGTGCTGGGGAAGATGAACGTTGAAGAGGCGGAGGAGGTGGTGGAGAATTTGGGGAATAGTGGGATCCTGACGCTGGAGGAGGGGATTGTCGATGCGACCACGGACGAAGGGAAAAAATGGCTGGAGGAAATGGAAGCGGAAGGTAAGGCGGCGGCGGCGGCTCACAAGAAGGAGGAAGCGATTGGGGATCCTGAATGATGAGCGTGGGACAACATAGTCTGCGCATTTACCTGACAGTCTGTTTCTGGTTCAAAAGTGTGAATATCATTTGATGGAACAAAGTGTGTGTGTGTTTAACAATGTTAATACATATTCTCGATCAAATATTTCCCCATGCTGCAGTCAAGCACCAACTTCCATTTGCTAGTCACAAAAAAAAATTCGAGCGCCATGCTGCTGAGACTGCTCTAATAATGCACCGCCCCCCTTTCCCCCTCCTGTGATGAGTATTAAGAATCCCAACATGCCGTGTCTCAGCCAAGTCACTCTGAGGCAAGATGGCATTTTGTTCCGTGAGTCCCAGAATTAAAAAAAAAACTGCCTCTGTTATATTTTTTTTTTCAAATTATCATGGGCTGTAGCCATTTAGGTAAATATAGCCACGACGCCGGCCTTTTAAGCCTCTCTGGTATCATAAAAAAAAAGCAAAAAAAAAAAAAAAAAAAAAAAAACAAGGAGAGGGTGACAGACACGACGCGTCCGCATGAACGGAGTACCCCACCGCTAACAACACCATTAGGTCATGTATTACATGTGGCTAAGGAGGAATAGGGTCAGAGAGAAAAGGAAAATGGGGACACGGTCAAACTGCCCGACCGGGCTTGGATGGGCTGGTCGCTGATGCAAAACAACGTGCTCAAAAAAAAGGGCCGAGATGTTGTTTTAATAAGGGGGGCCAAGAGGCCAAAAAACGGAGTTTAAAGGGGGATGAACCTTGGCGGTGAGGTGTCCCAATTATTATTAATTCCGAAAATAATGATATGCATATCGGTAATCAAAAACGCTTGGGTATATGGTCCACTTAGGTTATAAGAAGCGCGGGATGGCCGAAGGTGGCAGACTCCACCGATGATGCAGGCGTAGTCGTAGTCGACGGAAGGAAGCAGAGGAAGAGAGGGAGCCGGCTCACTGGCCCTCCATATCGACGATGAATTTCTTAATTGTCGCGCACAATTTCGGCTTGCCCTGCCACGGCTTGAACTGGCCCTCGAGGTCGCAGGCGGTAGCGCCCAAGGCGATCCACAGATGCCGCTCCATGTCGTGGCCGACCTGATTGGCGATGTCCCGGGCGGAGCCCCACATGCGCTGGGGCCGGCGGTCCTTGGACCAGGCCAGACCCTTGTCGCCAAAGACACCGATCGGCTCGAGTTTCGGGAGGTTGGCGTGGCAGGTGAGGAACGACTCGGGCGGCGCGCGCGGCTTGTCGCGCCAGCCGGCGAAGTGGCCCTTGGGCTGCTTGAAGTCCCAGGTCGGGCTGGCCTGCATGATCACGCCGCCTTCCCACTGGCCGTCGTGCTTGCGGTAGCCGAGCACGGCGGGGCCCGTGGAGACGGGGTAGAAAGGGAGGTTGAGGATGCGCGCGGGCGGGATGAATGTTTCCTTGTCGCCCTCGCCCGGGTGGCCCTGGGAGAGGAGGGGGTAGTAGTGCGAAGGGCCGTAGAAATTGTAGTAGGCGGAGAGCAGCAGCATCTTGCCGTGCGACTTCTTGGAGACGAGGAGCTGGCCGGATTCGGTGGAGGCGTAATCGAAGCCGGTGGGGAGGTCTTGGGCGGTGATGTTGAAGAAGGCCGGGTGGTAGGTGACCTGCCAGAAGTCGGGCCAGGTCACCAGGCCGTGCGAGGCGAAGGGCTCGGAGGAGAAGAGCGGGGTGGGATCGCGGATGGGGAAGGCGTCGGCATCGAGAAACAGCACGTCCTCGAAGGAGGAGAAGAGCAGGGCAAAGATCTTGAACTGGTACTTCTTCAGGCCGGCGGCCAGGGGCGAGTAGGCCAGGATATCGGACAGGGTGATGCACCTCGCATTCAGGGTCGGGAGCAGGGAGTCGCAGATGTAGGCATCATGCTCGCTGGGGTCGGCGATGAAGATCTCCAGCGGCAAGGTCGAGCCGGTCTGGCGCAGCATATGCAGGGAGGTGACGACGACGGGGAGAAAGGAGCCGCCGGCGGTGGTGACGATGCCCTTGGAGCGAGGGTGATAGGCCAGCTTGGGGCTGGAGGGGGCGGACAGCAAGGTCATCAGGCGCTCGTGGGCGTTGGTCAGCTTCTCGAGATCCTCTTTGTCGACGACGATATGCTGCGGCAGGGTGACGTTGCTGGTGGCGTCGGGGCGGAAGCCGATGGCCTTGGGGTGGTCCTCGATCCTCCTGGGCGACTTGCAGTCGGGGGCGGCGGCCTTGAGGATGCGGTGGAAGTGCAGCCAGAAGTGGCCATGGCTGTCGATGGACGGGGCGCTGGACCGGCCGAGGTACTGGGGCGCGAAGCCGTGGCGGAGGGTGAAGAACAGCAGGGCCACAGCGGCCAGGAGGGCAAGACTGCGGCGGAAGAACCGCGGGCTCTGGCCCATGGCGGCCAGGGTCACGAAGGGCAGCCGGGCTCAGCAGCGCGGGAGAGGGAGAGCGCACATCCGACGGCGGGCGCCGAGTAAGAACAGTGGAAAGGAAGAAGAGGGAGAAAGAGAAAGGAAGACGAGAGAGGGAGAGGGAGAGAGAGAGAGAGTGCGAGGCTGAGAGAGAGAGAGAGAAAGAAAGAGAGAGCTGAGAGGGCAGAGCTTGGGATGAGCCACGGGCGAGAGTATAGCGCGGGAGTCGGCGAGACGGCTAGGCGGCCGCCGCGGCGCTGGGAAGGTGGCTTGCAGGCGGACGAGACTCACGAGAGTACTCGGTACTGTTGATCGCTCGCACCACGGCCAGCCGGGAGCGGCCCAGAGCCATCCTGGGCATTCAGCGCGCGTGTCTGCGGACAGCCGCCGTCCGCCGCAAGCACGCCGCGGGTGCTAACAACGGCGAAGGCGAAGATGAAGACGAGGAGGTCGTGAGGTCGCTTCCCAACTCGCAGCCAAGGAGTCTAAAGCGAGGCTTGTTTCTGTCGCTTGGCCTGCCGGTCCCCACCCGCGCCCCTGCGAAGGAACAGAAGCTCGGTCCTCTGAATCATCAGGAATTCGTAGTAGTAGAGTCCTGGTATCAATATTAACTCGGAGGACGCCCCCCCGACACTCCTGTTCTCATATAACAAACATCGCCCAAACCCAGCCGAGCACGGCGGGCGTCGCTGTTCTCTCGGCGGCGTAGATCGCCGGTCTGTTGCACGCCGCATCCTACCGCCAGCGAAGGATGCTGCCGTGTTCCGAAGACGAAGCCGGCAACCCCATCGCTATTAATGATTACCCTGATCTGCGCTGCTCCTCAGTCCTCGCCGCATCCTCGAGCCAAGCGCCGCGCTTCCTCGCCGGCTCGTCGCACCCGCACGCCCGGCCCCCGATGCTGCGTCCACGACGGCCCAGGCTTGCAGGGACTGAGCGTCAGTCAATGAACTACCCCTTCGAAGTCTGTACACACGCCGGCCACGCCTGCGCCTCGCCCGCCATGCTTTGCGCCGCGTCGTGCCCGGCTGGCCTGGAGCCCCGCTAGAGGGTTTCAACTGGCGCTGATCCCGCCTTTCTCTCTCTCTCTCTCTCTGTCTCTCCCCTTGCGCGCGGCGCGGCTTGCGAGCCTTATCGCCCGCCAACTTTTCGGGCATTTTCTGCGCCTCAGTCTCTCCCCTGAATTCATCCACCTTGCTAGTTCTCTCTCTGTCTGTCTGTCTTTCTTTCTTTCCTCTCCCCCTCCATCCCTCCTTGTCTTTCTTTCTTTCTTTCTTTCTTCCTTTCTTTCTCTCTTCCTTTCTTTCTGTCTGTCTCTCTGTCTGTCGGGCACTCTCGCTTGTGCTTCCGCCTTCGTTTCGCCGCCTGCGCTCGAGCTGGCCTCAGCCTTCGTCCGTCGTCTGCGTTCGCTTGTGCTGGCAATTGGACCGTGGCAGATGCCCGCCGGCTCAGCCAGTCACCTAACTCGCTAGGTAACTGCCCGAGCTCTCGCCTGCGACCGACGTAGATGATCCACCCGCAGTAGTCCGCACGCCGCGCACACAGAGCAGATTTGGCCAGCCATGCCTCCCCGGCGACGGGACGACAACTGGGTCGATGTACGCTGAACTCTTCTCCCCTTGCCGTCGTGTTTGTGTATGTGCAATAACATAATAGCTAACCGCCGCAGGGCGTGCGTGGTGTGGCGTCCCTGATCGTGGTCACGGGCCACCTGTGCTCATCCTTCGCGCCGTATCTCCAGAATCCCGCGCTCGCTGAGAACGGCCCGATCGGCTTCTGGCAGCTGCCATTCCTGCGCCTGGCCATGGGCGGCCGCGGCGCCGTCGCCCTCTTCTTCGTCATCACCGGCTTCGTCAACTCGCTGTCCACCGTCAAGAGCGCCCGCGCCGCCAACACCCACGCCGCCCTCACCGGCCTCGCCCGCAGCTCCTTCACGCGCTCCGGCCGCCTCGTGCTGCCCACCAGCTCCGCCACCGTCATCGCTTGGTTCCTCACCCAGATCGGCGCCTTTCAGCTGGCCAAGCGCGTCGATGCCGGCTGGATCCGCAATGTCGGCCATGACCCGGACCCCTTCGCCGTGTCCTTGCTGAAGCTGCTGCGCTCCGTGACCATCTACTGGAGCTCCGGCGGCGGCGAGTACGACGCCACGCACTGGCCGCTGCCGTTTTTCCTGCACGGCTCGTTCCGCATCTACGTCGCGCTGCTGGCCATGATTCTGGTGGCCCCGCGCTATTGGTGGCTGATTACGTCGTTTTTATATGTATTCTCCTGGGTTTCCAGTGACTGTGAGTGTTAAAACTTGCGCCGCAAGCTTGGTTCCTGTCCCTGTGCTACCATACTTCGCGGCAAGTATGCGACCGGAAGCTAATCCCTGCACCATAAAACAGACCTCATTGGTACCAACATATTCGCCGGGATGCTGATCGCCCAGCTGCACGTCGACTACGGCTCGCGTGCCACCAGCATGCTACCAAAAATTGTCCCCAGCATCCTCATAATTCTAGGCCTCTTCCTCTGGTGCATTCCGCAGGACAACCCGCACTGGGCGCTCTGGTCCAGGATCATGCAAAACTGCTTCGCCGCCATCACGCCCCGCGGCTCCGAAACCAACAAGTACTGCTCCTCGGTCGGCGTCACGCTGCTGATGCTGGGCATCTTCTTCTCCAAGAACGCGCGGAAACTGCTCACCACGCCCTTTTTCAACTTCCTCGGCCGCGTCTCCTACCCGGTGTACCTGCTGCACAACTCCCTCATCCGCACCATCCTCGTCTGGATGATCTACGGGCCCAACGCCGCCAAGACCCCCCTCCGCGACGACAAGGGCAAGCTCGTCGAGGTCAAGCGCGCCGGTCCCCTGGCCTTCGTCTTCGCCATCCCCACCTTCTACGCCGTCTTGTACATGGTCTCGTGGCTGTGGACCAAGCACGTCGACCCCGCCTGCGCCTCCGTGGTCGACTGGATGAAGGACCTGATGTTCCTGGAGGAAGAGAAGCAGCCCCAGGAGAAACCTCTCCCTTTGACCCAAGTGACGTAGAACCACCCCCCCCCCCCCCCCCCCCCCCCCCCCAATGTTGCCGACAACAAACCGAAGAGCTCTTTGTTCTCGGCCAAACGCTTGGTTTTTCTTTTGGAAACGCCTGCAGCTCCGAGCCTGCCTCCCCCACCTTGGAGCCTCGAAATAGACCCCTCGAGGCGAGGCGATTTAGGCCCGTAGCTTCTATCTCAAGAATATATATATAATATGACTGGTGATACTCGAAAATACGTGATTATTTGCATATACTCCGCCCATGGCCACCTTTTTTTGTATATTCTCTTTCGCGCGTGTATCTATCTTCGACACCCCATATGCTCAGTGATATCCTCTTTTTGATACCCTCTCGAGCTATACATACATACCATCTCAAACTCACTTGCTCTCTCTCTTCATTTATCCCTTCATTGTATTTTTTTTTTCTTTCTTTACTCTTTGGAGTCACGGTTTTTTTTTTTTTTTTTTTTTTTTTTTTGTGGGTGATGCATCTCTTCTAGGTCGGTTTGTTTACCATATTCTGCTTTGCTCCTTTGTTATGTATGGGACGACAGCTAAAAGGAAACCCTTTTCCCAAAGTAAATAATTTGGCTATATCTCCAGGGGCGGGCTACGTTTGATATACTATATGCTTCTCTGAAGGCGCAACGTGCAACTTGGAAATCGTCTTTTTTTAGCTACCTGTTTTGCAAAGCAAGCAATGGGAATGGAATTTCTAGAGTACACAAAACGAATTAAAACCACGATACCCCGGCTTGCCCCCATCACCGAACGAAGTATACCCGACGTAGCAAAAAAAAAGAAAAAAACAGCGTATACAACCCCCTCTCCCTCTCTTCAAAGCCCGCTCACCCCAGGGGCACTCTGGTCCTTCTTCAGGTCCATCAGCAACTCTCTAAAGCGCTCCTTGCCCGACCCGCTCGCGCCGCCCTTGATGCCCTTGCCGCTGACATCGACGAGCTTGGCGATGCGCTCCCAGCTGGTGCCGCCGGCGGCGGTGTCTTCGCGGTTGGCGAGGAATTCCTCCGCGTCGGCGCGCGTGCGCTCCTTGGCTTTGTCGGCGCGCTTGTTGTAGGATTCGTAGTAGTCGTCGATGTCCTCCTGCGCCTTTTTGATGGTGGCCGCCTTGCGTTCCGAGGAGATGGCGGCGCGCCGGGAGAGCTCTTCGTCGCGCTTCGTGCGCCATTCGCTGTGGTGGGGAATGTGGGTGTTAATCGCTAGGTGACAAACTCGCCAGTATAAAAGAAAAAGAAACTGTGGTGTAATAAATATGGCTCTTACCGGACAGCTTCCGACTCCTCCTCAGGTTCCTGATACGTCGAGAAAGAACGCTGGAAGGTGTCTGCGCCAGTGATTGTCCCGCCGGGAGCGACTTGCTAGAAACGCGATGCCCATCAGCAAAGGGGTAAGCGCTGCGACAGACAGGCCCATATACGCACCTCGTTTTGCGATTCTAAAGCTGGAAACGACGACTCAAAGCCTGCCGTCTCCTCATCCATTCCCTGATGCTGCTCGCCGGCGCCTAGGAGGTCGTCTTCGGCATCTGCTACCGTGGGGGTTTTCATATGATCATTGGCGGAGATGAACTGGTCGGCATCGTCCCCCAATGCAGCTCGCTCTCGAGCCAGGAAATCATCGCTATCCGCGGCCGGCGTGCTGGTTGTTGGTGCAGGCTGGTCTATGGGTCGAGGTATGTTAGAGATATCTCAGCCAGAGCGAGTGAAGCAGGGCGGGGCTGTCATACCCCCTAATTCGTCCAACGATGGGAATCGATCTGCCATATTGAGGTATTTAAAAGGATGGGCGAAGAGGGATACAATAATGTGGCCTGAATAGGAGGAACAACAACTCCTCTAGCCAGGGTTCTATGTGGGTGTGAAGACCAATGGCACCCTAGATGTAGTTTCGAAAGAGAAATGCTTAGAAGTGGAGTGTAGGCCTGACAAAGAGGCGTTGATGATGTTTCATTGAATGTATGTGAGGTGAATGGCTAAGTACCAACAGGGCACAACATCGACCAGCAGGCAAACTGGAATGGACAGCCCAACGTTTCTGCCAGCCACCCCCAAGGCGGTGACGACAACCCATCCCAAACATCGTTTGGTTTGGCTCCAACATGCAAGCTCCATCTCCTTCACTTCTCTAACGCTTGACATTTCTGCTCAACTTTATTTACTTCTTTTTCCCCCCCCCTTATTGCATTTTGTAGATGGCTGAGAGAAGTCATTGTCTCTGACAGGACCTCTTGTCTCATTCCCGCTCAGTTTGCAGGCATCACATTTCAAGCTTCCAATTCACAGCTCTCTGAACATACCCTTCACTTGGTGTTAGACTTGTAGTGTCGCAGCAATGTCCTATACAGATGATGCTGTCAAAGCAAAGCTCTCGGCGCTTAACGAGACGCAAGAATCCATTGTAACCGTTGCACAATGGGTGATGTTTCATAGGTAACAACGCGTTTACCAAGAAGCTGTATCCGCTGCTGATCAGCTTGCTGCCTGTAGGAGACATGCAGACCGCACCGCACAGCTCTGGCTGGAAAAGTTACGCGATGCAAATTCTGCCAAACGGCTCAATTTGATATATCTTGCAAATGGTTTGTTTACCACCCTTCGTCCGGATTCGGATTTAATGACCTGACATATATATGTTATAGAAGTTGCACAGCAATCCAAAGCAAGAAGAAAAGAAGACTTTTTGATCGCTTTTTCTCCGGTTGGTGCTTACTCTATCGCCCGGTTTGCTGATGTTTCGAAGATGCTGACTAGATGACATAGATCATTGCCGATGCCACGGCCACTGCCTTCAAAGGTGCATCAAACGATATCCAGCAGAAATTGCGACGCGTCGTGGAAGTGTGGAGGCAAAGACGCATCTTCGAAATGCCAATCCAGGAAGCTGTCGAGGCTCGAGTAGATGGTATGTTATAGAATCAACAAGATGATATTTGCCAGCTATATTTACTGACTTATCTGTTTTTTTAGACGTTGATAGATCCCGGTCCTCCGGGAAAAAACAACTACTCGGCGGCTCCCTGTTCTCAACCTCTAGCGGTTCCCTTCCCCCCGAATTACAACCATTAGCTCCTCTGCAGCTTGCTGTTTCAAAAGCGGCCATGTCCTCGAGTACTGCAGTATCGAATGCAAACTCAGAATACGAGAAAATGAATGAGCCTACGGCTACAATTCCAACGCCGCCAGTGCACGCTGCCCGATTAAGCCAGCTTCTAAAATCTCTCGCCAGTGCCGAAAGCTCTGTTTCTGAAATAATCAAGTCCCGCCAAAGTCTTATTGAAGGCCTCGAAAAGCTACTAGATACAAATCGTGCAGCATTTACTGCAGAGAAGGCTCAATTTGAAAGCATATTTGCGCGTAAAACCGAGACTGAGAACAAGAAACGAGAGGTCGAAGACGCCATCATGCGGAATCTTGCTGCAGAAAGCCCTCAGGGCGATGGTGATATGAACTGGATGGGCCCCGGTGCGGGCAATGGAGACCACGAACTCGAAGCTCCCGCCGTGGAAGAATTGACCCCGCCGCCAGTGGAAGCCCTCACACCTGTAGGATCACCAAAACTAAACCCAACCCTCAATCCTGGAATTCCTACCAGCGAAAGTCTACCTATTGGTGGCCTTAGCCATGATAAGAGCGTTGACTTACCTTTTCCAAGTGCTCACCCTCCCACGGAGCTCCACCAAGCTGAGAGTAGCTCCAGCTCCAAGAAACGCAAGGTGACACATGAGATGGACGAGTTCGCGGCGACTTTTGAAGGGGATGCGATGGCAGATCTGGACGCTGATGTGGCAGAGCTGCTGCGGCAGGAGAGCAATAAATATTAAGGCGGCTGGCTAAATGCAAGTTCGATTCTGGTGTTGTGTATTTTTCCTATACGAGTTATGGACCTCCTTCGGGATGGACTTTGGCGCTATCTCCTCTTTGTGTTTGTATCCTCGATGATTCCATACGGCCCGTTGTAGTAGCGTGCTGAAATTCTTTTTATAAAGGAAATAATGCCTCGGTGAAAACAGTTGATTTGATACAGGGATCAATCCCGAAACTATGCCCTTCGATCTGTACTCAATAGGGTCCACTATGCTCCTACAGAGACTTCCGTGAAAATTGTAATATAATATTTTCATCATTATTTGTCATAGGCCGGTACGGCGACTATTAAATTCTATATATTGGCGGGTTGTCCCAACTGCTACGCAGCAAACTACGTAGAGCATCGTCGTCCGAAACCGTCCCGACCGGGGGATACACTACCCTTCTCCCTTGGAATCGAGAGCCTACACGCGCCGGCGGACGGGCTTCTATTTTTTGGATATCGCCAGAGGAAGTCTGAGGTGGAGGTTTCGGGGGTGCTGAGTCGTAGCGTTTCGGCTTGACGAGGAGCAAGACGAGCATGCCAACGATTAACAAGAAGAGTAAAAGGAGGATTTTGCGCTTTGTGGTGCGCCGTTGGTAGCCAGTTGCCTGGAGAAAGATCAGTAAGAAGTATCTACTTAAGAAAGTCGAGAGATATGCGGTGATAGATTAATACATACCACCGTTAGCTCCTTATCGGCGGCTTTAACGTCGACGTTCATGCGTTCCACGTTGTAGTCTATCCGATCCAGCATCGTGCCCTGGTCAATAATCATGGTTTGTAGGTCCCGGAATATATCTGACAGCTCGATTATTCCTTTCGCAATGTCGTTTATTTCTCGTTCTCGTTGGACGATCGCGGCGTCATTGGCGTTACGGCCGAGCTGACGCTGCTGTTGGGAGGTTTGGAGGAGGGTGGACTGGGAGTATGATTTGTCGGCATCGGATTCGAGGAGGGAAGGGTCTGTGTAGGGGTTTTGGTGCAGGATTGGGGTTGGTGAGCGGTCGATCGGCGAGGATAGACCGTCTAGACTGCGAAGTTCTGAAATGGGTTAGGAACACAGCGGCTTTCATGGGGAGGGTTGGGCGTAGTACTTTTTAAATAAGTGCTTTGTTTCTTCCTGAATCCAGCACTTGCTTCCTGTACCTTTGCAGCCAGCGAGATCTGGAGATTCCGTGCCATCGTCTCTTCTCCCCGGTTCTCCTGGTCTGGCTGCCGCGCGTCTCGAACCATCACATCTATCTTCTGGATATTGCGCTGGCAGTCATGAAACGCCCTTGTGATCTCCTGGGTCAATCGCTCGATTACGCTTTCCTCCTCCTGCCGCACATCTTCGTCGCCAAAACTTGGTAGTACATGCTTCTGATGTAATTTGTCGAGCTGGGCGGATTTCTGTCCGATACCACGTAGTAAATCCAGCACCTCGTCTTGCACGTCTAGCCACCGCGGAGGCAAAAGATCCATCTCTATTATTGCATCGCCATCGTCATCGAAGCCGGCGCCTCCGGACATGAGCCCCCGGCGCTCCTCGGAGGTGTCATCGGTCCATGAGCCCCCGAGGTGCCTGGGTTTTTTCGCAGGATGATGCGCAAAGGACTGGCGGTAAGAGATGTATCTATAGAAACCGGAAAGTCAGCGAAAATATTCCGTTAGACGAGCGGACGTAATGGAGGCTCACAGGTTCGTTCGATCCCGCCACATGTTCTGTTCAGGTCCTAGAACGATCGCAGGGGAATGCTTATCAGGCAGCAGATATCACGACGGGGGCCAGCTCATGGTCGAGTAAACGCAAAATGGCTCTTGCTGGCGAGAGGTTCTGCGGACGCTCGATGACGACAACCGTAGCGTAGGACGTGTGTTGGATGTTGGGGCTGCCTTGGGGTTGGCATTTGGGGAGGATCGCGAGCCCCAGCCGATCCCCGAATTAAGCCCATTTCGACCGGGGAGCCGCCTAAACACTCAGAGGCTCTCAGGCTCTCGGGCTCCCAGGCCACCAGCTGGCTGGCTAACGAGTTGCCAGGCTCCTACGATGGAGCGGCCGTCACTGTCGGTGATCCGTGCAGTGCGCCTCTCTCGACCACGGCTTCATCTGCCGCGTGCTAGTCAACTAACTAACTAGCTATTCAGAGTCGGCAACTCACCGGCTACATAACTACCTAACGAATTTGCCGATACCATGTCGAGCGCCTACTAACAAACTCCTATGCTCCCAAGAACCCAGGCCCAGACTGTAGTTCGTCAATCAAGTAACCAGGCCAATATAAAAACCTCTCACCGCGTGCCATGATAACCCAAATGATCTCCCCCCCCCCGCCCACGCGAACAGAGCACCGGGCCAATATCGCGATAAATCTCTCCGCTGCCAATCCATGCCCAGCTGAGCAGGCCGTTCCAAGCGATGGGGGCCATGTTCGAGCAGACGTTGCAGAGCCTTGGGCCGGAGTGGGTTTGAGAGTGCCATTGCGTAAGCGCTGAAGGCCAGGCTGTCAGCTGCGGCGCAGGCATCGCGAAGCTGCACAACGATGGGCGGGTGATGGATGTACCTACGTAGCTAGCTGCTGCTTGCTTGACAGCTAGCACCGCGCCGTGCCAGATGCGCCAGCAAGGCCCCCAGGGCGCCTTGGCCAGCCGAGCCAGGGTGCAAGCCGGCATCGCCCACGCCCAGCACCGTCGCTGGCAAGCTGCCTGGAGCGCCCTAAGCCCCAAGAAAGTTCGCCTCTGCCGACCCAGAAGGCTTAAAGCGAACTCCTAATCCACCATCTCCCTCTTTCTCGCCTTTGCAGTCAACAAACAAGCCCGTTTGCTCTCCCAGATCATCGCGCTCTTGCTGTCTCGTTCGTATCGCTATATACCCTCCCCGTCTTTGCTTAATCCGTATACTCCTGTGCCCGCTTCATAGGCTTTCAAGATGGTGTGTTGCGTCGACTCCAGCCTCGTGCCCCTCATTTCTCTCCCAGTGCCACTGAACCTCGCGACTCCCGAGTCCACGCTGACAAGCTAATCACTGTCGATTAGGCTGATTCATTGACTGAAGAGCAAGTTTCTGAGTACAAGGAAGCCTTCTCCTTGTTTGTAAGTTTGGCCCACGCCCACCCCTGCGGGGTAATCACTACGTGGGCTGTTGACTGATTATAATTGCTATATAGGACAAAGATGGCGATGGTTAGTGGAAGCACACTTCTATTTCACGGCCCAGTGTTCTTGCTGCTCGCAAGTACCGCGATTCGAATGCTGATTCCCAGAACTTGTATAGGCCAGATCACGACCAAAGAACTGGGAACAGTAATGCGCTCCCTTGGCCAGAACCCATCCGAATCTGAACTGCAGGATATGATCAATGAGGTTGATGCCGATAACAATGGAACCATTGACTTCCCAGGTATACGGCTCCCATTCGACCATTCAAGCTTGAGTTGGTTTTTAGGGGAAGCAACTGTGTCTAACATTTACCTCTTTGCGCAGAATTCCTTACCATGATGGCGCGAAAAATGAAAGATACTGATTCAGAGGAGGAGATCAGAGAAGCGTTTAAGGTCTTTGATCGAGACAACAACGGCTTCATCTCTGCCGCCGAACTCCGTCACGTGATGACCTCGATTGGCGAGAAATTAACGGACGATGAGGTGGATGAGATGATCCGCGAGGCAGACCAGGATGGGGATGGAAGAATCGACTGTATGTGATCTGTCGATTTGTGACACACGTTAAAAACTCAAACACCCTTCGCTAACTTCACAACTTCCCAGATAATGAATTTGTGCAGCTCATGATGCAGAAATAGGTTTAATATGCAGGCCAAGAACTTTTTAAAACAAACCCAACATCCCCCCCGTTTGGAGCAGCGAATCTAATCTGCCGTGTTGATTCTTTTCCTCATGTCCACTTGCTTTCCGCACTCGAGCCTTTCATCTAGCGCTGTCGAAGCGCTACTTGTATGCCCACGCGGTACCTGAAGAAGGCTAGAAGGCGCGAGGGTGTTGCTGGCTTTCCCTCTCACGGCCCTGACAATTATGACTATGTTATTTTGAGCTATACGAATATAATTTCGTGGATGAAATAAGACCTCTTATGTGTAGTGGTTGTTTTAGTTTACTGTGTTACTTTCTCCCAGCAGCGGCTTCGACATTTCATTTATCGTAGTTGAGAATCAGCACCTAAATGGCCACCCGGTACCTGGCGGGAACGTACCCTGGAAGGACATATCGCTTCCTGGGGCCGCATGTTGGATATGGTCGTAGTCCACCAAAAACGTGTTATCAACACGCTTGGATACAGAACCGCCCTTGGAGAACGATTCGTGTTGAAGAACAATGGCTTCCTGTCCTTTCTGGGCGACGTCAGCTCCTAAGAATGGAGGTCTATAACCATCATTATATTTCACCGATTTAACCGCAAGACCTCCATATATTGCCTCGCCAAATCCGCACCGGCGATTCCGTCATTAGACGCCCCCGCATCCCCCGCGGTTAGCCTTTTCACTCCATTCTGTTTCGCCCGCTTCGCCTCCGTCATCAGTCCTGGAACACGAATCGCCTCCCTCGCACCATCAACCGCAAAGAGTTTCCAAAATTGCCGAATTATTTTCTCTCCCGTCTCCCAGTCCTCCTCCGTGACCAAATCTTCCTCCACGGTGGCATCTGAGAACCCAGGCCACCCATCCCCAACCAGCGAGGCCGTTTCAGCGTCACCGTTTGCTAGCGCAAGTAAGCCTTTATTGTCGCGGTATTCAATTTCAATGACACACCCTCGAGTGCGCTTGAGAGGCTGAATTTGCTGAACATCTCCCAGCCGCACACGAAACTCCCCTGCATCGTAGACTATGCCAGCTGCAACAACCATGGTATGTCGAAGACTCCAAAGAGGTTCGCAGATGCGCAACGTCATCGTAAAGAAGGATTGAAACGACTCTGTATCAATCGTCATCATGGTCCATGACGATGACGACTGCGATACTTTCGAGGAATGTTCTCCCGAGCCATGCTTTTCAGCGGTTGCCCGTGGATTTATATTTAATTGTTGTGCTGTTGAAATAGAGCTACCTGTAGATGTGGGATGATGTTTGGCCGGCGCCCATGGGTCTGGATCAGGTCGATCTGAGATATTCACAAACGAGTGAGAGGGAAAATGGCTTAAGGTGAGAAAATGCATAAATCGGGGCTGTAGTTGGGGGAGTGGGGAGTATGATGAAGGGGGGAGGCAGGAAGGAGTATCTCTCAGGAGCTTATGCTCAAGTACCCATCGGTCAATGGGTGTGGCGTTACATGTTGAACGAAGTCTTTCCATCACTGTGGCCAGCGCTGTAGGCGAGCCTGGGTTTGATGGGATGAAATATACTCTATACGAGCATTAGGAGAGCCCCGTGGAAGTGCAATAGATGAACGCACCCAGTGATTGGCATCTTGAACTGCACTGGCACCCAGTCACTACCGGGGCGCGATGGAGCTTGTATTCTTGATAGGGCGAGTTAATATCCTCGTTATTCAAATTCGTTTCGATGTAAAGGAGCATTCGAATGGAGTACTATTGGTACAAATGGGCTAATATTCCACTTGTCTCCAGTGATCACAATTCGAACTCGAGATTATTGACAATCTTCCTATTGACGATCTTCCTCCCATAAATCGTCTTGATATCAGTAACTCGAATTTTTCGAACTAAGTTTGCAATAATGATCAATATCAGAATATTGGTATAGTGTCTGTCCTCTGTAAAATTATCGCGGGCACACAATTGATCAGTCAATGAGATATAAGGAGTACTCTGTACGCCTTACGCAGTACCTTAAGGTGGTGTTAAGGAGAGGAAGAAGGGGAGTACTCTGTACGGAGTACAAATTTACGGGCTACTAACTACGGGGTACTTTAGGTACCTTCTTCTGCAAATGTGGAGCCAATATCATGCTACCTAGTTTGGCCTAGCTCCTTGGCAATAGAGTATCGGCCTCCTCCAACCAGAAACTGAGGCAACCTCCAGCTGTTCCTCAAAATTGGATGTTAGCTACCTAGCTACCTCGTTAGGTAACTAACCTAACGCAGCTTCCAGCCTTGATTAAGGTACCTTACCTAGTAAACTAGACACTCCGCACCTCCATCTTACCTGTCAATTTAGAGAGCTTGGCCCAAAGCATTGGAACTCCTAGTGTTCTATATAACATAAATGATCCTGATGTTCCATGCAAACTTCCTATATATCACCCTCACTTACCCTCTCCCATTGCAAACTTTAGAGAAAACTAGTTAATATTGCTTATCGACCATTAAAACGGAAGATGATGGCATTACAAGGTTTGCTCATATAAAGCCTTACCATCCATCAAGACGATGCTAACATAAATTTCGGCCTTTTATGTTAGAATTGAAAACTATCATTCTTCACACTTGGTTTAGAATAGCCCGGTCAATCTTTGGATCTATGGGTCCAACTGTTGTCAGGGTTAGTTGGAAACGTGTAATTAAGGGGCCCTGTGAACCCGCAGAACTTGAAGCACTTCTCTACGTTTCAGAACACACCACTATTCCGGTTCCTCGAGTTCGATGTACATACAATAGGCCAGAAGGCATCTATATTTTGATGGATCACATTCAAGGCACAGATCTTCAAACTTTATGGATGCGAGGCCTGGTGAAGCCGAAGGAAAAGGAAGCTATTATCAACGATATCGCGGCTATCTTAATTCAGCTTAGATCGCTACATCCTCCCAAAGAAGGAATTGTTGCATCTGCGCAGGGCGGTCCTATTCTTGATTATCGCATCGGTAGTCATCCAGTTGGACCATTTGAGTCGCATCTCAGTTTCCACTCTTTCTTACGGGGCGGCGTTACCCTGGAAAACACAGCAAGGATTTTCGGTGATGAAATTGCATCCTGTCATAGCAGCAATTATCGAACTTTTTTTTCACATTCAGATCTAGCTCCGCGGAATATTATCATACACCATGGCAGGATCGTGGGAGTTGTGGACTGGGCACTTGCAGGATGGTACCCAGAGTATTGGGATCTAACAAAGGCATATTATAGTTCGTTTAAGACACCAGACTGGCCGGAGAACATCAAACTGAAACTTCCATCGTACGCGAACGAGCTCATCGCCGAACGCCTTCTTTGGAGGTTGTATGACGAACCAGGGAATGTTTCACACTACAAGTTTGTGCTTTTATAGTCACGCACATTCCTTGGGCTAGGTTTGGCGAAGCACTGGTTGGCATAGTCCAATTTCCAAGCCTTGAATTCTTCGATGTCAAATTTCGGTATCACCAAGGCATTTTACAGGGTGGGTATGGCTCTCCAGACCCGATAGCGACATCTTTCACCCAAATTTTTGTCTGGCAGAGCAACACCACTGGAGTTGTTCTCATGTTGCTCTGCCAGAGACCTTTCCCAATCAAGATCCGACCAATTAGCCGCCCACTTTCCAAGGGATCCAAATTAGCCCTATGCCTAAAGTGCCATTCTCTTGCCAGATTCAGACCTTATTCAATCTAACATCATCTGAAAACATCATACGCTGTATTGCCACGACCACTGGAGTTTTTAGGTGCTAACAAAACTCCCGCGGTATGCACCATATGTGTTACGTATTATTTCCTCTTGGAGAGACATTTCATCTCGGTGATGAATTGATACTATTGATATGAAGGGCGCAGAGCTCTCGCTGCACAATAGACTGATAAAGCAGAATTTACGGAGTACTCCATACCTAAAGTTTAACCCAGTTTTGAGCCAATCAAAATAGTAAGATCTTGTGACTATGAACCCCCTCAGAACCGGGACAAAGAACGACAGACGGGTATGTTTAGCTACATCTAATGTTGAGAACGCTATACGGAGTACTTGCTAATTATCGAGAGGCTGAAAACCCTTCAGAAGAGCATCTCAATCTTACTACCATCATACGACTAGACATCACTTACGTCCTGGCTGCTGATCGACGCGTGTCTCTGATCTAGTCATGAACACTACGCGTTGTTTCTCGCGAATTTTCTCACCGAACCCACATCAGCACAGATTTCCTTGTCCCATGCCGTGTCCTCGCTAGCCGAGGTGTTTCAAGACATCCGCTTGGGCTTGTTTGCTGCTATCATGACGGTATTATTATTCATATCGAAGTTGGAAAACCCAACTTGTGGAACGGCCATAGCTTCGCGCATCCAAGCCAACTGGATCCAAACCACAGGCAGTAACAGTGTCCCATATGCCCTAGGCTCGAAAGCTACCGAACTTCGGGATTGAAGTTCTGCCGCCAGCATGAGCTGGAAACTTCCTTTATGCAGAATGGAAGTTGGCTAAGGTGTAAGCCATACAGAGTACTTCAAAATCAACAAACCACCTGTGATAGCCCAGAAATGAATGCCTTTCCTCCTACAATATCCTCAAGGGCTGTTATACAGATTATTTTTCTCACAGTATTGTGGTTCATCATTTGTGCACTTACCGTCCATTTAAGTTTTAAGTGGCTATTGCCAACAGTTTTGTTGTTATCCTAAGCAGCATAATGTATCTGCTGGCCTAGGAGAATGCAGAGGGCCATGATTGGCGTCTCAATCAGTCAAGTTCACAACAATGGAAGTTCCGACACATTTCAGATGCAAGCCGACAATTTGGCAATAGGACATGGGAGAATGTGGTAGTACCATAAGAATCGGCGCCAGGTGCCATGCGGTATTATTTTTATATCACAGGGGCATGCACTGAACATCTGGTAATACACAAGAAAAAAGCCGCATTATCACAGACCTAGTTGATAGTTTGTCTATGATAAATAGACCCAGAATTTCTGCCGACTCAATCTATTTTCATGCAAGACTGTCATCTGCATACTAAAAGCAGCAAAATGAGGCCTTCTAAACTCGGTTTCCCGAACGCCCTTAAGCTTTTGCTACTTGGATTGACGGTGCAATTCGCTCTTGGCGATGGCAGCTTCACCCTCAAAATCAGCGACTGCGCCCCAGAAGAAGAAGCCCTTGTATCGAAGGCAGTCGATAGCATGAAACTGGCTGTGCGTGATTCGTTGGTTGCCAGTCATATACCTACTGACACCCATAATAAAATAGGCTTCGGTTGCAGAGGACCGCACTGGAAAACTGCTAGATGTTCTGAAGAGGAACCCGGGTCCAAACGATATTATCAAAGGCTCTGATCTCTCGACACTGATGTTCTTTGAAACTGTGTTTGGAGAGTGTGCAGGACCTGAGAGGGTAGAGGATATTCATAGTAAGCAACCTGTTTAGATCACCCAAATTTTCAGCTACTGATTCTGAATAGAAAGAATTGAAACATTCCGCAATTTTCTAAATAACCCCAAATATAAGGTCAATATCGTATGTCGAGAGGGATTCCTGAAACAGGAAGAAGGCCGTAAGTTTAATTAATGCACGAGAGCTAATATCCCTAATATCCCAGCTATCTTTGCATGCAAATCATATGCACTCGTGGATTGCTGATTATCATTTTCACCTAGTTGACCTCGATACCGAAGTTATGGACATGCGCCCTGCAGAGTGGGGTGGACGTACCTTGAACTTTGTCGAAGACAAGTCAGAGCTTTTCCCATGTAAAAATCCAGAGGCACAAGCCTGGTCCTCAACAAAATATGACATGTTACCGGAGCTCGTCGACCTTACCGTTCTTTGTGATCAAACTCTGAAGTCTTCTAATTGGAACGAGCACAATTCTGCACCTTATGCGGCTTTACGGGAAAAAACTTTTGATGCTGATTCCATCAAAATTGATAATATTGATGACAACAATCTTGCAACTATATTGACCCATGAGTTCTCACATTCCGGCTCAATCTTCGACTGTGATGGTGGAACATGTATGTATCTCACCTAAGGTTACACGTCGCCATTTCTAACTTTGGGTAACCAGATGATTATGATGTGAATGGGGAAACTTGCTATGGGTGGAAACTTATTACCGAGCTTGCCAAACAAAACCCTGGTGCGGCTTCTAGGAATGCTGGTAAGTTGTGCCGCCTCGTCCTGATGAGCTATAATACTTCTGCAGAACTTTGTGTTGACAAACCTCAAATAGATACATTTGCAATGTTTCTCCTCGGTAAGTTTTCTTTGCACTGTTTAAGTATTTTATCTGTACCACTGGCTAACAAATGTTGGTATAGGATTGACGCTTGACAAGAATGACTGGTCAACCGGGAACAGTAAACCAGTGCCTCCTGACTTCCCAGGGCCGATCAGCCGCCCTGTTTGGAGAGAAGGGAGATGGCAGGTGTAGATGCTTGCCATTAAAGTGAGACGATATATTTATTTACTTCAAGGTAGTGCGAGCAGGGGACCGGCCGTACGCATCAACCTCCATGCATAAAGTCTTACTATGTACGGGCAGAGCAACGTCCTTATCTTTCCCTTGTTTTAATCAATCGGTTATTAAACCAATATCAATCTTTACAATTCGATTAAGGCAGGATCCAGTTTCTAACTTTATTGTGAGAAATTCAAACTAAGCCTGCAGTAAAGTGTCATTTTTTATACACCTAGATTTTTTGTTACATCAATGTGCTAGAAGGGTGCATCTTCTCATTCACCCTAAATTCAGTTGCAGTTGACAAACCAAGAAATAATATTAATAAGGGCCGCTCACAGCCATCTCCTGAATGTAATATTATAAAAGGGTGATGTTTGTTATGAATGTCCAAAATTATGTTGGTATTGGTCAGCCTTCCTATTAAACAAACAACTATGGCTCACTGCTGATAGTTATAATAGAATAGAACAGATGTTGATGTTGATCATTTGATGGTGTTAAACTGGGGTACACATTTCAGTCCAGGGTGTTTCCAATGAAAATCTGATTTTTGGGCAGCCGCTTCCAAGACATTGTTTGTTGCCGGATATCAATCAAAGATGTTGGTGTATTATTTGCCCTTACTGACCTGAAGCATGTTGATTCTACACGGAGAATTGTTGTCTTCTATATAACCAGTAAAGAATACTGGCTAGCTTTGCCGTCATTAGCCAAGTGTTTACAACATTCGACCTCCACTGCTCTATTCTGTCAACAAGATCACACTATCACTTTATACCGCACTGCCCGTCCTGACGTCGAATTTAGATATATAAAGATGCGCTTTTCTCGGTGGCTTGATCCGCGGAACCCTGAACATCCACCGCGGCCGATCTTGCTAACCGTCCGCCAGGACGCAATTATTCCCCGATATGGGAACAGGAGTCGGACGAACCTGCTTTGATGCAAGTCAATGTGGTTGAAATCCTGAGCTGGAGACACAATTCAACTACATACCATACAGCGCGGGACACAGGTCTTCCCGCAAAAGGGGTGTTTCCACGAAATCATTCAGATACCAGTCCAGATGTCACTATTTCTTCATATATGTTGAGCAACCGGTGCTGTAAAATGCTTTATAGCCCCTGACGCCAAAATTATGGTTTATGCCGGTATCCAGATACCATTGCCGGTTTAAATGGCATAACTACTTGCCAGTCATGTGTAAGGGATACCAATGAAACGCTTGAGCATACAGCTTGAGGAAGACGCTGCGTGAAGTAAGTTCCTATATTCAATATGCATAATACAACAATAATAAACCAAATCTGTATAGAATTTTCCCACTTACTCTTCACTCAGATCCTGGAGCAATACAAAACAAAATACCATTCTGTTTTCACCGACCATAGTATAATAATTGCCATGATGGTTGGCATCAGTATTTATATACAATTCAATAGGGCAACAGAGAACAACTCATCTGCGACTCTGGTATAACTTTCCAGTGCAAGTCTGCACATTTTCGGAATATCTATTTGCTTTATAATCTATAAAGCATATATACCATCATTATGTCCCCCCGACATATACGTCACGAGTCACGGAGGCACACTCTACTGTCCATCAAGCCCTTGAACAGCGCCGCTACTGCGGTTCTTAAAAGTCATCACAACAGGCGACTAGTGTCTATGTTACCGAACGGTGGCGCTGTCTTGAATATTGGCTTTGAAAACTATTCGAAGAACTCCAATACCTTGGCTACCTTTGGGAGTGATAACGCTGATATTTTGGTGGAAAGGCGTGATATATCCCCTACCCAGTGCTCATTCAAGGTCAATTGGGATACTGGAGTTATCATGCTTCGGGATCATTCTGTTGATCAAAGCACCCATGTCTTCGGTAGGGATTCTATACCGTTTCGCTCCGGCTCGTCACGTCAGATTGCCGTTATACATGGACTCAACTCAAAAATCGGGCTTGGCGGCGAAGCCCCAGGCGCTGTGCAGTTCGAGATGCTGTGGCATGATTATGCGGCAGAAACGATAGCCAAGGTCTTAGCCAGAGGTCTTAGGGTGGGCCATGCACCGCGACATGTTGATATTCCTAGTACTAACCAGGGCGATCGACGACGTCGAATTCGGCATGTCAAAATAGGTGCACTCGGCGCCGGCGCGTGTGGGCAAGTTTTTAAAGCCATCGATGTTGACACTGGAAGGATGATGGCTGTAAAACAAGCAGGAGATAAATCAAAGATGGAACCACAGCTATGGCGCTTCCAATATGACCTTCTGTTGCGCGAAGCAAAGGCCCTCGCCACGTTAGAACATGTGAGTCGTACTTTTACCTTAAAACCAAAAAGGGAATATTTTTGAAGCCCTCTCTACTATCATGCTAATCAACCAGCAGCCGCATGTTATACCATTTATTCGGTCTCGTATCTGGCCTGAAAAAATTGAAATGTTTGTAGAGTTGCAACAGGGTAGTGTGGAGGCTTTGATGTCTAAGCGTCAGATAAGCACCCTCGATATCTGTGATCGACTATTGCCGCAGATCCTTTCCGCTCTTGACTATCTTGCCTATCAGAATTTGATTCATCGAGATGTCAAACCCGCAAACATCCTTTATTCAATCCAGTCCAATGGCAGGTACCACTTCTACCTTGCTGATTTCGGGCTTATTGACAACTTTGGTACGACATCTAATATCGGAACTAGGGTATACTTTGCCCCTGAAATCGTTCTCGGGATGCCGCAGACAGATCGAGTAGACGTATGGGCATTATTTATGACGATGATGTGGGTGATGGATGTCCACGGGTTTCGTCACCTGGAACCCCGGCTCAGGTCGCCTGTAGAGGCCCAGCAGCTGGTGGAGATGGCCAAAATGGATCCAGTGCTGTCAAGGATCCAAGAAATGGCTGCTTTTGACCCTTCTTGTCGAGCTTCGGCTGCACAGATGCTTGTGAGGCTGTTTTGTGGCAAGGGACTAACGACCCCGATCCATAAGGTTATTTAACTATACCAGGGAGTCGTCGCCCCGGTTAGACGGCTGTCAGTAGTAATACCGCCCCATTTATCCTGCCGCCGAATGCAGGAAAAAACACACAACGCAACTCCACTATGCAGGTACAGGACTTCAGTCTTCATAAGACCAGGTTGTTGGGTCGATCTCCTCTCACAAGTACCCAAGAATTGCATTAGCTGAACGCAAAGAACTTGTGTGGGCCTCACTGGGACGCTCTGGGGCGCTCTAGGCCAAATATTATGTTGAGACTTACAGGGTCGATACCTGTTTTACGGTTTCACGGCGCGGTTTCAATGGGTCTAGCATATGATAAATACGGACTCCATTTAAGAAGATCAAAAAGCCGAAACTCCGGCTCCCCTTTTTTGTCTCTACACTGCAATAATTGTTAGGAAAAGGCCATCTGCACAGAGGAAAAGAATGCGACACTCCGTACCACTTGTGCGTTCAGCAACATGATATCACAATCCTTCTTCTCCGTAGAAATTTCACATTGCACTTCTCCTGGGGTTCTGTGCGCGTGAAACTGGCTCCGTCAGGCTCATCGGCCGTCGGGCTGGGCTTCAACTGTGCCAGCACCTCTCGGCGCCGTCGTGTGTCGTCTCTCCGTACAGCCAGGCAACGTGCAATCTAATCTGATCGATGGTGCTGCGTTATCTGATCCGGCGATGTGGCGTGACTAAGAAACGTGGAGACAATTTCCTTTTTCACGCCGGTCTTGGCGCTGCGCAGCCGAAACAATCTGATAAGTAGCGTATTTCGGGTAATGTCAATACGGGCCACATCGGGCTCCGGGTGCTGCAGCCTCTGCGCCAGCGGTGCGGCACGCAGTTGAGGCAGAGTATTTTGGCTGGAAGAGCGGCTCATGTTTTGTTTTGCGGAGGATTTCGATCGCTGCGATCGCCATCGAGTCGTGCACCCGCGTGATCGATCGGACGTCGCGATCCTAACCGGCTTTGATGTAATTTTCAAGCCGAATCCGCCGTTTCGCTGGGCGTAATTAATCGCAGCCGATACCCATCTCGCCGTCCCTTTTTTGCCTCCCAACTGTCTCTCCCTCATTCAAGCGGCCCAAATGCAGAGAACAAACCACCTCCCTCCATTGATATGTCTGTGTTTGTGAGCTAACATCCAGTGCGTTTGCTGTCTGTCACCAGTGCGCAGTCCTGTGTCACAACACCAGCCCTGTGGTTATCTGATGAGATTGACTTTGCCATCATCTCGGCGCAGATTCTCTCTTGATTTCACCGAGCCTACATTATTCTTACAGGTGCATTGTGGTTGCAAGTAGAGGTGAGGACTCCGTAGTTCTCTTCTTCCATGGTCTGGTGAATGGCAACATTTGATGTGTCATTCCCCTCCATCTCTCCTGGTTATTCAACTGCAATGTGTGCAATTCGGTGACTAACTATCTCACTTTTTGCAGGTATTGGAACCACCAAGTCTTTCACCTCCTCAGCAGCCATGGCATCAGGAGCAATAGAGAACAAACCTATAGACCACATCAATATACCCTCCTCAATCACGTCTCATCCTGAGAATCCTATTCCTGAAGAACCAACTGGTGTACCCCACCTAACACTCCTCCACCCAGACTCTGTTGCTTCTCTTGAACCAAAGTCGTCAGTACCCTCTTTGATTGCTGGTTCAGAAGCCTCAAGCGACTCGGAAGCTCCCGCCACGCCCTTGACAGAGCTAGTCCATGATGAAATTACCGAGGGGATTGAAAAACTAAAGCTACAAGGGAATTCCACCATATCCCCCAAACCAGCTGTTCACAGAAGACGGGCGTCGACGGTTCTTATTTCCCAAAATTCAGATGATGTTCAGAAAATCCTCGGAAATGTTGGGAGCGCCGGCACAACTCGAATTGAGAAACTTTGCTGTGGCGGCGGGTGCTGCAAACTCCAACCCCTCAGGAAACCATCGTTGGCAGCCGGAGCATGGCCAGTCATCCCACCAAGCAACGACGCTTTTGAGAGCCTGCAACTGTATCTTGGTACTCTATCTCATGACAGCGAGCTCACAAGTATAGTTGAATTGCCTGAAAAGACAGCTTCATTTTCCGCGGTACCAACGGAGCTGCTAGACAAACAGTTAGGCCCAAGTGATCACCCACCGAAGTACGTTCAACCGCATCCTCCTTACGAAGTCTACCGCGCTCCACTTAGGCACTCCAGGGAATTGACTAGGCCTGGTGCTGAAAAACGAACGTTTCATTTTGATATCGACGTTACGGATTACCCAACGGAAGGAGGAGATGTTGACTTTGTCGTCGGGGGGGCAATTGGAATTTGCCCTAGCAATAGCCGTGATGTTGTTGAAGATATTTTTAATTGTCTAGGTGTCCCAAGACTTGTACGAGATAAGAAAGTGGTGCTTCACACTACGAAGGGAAGATGGCCAACTGTTTGGGGCGACGACAAACCAAGAGATTTATTGACTACACGGCGTGAACTGCTATCCTGGTGTACAGATATACAGAGCTACCCGCCAACGAAACCTTTGCTACGACTATTAGCAGAGTACGCATCGAACAAAGATGAAAAGAAAATATTGATGTATATTTGCTCTGCCCAGGGCCAAGGGGCTTTCTGTGATCTTCGCACAAACCAGCATATTACTGTCTCCCAGCTCCTTCATGCATTTCCCTCTTCTCAGCCCCCTTTGGACCATCTTCTCTCAGTTCTGAACCCTCTCATGCCGCGTTTCTATTCTCTTTCTCAGGATCCTCTCATATCCCAGACCGTGAATGATGGGAAAAGCCACCGTCTCATCGAAATAGCCGTTACCCTCCATGATTCTCCAGACTGGCGGGGTGGAAAGCGAAACGGAGTCGGGTCCGGCTTCTTGCAGCGAATCGCACAGCAGGTCATTGATGCAGAGAAAGCTGGAACCGACGTAAGCGCACTTAACTTGCATGTTCCAATGTTCCGTGGCCTCATGGCCAACCCGCTTGCCCGAGAATTCGTCCTGGATGGCCCAATGCTGCTTATTGGCGCTGGCGTGGGTGTTGCCCCATTCCGTGGTTTCGTTCAGCGACGCTTGAAATCCGCAAATTGTGCCAACAAGGTCTGGGTGCTACAGGGAATTCGAGATTCTTTACTTGACGAGCTTTACTCTGGCGAATGGGGCGTTCACGAAGAGACTGTCAAGAAAGTCGTTCAAAGCAGACGTGGAGAAGGTCGTTATGTGCAGGAAGAAGTGCGCAACCAGGCAGATCTTGTCTGGTATGTGATTAATGCACTTGATGGCCGTGTTTTTGTTTGCGGGAGCAGCAAAGGCATGGGCGAGGGCGTCGAGGCGGCTCTGCTAGATGTCGCCATGGCCAAGGGCAACCTGAACCGCTCTGAAGCCCAGCAGTTTTGGAATGGCAAGAAAGATGCCGGTCAATACATTGCAGTATGTGTATTTCGGATAGTTGCGTGCCGCAGATACTGACTTTCTTTCCACAGGAAACATGGTAGTGGATCGTTTGGCTGACGCTTGCCTCCGTCACCACGTATCTTTCTACAATCTACTTCTTTTCATTTCTGCTTTTCTTCTTAGAAAAAGTCGTCATACGGACCCTAAGATGCTCCATCTTCAGCACCGTACCATAGATTTTTGTCCAGCATCTGATAGCCATCCTGCCCGGAATCTCCCTGAAATAGCTGCTTTCTTATAGCTCAATTCTGAGCATCTGCTCGATACCCATCGTCCTGCAAACCTAACGACGCTTTATATCTCTATCTCTTTTGGCTTTTCCCTCTTCTCGTTGATATGGTGGTGTTTTGTTTATGCTGAAAGAAAAAAATAGATTTCCTTATCAGAAAGTGATATCTCTCGAAAAGCCTTTCTCTGAAACGGCCTCTTTACTCTCCTTATCGTTCACTCCTGATGTTCTGCCCCTTTGTTCCTCTTTTTTTCGGGTATATGGATAAATGTTTGCAAGCGCCCCTCTGGAATATTTCTGTTTTATACATTTGGCTGATGAATGATAGAAGGATGCTGGATTTCCAACTACAACCACTGCTCTTAGGCATTCAAGCAATAGCATCAACTAGCCCAATTATTATTATTTAAAAAATCTGTCCTTCGTGTATTACTCGGTTTATAAGGCCCACTTGCAAGCTATCATGGCGCAAGCTACGAATAAAACGTCATATATGGAAGGAATATTCTCATTCGAAATGGTAACATTCTTACCAAATTCAGTATTGTGGCTCGTGTGGGGGGTGGGGGTATGCTCCCTAACGCTGAACTGCCCTTGAAATGTATGGCGTCCAGTTTCAACGAGGATGCTAGCATGTGTGCTAGGGAAAGATGACTGCATACCTTTCTTGCCTTATGCTATATTATCCCGTATAATTCTGGTATGTAAATGAGCTCCGTATCAGCAATTCATAAAGTTGGCTGAAGGCCTAAGTTTTCTGAGACACACTTGAAAAATTGTTTCATTATTATTCTCTAGATATGAGCCCCAAAAGTATTTAAGTGTTATGGGGTTGGATTATCATCGTTTTCCTTTGCCTTTCTTCTTCTTTCCCCCACTACTTTTCTGCTGAACGACGCCAGCCGTCGGCGTTGCTGCCTCATCATTCACTATACCCCCTTGGGTCCTATCGGCGGCTCTTTGCTTTCCCTTCTTACCCTTGGGTCGGTATGTCGAACGATCACGCAATGGGAGCCAACGTTCGGGATCGGGTTTCTTACTCGGGTCAAAGTCCTTAGGTAGGCGAGACTTGCGTATTCGTTTCTTTTTGGGAACATTTTGTTTCTTCTCATCTTCAGCCTTCCGTTTACGTGACGTGGAGCCTGAGGTTGCGGTGGTGGTAGTAGAAGGAATTCCGGCTGCTTCGAGGGCGGCAACATCAAGACCTGATATTAAGTCTGGAATTGATGAGAGATTGGACGGTTCGTTTTTAATCTTGGATGGGGATGAAATAGCATTGGATGCAACAAAGCCGGCTGTTGCAATTTGGTCTGTTGGGTCAATAGCATGTAGTGTGTCGAATAGCTCGGTTGCAGTGCGAAACTCTGAATGGTCATAGGAATGAAGAAGTGAAGATGCCGCTGCTCGTAGAAGGGATACCGGCTGCTCTTTTTCTGGGTGCTGGCGCCAAAATGTGGCGGCTTTGGCAAGCTCTGACTTGATTTGCCGTTCGCGTCCTTGGTGTTTGTAAAGGGCGACAAGAACACTAATCAAACCAGGATTGAACCGTATTTCTTGATCTTCTTCAGATATTGATTCGTCCAGATGTTTCAAGAACCTTTCTAGAATAGATACTGCACAGCTGACATTACCTTCACAGATGTATAACTGAACACCAAGGAGAACAAGCCCAACATCTTGTGGCCGTTTTGACAGCATAGACAATGTTATTTTGATAGCAGCTTGTCCTGTAGCATTTTGCGTCTGTGCTGCAACATTCAAAACTGACAGAGAATTTGCGTTTTCTGACAATGTCGCAGATTTTTGCTGCGAGAGAAGTTTCAATGTTGACCGCACAACACCATCAGATTTGTGAACAAGAAGCTCAATAATGTTCGAGTTTTGATTAAGTACCCTGCTTTGAAACCGAAACAACTTGTCACTATCGCTGGGATTAGGTGTTTCATGGAATAGTTTGTGCTGCAAAAAGGGGTTAAGGCTTTGCTGTGATGCTAAAAGAATGTTATTTTGGGCAATTCTTTTTGTCGATAATTCAGGTATTCTAGGACGAGGTTAGCCTAGTAAATATATGTTACGGTAGTAAAAAACGTACTCGGAAATTTCTATATCTTGAAGGAGGGTAGTGAATTCATCTACCCTACCCAGTCGCTGCGTGACGTATAATTCTTGGAGGGCAATGGGAACCAACTCAGCCCTTTTCTCTTCCGGCGATAGATCCTGGGAAGATTTGCAAAGTTCTATAGAAAAATAATCAGCGCCCACTTTTATATGCCCAAATTTAGCAAGTAATCTACCTTTCGCTCTCTTAAGCAATTGTTGGGCCTGCAACAACTCCCCTCTACCAATAAGCTCACAAGCAACATTATACGTTGTTTCAAAAGCGTCCAGGTCCTCGTCACTGGAAATTGAAATTTGTGGAGAATTTGACTTCCCAGCCCATTGCTGCTGGGCTTGAGTGGCAGTCATATTGATTCGAAGGTCGGTGTGTTCTTGCGCAGAGGCATTGCGATTTTTATATAGCTCATCATACGTATCTTTGGTACGTTGAAAATCCTCTAGTCGGTATGCCTTTGTAAACAACGAAAAATCAGCCCGGACTTTTGAATTAAACGGGTCCATAGCTCAAAGCAGGAAACGAACAGCTTGTGCCTCCAAATGCTTTGCCCCTCTCCCATCGGAAGCTACTGCTGCTTCAATGGCTTCTTCAAGCTTCCCATTCTTATATAGAGCGTACGCCCATTCCAAAGAAGCTCTTTTTTTCAGGGCATCACCTCCATCTTCAATCACCCGAACCGCATCGTCAAAACGGTCCTGTTTGATGAGAGCCACGGCCTTGACATGCTGCGCCTCAAGATCGGTCTTAGACTTTTTCAGGGCTGCATTGCAAGCCTTAATAATTTCGTCATGATCATCGATTGAGCTTTGTTGTAGCAGAGCGCTTATGCTCTGTAAAGCTGCCATTTGCGAAGTTCATGTAGTTCCTGAAAAGCCATTGAATCCCGTTAGCATGCGCTAAAGAGACCATTCGACCAGAGAAAAGCTCACTTATATTATGAAGGCTTATGGCCGTAATACCCGGAAACCCTGTAGCTCGATCTTTCGTCGGAAAATCACCTATAATCCAACACCCACTGCGACTTCAATGTCACTGAAGACTGACAGCAATGTCTCAAGCCCTAAACCCTAAGATGCCTTATGGGGAATAGTTAATCCGCCGCCGTATTTCGGCCTCCGAATCCTGCCGCAGCCCGTCTGTTCAAGGAAGAGAAGAATCAGGTCAGTAGCTGGGTGGCACAACACCGACTCGAGAAATTTCTTTGAATCGAACTCTCTTAGCCACCTCCATTCGCCGACTCACCATTCATCGTGCGAACCAAGTTTCATTGAGCACCCATTTTTGGCCAATGGAGTAGAAGAGGGTGACGCCAACCTTTCTTCCGTATCAATGAAGATTTCCTATCTTTGCTGTACTTGTCCTTCAATGTTAGAACTTCTAAAACAGTTTTCGGAGATCTACGCAAAATGGCAAATTCTTTCTCTCTGTCCTTAAACCTGGTTAAGCTAGACATTAACAGCAACCATCCGAACTCTACAGATTAGGTTCTCGGTGTCAAAGAAAGCTTCCATCCGTTTTATCGATTATTGATCGAAAAATGCCGGTTCCAAGGTACTAGAACCAAGCCCAAACCTTACTGGGAGCAGCGTCGTGGACGACGCCACATGACTACATCCATCCATACACTCATTTACTTACAATTATATACAGTTTCAATACAGAGGCAAGAGGACTGGGCCACGCATACGTCAAGCCTTTGTTGCTGCTGGGTCTTGTGCCACCATAGGGGTTCAATGTGAGTTTGAAGGCGTTTAATAACATGGACTGAATTTGAGCCTTTGTTACATTTGGTGATATTTCAGAGGCCGAGGGAGATGCAGTTGCTTCAGATCTGCAAGGACATATCCAACTACTTTCTCATCCATACATTGGTATCCGATTTCAAACTACCCCGCCTTACAGGAAAACGCAATTTGTAAAATGCAATGTCTGTTCATGGGAAGAACAAGTCCAATTGTTCGAAGCGGCGATTTCAAAGTCGCCGGGAAAAACCAGCCATATTGTCATTGCAGATACCGGCATTATAGGCGGTGATATCCTGGGCAGTAGTCCTGGTTAGCAAACCAACTACCCGCTCGTGACGTTTCTTGTGTTACCTTCTTTGAAGCCTATTAGTATTAACGCCGCTGCAGAATCTGACCCCGTTGTCTAGATCCCTCCAAACCTCCGAGAAAACCAGATACTACAGTCATTGACATCAACTGTATTGGAGTCACATACACTGCCACACTTGCGATGCTGTATTTCAGCCACCAATCGAAAATTGATACTCAAGACTGTTTTTTCTTAGCGGATATCTTGATCAGTGGGGGATGCCATTCTACTCTACTTCTAAATTTTCAATAACGGGGCTGATGCGCTCCCTCAGATATACAACGTGGATGTACTCAGTCCGTCTCAATACGGTAACTTCCGGGTATAATAACGAGCATCGACACAATATTTGGTATCAATGGGCTTCAATTTCGCTCTCGAAGAGGATGCATGTACTTCTATGTTGCGTATCACATCTGACAATAGTATCAATGGTCGGTCATTGGCGATACTTTGTAGGACCGATTGTGTAGCAGCGTATTTAGATCTAGATGACATCAATTTTTCTAAAGGTAGCCTTCTTTCTGGTTTGCAGAACTTGCGTTCCTCGTTCGAACGTACGGAGTACGTTTTCAGGTCTGCTAGTTTTTTTTTCGATACCCTCGACTGACGTCTTCCCCAGCATGCTGATACTGCCGCCGCTGCTTCCAGCACATCACAAGATGCATCTAAAAATAGGACGGCGAGTTTTCGACTTGTAAACAAAAAGTAACCAATCTAGACCGAGGCTCTTTTGCTGTTTCTGGCCCCAAACCGTACTCGGTAGCTGAGAAGTTTGATTGCTTATCAGCAGCCTGTCAACTTCTTGATATTATCCAACCAGTAATCAATGAACAATCCAAACCCTTCATTCGGCAGCCCATCTCCAGTACTCGCTTATTAGACACAGCCCGTCTGCGCATCATTGTTGTACAAACATCCTATGCATCGACAACCTCGATTGTGCATATGATACGTTAGTTCTTCACGTACCAAAATAGAGTTTGCGGGCTGGCTAGACCAAATCCAACTTACGCGCGTTTCCTTTTCCTTGGTAACAGCTCACCCTTCCTCTCACTAATCAAACGGCAACCCAGAGATGCGGGTCCTGGGCTGCGCGTCCACTGAGTGGCGTAGGGGGGAGGCGTGCGTACGCAAGGCACGTCTGAGGGAGTACCTGCATATCCGATAATGGCAAGTCAGAGAAGCGTTGATGTCCGTGTTAGGCCATTCCCTTGGTTAACTTGCAAGAAAATACAACTTAGTTTATTATTTTCAAATCAGAGGCCGGACCGGTCTCCAGAAGGGGCGCAGTGAACGCTTTTAGGAGCATGGACAGACGCAAGCCTGAACCGCGCATGGAACCAAACTAATCTCGAGATCGCGCTTAAACGTTGGCGCGGAGTAGTTGGTCAGATAATCGCCTAGCTCTTAATATTAGGGATGATATAGTATTTCGCCGCAAGACGCACGGGCCTCGCTGTGGGGTAAGAGCCTCCCTTCCCCCTCTCTGGGGTTCTTCTCCGCGGATATATCGCAAGACTAGAGGACTCCTCAGCTCAGAACTCTACGAAATGCGAGGGCTGGATGGGCTAGGCGGTTCGTGGCGCTCTCAAGACCTATACACGGTTAGAGCACGGTCTAAGAAGCCGCCCGGGGCGTGGAGATCTCGTGAAAGGTACACAAAGCCAAACCCATTGTTAGCGGTCGTCTGAACCGGAGGTCGGTTCATATCCAGCTCCGGTGGAAAGCTACTGAGAGGAATTTGGCAAGCCAAAAAGCCAGATACTTGACAAGACACCATCAGCTAAGGTCCGTGCACAAGCCCAAGCTTAGCACTGGCAGCTATTGTTCCGAAACGAGGGTTGGTTTAGGGGGCGCAAGATTCTTGTTAACATGGCCATTTCGCGCGAGCCCACAGGCTTGAGAAGATGGCTGGATGGCTGAAGCCTGAAACTTCAGCTTCTCCAATGCCGAGGATCTGCCAGTATTCCATATGACGGGAATGAACACAAAAAACAAGCCGAAAACAGGCTGAAGGCCTTGTCCCGTGGCACCCTTTGCGGGAGAAACAAGTGCTGGAGCTTTCGGTTCCGGGTTTTCACCGGAACAGAAGCGACTGGTCCGGCTATATCGCCTGCTTTGAGGGCATGGGGCCCATCTGATAAAGAGCAAAGACGGCAGGGCATGACCTGGTCTGTCATGGGGAGCTCAAACTTCCCGGATATTCTTCATTAGCGTGGCGGATGCCATGGAAAGCCCGCTCTTCACGCCAACCTTGACATGATCCAAGCAGGCATCGGCAAATAAGCAACCATCATTCGCCGGCGGGCATGCCCACCCACCCGCAATTTCGTATAGTAGTGTGGCATGGGGGTATTTTAGCAAGGCCGCCACTATCTTAGTGCTGTTGAGGGTGTCGGCAAGAGTTTCCAGGCGAATTCAGAGATGATTACTACTCCTGACATCAAGCAAAAAAGGCAATATCAAGGCGACAATATCAATCGAGCTCTTACGGCATGTTTGAGGGTACCATGGTACCAGGCGGTTCACCTCGTGTCCAGAGAAAGGAGCCATCCATGCTCTGTATTCGTCACAACATGCGGCATCTAGACTCGGATAAAACGGGACAAAACAGACAACATGCATCTTGAAACATGCCACGGCACGCAGAGCTAACCCAAGCTGAAGACGCTGACAGGTACTATGTGTCCATGCTTCTATCAATTGCTCGTAAAACAGAATAGGTTGGGACCAACCTAGGTATCCCGCCAACCTATGGGAAAAATCACGCAGCTTGAGACAGCCGACTGTCATGAGTGGAAGGGTCTGAAGCCGACTTAGCAACCTTGACCAGCTGATAGGTTGTTTATAGCACGGATAGCGAAACGCTGGAAGAAGCCTTTTGCTTTTTGTTTTTATTTTTTTTTTTAGATTTTCGTTTGATGCGCTGATCCCTCGTCAGCTGCCCCCAGCGTAGAGCAAACAAGAATGTAGGCCGCGTCAGATACCAGACCCAAGGGAATCCTCGCCAAATCACAAGTATGCCCAGGGGGGTGGGTGAGAAAAGACAAACGAGCCCTTGCGGCAGCATATCTGGGCGATCTCAGGCGGTCATAGCGAGAGACACGCCTCCCTCATCCTCGCAACGCAAACTAGTTAATGTTCCGTGCGCGGGTGGGATTGTCTGCCACCACCCTCAGACCAAGTTCCAGACCTGCTGGGGAAGTTCAGGCCCAGAGCTACAGGCGCCCGCGTCTACCCCTAGCCGGGGGTGCTAGTATGTGAAAACGCAGCTGTCCTTGAACGGGCACTTGGCGCATCGAGAGATCGTTGGGAGCTCAGGCCCGCCTGCCACGGGAACAGGCAGCTGCGTTCCACCTTCAGAGACAAGCCACACGCAGAGAACGGCCTGGCCCAGCCAGAGCCTGCGGGATGGCGGTGTAGAGAGACGGGCAGACTTGACTGCGCACGGGCTGTGCTGCTCCGGGACCTTGCACTGGACGCGGATGCCAGCCTGAAGCCTCTGAGAATCGGCGTCGAGCAACCTCACACAGGCGCTACGGTAGTTCACGACTCGGCACGCCGCTCCGCAAGACTACCTGGCGCCAGCGGGCTGGGCTGGGCTTGTCAGCCCGGCGTCCTGAGTTTTATGTATGTCTGCAGCGCGGACTGAGACACAGAGCAAAGCCATGCAGTCCAAAAATAGAAAAAGAAAGAGAGCCCGCGCGAAACATGCGTGAAGCCTATGGCCGTCCTCTTCTTCGTCTCTTCTGCATGAAGAAAATGGGCAAAACTGCAGACGCAACGGAGATCGGGTCTGTTACAGACCCGAGACGGCGGCGGAGACAGGTTCTCCGCCAGTGTTTTGCAGCAGAGCTTCGACACACGACACTTGCCTGGATTCGGCTGGAGGAAGAAAAGCCCAGAAAACACACTCCTCGCACCCGCACGCAACACGCCCCATTTGGCCGTGTAGTTTGGCTGAGTGGCCTCTCCAAGCAGATGGCGAATCGAGTTGTGCGAGAGTGCGGGAGTGAGCGAGTGACACGCCGCCTGCACGAGAGTTTCCGCGAGAAAGCTTGCGATCCGGGCCTTCGGGGGATTGCTGGCCGTTGATTTGCACGGCTCTCGTTACCAGGGAAGGGCATCTGTGGTTGATTCACCGGTTCCACGGGCCTTTGCTGCGTGTACGGGGGAGAAGACTAACTTATCAGCGGCGTTCCATGGTACAATCTGGACGTCCCCTGGAACCGCGAAATTCAAAATGGACGACTGTCTTGCGATCGCCCGGGAATTAAAGGCTCACCCAGAATAGATTGGGCCCGGGGAAAAGGACTTCATCTTCTACCCAGGCAGCCCAGCCAGGCAACAAAGCACCGGCGGTGAAACGGGCGTCATCGGCATCGTCATCCTTCCTGACCCATCTCTCCAAATTCCCTCCGCGTTACGCGTGCAAGCTGTGGCCAACAATTTCAAATAACTACCCGGGCGGGCAATTTCTGCGAGTCCAATCTCGTTGTGTCACACTTGGCCTTCAAGCCTTGCGCCGGGAGCAAGATATTGGCGTGTTCTTTTGCGTTCCGGCTCTGGGCAGCTTGGCGGGGTGAAGCAAGAGCAAAAGAGCATCGCCAGGAGAATAGTATACACGTCCAGCCGAAGAATAATACTGGTTGGCTGGAGCTAGAATTTCTGCTGTGCTGCTCTGCACGCCGGCGGCTTGGCGAGATCGTTGTATGCACTCCGTACAGGGGAAAAAAGAGGACGAATGACAAGAAAAGAAAAGAAATAAGGCTATCGAAATGGCTGCTGATCGAGAGAATGGAGGCCACATGGCGGTCCGCCGACGTCGGGGCGTGGCCGACGGAGCTATAGCCGCCCCAGACCATACTATTATTCTTGGTGGAGCAAGGAAGACGAGCAAGATTGAAAATGCGATACATCTACTTTTTTTGGTGTGATTTTAGCGCTCATCCACGAAGGTATGCAACAACAACAGCAACCCTGACCCCGCTGGAGAAGATTAAAAAGTAAAATATGTGTAAAAAAGCTGAAGTGTAAAGCTGTCAGTGCCAGATGGCGTCAAAAACAAAAAAAATAAAATAAAAATAAAACAATCGCAACTACTCTTCCTAACTAACCGGGCGCCCACCGCCCCAAAACCGGCAAACAAAAAGCCACATGGGGGAGAAAGGATGATGGATAAAAAAGGCTCAAGAGACGACACACGCTATAGCACGCCGAAAACCTGTGGGGCGGAGGGAGAGGAATAATCCCTCATCCAGACGGTCCCGAACTTGACAGCAAGAAGAGAAAAAAGACGGGATAGAGAAAGGGCAAGCCAGCCAGGCGCACACAGAAATCCAGTTTCAAACGAATTCTGTGGCCCATGGCCCACACACACACACACACACACATCGCCCGCCCGGTCCTGTCGACCCTCCTTCCAATTTCCCAGTCTATTTTCTGGTAGCAGCAATAGTAGTTTGAAGCCAGCCCCGACGTGACACAGACTTGCAAGCAGGCCAAAAATAAAAAGATTCTGAGGGGATAAAAAAACAAGAACTCCGTAGAGACGTATAATGTTTCCAAACTGAAAAAAAGCGCTCCTTGTGTGTTTGAAAACCTGTAAAGAGCCGAAAGGAGAGAGTATATGGAGTACGGAGTAAGTCCGGATCTCAACAAAAGCCCTGAGCTACATACACTGTGGCATTTGAGTGCAAAATAGTGGCGCCCCTTTTTTCCAGTATTTCGTCCAGGACCTAACAAGCAGCAAATTGGCCATCCTGTTATTGCTTGTGGTTTTTCTTGGCACATATTGACATCAGTCTTCAAAATCGATGGAATGGTCCAAAAAAGCTGATACACAGGAGGTAATTGCTGTATTGTAATGCAATATGCATCCATGATGGCCTAAAAGGAGCTTTCAGAGCATGTTTTATGTTTTCAGCCTCTCTGTAATCCGTCCGGCTCTTTCTGAAGCTGATGATAGTGGCCTTTCAATTGTTTCGGCAACGGACTCCCAGTAAGTCCTGCCTTGAAGTCCAGGAAGCAGCGGTTGATATTCCCCATAAAGTTCGGCAAAAATACACCTGTAGTTCCACATGTCACAAACTGTGTGTACTTTGGGCCTTTTGTTGAAGAAGCAACCCATCCAGAGAACTGATGACAGCAGGCGGCAGGCCGGATTCTGTTGCTAGAATGCGAGTTTCTGATGAAATTCCAAAATTACCAAAGAGCAAAAAAAAAGTATATTCCGTACGCAAATCCTGTGGGACACGGGGAGGGCTGGACAAGCTCCCCGGCGGCTTTCCAAAGGCCACTCGCTACATTGGAGGACTTGTTTTTGGGGGGTGGTTACCGTCAAACAACACTGGTGTAGTCCACGCTTTGCATCAACGTATGGTCTCCCACGACTTGTGCCAAGTTGCAGGCTGGTATGTGATATTTAGTTTTCAACGAATGTGTCAATCAGATAGCCCCCACATCTCTGGAGTGTGTTGTTGGCGTCGCCCATGCTTATGTCAGCATTTCAATTACGAGGTACGGAGTAACTATACTCCGTACCACCTGACTTATGCCAATCCAGTATTACAATCAAGTCAAGGACAAAATTTAAAAAGATGAAATGAAAGGATGTACTCGAGTAAGTTGGGTTAATGAAAAAGCGGCAAGAACTTAGAAGAATAAATTGTATATATCAGAAATAGAATGATGCATTGATGCTATAGTAAACTACCTACTAATGTGCCAAGACGCCTTACCAGAACACAAAACACTAACCCAAATCCAATAACGACTCAAGTGTCACCCCCGCCGGCACTACGGAGGATAGATGACGATGATGACGAGGACGATGGTGTATGTATGTAAATACGAGGAAAAGGGGGTGTGCAAAAAAGAAAGGAAAAAGAGAGAGAAAGAAAAAAAAGAAAAGAGTAACTAGCCCACGGGGACACCCGCAAGATCGCCCCATCCGATGCGCCGAAACTACGCCGTATAACAAGCAAGGCATGGGTTTTTTCCCCCCGGGAGTTAAGGCGTGTCGAAAAGCAAAAAAAAAAAAAAAAAGAAAAAAAAAGGTGAGCAAGGTTTAAGGCATGCATGTCGGAGGGTGGGAAAGATGCAGGACTTTTTTTTCTTTTTATTATCTTCTTCATCTACGAGAAGGCGACGTATCATAATCGGGATCGTCTTCGCTCAGCGACGAGCTGGGACGCGGCCGTTCGGACTCAGAGATGCGGCCCTGGTTGCGCAGCGCCGGCAGGTGTCGACGTCGGGCATTAATGAACCAATTGCTTATCTAGAAAACGCAAGTTAGGAACACGGGACCACTGGTTCTTTTTTTTATTGTTTGTTTTCTTACCTGACTGATCGTCAGTCCCGTACGAGTCATAAACATCTGTTTATCCTGCTCACTCGGATACGGATGATCAAGGTGCTCATAGAACCAGGCCCGCAGGATGTCCGTCGTTGGCTTGGGCAGGTTGCCGCGCCGCTTCTTGCTTTTAGCGTCGCCGGCGTCGTCGTACTTGGTGGATTTGGCGTCCATGTACGCTCCGGGATGGCTCGCCGGCTCGTAGTCCCCTCCACCGCCGCTGCCGTAGTGCCCAGGGTACGAGGCGTGGACGGGGCTGCTGTAGGCTGGGTAGCCGGCGACCGTGGTTGCCAGCGTGCTCGAACGGGAGGGCGTGTAGCCTACTCGCTCGGCATCGTACCCTCGTGCATAGTTCCTGGCATCATGCCGAGTGCTGGGTGACGAGAGGGGAGGAGCCACGGACTCATAGCTGCGCAGGGGGGGTAGATAATTGCTGGGATCGCTAGAGTCGAGTCCACGTGTGCGGGATGTCGGGGTCAAGGGTACTCTGTTGTCGTAGTAAGGGTTCTCCTGGGGCAGGTGGTGGGTGTGATATCGGGATTGTCCTTCGATATAGCTGCTGGGGCGAGAAGGCAGACGGTCAAAGTCTACATCTCGCGAGGTCGAGCCAGACGACTGACGGCTGACGGAGGCCCGTTTTGAGGCCATATCCTGGCGGGAGACGGGAGGTAGGCGGCCCCCGTGTTGGGAGCCTGAGTGCGGGTTGTATGAAGCGGAATCGATTTCGTCATGTAGATAGTCAGGGAGCAGCTAGACGGGCAGGAGCGTTAGTGATGAGAGAGAGCACCCGAGTAAGGGGTATATTCACCTCTCGAAAAGAGGGCAACTTTGGGGTATGCCCAGAGGCATGACCAGAGAACGACACTGCCATATTTCTTGATCGCTCAGCCGGCGAAGGTTGGCGGGGCATAAGGGAAGCTGCCAGAAGGACTGGCAGGAAAGGAGAGCAAGATATATATATACGGAACTATATCTCGGGACACACGAGCGGACCAGGAACCAGAGCAAGCGAGAGGCAAGAGGAAAGAAGTTAAAGAAGAAGAAGAGTGGTAAAGAGAAAGTATGCAAGAAGTTTAGAGAGAGAAAGAAAGGGTGAGTTTGTGTGTAAAGCAAGAACGAGCGAGCACGAGACGGACCGGAGGCGACGTTGACAATGACGACTTGGACGTTCCACCGGTCAGCGAGAAGATGGGCGCGGGAAGACAGTGGTAGCCATTCAACAGACGGGAGGTGACGGCGCACCAGCTCTCACTGACAAGGACGTCAACCAGGCCAGATCTAAACGCGAGAGAGTGTGGGCGGCCGTCTGGGGCGTGCCAAGGGGGGAGAGGAGCAGATCAGGGAAAGGCGAAGTCAAGCAACGGGGCAGCGGAAAGGGAAGAGAGGGCCAGGGAGCGAGAGGTATGGAGGGGAGCGAAGGGAGGGAAAGACATAGATCGGTCGAGGGGGTGCCGGGCATGTCGGAGGGCATATTTTTTAAACCGCGCCGGGCGGCGGGCGCATGGGCCACGGGCGTCTCGCCCTCAGCGGCGGGCGACGATCATGGAGGGAGTGGAGCGCGATGGGATAAGGTTGAGGGTGACAGGAGAGCGATCCGACGCTGGCTGCGGCGGATTACAGACAAGTGATGTGCGCGGTGGCGCTGCCATGCGGGCGTGAGACAGCCAGGCAGAGTGATGAGCTAAGTTGGGGAGCTGACTAGCTGGCCGCTAGGTTTACCGGTAAGTTCGACAGTGTGCGAGTTAGTTAGTTAGTTCACTAGCTGGGTGGTTTAGTTAGTCGCGAGGTCAGGATGGGTGGATGGGGATGGGCGTGCCTAGGAAGCTTGGGTTCGCGGCAACGGGCGAGCGTAGGTTGCGCCAGCGAGAGCGCCAGCCGAGGCCGCATTTGAGTTTAGCGATGCGCTGTTTCAAAACAGATCTGAACGCGGGCGGTGTCAGAGAGTGAGTAGTGTGTGGTTGTACTTACTCCGTAGCAGCGTGGATGGGCGGCGGAGAGATGAAGTCGCGACGGCGATGCGGGCTGGTCCAGTGACTCGCGTCCAGTGACCTGTGTCCAGTGACCTGGCCTTCTTCTGTCGCCGTCGCCTTCAACCTCCCTCCCTCCCCTCCTCCTCACCTCCTCCGACACCCCCCGGGGCGCCTCAAACCGTATCCTGACCACAACTTGAGACACCGCTCAAACAGCCTGCCTCTCCCCGTTGGAGACCCTGACAGCCCGCAGGAAACACCAGCCAAACACTCCCCCGGCGCGTATTTTCGCCAGACTCCAGCCTCCAGTCCGCGAGCCGCACCACCCTCCCCGTCGCGACGGCGCCCGTCCAGCCCCCGATACCAGCCGGGCCGTGGCCACAGCAGCTACCTAGCTAACACGGTGAATAGTAATACCGCCCTCGCTAGCTCGCGATGCGGCAGGCCACCCGCAGCTGCAGCCCTACCCCGACGGCTGCTGCTGCCACGCCGCGCCCCGGCCGTGCCCCCCTGCGCCCGCCAGCACCGCCAGTTTCACGCCGCCATATATTACCTCATCCTTGCTCAGCACACACCGCGCGCTCCGCCTTGAGCACACACGCCGACTCCGCCATAACGAACCCCCCTCTCATTTCGCCGCTTCAGCTTTCCTTTATGCAAACGGCCTGGATGTCGGCGTCATCCGCCCCCGCCTAGCTGCTTAGCGTGTTGTCTCTTGTTTGCCCGTCTCGGCTATTTGGCCCCGACGCGCGCCCCCGATCGTCGCCGTCGTGTGTCAGTCTTCTGTCTGCTCGCGCACGTTAACGCTCTCACTAAACACTCGCTAGTTGGCTAGCCAGCAAGCCGCAGTGGATCAGCCCACTGTCCTGCGATTACTTTTTTTTTAGGCCACGAGGAAGCCAAGTCCGCAACCGCTGTTAGATCGCGGTCGCATACAACCGCTGGAGTGCACCACTAAATGCCGGCTAGCTAACTAACTCACTAGCAGGGCTCCGCGGGAGGGATGATGGCTGTCAGATCCCAACTCACCACCGCCTAGTGTGTGTCGAACCCCAAACCGGTCTCCTTCACAACCGTCCGTCGAACTGAAACAACGTGGCCGGCTCCTAGCCTCTCTCTAACTAACTAACTAGCTACTACTACTACGACGGAGTCCTCTCTCTCTCTCTCTCTTTTCTCTCGTTCTCTCTCCGATTCTGCGGTGTCTCCACTTGACACTTTCTTTTTATATCCATCCATTATTATTTTTTTCCTCCACTTAGCGTGGGCCGCCGGGGTCTGGCTCCTTCGGCCGGAGCTTGAGACGCGGTGGTTTCTAGCATGCGACCCTTTTCCCAATTTGCCCGCGCGCCCCTCATGAATAAATATAATACGCAGCATAAATAATAAAATAACCCGGAGAAAGGGATGGCAAAAGAAAAAAAGGACGGAAGACAAAAAGGACGGGAAGAAGGAAACTACAATAAAAAGTCAAATTCTCGCCTCTTTAGCAAATCAAACGCAAAATGAAAAATAAAATAAAATCATTATTCTACCCCCGTCCCGTCAAGACCGCACCGAGACAGCCGGCGTAAGCTCGAGCTAAATAGGGCTGACGCGATGACATGCGTTGGAACGGCGCCGTGTTGCACCCCCCTGGCCTTGCTCCTGGTCTTATTTCCCGTATAACTTTTTAACGCCTAACTACACTACCTGGCTAGCTACTGTAATAATGCCTGGCGACCAACCGGGGGTGTTTCTCGCAAAGAAAAGACGACTTTCTACGACTATAACTCTCGCGCTCTGTTTTCTTATAACAAGGGTGTTCCCGTCCCGTCTGTCCAGCCAAGGAGTCCCTTATTTTCTATTTTTTTTTTGCTTTGGTCAATTGGTCCTCCGACCTTCCCGCAATTTACTTTCCCCTCCCCCTTTCCTCCCGTTGAGGAAGCTCGTTATTATTATTATTTGGAAGGTTGCGTCGGCCCTTTTTTTTCATTTGCTTGTTTCTAATCTTAGGAACCGCGTTTGGGTCCCCCTCCCAGCCCGTCAAAATAAATGCCCTCCGGCCGATACTCTGTGCAAGGGGAGGGGTAGTATGCCAGCACAGCAGCAACAACAACAACAGGAGGAGGGGAGGCCCATTATATATGCTTTCCGGTGTCTTATCATCATGCAAAACTGACAGCGTCTTTTTTTTTCTTTTCCTTTTTTTCCCAGGAAAGCAGCTGTCCCACGTCGCGCCCGCACCGCGCCCCTCCCATATGCAGCTCCTTCGACTCTGAACCGTGGGGTCGGGGCACCAGATGACCACTACAGACAGGGAAAAGCTTGCTCTTTTGTGGGCGCAGGGTGTGCTCGTGTGTGCGTGCATGGCTACGTGTGTGCGTGTATGTTTGACCACCACAATAAAATATTTGGGCTCCTCTCCAAAGTGGGACCACAGTGAAACTGTTCAGGTGGGAGGCGAAAAGTAATAAATTTCTTCGCCCTCTCTCGACCGGCAGAAGAACTGATGATACGGCCGTGTCGAAAGGACAAAAAAAGGACCTAAAAATTTCAGCATTTACTGATTCTGGCCACCAGTTCTAGTTCAGATAAACTCAACGCAAGTCTCCATCCACATCTTAGCGGCTCTTCCATCGGCAATTTCTATGAACAAGAAAACTAGATTTTTCTAGCCTGGGAGATAAGGAGAAAGGAAAAAAAAATCGTCAGTTTTCTCAAATATCCGCCTGCCGGGCCGCAAGGTCAGGCAAAATAGCATGTGTTCGTTCGTTCGGCCGCGATCCTCGTTCGTCCTCCTCGCGCGAACCTAGCGGAGCATGATTTTATTTTATTTGTTTTTTCCCTTAATAATAATCCCTCAAGCAAGCCTTTGCAAATCGCGGGCCGTCCCCTCCTAAACTTCAACTCTCGCGCGCGGTCTGTCTGGTCCCTTCCTGCGGCCGGGATGTTCGCCGCCGCGCGAAAAAAAAAAAGAGTCATGGTCGCTATCGTTTGATTGCCCCTTTTTAGCTCTGCTCTTTGCTTTTCTTTTCTTTGGCCTTTAGAGTGGCTCACATCTTCGCCAAGGTCTCGTATTCTTACCTTCTCGCTGCCGTTAGTTGCTTCGCCTCGATGCTTCTTGCTCAGTATCTACTACTACACTACAAGGAAATCCCGCTCAATAAGGGCTGTGTGTGGGTGGTCCGATCCTGCGGCGTTTGAGCGAGAACCTGTCGAAGCCAGAGAGCGAGGGACTCCCTACGGAACACTCTCTGCAGATCTAGCCACCATATCCCACATTTTTCCTTTTTTTTTATCGAATCATTTTTCATTGTTTCTCGGCGCCGGTGAAAAAACCCGGGTGCACCTGAGCAGATATCGTATCGGGTACTTCCCGATCATGCACGATAGGAAGTATATTGCCTTGTTTTTTTCCTCCCCCCTTCCACCACCTACTATCCCTGAAGTTCGATGTCATCTATACCCTGCTCCTCTTAGTTTCAAGTTCCGCAGCCGGACCAAGCGGTCGACTAGCCACAAGTACTTCTGTCAATCCTGCCAAGCCTGCACGATGGAATGATCCGTCCGCTTTACCCGTACAATCACAGTCCATAGCTCAGCCAAGGGTCTGGCGACAGAACTCACATGACGGACCCTCACACATCTGCCGCTTGCTGTAGCATTCCGTTGTTAAATTATTATTCGTTTACTCCGTACAGACTCTTCAGACGTGTTTGACTGTCGCATTCTTTACTTTCGGGTCAAAACTTGCCGAATGCTGATCAGAACATTGAAGGATTTGCTCGCCGACAAGCTGTGCTGTGCCAAAACAACTCCGCCACCTTCGGAGGGGGTCACGGCCCCATGATCTTCAGGGATCCATCCTATCTGTGCTTTTTTCCACCACGCATCCCACATATGTGCGAGTCTGCGTGAAGAGTATGAGCTGAACAAAACGCCCAGTGACGTATTAAACAGGAGTTGTCGACAGGCTGGGGTTTGGTTCCCCCTGAAGGAATGTTTGCGTTCCCGCCTCTCGGCGTCGGACCCCTTTGGCCGTGCAGGGTTCATGGCCTTGGAGCCTCTCGGCACTAGAAGGGTCATGCAAGACTCAAGATATGCATACATGCTAGAGAATCTTCAAGGAGACCACTTGTTGACCATGGTCATCTTGCTATCAATCCTTGACACGGCCCAGGGCAGTATCTGAGATCGCCGTTGCAGGCGACCATTTTGATGGACATATGATCTGCCACTAACGCAACCAGAGTCTGCAATTTCAGAACGGTTATCTGGTAGTACTCCATAATTATTGGTGAAACTTGTAAAGCAGAAAACTGAATTGATATGATTCACCAGGGCCTTGATAGGCTGCAACACACGGGCGGAGAAGGGACACGGACCTTCGCTTTCTGACAACAAATGCAAGTCTTGTCTCTCAATTCCTGGGCAACGAGCATATGATTGATCTCGAACCAGGCAAAAGCCGATTCGTCCTTGACTATATCTGGCAGAGACAAAGCTAGCCATTATTGCATCCAAGAGCGACGCTTGGAGGAAGACCCTCCCGCACTCTTACATCTGTTTTTTTGTCGCCTCATGACTCCCTACGGAGTACTTCGAAGCTTATCACTCCACCATCCTCCTATATCAATATCAATTAACCTCCTTTACGAGAAAGCCAATAGGAAGGATGCTGGCCAAGGGTCAGCCGAAACCGCCGAACATCGAGGCTCTGAGCTGGCAGAGTGAAGGATGCATCGCGCAGCCTCAGCTTTTACACGTCAGTCGTAACGTGCTATCCCTTCTTCCAATTGAACAATTAGTGCCCAACTAGTCGATGCGGAGCGCACCTGGAGGATCACGGAAGTATATATCATACTATTCATCCCGTGGGTTAGCGAGTGTTCACCCTATGTCTGGTCCAGAATCGAAGAGTATGGGGAACTTTTCGGACCTCAGCTTGGCCGCTCCGGTTAAGTAGTTCACTAACTAACTAGCATAGCGTCTAACTACTAGTTAGCTGCTGCACCACAGACGCCGATTCGCACCGTTGGACCCAGTATCGCGCTTGTCTATAGCGCTCCTTTCTTCCCGCCCACCTCAAGCGCGAACCCACACGGCCACTTCGGGCCCCATCTCGGTCGTCGTCAAACAGAATTATTATTTGTCGAAAGAAGCTCAGGCACGATGCACATTCCTCCTCGAAGCTTGGGCAAAGTTGAGTCGTAGTTCTATCCATATGAGCCACGTAATTTTCGACGCACGTGTCTCGCGGACTCCGTGCAGCCACGAGTTATTTTGACTTTGCAAAGAAACTTGGGGGAGGCGAAACCTGCGACCGAATATCATCGCTGAATCGAGCAAAGAAACCCGTGTGACATCGGACGAACATCAATACAATCATCCAATTCGCGGGCGCAAGACGCGTTTCATGTATACATGCTTCACAGTTCTAACCTATTTGTGTGAAAGGATTAGCTTCTCTTGAGATTTCTCACCGCGCTGCACCAACACATGGTGTTGGTACAGGCAGAGGTCCGAGAACGCGCATCTATTACGCAGGATTTCGTCGCAGGCTATTCTTCCCGCTTAATAAAACCCGTCTGGCATAGGGGTACAACGCAAGACGGGCTGGACTGGAGCTTGGGGATTTTTCATATCATGGGGTATCCTTGGCTGCAGACCTTCTGGGAGATTTCCAGAATATCGGAAAAAATAATAACGAACATGTTATTATTGATAATTTCCTCGCACAAATATAAAATTTTTATTGGGCCTGGGGCCCACTGCTGAAATGGTCCTTGACTGGGCAGAAAGCTCATGGGATCTGGCAAACGGCTCCGCAAACGGATTCCGGCGCGACAAGAAGGATCGTGTTTTGATTGTCGCCATGCGCTGCACGGACGTTTCATTCCAGTGGGCCGGATCACTTGCGGGATGCAGCTCTAATGCTTAGGAGCTAACTACTACTAGTTATTATTATTTTATTATCCTCAGTTTGGGGTGCTCCTTTGCTCCACCCCACCGTTCTTCTCGGCATGGAGTTACATCCCGCGCGATGCACTCCGTACCCAGGACGCATTAGTATACATCCCTATCTGCACTCTGCATGAATGTATGAAGAGTACCGTGCACAAGTCTCGTTCAATAATGGCTAGCGCTGTGCAGAACAGCCATTGCGCGGCCGATGACTATCTATAGCGTCTTTCCAAGAGGCAGGCTTCTGGTCAAACAAACTTTGACACCGTTTCATTGTTTTACCGGTTTTAGAATCAGGCCCATCTGCTCCGCGATGTCTCCATGGGCTTTTCAGTCGCAATCCACCACTACCACCGCCGCAGATGTTGCCGGAAAATTGGTAGGGGCTTATGCAGGTCTCCGCATTTTTGCCTAATCTAAGGGATTGCCGCGGGTTCATTTAGGCCATGTTGGCGGCCGCAGGAGCTCAGCCACTTCAAGGCAGCGACCGGGACCAGAATCGAGGCAAACCTTGCTCCTTTTGTGGGTTTTTGGTTCGCCGTTTCCCTTTTCTCCGGCGGCGATGCGCTTGGGAGAAGTTTCATGGAGTTCGTTGGTGGCCTCGTATTCGGCTTGGATTCTGGATATGCTCCGTAGTTGGAAATGAGAAGTCCGTCCGCCTCCACGTTGCTGGTGATGACAGGCGTTTGCCACGTTATGTCTGGCAGGGGTGTCCGAGGGACCTTGGCCGGCGATGGAGCTGGACGACAGCGCTAATTGAATTCTTGACTCCATCACAAAAAAAGGGATACTCCAGGCCGTGCAGATCCCAGTTCAAGCTCAATTGTAGCACGCCAGAGCTGGTGTGACGCTTCGCTCAAGCCTGCGGTGCGCCCGTTGTTGACAGGTCTTCCGCGAGACGGTCGAGAAGGCGATGTTGAGCAAGGAATGACGCGTGTTCATGTGACCCACTCACTCCCTTCGGGCCGAAACACGCGGAGGGGCATCAGACCTGTCGCAGGAGGCATCGCTACCACTCCACGGCGAATCCTCACGCCCCTTGCTGGGTGTTCAGCTCCTTGACGGCAACAATAATAGCAATAATAATGATCCAAAAACAACAGCCTTTGCGGGTTCGGATCCTCGCAGTTCCAGACTGTCCGTTGGTCCCAAGGGTGCAAGATCTTGTCGATCAATGTCTGACCCAGACACATATCCAAACGGCCGTTGAAACCACGATCGGGGACTACAGCTCCCCCACGCTTCTAATCAACGACTTCGATGTCACAGGTCGAACGACGTCGATCAGACAGATCTCTTGTCGGCTTGATCTTCCGAAGCCGGAAGAAATCATCGCCGCGCTCCGTGTCATACCCATCTTAGACTGTCACGATCCGCATGAGAAACTGATTCTTGCCAACGCATTCCAAGCGATTCTTGCCACTGGGCGCCGCGTTAGCATCTCAGACATCTGCACATCAACGAAGCTAGACGAGCAAACTGCCCTGCAACGCATAGCATCCATGCGAAATGCCGGCTTCTTGAAGCTAGATTCTGACGGCCATATTGCGGCCGCCGCTGGTCTGAGTACTACGCCAACCAAGCACCAAATTACCCTCAAGGGTCAAAAACTCTGGACTTGGTGCCCATTGGATATTATTGGCATCTTTGGCGCTCTCGATGCCTCCGGTTCCGGGACAGCATGTGTTCCAGGAACAAATGAGATGATCCAGCTCAGTTTCGAAGATGGGCGGGCTCGCGAAATTGACGGCGCCATGCTATTTCTTGTAAATACGTCTACTGCTGCCTCGCTGTGCAGTGATTGGTGTCCGAATATCGGTCTCTTTCCCTCCAAATCTGCCGGTGAATCTTGGATGCAGGAGAATGTCATCCAAGGTGATCTGATATCGGTAGCTAGCACTTTCAACGTAGCTCGGGAAGTTTGGCGTAGGATACTTCGAGGTTAAACAAACACCTACATTGTATATATTGTTAAGTAAGAGAGCAATCTCGACTCTGTAGCACCTTAGACCTGTTGATAGTTTAGATAGACAAATATATATGTATTATGTATAACTGTGTAGTGTTGATAGTTTGTGCCATCTATATCTAAAAAAGGTCACCTATAGTATGCATCTTGCCATTTACATTGCTAGCTTATCTTAACAATTTTACTTTAGTTTATAGAAACATGATAACATTACAAGCATATCGGATAAAGAATTCATCACCACACACATTCATAAACCAGGTCGTTAAATCAGAAAAGTTGAAAACATGACAGTCATGAACATAGAAGCCGAGAATTACAAGAATTCACATAACAAATAGCGGAGATTTCGGGATTTTAAACCACAATTCTAGTATCTTTGAGGTGGAGGTGGACCGCCATAGCCTCCCTGAGGCGGATAGCCTCCCTGCTGAGGAGGTTGACCATACCCGCCTTGTTGGGGATATTGAGGGTAGCCTTGCTGTTGGGGAGGACCGCCGCCATATTGACCCTGACCCTGACCTTGAGGAGGAGCACCATATTGTCCTTGAGGTGGAGGACCTCCGTATCCAGGCTGGGGAGGAGGGTTGGGGCGAGAACCACCCTTCTCATCTCTGGTATCATATGAGGAGTCGATAGCACCGAGGATCATTTTTGCCAACTGTGATAGATATTAGAAATCTGAGGAGGTGAAGGGGTAAGTAGATCATGTGCTTACCCAAAGGTCTGGTGTCAAGTCAACAGGTGGGTTTGCGCGAGACATCTCATCCTGTTCGACTTCGAAATCTATTTTTTTGATCAGCAAAAGGAAGACTTCATGATGAAGCAGGTACGGGGATACATACTTGAAGTACAGTCGACCAACTCCCCAATTCCAGGCTCTTCATCCAGCTTAGAAAGGAATTCCCGAGCTTTGAGATCATTTCCAACTTGAGCGAACTGGAAGGACACAGCACCGCGGCCATAGCGAGTGTTGTTTTGCAATTCAGAACTTGCGTACCGGATAGCATCAAACACAGCACCTTGCGGCTCTCCAGCGGGCTGTCCATCAGTGATGGTAATAATGAGAACTGGCTTCTTGAGCTGGCCAGCGCGGGCAGGTCCAACAACCAAAGGCTCCAGGACTTTGTTTCTCAAGCTAGTACCCATTGGGGTCAAACCCTTGAACTGGACGCGTTGAACAAGAGCTTCAACCTGCGCCTCGCTGCGAATGCCATCACCCTGCTCTGTAGAGTTCATGAAACGGACTTGGATGCCGTCGTCGTCGAACAAAGCCGCAGCGTAAGCAACACGAGAGAGAATAAGCTTAAGGTCCTTGATACGTTCTCCGTTCTCTTCAAATTGCATGGAGCCACTGTCATCGATGTACAAGATAACATCAAAGAGGGCCAGCTTGACAATATCTTGCCCAACCTCGCGGGGTACACGCCATGCGGTACAAAGCTGGTCAATCTGGGTAGTTATTCTGCCCACGATCTGGTCAAGAGCGGGTGAATTGGGCGGATACATGTTTTGTAACCCTTTCTCATTGATCGTAGCTAGGAGCGACTGCTTATAGGCGGCAAGCATTTGCGGGCTGGGTGCCTGGGAAGCTTGAGGTGGTGGACCGCCATATTGGGGTGCATTGGGGTATGGGGGGTTGTGCTGCGGATAGCCTTGACCTCCCTGAGGAGGATAACCTTGCGCCTGCGGTGGGTAGCCGGGACCGCCTTGCGGCGGATACTGGCCCTGGGGAGGTTGTTGCTGTCCCTAAAAATTAAAGATGGGTTAGAAATGTCTATACAGCGAAGTTTTGGGAACAAAAATTCAGAAAATGGAACCAACGTAATAGGGCTGCTGCTGTTGCTGCTGATAGGGTTGACCGTAGGGATTCTGCTGGGGCGGGCCTCCATATTGTTGTGGCTGTCCATATGGTGGTTGTTGCTGCTGCTGTTGACCATAAGGTGGTTGCTGTTGCTGTTGTTGACCATAAGGCGCCTGTGATTGACCATATGGTTGCTGTTGATAGCCTTGTTGGTATTGGGGTTGCTGATAACCTTGAGTCTGACCAGGCTGACCCTGGAACGGAGTACTTGGCGGGGGTGTTGGAGGAACAGCAGGGCGGCCGTACTGGCCTTGATACTGAGACGGAGGTTGCTGCTGATGACCCGCCGGCGGATAGGGGGGTTGACCTGCGTTCGGATGCGGCTGTCCGTGATACCGTTGGCCAAATGGAGCACTCATAATGATCGACTTGGCGAGTGATTGAAAGGGTAACTGTCGGGTGGAATGGAGGGGCCCCGAGCAGCAGTGAAACACAAAAACCAGATCAGGGAAAACAATTGGCAAACACGACAAGCCGGGCAAAGAAAAGAGCGATGCAAGTTGCGCGACGGTAGATGGAACGACGTTGCGAAAACAGGCAAGCAGTTTCTGATGACGGTGGGGTGAAGTGGGCAGGAAAACGTGATTTGCTTACTGATGGTGGGCCTTGGGCGGCTGCGGGAGCATTGCCTGGGTACGCCTGATATTGCTGCTGTCCCGGCTGGAAAACAGTGGTTAGTCCCCTAAAAGAAATGCTAAATCGCCTAAACGGGCTCGAAGATTCCAATTCCTCTATCGAACGCGTAAGCAGTGCAATTTTGACTTACATATGCCGGTTTTTGTTGCTGGCCTCCATGCTGCGGCTGCTGTTGCTGCTGCGGCGGCGGCGGGCCTCCCGGGTACGTGGCAGGCGGAGCGCCACCGGCGGCAGCAAGTTTCGAAGCAAGCTATTGACCGTCAAAGAAGAATCTACTGGTTAGCACCGTGCGCTGTTGGGAACGGAGCAGCAAGAGGCTTGAGAAGCAGGAGTGGATTGAGGCGGGGTGATGGCGGGGGTGGTTCTGAGGGTTGAGGGACATCTGAGAAGCAACTTACACCCATTTTTTAGTCTCTAATTTGGAAGTTAAAGAACTGGAGAGAGACAGATAAATGACGGTTGTTGATAAGAAGCGAAAAAAACACGGAGCACGGGCAAGGCGGGCAGGCAGCTGTCTATGCTTAATATCCTGAGCCTTGAGCATTCACGCGCTAAAGCACAGCCATCGTGCCGAAATGACGTGTGGCTCGGCGGGGCTGTGGCACAGCTTTGCCCTGACGTCATTACCCTGTAAAGAGATTAGGTAAGCGATTAAGCGGAATTTCACCGGCCCGATAGCCATTGGCCAATCAGGCGCATCTCATTGAAGTATCAATGGATTGGAAACCAACCGCGAATCCTGCAATTATTATTAGCCAGTAAAAGAAAGAATACCCCTCTTCTAACAAGTTTTACAATGTTTATGACATCGGCAGAGAGGGCAACATAAAAATATCAGGGAACCGTCAACGTTGAACCCCAACTCGAGTAGATGACAGGATTACCATTCCTTGGTTGGGAAAAAAAATTATACTCCGAGTACAGGCTTTGGATCAACAAAGCAAGTATAAGTCTATCTAGAAGGTTTCCCCAACCTTCTTTGTGCAGGGGCAATGTCACCAGAGGTTGGATAAAAATGGATAAACGGCAAAAAGAAACTTGGACTGTCGGAGAATCGAACTCCGGACCACCCCCATGCTAAGGGGGTATTATACCACTAAACCAACAGCCCTGAATGGTATCGATAGATCATGCGGAACATAGAAGGACTCTAAAAGTCGGAATATATTTGTTCCGATCACATGATTGCGCCAAAGAAATTCGTTCGACAGCAAAAAAGACGTCCAGGAACTCAAGGCTAGGCTGTTCAACAGCTTCGGAAGTACGCACAATGCCTCCACGACTCCCCTGGCGACCGTCGCTTTCCCTTCTGCCTTTCCAATCGCAGCTCTCATCCTCGACGCCCTCTCCTTTCCTCCGCCTACTCCCATCAATTCTATCCCAGTCCCAATGCCAGTCACCATTCCAGCAATCCAGCCAGAGTCGCAACGCATCAATCCTCTCCTCTCTCTCCGATAATCCAAGCGCATATAACAAACGCATCAGACGAGGTCGAGGTCCGGCTTCCGGCAAGGGCAAAACCTCTGGCCGGGGGCACAAGGGTCAAAAACAGCATGGCAAAGTCCCTGCTGGGTTCAATGGTGGGCAGACCAAAGACATAGTCGTGCACGGAACGCACGGATTTGACAATATGTAAGCTTGAGAAAGAAAATATGAGTTGATCATTGGAACAGAAGGATATATCTAACCTATATTGTTTTCAGCTTCACCCTGGATATGTCCAAAGTCAATATCGACCGCATCCAGGACTGGATCGACCAAGGCCGCATTAACCCTGCGCAGCCCATCACAGTCAAAGAACTCGCCAAATCGCGCTGCATCCACGGTATCAAGGATGGCGTCAAGCTGCTGGGCCGCGGCGGCTCGTCGGCCCTCAAGCAGCCGATCAACATCATCGTCTCACGGGCGTCCGCGTCCGCCATTGCCGCCGTCGAAGCCGCCGGCGGCACCATTGTGACGAGGTACTACACGCGCCACGCGATCAAACGGATCATGAAAGGCCAGACGGATCCGTTTGTGTCGCTGGCGTGGGTGAAGATGCAGCAAGAGCAAAAACAAGAGCAGGACAACAACGGGGAGGTCGAGAGCAAGACGGCTGACGGCACAAATGCTCCGCCCAAGTTGATTGTTGGAATGGGCTTCGATAAGCCCAGAGTGAAGGGTGAAGGGTTCCAGTACCGCTTACCGGATCCGTCGAATCGGAAGGATATCGAGTACTACCGTGATCCGGAACATCGGGGCTACTTGAGCTATTTGGTTGGGGAGCATGAAGGACCCAGCTTGTTCTTCAGGCCGCCGGGCGAAGAATCCCGCAAGACGACGAAGAAGGAGGTGACGAAGCTATCCGAGAACCGGGTCTGGTAAGCTCGCCAGGTACGATTGTATATTATGTGATTTGAGTTTACCACGATATATCAATTCTATTGCACAGTGTCTAGATATTCCCCAGCAAACCCACGAGGATTTGCTTCTTCAGTCCATTGGTCCTTTTATTGCACCGTTTTTCAAAGGCTTTATTTTACCGCTTATCCTGGAAGACTGCACGGTCACATCTAGCCCCAATGCAACAACATATCCCGTCTTCCACCCTCCCCATCTCCCACCCGCCGTGCCATCGTCAGCCCCAGCAGATAATCAAAACCTTCAGCCTCCCCCTACGCAGCCCGTACTCCATCCACAAGACCTCCAACGCTCATCACAAACAAACGCCCCTAACCCTCAGACCCAATCCTCCACTCGCAAGCACCCCGTGCTCTCTCTCGCTCCAAACCCACCCACAACAGCGCACGCAGCTGATCATCCCTTCTCGATACTCCTCGAGGAACAAACCAACATCCGTCCGTCCGTCCGCCCTCGGGTCGTTATCTATGATCAGCACGCGTCCCGCAGAGCTCCATCCACACATACATAAATACCCACCAGCTCTCAGACCCAACTCTCCACCACCAACCCTCTTTCTCTCTCTCCCCCAGCGCGCAGACACACGCACGCTAGACTCAAACCCACCAGGCCCTCCATACATACATACAAACGTCCCGAGCAGCAGCGCGCCAAGGGATGCACAGCAACCCCCCCCCCCCCCCCCCCCCCCCCCCCCCCCCCCCCCCCCCCCCCCCCCCCCCCCCCCCCCCGCCCCTATCCATCCGCCCAGCGATTATTCACATCGACACACACGCGCATACATGCATACTACGTATTCCCCCCTCCCGCCGTTTCGAGGCATGAAACCCGGAAGGAACACGCGCGGCGGAGCCCCGCGTGGCATTATTGCCAGCAAGAAGCCACACATAGGCAAGGCAAGGAGCCTTTTGGCGTCCGTGTGAGACGCACACGGGGCTGGATAGACTGGGGGGTTTTTCGGGACGAACGTGACGTAAGTAACTACGTACGTGCATACGAGTGGAAGGGGTTGGCGGGTTGATTCGTGTGTTTGGGGATTTCAGGTTCATTTGTTTTGTACAGAGGACTCCGTACGGACGATACATATTCTGTAGATCAGTCAATGTATGTATGTATGTATGTCTTTATCTTTATCTATCATCCCTTTCTTTTTTTTTTTCTGGTCCCCACCGCCACGCTCCTCACTGTTTTTTTTTTCTTTCGCTGGATGGCATTTGATATTAATAACAAGAATAAATAAGAACGAGTTACATATCCTGCCGTACACAGACCGCCTCTCGCCGTATCAGGCATAAGATAAAAATGACGCACAAGTGCGATGATCCCTCGAGGGGGGGGGTTCAATTCCTCCTCCTTCTCAGCAACCAACTCAACACCTAAGTAGTAGTAGTAGTAGTACCGAGTGCTCAGCAGCAATAATTAGTTAGTCGATAATAATAAGCATAGCTAGCAACAGCAAACAAGCCAGCAAGAAAAACCTGAGACCATCCACCCTCCGAATACTCCGTTCGGTCAACAAAAATAAAAAGAACAGCAGGCAATCGGAGCTTGCCTTGCTCTCTCGCAAGGTCTAGGCCAGCGCGCGCTCGCCCCAAAACAGATCGACTAGTTAGTTAGTTAGTTAGTTAGAGAGTTATCTCACCCAGCCTCGGATCCTTCGAAAGGGATCAAAAACAACCGCGCCAATAGTCAATCAATAGATAATCAAAAAAAAAAGAAATAAAATAAAAAAAAGTGCAGACAAGACCAGACTTAAGCGAGCGAGGGTTCAATAGCCGACAGGTCCCAGAAAGAAAAAGAAATAACTTTCCTTCCGCCCCGTCCCCATACGTTTTCTCTTTTGGTAATTGTTTTTCTGATGTATATACCGAAACATGGAGGGAGCCCTTGTTTCACATACATAGGCACATACAAAACTCCATACTCTCAAGACATAAGGGCCTGAGTACCCTACTATCGACAACGCCCGGGGGTATTTTTAATAATAGCTCACTCACTCACTCAATCAGCCAGCCCAGCCCGTCCTTCGCTGCTCCACCAGGCTCTGGGGGATGCCACGGCATATCCCGGACTATTGTTACTGCGGCTCCGGCGAAATTGAAACATCCACGTGACTCGGGGCCGGGCGCCCTGCAGGCCAACCACGGAATGGCCCGTCTCGTGAAAAAAGAAAATGCGGGTAAAGCATTCCTGGAGGAAAACCAGGTATTTTGGGTGGCGCATAAATATTGCATTCCAAGTGATTATTAGTTTACACAAAAAAGCACATGATATTGCGCACCCCCATGGATATCTCTTAAAATGAATCCAGGTAATAGCATAAACAATTTAACCCAAGGCTATAGCCTGGCGTATTGCAAAGTTTTCCCCTCCAATATGATTGTCATGATCGTCGCAGAATAAAATAATAAAAAGAGCCAAACAGTGGTATAAAATATGCAGCGAGCCAAGGTTCCATTCTACTCAAACACCGGGAAAATGCAGATCAAAATCAGATGCAGAGATGTAATGCTGTACAAAGAAACGGTCAGGACTAGTATGAATGAGATGGGCTAAGCAAATGGGAAATGGTTTTCGATGTGAACATGCTCATCGGGGCGGAAGCTGAGGAAAGGGTGGCAATGAATTCTCTGGCCACTCTTCCGGCTGCGGATAGTAGGGAAGAACACCGGTTCGGCGTTCCGCCAAAGATTTGCCGAGCGGCTGGTAATACATCATGTTCATGGGAAATTGTCGTGCTTGCGGGAAGGATGGAGAGGGATTGGGATATAGAAGCGTGTTGACAGGGCGGACGGGCCGATAGGGAGAGTTTCTATCGAGCATTCCGGTGGGAGAAAGACGGGTAGGAGTTTGTGTCGAGTAAGCTGTGAGAGCAGGCGAGATAATCGATGTGTTTGCTGGATACGTAGTGGAGTGTCTGGCAAGGTCGGGCAGCAAGGCCGATGTAGGTGCTGGATTGAGTACGGGTGCCAGGGCTGGTGGTGAGATTCCTTGTCGTCCCCAAGTAGGAGCAGATGTGTAGGTATTCGGCATGGCACGGGACACTGGGAGTGGCAGCTGATTGGACAACGGAAAACTGGTGGACGAGCTCGACGTGGGAAGGCCGGCGGATGACGGAGTAGATGGGAGACAGACAGGTACGTGCATTGTAGGAACCAGCTGAGGTATAGGGGGAATTGACAGAGCAGGCAAAGTGTTGTACGAGGCAGAGACAGGTTCGGACGTCGCCACGGAGTAAGGGGGGTGTGCAACGGGTTGTCTCCAAGTACTAGGGCCAGCATATTTCTTGGGAGGATGCTCGTCCGCCTGTTCGTCATAGCTGCGTTTTCTCTCGTTGGCCAGAGTTGAGTTCAATATTGGTGGATGGACTGCTGGAAGGTGGCGAGAGAAGGAAGCCGACGACCCACCAAATGGCGTCACTGGGGTTGAAGGGTAAGTGGGCGGTGTGGCTCGACCAACTCCTATTGGGCTTGCGGACATGGATGTGAAGGACGGGGAGGTCTGGAGGCTTGGGATTTGGGGCTGTTGTGTCGAGGTGTCCAATGGCATGCGAGATGCACGGGCAAAATAGTTCGCAAAGATCCGAAGGGTCGAATGCCATTTCTCCCACTCCTTCTTGGTGACGAAGAGGTTGTAGCGTATGTTGCTCAGAAACTCGACCTCCATAACGTGTATTTCTTGTATTGGGATGCCCGATACCTCGCCCCATGTCTTATTGGTATATGTGTTATCATCGAGAACTAGAGCACCAGGTCAGCAAGCATTTTCAAAGACCAGACAACCAAAAGGATCATATACACTTATTTCCCATCATCAAGGCAATGGTCATGAGCCTAAATTCACTGCCCCGTTTGCCCCTCACGGACTGATTGAACTTTTTCAAACGATATATGAACATCAATGCCAGCAAGACGACGTTGCGGCTGACTTGCGTGGTGGAGAGGATTGTGGTCATCCATTTTGTGAAGCCGATGCTGGGGATGCACTCCGGGTCGAGCGGAGGAATGAACTGTGACGACAGTCCTCGCTCTTCGATCTGCTTGAGTTTCGATGATTTGGCAAACCAGAACAGACAGGTGATCTAGAACACGAGACCAGGCCAAGTCAATATAAAACCACTTCACACAGCAGCAAGGGGCAGAATCTCACCTGGGCAGCAAAATCGGCCAGGCTGCCACCATTCTCACTGATCGACGACGGCACCTGCAGATATATGGCAATGGAAGACTCCTTGGCGTGCTTGGGCACGGCGGCGGGCATCTGGCTGGTCAGGGACGGCGGTTGCTGCTGACGCGAGCCGTGGGAGTCGATAGCAGCGACAGCGGCGGGTTTGGTCTGGGACGGCATGGCGAGGGAGCCAGCCACGGCCGAGTGCAGAGGACCGGGGAAGTGGAAGGGCTGGCGGCCATGACCGAGCGAGAAGGGCGGCTTGACGGCGAGGTCGATCATGTCCTCGGGCGGCGAGCAAACGGCGTTGGCTCACGGCATTCGCGAGGGGGAGCAGCCTGGGGAGCGGCAGGCGGGAGGTGAGGGCGACAATGGGTCGTGGGCACGGGCAGGCGTGCAGAGCATGAGTGGGGGGGATGGAGGTTATGGAGTGGCAGGTGAGGAGGAGGAAGAGGAGGAGAAAGAGAAGAAGTGGAAGAAGAGGCCGGGGAGCGAAGGAGGCATTAAAGGAGGAGGAAGAGGAAGAGGACAATCAAGGCATGGGCAGCAGCAGCGGTGGAGTGACTAAAAAGAGGAGCGAGAGGAACGCGAGTAATAAGAAGAATGAAGGAGTGAAGGGCAGCGGCGGGAAGAGGAAGCGCAGATGACGACAGAGCGAGCAATTGGCCAGGGCCGAGCAGCAGCCAGCGAGCGAGCGAGCGAAGTGAGTTAACTAGCTAGCTAGCCCACACCTTCTCATTTACTTCACTAGCCAACCGCCGGCACCAGCACCGGCATCAGCAAGCAGCAGCAGCGGCAGCGGGCAAGCAGCACAAGGTTTCAGCGAGGGCAGGTTAGTGGAGGGCGGGCCATGGCTGGGACGAGGAGCGGTGCGGGCTGGTCGCTAGCGGGCGGCGGTTTGGGATTGGGGATTGGGAGAGGAGTTCCGGTGGATCAGGGAAACAAAAAAACAAAAAGAAGCAAGAAGAGCAGCAAATAATGCCAAAAAAAAAAGCGAGCGAGGGAGCCGAACAAGAAGACGGTGGTGGTAATAACAGCAAATAATGGGAGGCGGCAAATCAAGGCGTGCCGCTGGAAGGTTTTGGGTTTTGGCGGTCTCGTCCTCTAGGGATTATTAGTTACTTAGGAGCGCAGCAAGGCCCGGCGGTGGAGCCGCGGCGGGCGCTGTTTGCTGCTGTTGTTGCGCTGCTGCCCCCCCCCCCCCCCCGACCAGGCCGCCGATCAGGGGACCGCCAGAACAGCCAGACCAGACAGGGCCATCCAACAAACTCAAAACGACAAAAGCGAGAAATCAGAAAATAAAAAAAAAAAAAGGAAAAAAAGAGGATTCCTTGGGCGACGAGCGCCGTGGCTCGTGGTAGTGTATCCGCCGGGCGTATGGGCTTGGGGACGGGTGGCCGGGGGAGGGGGTGTATCGGGGGGCCCAGGCCGCGGCAGGGAGGCGACGCAGCGCCCGTTGCGACGGTTGGTCCCCAAGCGCGCAAGAGGCCCCGTACCGTGCCGTATCGTATCGTACCGTACGCCGCCCAGCGATGGTTCCGGCGCGGTAAGATTACGCCTCGTACTCACACAGCCCAAAGGGCCACGACGCCCGCGCGCCCATCGCTTGCCTGTTCGGGCCACCCGATACGCCCCGCGCACCCTCGCAAACCCCGTCTCCATCGCCTGTGACTATCAATACTCGTTATTCACCCCCATCACCACCACCACTACCACCACCACCGCAGCACCAGCGATACGGCGTTGCACCCACGCCCGCCAGCAGCGACCCGGCACACTTCGACCCCATCTCAATCGCAGCCGCCCCGTCCTGCCTGCCAACCGCCAACTTCCGACATAACACTAGTTAGTCCCCTACGACGGTGCCGCGTCTTTTCAAGAAAAGGGGGCAGCGATGCACACACTAGTGAGTCTCTTCTGACACTAATATCACTAAGCTGCCTGCCTGCCAGCCTGGCCTGCGTGCAAGGTTGGACAGCACACTACCGCTGCTGCTCTGGGCCGCAATCTAACGATAAATGCAAATCAAATCAATACTCCGTAATAACATCATGCAACACCCAAAAAAAGAGGGCCGGCCGACTATCAAAGTAACTATCTCGTAGCTAGCCGTAATCAATAATAAGAATACTGGCTCCAGAGAAGGATGCGAGCAGAGACAAAAAAGACACAGTGAGACAAAAAGGAAATCAATCCATTTGTTAATTTCCATTCAAGTCACACGCAGCAAATGAAAACAAAAAAAACATAATGGTCTTTGGTAGGGATAGCAGTAGTAGGAAGGGAGGAACGTGGATTCGCCCGTCGTTTACATTTTTTTACGTTTTTGTGTTTTTTGCATGGATGGAAGATTAATAATATATCGACCAATGCTGGAAAGAGAGAGCGCATGTATTATCTTGGTTGTTATTAATGTATATTACTCTACTCTGGCTCCGTACCGCCAGCTCCTGTCGGGATCCTTTTTGAGTCATGCAGTCCGCCAACCGGGCCAGGTCTTGGGTGAGTGAGCTAGTTAAGTAGTTGGTCCGGCTTGCTGGCCTCACCGGGCATATGACACAGTGTTCACAGGGAAAAAACCCCGAGGACAAGAAAAAGCGGGAATGTGAGAATGGATTGGACGGACAAGTACTTGCTCAGGGATGGATGTATCCTGCGGCCTGCAAACAAAAACAGTCCTGTGGGATGCAATGCCTGAAAGGAAGTTTAGTTTGGGCCAGACCCAAACTTATCATGAACCAGTTGTCCTGCAATTACTCTGTAATTTTTTCCTTTAATAATTCATCGCCCATTCATATGTTGTTCTACAACTCTTTTTTTGTTCCGGGATTTCTTGTTAAAACAGGCATGAGACAAACACACACACACACCTTGCACTCTTTTTTTCTTCCCGTGTCGCTCTCCATTCCGGCGTTTCGAATGCCAACAGAACAGCCACGGCTTGCTTTTTTGCCTGGGCCAAAACCCGCGCCCAGAACAAGGGGCAGCAGCAGCAGCACCAACGTGTTGTGTTGCTGGCCCTGCTCGCTAGCCTGCTAATTAACTAATACTAAGCTGGTTCAAATTCCACCACCAACCTCTTTCAGCTTGAATCGTCAGACAACGACGTCGGCCGTACTCCGTCCTTACTTTTCCTGTGGGTAGGGGGTGGGGTGATGGTGGTGGTGGTAGGTTTTTTGCGTTGAAAGAGAAAAGAGACGATCGGGGAGTGGAGATTTTTTTGGTTCTTTTAGGTGAATGGTAAAGCTTTTCATTAATACTGCTCCAGTTTTATTCTTTCTTTGCCCCCCCTCTATCCGTGGTCCACAAAGCACAAAAAGTGTGATTACGGGTGCTTTGTGAAAAGCTGACGGGGCCCCGCCGCCCGCCTGCGGATTGGTGGCTGCAGAAGTAGGGGCTGCTGGGGGGGCTTGGGAGAGGGAACCACAGCGCGTAGAAATTCCTCCCGAGGCTGTAACTAACTAAACGGCTCTACGGAGTGCGACCACTCCCGTTGCGTTTGTTCATTCGGTCGGTCGTAGGAGTATTCCGCATTATTCGCCGCAGCACAAGAAAACCCCCACACAGCGAATCACGAAAAAGAGAAAAAACCAAAAGGAAAAGGACAAGACAAGATACAAAATACAAAGAAAAATCAACCCGCGGAATGCCTGGCCTAAAGCGGCATGGCTCGTATCAACGGCCGGTCTCCTTGTCCGGGAGAGGGGGGGGGGGGGCTCCAATCAGCACGCGAGACAGCGCAGCTTTCGTAATAATACTCTATCTACCTGCGACGACGACGACCGGGTCGACCAGCGATCTTCCCTCGGGGTCTGTCGCTCTCACTCACTACGCAAGCCAGGCGCGGGAACAAAAAAGAAGGGGATAACCACCCCGCTCACTTTCCCCTCCCCCCGCCCCCATTATTATTAAATTGAGCAAGTCTCACTCTGATTAGTATTTACACCGCTTGCAGCACGCCGCCGCCGCCCGCGGCCGAACACGAAAGAAAGAAAATAAAAAACGCAAAAAAGAGATTATCTGGGTCGTTGGAAAAAAATATAATAATAATAATAATAATAATGGATTTCTGGCGATCAGTTCAGCCCATCCCAAGGATTTGCGTTCGCTTGGGCGAACATGGCGAATTATTATTGTCAGGTGAGGGAGGGACGGCGTAATTAATAATGACACCGCGGGGTTTTGTGTGCACCGCCCACATAAAGACTTTAGGCATCTGCTTTATGCTCGTCCCGTCCTTCTTTGGCGGGCTTGCTCAGCCCGCGCCCAGACTCTCTCTTCTCTTCTCGCTCTCTGTGCGGCGAACAACACTAGGTTTAGGGGGAGGCGGTGGGAAGGACAAAAAAGGGGCTTTGTCAGCAAAGGAATAACAGACTGCCGCTTTTACGCAGCCAATCCCACGCGGCATCCTTTAGCGCCGTTACGCGGCTGGCTCTGGCTGGCTCCAGCCTCGGCGCGCCCGCCCATTGGCTGGGGATTGTGCCAGCCAATCCAAGTCCCCAGATGCATGCGCGCGCCAGCCAGCCAGCCGGCGAGCGAATGAATGAATGCATGAGAGCGAGCTTGTTACAATACCTGTGCCGTTCCGGACATTACGGCTTTTCCGTACGGTCGCGTTCTCGGACTCGCCTCGCTCTTATACTCCCGTACATACCTACCTAACGTAGTTACGTGACTACGGAGTACTACTGGCCAGGAGCCACCCTTGCCTTGTCACGGAGTTGTCGAACCCGCCTTGTCTGTCTGTCGTCTCTCCTCCGCTGGCGTGCAGCGGCACCACCACCACCACCACCACGCAGCTTTTACCCCCCGGGTGACGCCCTGCAAATTGAGTGATGTCCATCATCAGGGCCACGGTCTTTCCAGCCCGCCTCATCCATCGTCCCCCCACTGCTGCACGGCCGTCAGACATACTAACTACTCCTGCGGAGTTTGGCGTTGCTGGCCAAACAGAACAAACCGGACTTGTCTGGCCCGCAGGCTATGAATAGATGTGACTCGAAAATCTCTCTCTCTCTTGGTTCTTTTTGTTTGGCCGGGTTTGATTTTTTCACGACCGTGGGAGTTTGAGCCCAACGTTTCAATCGATTGATTGGAGGGAGGGGGATGTCCGTACTGCGGAGTATGTACTTAATCTACTCAGCCCGCCCGGCGCGTGAAAACACAGCAGGACAACTTGATTGCATATGTGATCGGTTGATTGGTACTATACAGAGTACATACGGAGTACATATCACTACTCCGTTATGCAAGGGTCAGACCGTAAGACCCAAGCACGGCTT